CCCGCCCTCCCTGATGGACTCCCCCACAAGTGGGAGCCGACCATCAGCTCCTCATCAAGAAGGCCCAGCAGAGGATGTACTTCCTGCAGCAGACTACACAGACTACAGCGCATTGTGCGCTCTGCAGAGAAAGTGATCGGCCACAGCCTCCCAGCGCTGCAGGACCTCTACGATGCCCGAGCTTGAGGCCGTGCTGGTCGTATCACTGCTGACCCCTCTAACCTGCACATGGACTGTTCCAACCTCTCCCCTCTCATCAGCACATGGACTGTTCCAACCACTCCCCTCTCATCAGCACATGGACTGTTCCAACCTCTCCCCTCTCATCCGCACATGGACTGTTCCAACCTCTCCCCTCTCATCAGCACATGGACTGTTCCAACCTCTCCCCTCTCACCTGCACATGGACTGTTCCAACCACTCCCCTCTCATCAGCACATGGACTGCTCCAACCTCTCCCCTCTCACCTGCACATGGACTGCTCCAACCTCTCCCCTCTCACCTGCACATGGACTGTTCCAACCTCTCCCCTCTCATCAGCACATGGACTGTTCCAACCTCTCCCCTCTCACCAGCACATGGACTGTTCCAACCTCTCCCCTCTCACCTGCACATGGACTGCTCCAACCACTCCCCTCTCATCAGCACATGGACTGTTCCAACCTCTCCCCTCTCACCTGCACATGGACTGTTCCAACCACTCCCCTCAGGCAGGAGACTACGGCCCATTCGGACCAGAACCTCACCTCATAAGAACAGTTTCTTCCCCTCTGCTGTTGGTCTCTCGAACACTTCATAACCTTGTCCCTTAATGCTCGTTACAAAGCCACCTTACTGCCCTTTATAAAGGCACCTTACTGCCCTTTATAAAGGCACCTTACTGCCCTTTACAAAGGCACCTTACTGCCTTTTATAAAGTCACTTACTGCCCTTTACAAAGGCACCTTACTGCCTTTTATAAAGTAACTTACTGCCCTTTACAAAGGCACCTTACTGCCCTTTATAAAGTCACTTACTGCCCTTTACAAAGTCACTTACTGCCCTTTACAAAGTCACTTACTGCCCTTTAAAAAGGCACCTTACTGCCCTTTACAAAGTCACTTACTGCCCTTTATAAAGTCACTTACTGCCCTTTACAAAGTCACTTACTGCCCTTTACAAAGTCACTTACTGCCCTTTACAAAGTCACTTACTACCCTTTACAAAGACACCTTACTGCCCTTTATAAAGTCACTTACTGCCCTTTACAAAGTCACTTACTGCCCTTTACAAAGTCACTTACTGCCCTTTACAAAGGCACCATACTGCCCTTTACAAAGTCACTTACTGCCCTTTACAAAGTCACTTACTGCCCTTTACAAAGGCACCATACTGCCCTTTACAAAGTCACTTACTGCCCTTTACAAAGTCACTTACTGCCCTTTACAAAGGCACCTTACTGCCCTTTACAAAGTCACTTACTGCCCTTTACAAAGGCACCTTACTGCCCTTTACAAAGTCACTTACTGCCCTTTACTAAGTCACTTACTGCCCTTTACAAAGCCACCTTACTGCTCTTTACAAAGGCACCTTACTGCCCTTTACAAAGGCACCTTACTGCCCTTTACAAAGGCACCTTACTGCACTGCTGTACATTGTATATTGTGTGCACCGAGCCCGAGTGCACTTGTTTATAGAAATAATCATAATACTTTTAACTAAAATCTTAGAAAGAGCTATACTTTAGAGATGTTTAGAAATGTTTTATTTTGTCTTATTCTCGACTTTTGACCTGATTGCACTGAGAGCCAAAGCCATTTTCCAGTCTGTGACGTCCTGTTTCTTATGTGTCAATAAAAATGGTTCTGATTCTGATTGTTCAGTCTCTTCAGTGGCACAGACTTATCTTTAGCATGAATCTAGTGAAACCTCAAACTTTAGCTTGTCTTAACATTCTGTTCCTTCTTATTCATTCAAATGGTGTTTTTTCCCAAACCAGCTGCTCCAGAGACCCACCAGCCAATCCAATCCAAGCACTCCATAAAGGTTTTCCCTTTGTTCTAACCTGCAGTGTTTTCTTTGGGTCCTATTACCAATCTTTATTTCAGACTCAAATTCAATGGCTCCATATTCTGAAAGAAAACAAGTAGAAAATACAATATATAGAGTCAGTCCAAACAGGTCTATAGGTGATGGAAGAGTGTTTCAGCCGCTTTCTCAGAGCAGAGCTGCAGTCAACTTTTGACTTTGATTTATTTTTTCATTTTTCTACAGTTGTATTACATGCAGGAAATGGTGATAATGTGATTCCAATGATATCAGGGTTTATATAATTATGTGTGTGGAGTCATCACGGTATTGTTGAGGAATCTTTTACAAAAAGACTAAATATTGATTCTGTTTTCAGACACATTGCAAACATCACACCTCGCCTCATTGCTCTGATTGGACAACCCTTTGCCTTTTAATTGAAAAATGTTCTTTACAAATCACAAAATGAGTACATATAACAGAAACATGTGCGATATGCAAGTGTAATGCCAGAGGGAGTTTTCATATGCTGAGATTTTTGTCACTACTTTTCAAAATCATAAAGGTCTAGGATTCCATTTGTTGAACTGATGCTCGGAAAAGACAGATGACGACGACGACTTGCTTTTCCATTGATCCATTTGCATGAATCCTTTTCTGTGTCGGGGAAGTGTCAATCAGTCACAGAGCTCCAGACATTCTAACATTATAATAAAACCTTTTTGGTTCTTGGATCTGTCTTTCCAAACAGCATCAGGGATGAGGTTTCTCCTGTAAAAAGATAAACGTGAATTTGTCCTTCAGTGTAAATGTCATCGTTGCACATTAAAGCAGAATAGAAAGAAAGTGAGAGCACCCAGGTTATGTAGAGCAATAAAATCATAACATAATAACATACAACTCTGGAACTATATTTGCACTTGGTAATAGGATTGAATCCCCCTTGAACCTTTCAACATTTCGCCACATTTCAGGCTTCAAACATAAAGATATAAAAATTTATTTTTTTGTCAAGACTCAACAACAAGTGGGACACAATCGTGAAGTGGAACGAAATTTATTGGATAATTTAAACTTTTTTAACAAATAAAAAACTGAAAAGTGGGGCGTGCAATATTATTCGGCCCCCTTGCGCTAATACTTTGTAGCGCCACCTTTTGCTGCAATTACAGCTGCAAGTCGCTTGGGGTATTTCTCTATCAGTTTTGCACATCGAGAGACTGGAATTCTCGCCCATTCTTCCTTGCAAAACAGCTGGATCTCAGTGAGGTTGGATGGAGAGCGTTTGTGAACAGCAGTCTTCAGCTCTTTCCACAGATTCTCGATTGGATTCAGGTCTGGACTTTGACTTGGCCATTCTAACACCTGGATACGTCTATTTGTGAACCATTCCATTGTAGATTTGGCTTTATGTTTTGGATCATTGTCCTGTTGGAAGATAAATCTCCGTCCCAGTCTCAGGTCTTTTGCAGACTCCAACAGGTTTTCTTCCAGAATGGTCCTGTATTTGGCTCCATCCATCTTCCCATCAATTTTAGCCATCTTCCCTGTCCCTGCTGAAGAAAAGCAGGCCCAAAGCATGATGCTGCCACCACCATGTTTGACAGTGGGGATGGTGTGTTCAGGGTGATGAGCTGTGTTGCTTTTACGCCAAACAAATCGTTTTGCATTGTGGCCAAAAAGTTTGATTTTGGTTTCATCTGACCAGAGCACCTTCTTCCACATGTTTGGTGTGTCTCCCAGGTGGCTTGTGGCAAACTTTAAACAAGACTTTTTATGGATATCTTTGAGAAATGGCTTTCTTCTTGCCACTCTTCCATAAAGGCCAGATTTGTGCAGTGCACGACTGATTGTTGTCCTATGGACAGACTCTCCCACCTCAGCTGTAGTTATCTGCAGTTCATCCAGAGTGATCATGGGCCTCTTGGCTGCATCTCTGATCAGTCTTCTCCTTGTTTGAGATGAAAGTTTGGAGGGACGGTTGGGTCTTGGTAGATTTGCAGTGGTCTGATACTCCTTCCATTTCAATATAACTGCTTGCACAGTGCTCCTTGAGATGTTTAAAGCTTGGGAAATCTTTTTGTATCCAAATCCGGCTTTAAACTTCTCCACAACAGTATCTCGGACCTGCCTGGTGTGTTCCTTTGTCTTCATGGTTCTCTCTGCGCTTTAAACAGAACCCTGAGACTATCAAAGAGCAGGTGCATTTATACGGAGACTTGATTACACACAGGGGCATTCTATTTATCATCATCAGTCATTTAGGACAACATTGGATCATTCAAAGATCCTCACTGAACTTCTGGACTGAGTTTGCTGCACTGAAAGTAAAGGGGCCGAATAATATTGCACGCCCCACTTTTCAGTATTTTATTTGTTAAAAAAGTTTAAATTATCCAATACATTTCGTTCCACTTCACGATTGTGTCCCACTTGTTGTTGATTCATGACAAAAAATTAAAATATTATATCTTTATGTTTGAAGCCTGAAATTTGGCGAAATGTTGAAAGGTTCAAGGGGGCCGAATACTTTCGCAAGGCACTGTATTAAAGTGACACACATGAGGTTCTATATTGCACATTCTGACATCCTTTGCAGATGGTTGGTTTTGCACAGAGAATGTGACCAGAATAAACAATAGTAATAATATCAGCAGGTAAAGTGACGAGTGGATTATCAGAACGTGAATGGCACAAGTGCAGACTCAGCAGTTCTCATTGTACAGTCTGACAGCAGCAGGAAGTAAGCAGATGGTGCAGAAATAGAAATGGAGCACGTATTCTTCTGTTATTTTCACGAACTTTTTACGAAAACAAACTTTTCCAACAGAGGAGTCCGATACAGTCAATAGTAGTAATTTTGTGATCGATCTGTCCCCCAAATCCCCCCCATCTGCCCCGACGCACTGACGTTACTGACGCACTGAGGTCACACTGCCGTTCGCGGAAGTGACGTCACACGCTTCGACCTTGCAGTTACGTGCAGCAACATGGCGAACAAGGAGCCCAGCGTGAGTACTGCTCTGCCCCATCTTTACAGCCTATGGTCCACTCTGTCCTCTCTCGGTCCTCTCTCGGTCCTCTCTCGGTCCTCTCACCACACACATGTCCTCAGCGGCCCCTCTGCAGCCGCCGGGCCGTGTGTCTGCAGCCGCGTCACCGGACTGTCCTGCCGCGGTCTGCTGAGCACCGTGCATGTGACGGGTCTGTGGTGACGGGCCTGTGGTGACGGGCCTCGGTGTCTGCTCCCTGTCTCTGTCCCTGGCTCTGGCTCTGGCTCTGGCTCTGGGTCTGATTGGCTCAGTGAGGGTGGTCCCGCTTTTATAATCCACTTTTCTGTCTGAAAAGCGGATCTAAAGATGTGACGGAGGCCTGAGATGCAAACATGTGAAAACTAATATTAGATAAGATAGACTTTATTGATCTCACACTGGAGACGTTTACAGTGAGAGATTAAAGCTTCTTTAGAATCAGAAACGTGTGACATGGATTGTGTTACATGGCTCCATTGCGGTGGTTTCAAAGTTACCTAAGCTTCAGTGTCTCCATCTCCGTCACGTACTGAGATGATTCCAGTTTTCATACTAGTTTTGGACTAAATTCACTTTTCTAATTGAAAATAAAGTCATACAAAAAAAGTCTTTACTTGATCCTTCTGAACGTGGCTCCACAGAGACTGTCCTGTGTCACATCCAGACCCCCCTCATCATGACCCACACTGACCATGAGGAGCCACTCTATGGTTGGAAACTGACAGTACTGAAAATGTCCTTTAGTACGATACTGAAGAAAAAGTGTGTGAAGTAGAAGTATCTAAACTACTAGAGTGACTTCTACTGCGTTCCTATCATGTTAGATTCTGTAAATGATTTTAAAACTATGAATGGTGTGTATATTTAAATGAGTAATGTTCACTGTGTCGTGCAGCGATTCTTCCAGCACTTCCGGGATGTGGCCGGCCGCATGTCATCGTCCGGGGGCCGCGGGGCCGGGCTGGGGGTCAAGCTTCTCCTGGGAGCCGGGGCCCTGGCCTACGGGGTCAAAGAAGCTACCTACACAGGTGAGGCCAGAGAACGCAGGCACGCGTAGGGGCGTACACTCACAAGATATTCTCCCTAAGTATTGGGACACCCTACAACCCCGCAGGCACTCGCAAAGTCTAGGACAAGTGTGCTTTTTAAGGGCAAGGGTGAGAATTGGGACAGGGCCTTACTTACTGCACAGATCAACCCTAGTCTGTTAAGACACTTTACTGATCCACAAGAGAATGACTTGGATTCAAAAAGTGAACAGGGACTGAACTGGGTCATACAAGTGTTCAGTCTGGACCTGGACCTGGACCTGGCCCTGGACCTGACCCTGTGCTTGTGTCCACAGTGGAGGGAGGACACAGAGCGATCATCTTCAGCCGACTGGGAGGGATGCAGATGGACACGGTGCTGGCGGAGGGGCTGCACTTCAGGTACGGGCTGCTGTCTGTGTGTGTGTGTCTGTAGGACTGTGTCTGTGTGTGGGTGTCTGTAGGACTGTGTCTGTGTGTGTGTGTGTGTGTCTGTAGGACTGTGTCTGTGTGTGTGTCTAACTCTGTGTCTGTGTGTGTGTAGGATACCATGGTTCCAGTACCCTATCATCTACGACATCAGGGCCAAACCCAGGAAGATCTCCTCCCTGACTGGTAGCAAAGGTACCTACAGTTATAGTTATGCAGAAATATACAGAAACACTGCAGACCTGTTCCACGTGGAGCTTATGAACATTGTTGCCATTTTTCAACTGCTGTTTTTATTTTGTCCCTATGCTAACAGCCTTAAGGTCAAAGTGTCCTAAAATGTGTTAATTTACATTTAGACTGAAGTTCTAACACGTTTAGTTTTGTAACTCTGTAGTGCACTGCAGTGCATTATGGGTAAATGCACAATGCCCTCCCGACGTCTCAAAGTAGAAGGCGACGAGATGGAAGTGTCCCTATGTTTTCAAACTTGTGCTTTTGCAGATAAAGTATTTAGGGTTCATTTACAATTACTGCTGTTCTTTAATACACGGTCTATTCCAAAATAAACAAATAAAACTGTGACTACAGGGTCAGAAACAATCCTTGTGTCTGAGGCCTGTACCTGTGCTCAGATCTGCAGATGGTGAACATCGCGGTGCGTGTGCTGTCGCGGCCCATTGCGTCCAACCTGCCAATCATGTACCAGCAGCTGGGGAAGGACTACGACGAGAGGGTCCTGCCCTCCATCGTCAACGAGGTCCTGAAGTCTGTGGTCGCCAAGTTCAACGCCTCGCAGCTCATCACACAGAGAGCACAGGTACAGCTCATCACACAGAGAGCACAGGTACAGCTCATCACACAGAGAGCACAGGTACAGCTCATCACACAGAGAGCACAGGTACAGCTCATCACGCAGAGAGCACAGGTACAGAGCTCATCACGCAGAGAGCACAGGTACAGAGCTCATCACGCAGAGAGCACAGGTACAGAGCTCATCACGCAGAGAGCACAGGTACAGAGCTCATCACGCAGAGAGCACAGGTACAGAGCTCATCACGCAGAGAGCACAGGTACAGAGCTCATCACGCAGAGAGCACAGGTACAGAGCTCATCACGCAGAGAGCACAGGTACAGAGCTCATCACGCAGAGAGCACAGGTACAGAGCTCATCACGCAGAGAGCACAGGTACAGCTCATCACACAGAGAGCACAGGTACAGCTCATCACACAGAGAGCACAGGTACAGCTCATCACACAGAGAGCACAGGTACAGCTCATCACGCAGAGAGCACAGGTACAGCTCATCACGCAGAGAGCACAGGTACAGCTCATCACGCAGAGAGCACAGGTACAGCTCATCACGCAGAGAGCACAGGTACAGCTCATCACGCAGAGAGCACAGGTACAGCTCATCACGCAGAGAGCACGGGTACAGCTCATCACGCAGAGGGCACGGGTACAGCTCATCACGCAGAGGGCACGGGTACAGCTCATCACGCAGAGGGCACGGGTACAGCTCATCACGCAGAGAGCACGGGTACAGAGCTCATCACGCAGAGAGCACGGGTACAGAGCTCATCACGCAGAGAGCACGGGTACAGAGCTCATCACGCAGAGAGCACGGGTACAGAGCTCATCACGCAGAGAGCACGGGTACAGAGCTCATCACGCAGAGAGCACGGGTACAGAGCTCATCACGCAGAGAGCACGGGTACAGAGCTCATCACGCAGAGAGCACGGGTACAGAGCTCATCACGCAGAGAGCACGGGTACAGAGCTCATCACGCAGAGAGCACGGGTACAGAGCTCATCACGCAGAGAGCACGGGTACAGAGCTCATCACGCAGAGAGCACGGGTACAGAGCTCATCACGCAGAGAGCACGGGTACAGAGCTCATCACGCAGAGAGCACGGGTACAGAGCTCATCACGCAGAGAGCACGGGTACAGAGCTCATCACGCAGAGAGCACGGGTACAGAGCTCATCACGCAGAGAGCACGGGTACAGAGCTCATCACGCAGAGAGCACGGGTACAGAGCTCATCACGCAGAGAGCACGGGTACAGAGCTCATCACGCAGAGAGCACGGGTACAGAGCTCATCACGCAGAGAGCACGGGTACAGAGCTCATCACGCAGAGAGCACGGGTACAGAGCTCATCACGCAGAGAGCACGGGTACAGAGCTCATCACGCAGAGAGCACGGGTACAGAGCTCATCACGCAGAGAGCACGGGTACAGAGCTCATCACGCAGAGAGCACGGGTACAGAGCTCATCACGCAGAGAGCACGGGTACAGAGCCAGGGCTTAAAGTTTTCCGGCACCGTGCCGGAAATCCGGCGTGAGAAAAAAAAAAAAAAAAACATCACTTATTTTTTTTTTTTTTTTTAATATATATATAAATAAATAATGATTGCTGTCATTTGAAAAAGGTTCAAGTGTGTTCTACCAATTGTATGAAAGGATTGCATGTGTATAGCGCAGGGATTAAAGAGTTCCGTCTAAGTGACGGATTTCCGTCAAATGAAATTGGTCTGAAAAAAAAAACAAAATATATAATAATAATATAATACACACAATGAAATGGTTAATTATAATAAAATATATAGTAATACGTGTGAATCTGTTGTATATATCTAGATATATATTAATAATTTGAATATAATTGTATTTATATGTATATAGAAATAAAAAGTAATATAATCACGAGTGGGCCTTGAACGTGCCGTGGCCACATGAGCGCTCCGTAAATGATTCAAGGCAATGGGACGTAGCCAAGTTAGCGATGGTAACACGGAGGTGAAAGTTTCTGAAAAGTGCACGGAGCTTTTGAAAAGGAGAAGAGGACAAGGAAAATGTAATCCCGAACGGAGCAATAACAGCCAGCAGCCCGCGGACCGGTAAGCTAGGCGCGTTATCAGAGGAAAGGTAGGACATAATTAACGTTTACCAAACGCAATGCTTTTTTATTTAACGGAATGTACAATATGTACTTTGCTGTGACTGGGAATGGGGACAAGCATGTCTTGGTGAGCTTTTGATAATATCTTGGTGGCGATCCCCATGCAAAACTGCGTGATAAAAAGAGCCAATCAACGAGAGCGAACGGAAGAAACTCGCTGAAGAAAGGTGTGTGTTAGCAGGTCTTATATTCATTCATCAAAGCTAGCCTAGCATGCACGCACAATCACAATCATGGATCGTTGTTTATGGAAGAAGGAGCAGTATAAGTTGCTGTTGATAACGGAGTGAAAAATAAATGGAGGTGGGCATGGCTGGATGAGGTGGAGACGATGGGATTCTGTTGCTTCATGGTGCAAAAAGATGAAGGTGTCCGGTGCTTGTTCGTACTTCGCTATTATTATTTTTTTATATGGGAGTAATGAGAAAACAGCTTTGGATTCACCACCAGCTCAAAACTGCGCACTTGGCAGCTGTCCGTGCACTTTCCCACACTTCTTTACCTGGTGCATCAGATTCAGCGACAACTGAGACTAGGCTTGCTCTGGTGGACTGTGTCTGTGACCTAAAACTAAGAGTCTGTGGCTTTATCGCAGAAAATAACCGTCGTTCAGAACCATCACTACCGCTGGTAGATTTAATTATCATTAATCATTTGCAGTTGATCAAACTGCGCTGTGCACTAGCACCAAGTTGATAGGGAAACCTTTTTCTTAAACATTGAGTGTCCACAAACAAATGTGGACAGAATTTTGAATGTCCTTTTGCGATATTTTGACGAGGACAGAGCCAAAGGACAACGCCTCATCTCGCCTCAAGTAAAGCCAATGATGCAGATGAACTACTCTCACTAATATTCTGTCAAAGAGTTGACAAGTTGCTTGATCCACTGGTTGTAATTTCACATCAAAATACACCAGTTTAAATGTATATCTTTGAAGAATTCGTTTGATCTGTAATTCATTATATTTCCATGAGAAAATTTTCAGTCAAATCTTTTTTTTTTGCTTTAACCCCTGGCCGCTTTATAAAAAACGCTTATTAGTGATCATTCTATGATTCATATAGATGGTTCAGGCTCAGGAATTTTTTCAACTTTAACCCATGCAGAGCTCATCACGCAGAGAGCACGGGTACAGAGCTCATCACGCAGAGAGCACGGGTACAGAGCTCATCACGCAGAGAGCACGGGTACAGAGCTCATCACGCAGAGAGCACGGGTACAGAGCTCATCACGCAGAGAGCACGGGTACAGAGCTCATCACGCAGAGAGCACGGGTACAGAGCTCATCACGCAGAGAGCACGGGTACAGAGCTCATCACGCAGAGAGCACGGGTACAGAGCTCATCACGCAGAGAGCACGGGTACAGAGCTCATCACGCAGAGAGCACGGGTACAGAGCTCATCACGCAGAGAGCACGGGTACAGAGCTCATCACGCAGAGAGCACGGGTACAGAGCTCATCACGCAGAGAGCACGGGTACAGAGCTCATCACGCAGAGAGCACGGGTACAGAGCTCATCACGCAGAGAGCACGGGTACAGAGCTCATCACGCAGAGAGCACGGGTACAGAGCTCATCACGCAGAGAGCACGGGTACAGAGCTCATCACGCAGAGAGCACGGGTACAGAGCTCATCACGCAGAGAGCACGGGTACAGAGCTCATCACGCAGAGAGCACGGGTACAGAGCTCATCACGCAGAGAGCACGGGTACAGAGCTCATCACGCAGAGAGCACGGGTACAGAGCTCATCACGCAGAGAGCACGGGTACAGAGCTCATCACGCAGAGAGCACGGGTACAGAGCTCATCACGCAGAGAGCACGGGTACAGAGCTCATCACGCAGAGAGCACGGGTACAGAGCTCATCACGCAGAGAGCACGGGTACAGAGCTCATCACGCAGAGAGCACGGGTACAGAGCTCATCACGCAGAGAGCACGGGTACAGAGCTCATCACGCAGAGAGCACGGGTACAGAGCTCATCACGCAGAGAGCACGGTACAGAGCTCATCACGCAAGAGCACGGGTACAGAGCTCATCACGCAGAGAGCACGGGTACAGAGCTCATCACGCAGAGAGCACGGGTACAGAGCTCATCACGCAGAGAGCACGGGTACAGAGCTCATCACGCAGAGAGCACGGGTACAGAGCTCATCACGCAGAGAGCACGGGTACAGAGCTCATCACGCAGAGAGCACGGGTACAGAGCTCATCACGCAGAGAGCACGGGTACAGAGCTCATCACGCAGAGAGCACGGGTACAGAGCTCATCACGCAGAGAGCACGGGTACAGAGCTCATCACGCAGAGAGCACGGGTACAGAGCTCATCACGCAGAGAGCACGGGTACAGAGCTCATCACGCAGAGAGCACGGGTACAGAGCTCATCACGCAGAGAGCACGGGTACAGAGCTCATCACGCAGAGAGCACGGGTACAGAGCTCATCACGCAGAGAGCACGGGTACAGAGCTCATCACGCAGAGAGCACGGGTACAGAGCTCATCACGCAGAGAGCACGGGTACAGAGCTCATCACGCAGAGAGCACGGGTACAGAGCTCATCACGCAGAGAGCACGGGTACAGAGCTCATCACGCAGAGAGCACGGGTACAGAGCTCATCACAGAGAGCACGGTACATCATCACGCAGAGAGCACGGGTACAGAGCTCATCACGCAGAGAGCACGGGTACAGAGCTCATCACGCAGAGAGCACGGGTACAGAGCTCATCACGCAGAGAGCACGGGTACAGAGCTCATCACGCAGAGAGCACGGGTACAGAGCTCATCACGCAGAGAGCACGGGTACAGAGCTCATCACGCAGAGAGCACGGGTACAGAGCTCATCACGCAGAGAGCACGGGTACAGAGCTCATCACGCAGAGAGCACGGGTACAGAGCTCATCACGCAGAGAGCACGGGTACAGAGCTCATCACGCAGAGAGCACGGGTACAGAGCTCATCACGCAGAGAGCACGGGTACAGAGCTCATCACGCAGAGAGCACGGGTACAGAGCTCATCACGCAGAGAGCACGGGTACAGAGCTCATCACGCAGAGAGCACGGGTACAGAGCTCATCACGCAGAGAGCACGGGTACAGAGCTCATCACGCAGAGAGCACGGGTACAGAGCTCATCACGCAGAGAGCACGGGTACAGAGCTCATCACGCAGAGAGCACGGGTACAGAGCTCATCACGCAGAGAGCACGGGTACAGAGCTCATCACGCAGAGAGCACGGGTACAGAGCTCATCACGCAGAGAGCACGGGTACAGAGCTCATCACGCAGAGAGCACGGGTACAGAGCTCATCACGCAGAGAGCACGGGTACAGAGCTCATCACGCAGAGAGCACGGGTACAGAGCTCATCACGCAGAGAGCACGGGTACAGAGCTCATCACGCAGAGAGCACGGGTACAGAGCTCATCACGCAGAGAGCACGGGTACAGAGCTCATCACGCAGAGAGCACGGGTACAGAGCTCATCACGCAGAGAGCACGGGTACAGAGCTCATCACGCAGAGAGCACGGGTACAGAGCTCATCACGCAGAGAGCACGGGTACAGAGCTCATCACGCAGAGAGCACGGGTACAGAGCTCATCACGCAGAGAGCACGGGTACAGAGCTCATCACGCAGAGAGCACGGGTACAGAGCTCGTATCACGCAGAGAGCACGGGTACAGAGCTCGTATCACGCAGAGAGCACGGGTACAGAGCTCGTATCACGCAGAGAGCACGGGTACAGAGCTCGTATCACGCAGAGAGCACGGGTACAGAGCTCGTATCACGCAGAGCGGTACGACTCGTATCACGCAGAGAGCACGGGTACAGAGCTCGTATCACGCAGAGAGCACGGGTACAGAGCTCGTATCACGCAGAGAGCACGGGTACAGAGCTCGTATCACGCAGAGAGCACGGGTACAGAGCTCGTATCACGCAGAGAGCACGGGTACAGAGCTCGTATCACGCAGAGAGCACGGGTACAGAGCTCGTATCACGCAGAGAGCACGGGTACAGAGCTCGTATCACGCAGAGAGCACGGGTACAGAGCTCGTATCACGCAGAGAGCACGGGTACAGCCCGTGTCACGCAGAACGCACAGGTACAGCCCGTGTCACGCAGAGCACAGGTACAGAGCTGGGTCAGTTTAACTTTGACATTAGACAATAATTGTGATACTGACATCTTCCATAACTTTGAAATGACAAATGTCTTCATTCGGTGATTTTCTAACTTTTGTCAAAGTGAAAAACAATAATTAAACTTAAATTAAATGTAAAAAGTGAATTTTGTCTTTACTAAGCCTGGTTTGAACCTAAACCTGTTTCTGGTCATTTCTGGTCTTTAAAGTGAAAGTGTATTCCTCTCTGCAGGTTTCCCTCCTGGTGCGGCGGGAGCTGGTGGAACGGGCCAAAGACTTCAACATCATCCTGGACGACGTGTCCATCACTGAGCTCAGCTTCAGCAGCCAGTACACCGCCGCTGTGGAGGCCAAGCAAGTCGGTGAGTTACCAGGAGAGAGAGACCAGGAGACACACACCAGCTGAGAAACAGACCAGGAGAGAGAAACTAGGACAGAGAGACTAGGAGAGAGACACACACCAGCTGAGAGACACCATATCCAGGTGTTAGAAGATGGATGACTCATTTGGACATATCTCTGTCAAAAACTATTCAAATTTTTCCAGTGTTTGAATAGTTTTCTAATATGAGCGTTTGTCTGTGTGCCCTCCAGCCCAGCAGGAGGCGCAGCGAGCACAGTTCTACGTGGAGAAGGCCAAACAGGATCAGAGGCAGAAGATCATCCAGGCAGAAGGAGAGGCTGAGGCGGCCAAGATGGTGTGTCTGTGTGTGTGTCTGTGTGTGTGTGTACGTGTGTGTTTGTGTGTGTGTACTCATGTTCCTCTGTTGTGTTCAGTTGGGTCAAGCTGTGACCAAGAATCCTGGTTACCTCAAACTGAGAAGGATCCGCGCAGCACAGAACATCGCCAAAACGGTGAGTCACGTCAGAAACGCTTCATCTGTTACTTTCTGCTGTGATAACGACAAACCAGCGGCACCGACCTCAAAGTGTGTGTCTGGGGGAGAGCGGGGGGAGAGCGAGGGGTGACCTGGAGGGCGGGCTCTGGACTGATGATTGACAGCTGCACAAGGACCTGGCACTCCTCTGTCCTGGCGTCATTGTGGACCTTTGCTTTTAGATTTCAGTGTTTCTCGGTTCTCCAGACTCGGAGCGTGGAGCCTGAACTGTGCTGCTGTGATTTGTATTCACACCATCACTCTCTGGTCTTTGACAGATTATTTAGTTGGACATGAATAGAATACAGTTGGATGGAAGCTGCAGGTTTGTGGTCAGGGCTAAAGCTCTGAAGCAGTTTCTACAGAGGCCTTTATCAACGGCACCTGCGGCGGTCTGACTCAAGACCTGCTTTCCCTGGTTTCTGTGGTCCTGAAAAACACTGATTTCTCACTTAAAGTGTCCTGCACAGGCGCCAGTCAGCCTCCAGGGGGCGCTTTTAGCGGGTTACTTAATTGTATTCCCCAGAATAGAGAATGGATGGAAGGTCAAGGAAAGGGTTTTTATTAAAAACTATGGTAGGAAAACGCACAATTCAGCAGCTTTTTAATGAACCACAGAATTACACGCAGGAGGAAAGCTGAGTAAGAAACTCCAAGAGTCAAACTCAGGACTCTGTGAAATATGATTTAAAATGAATTGATTTGGAGGCGCTGGTGCTATGAGACTTGGGTGGCATCTCTGATTGCCACCCCCCTGACCCAGAAATGGATTAAAGGGAAGAAAATGGATGGATGGATGGATGATTTGGAGGCAACGCTTTTTGGCTCATGATCCAAGGAGACCCCTGTGGCCCCTGATCCAAGGAGGCCCGTGTGGATCCCGTCTCAAACGTCTCAAATTAATCTCCTTCTGTTCCTACAGATGTCCTCGTCACAAAACAAGATTTACCTGAACGCCGACAGTTTGGTACTGAACCTGCAGGACTCAGCCACGTTTGCAGAGTACGTGAGACGCACAGACGCAAGCGCACGCACGCACGCACGCTGGCACGCACACACACACACACACACACACATTCAGACCCACACAGACGAGAAGTTAACGTCTCCTGTTGTTGCAGTATGGCTCTGGCTCGGAAGTGACCAGAGGAAGGATGAGTGCTGTCTGCGTATGATTTTCTACATTCTAATGTTCAATGTCTCATGTTATAATTATATTAAAGAAATGCTATCTGTCCAAGTGTCTTGGTTTTTGAAAAAAAAAAATATTTATTCCAATGGAATGAGTTTGTAATAATTGTTGTCATCAGCATCAAGAGGCTTTATACAGTGACCATTTATTTAGTGACCATTAATATATTTAGTGACCATTATTTAAGGAGGAAAGTCCAACTGAGACTTCCGAAGGCTTTTAACTGTTTTTGAAGTATGCAATAATTAACTTTCATGCTGGCTTCACAATAGATTTTCATATTTTGCCATTTCTATATTTTGATGTTAGCAGTCAAATGTTGCACATATTTTACCAGTCTGTAGCTAGTGCTGTGTTCTTCGGGGTTGTGTGTTTGGGCCAGTCTGACCTCAGACAGTAACCGGCTCGACTGATCAGGAAATGTGACTCTGTGCTGGAGAGAAGGGGCTCTGATGCAGGGCATCCTGGGTAACTCCAGACACCCTCTGCATGACACTATGGCCGCTCAGGAGTAACCGTAGCAACAGGCTCCTATCACTGCGCTGCCGAAAGGAACGTTTCCAGAGTTCCTTTGTTCCTTCGGCTGTCAGACTGAACAACAAACCTGTACAGTGTCCTGCTGCTGGACACCTGCATTTCTCTTACAACAGGTGTACAAATATACTTTGAGCCCTGTATCAAACATGGAAGTCTGAAACTGCAGCTCACAGGAGTTTGTAGTCATCAGAAATATGGTCCTCATGGAACCTCAACTCGAGGTTCCTCCATTTTCAGAAACTTTCACAATTTAACTTTAGGTTTCCTGTGGGTTTAAGTCCTCACAGAAAACATTTAAATACTTATTGATAAAGAACATCAGAAAGACCGGTTTATAGATTCTGGACGTTTAAAACAAGGATCATTAACATTCATTTATTTTTATTCAGCTTTGGTCATTAAAAAATGCATGTGTGGGGTCAGCTGGGGGGGATGCGGTCGCGGAGGTATTCCAGCACCGACTCTGTGCCTTTGGCCAAGATCGCTGCTCGAGGCGTTCGGAACGGATTCCCCTCCAGAGTCAGGCACCTGCCACACGGAGAACATTGTTTTAGAAAGAGACTGGAGCAGACACGTGTGAGTGTATGTGTGTACTTGTGTGCAAATGTGTGTGTACATGTGTGTACATACACATACCTCAGAGAGGAGCACAGGCCCAGCTCTGGAGGCACCTGCAGCAGGTCGTTGTTGGCCAGGTCGAGGGTGGAGAGGACGGGGAGGCGCTGGAGGAGGGCGGGCTCCACGCTGCTCACCTGGTTGTTCCCCAGGAGCAGAGTCTCCAGACTGTGGAGCTCGTACAGAACCTCCGGGACACGCCGGAACCTGCACCAACACAAGTATCCGGGAACTTACAACAATAACATTGACATTCTGTGTGAAAGAACGAGTGATTTCACTTTTCAGCCTCATTGAGGTTCAGAACCTCTTTTTAAGAATTCTCCACAAATGAAACATTGGCCCTGGACGGTTATTTTGTGATATTAGATTATGATCAAATAGAACAGGGGTCTATGACTCGAGCCGGGGCTGCGAGGCAGAGTAGTTCTATGATCGTATCGTCAGGTCCACAGGTGAAAAGGAGCTGGTGCTGAATCACACACACACAGACAAACACACAGACCTGTTGAAGCTTAGTGTGATGCTGCGCAGGCTGCTCAGACTGCGGAGCTCTGCAGGTAAGTCACACAGGAGGTTATTCCTAAAACACAAACATAAAGGATTAAAACACAGGTTTTCATCCTCAGCCTCGGGCCCCGTCGTGTTCCAACAAACAGTCCCAGAGTCTCCCACGAAAACACAACGCTTTGGGAACCTCTTTTAAAAACCTAACCCAGAATTATGTCTCTGCCTTTATCCCTGACCGGTCTGCAGTGTTTCAGGATGCTGCCTGTCTGCGGATACTCATGCAACCCACTGTATAAAGCAGTGTGCGAGAGGTCCCCCCCTGCCCCCCACAGCTCTGGGCCTGGTCAGTGGGATGAGGTGAGTGTTTGGGAGAAGTGGCTCTAACCTGAGATCCAGGTGCTGTAGCTTGATCAGAGCACAGAGCTCCGGACCACAGGACATCAGTTTGTTAAAGCCCAAGTTCACGTCACACAGAGAAGGGGCCAGCTCCAGCAGCCTGTACACACACACACACACGCAGAGAGAGACACACACAGAGACAGAGACAGACAGACACACACGCACACGCACACACGCACACACAGGTTGAGGTGTGATTAGTGTGAAGTCTTCTCTAAACTCACTGGGACAAATAAACACGGGTTATTGGGAAAATGAATAGTTGTGTAAATGTGTGGTGGGATTAAGATTAAGAATAAGATTTAGATCTTTTATAAATGTCAGTGATGCAAGAGGAGTCTACAGCAAAAGACACAGAAAAGTGAAAAGAAAATCTGTAACGTAACTATAATAAAGAAGTCCGTATAAAAGTGTTAACCTGGAGGGGATGGAGCTGAGCTGGTTCTTACTGAAGTTGACGGAGGAGATGGCGTGGCTCGCTGCGGCCTGGAACAGCTCGTCTGGGACCGCCTCGGCCTGTTTGTTACTGCAACATGAAGCACACTCCAGGATTATCCACATCTGTATATTTGTTTTGGATAATAATAATAATGTGATGTGTTCAGTAAATGAGAGAAAAGGATCAGAAATGTTTTAGTTTCTTCATATTTAGATTAAGAACGACGACGTAAAAACCTTTTCTGTCTTTCTGTTGTGGCCGTGTGCTGTTTTCTATCTTCAAACGATAATGAGGTTAGAAATCCCTCTTCTGACCCTGAGCAAAAGTCTCCATCCCCCAGTTCTTCTTTTGTGGAAGTTGGATGAGTTGTTATTCCTCCTGTTCCTGTAAATTCCTGGTCTGTCTCGCTTGAACTGCAGGTTTGAGATCTCCCCGGATTAGTTCATCTAATCCCACATATACTTCAGTGCTTTTTACTCCATAATCCATATTTGTTTTACCCTTTTTCACTCAGAACCACTGCTGGACTTAGTTAAGCTTTAGCTGCTCACCAGGGGGCGCTGTCTCCTTGGTTTCACCAAAACAGATTTTCTAGGCATAAACTTCAGTATCACGACCAACCTCTAATAATTTGAAACTAAAAGTGCTTAAAATTAAAGATGAGTATATAAAGATAAAAACATTATTAGATTATATTTGGTCTGGGTTTTCCCCGGGTCAGCTCTTTTTACCACAGCAATCAATGTTGCAAATCTGCAACATCCCAGAATGCATTGCCTGTGAAAGTCTCTCTCAAGGATTAGACAGTATTACTACATATGGTACTTTTCCCTAAATATCAGACTTTGATTGGGGCCTGAGAGGGTTTGTTATATTTGTGAGGACTCCATCTGTGAAAACACCACTGCAGTAATTACATTCAGCTTAAGATCAAAGCGTTTGTACGACAGTGTTTACTAAAGTGTAAATGTGTAAACAGCAGATTTGGTGATGTATTCTAAAATATAAATCCAAATCGACAATTACGCCAAGATTTTTGACTTGATTTGATACTTCCAATGACGAGTCTAGATAACTACATACTTTTGGCCCAAACAATAACTTCCATTTTATCAGCAATGAGTTGATGAACATTCTCTGACTTGATGGATGCAGTCCTGTAAACAGTTGTGTGTCATCAACATGAGTATGTTGTATGAGCTGCTACAATGTGACTCCAAGTCAGTCAAATGTCTGGGATATCAGACTGTCCAGTTTGGAAGCCACACTTACTGTGAATCAGTTTCACCTGGTGTTGTGGAAATTAAACAGACAACAGGTGGAAATGAGGCAATTAGAAAGATCACTCCAAAAGAGGAACGGTTTTACCATTACCATTTCTCTGTCTTCATCCTTTGTACCGTATTTTTGGAACACTTTTGCATTTGTCCAGTGTTCTCACCACCAGAGGTGTCATGAGGAGGCATCTACAACCCACAGAAGTTGCTCAGGGAGTGATGCTGATCCAAAATGGCACGTCCATTCGTGCTGTGGCAAGATAGTTTGCTGTGTCTCCCAGTGTCCAGAGCATGGAGGAGATACCAGGAGACCTGGGGGGGCCAACAGAGGTCAACAACCCAGCAGCAAGACCGCTATCTGCCCATTTGTGCACAAAGAAACAGGAGAAGCACTGCCCGAGCCCTACAAAATGACCTCCAGAGGGCCACAAATGTGCATGTTGGTACTGAAACGGTCAGAAACCGACTCCATGAGGGTGGTATGAGGGCCCGACGCCCACAAGTTGGGCCGGTGCTTACTGCCCAACACCAACACTGCCCGAGAACACAGCGAATGGCAGATTGTCCAATGGTCCCCTGTGCTCTTCACGGATGAGAGCAGGTTCACCTGGGTCAGTGATGGTCTGGGGAAGCATTTCATTGGAGGGCCGCACAGCCCTCCATGGGCTCGCCAGAGGTTCCATGACTGGCCTTGGGTACCGGGATGAGATCCCCAGACCTACTGTAAGACCATACGCTGGAGCTGTGGGCCCTGGGTTCCTTCTGATGCCTGATAATGCCAGGCCACATATGACAAGAGTGGGTCAGCAGTTCCTGCATGATGAAGGTAGTGATGTTTTGGACTGGCCTGGCCTGGCCCAGACTTAAATCCAATAGAGCACATCTGGGACATGATGTCTCGGTCCATCCATCAACGCCACGTCGCACCACAGACTGTCCAGGAGCTGACTAATGCTCTAATCCAGATCTGGGAGGAGATCCCTCAGGAGTACCTCCGTGGTCTCATCAGGAGCATGTCCAGGCGTTGTAGGGAGTGCATTCAGGCACGTGGAGGCCACACACACCACTGAGGATGATACAGACTCGTTTTGAGGAATTCTTTAGGATGTGTTTTTTGAGTGTGCCCTAAGTTTTTGTGAGCAGTGTATATACAGATTGGGCCCAGTATGGACCCCTGTGGCACCCCACATCTCATCTGTTTGTTCTGACTCAAAGCTACAAAGAGACCAATGGCGGCACAAATTTGTATTAGATTAGCCATTAGCCATTAGCCATACGTTAGCCTACATTTGAATACAGGTATTTCCCATCACTGACAACAGCGTCATGAAGAAGTAGATGTGATGTAAGTGTGTAAGCACCTGTAGTCCAGCAGCTTGAGAGTGGTAATGTTGTGGATGTTGACTGTGTTGTGGCTGGGCAGAGTCAGGCCACCAGGGGGCGCTGTGGCTTCTGCTGGTTCCTCTGAAAACACACAGATACCACAGTAAACCTCCCACTGAGCAGGTATCCAGCAGGCGTCATCCACTGAATACACATCCTGTACATGTTTTAGTGGTTGGGGAAACCGGAGCACCTGGAGGAAACACAGGGAGAACATGCAAACTGCACCTGGGAGTCAGAGTTTGGTCTGCAGCTCTGAGGAGGACACAGTACCTTGGATTCTTCCTCTGAGATATTTCAGCAGCTCCATGGTTCCCTTCTGTAACGACAGACACTGTTAGGAGCAGCAGAGAGGGGGAGGAGAGGAGGACAGGTACAGAGGAGGAGGAGGAGAGGAGGAGGAACAGAGAAGGAGGAACAGAGGAGGTGGAGGAGTGGAGGCGGTGGAACAGAGGAAGAAGAGAGTAGGAACAGAGGAGGACAGGAGGTGGAAGAGAGGAGGACAAGAGGTGGAAGAGAAGAGGACAGGAGGAGGAGAAGGACAGGAGGTGGAAGAGAGGAGGACAGGAGGAGGAGGAGAACGAGGACAGGAGGAGGACAGGAGGTGGAAGAGAGGAGGACAGGAGGAGGAGGAGGACAGGAGGTGGAAGAGAGGAGGACAGGTGGAGGAACAGAGGAGGAGGAGAACAGCAGTGGAGGAGCACTCACCGTGAGCATGTCTCGCCGTATGCCTCGCAGTGGGTTTCCCTCGAGCAGGAGCACACTGAGGCCTGGGAGGAGGCCGAGGGAGGGAGGCAGTCTGCAACACAAGCATCAGGCTGTAGAGGAGGAGGAGGAGGAGGAGGAGGAGGAGGAGGAGGAGGAGCTCAGAACCTCTCCCTGACCCTCTGTACGCAGCCTCGGCATCATAATGGACTCCACCCTCTCAAGCCAAACACATCACCAAAACCTCCTTCTTTCACCTCCACCTCCCTGCCCGCCTCCACCTCCCTGCCCGCCTCCACCCCTCCCTCATCCATGCATTCATCACCTCCAGACTTGACTCCTGCAACAGCCTCCTCTACGGAATCCCCACCTCTCATCTCCAAAAACTGCAATACATCCAGAACTCTGCTGCCTCCTCACTCACCCCCACCCCCTCAGCCTCACTCACCCCCTCAGCCTCACCCACATCCTCACTCACCCCCTCAGCCTCACTCACCCCCTCAGCCTCACTCACCCCCTCAGCCTCACCCTCTCCAGAGAACACATCACCCCTGTGATCACCATCACCACCACCAGCTCCACTGGTGCCTGTTAAATATCATCCAATACAAACCACAACCAGCTCCCGCCCCCTCCCTCACTGAGATCCTGCACCCCCCTTATTACACACAAGTGTGTGTCCTACACAGAGGTGTGCGTCCTACACAGGTGTGTGTCCTACACAGAGGTGTGTGTCCTACACAGAGGTGTGTGTCCTACACAGGTGTGCGTCCTACACAGGTGTGCGTCCTACACAGAGGTGTGTGTCCTACACAGGTGTGTGTCCTACACAGAGGTGTGCGTCCTACACAGAGGTGTGCGTCCTACACAGAGGTGTGCGTCCTACACAGGTGTGTGTCCTACACAGGTGTGTGTCCTACACAGAGGTGTGTGTCCTACACAGAGGTGTGCGTCCTACACAGAGGTGTGCGTCCTACACAGGTGTGTGTCCTACACAGAGGTGTGCGTCCTACACAGGTGTGTGTCCTACACAGAGGTGTGTGTCCTACACAGAGGTGTGTGTCCTACAGAGGTGTGTGTCCTACACAGGTGTGTGTCCTACACAGGTGTGTGTCCTACACAGAGGTGTGCGTCCTACACAGAGGTGTGTGTCCTACAGAGGTGTGTGTCCTACACAGAGGTGTGCGTCCTACACAGAGGTGTGTGTCCTACAGAGGTGTGTGTCCTACACAGAGGTGTGTGTCCTACACAGAGGTGTGTGTCCTACACAGGTGTGTGTCCTACAGAGGTGTGTGTCCTACACAGGTGTGTGTCCTACACAGAGGTGTGTGTCCTACACAGGTGTGTGTCCTACACAGAGGTGTGTCCTACACAGAGGTGTGTGTCCTACACAGGTGTGTGTCCTACACAGAGGTGTGTGTCCTACACAGAGGTGTGTGTCCTACACAGGTGTGTGTCCTACACAGAGGTGTGTGTCCTACACAGGTGTGTGTCCTACACAGAGGTGTGTGTCCTACACAGAGGTGTGTGTCCTACACAGAGGTGTGTGTCCTACACAGAGGTGTGTCCTACACAGAGGTGTGTGTCCTACACAGAGGTGTGTGTCCTACACAGAGGTGTGTGTCCTACACAGGTGTGTGTCCTACACAGAGGTGTGTGTCCTACACAGAGGTGTGTGTCCTACACAGAGGTGTGTGTCCTACACAGAGGTGTGTGTCCTACACAGAGGTGTGTGTCCTACACAGAGATGTCGTTGTTGGACAGGTCCAGGCGGGTGAGTGTGTGTGGGAGGCCCTGCTCTGGGAGGACTCTGATCTTGTTTCCTCGCAGCTCCAGGACCGAGAGCAGAGACAGACTGGACATCAGCTCTGGGCTCAGCTCTGACAGATGGTTATCAGACAGGTACAACTCCTGTAGACACACACACACACACACACACAGACACACACGCAACAGATACGCAACACACAGACACATACACGCAACACGCAGAAAAACACATTATAGACAAGTGTTTTCTGTGAGTGTGAGATCAATAAAGTCCATCTTATCTTTTTGAGCTCCCTGAATGCTCTGGATTCCTCTTGTATGTCTGTGAAACCAAACCCATGTGAGCAGCAGCAGCAGCAGCGTACCTTCAGAGAGACCCCCGGCAGAGCGGGCAGCAGCCGCAGCTGGTTCTTTCGGAGGAACAGCTGCTGCAGAGAGGAGAGCTGAGCCATGGTGGGAGGCAGAGAGCAGAGCTGGTTATCACTGGCCTCCAGCAGCCGCAGGCCTGAGGGGGTCAGAGCCAGAGCCAGAGTCAGAGTCAGAGTCAGAGCCAGAGCCAGAGTCAGAACCAGAGCCAGAGCCAGAGTCAGAGTCAGAGTCAGAGCCAGAGTCAGAGCCAGAGCCAGAGTCAGAGTCAGAGCCAGAGTCAGAGCCAGAGCCAGAGTCAGAGCCAGAGCCAGAGTCAGAGTCAGAACCAGAGTCAGAGTCAGAGTCAGAGTCAGAGCCAGAGTCAGAGCCAGAGCCAGAGTCAGAGTCAGAGTCAGAGTCAGAGCCAGAGCCAGAGTCAGAGCCAGAGCCAGAGTCAGAGTCAGAGCCAGAGCCAGAGTCAGAACCAGAGTCAGAACCAGAGTCAGAGTCAGAGTCAGAACCAGAGTCAGAGTCAGAGTCAGAGCCAGAGCCAGAGGGAATCACCGAACATTTCAATATCATTGTGATTATCAACATACTCCGATACAGCCAGTATTGTGATTTGATTCTGGGATATATCAGGATTCACGTCCCTCATTGAAAGGCATTATAAAAAAGTGAACAAAACATAATTAATCTCTGAATAGATGACCTCTCACATGAATGGTGAGCTCTCAGAACATAAATAAATGATTTAAATACCAGAAATAACAAAAAGCAGACATAAGAGAGGAACATAAACCTCAGATGTTCCTCTGAACATGAAGTTATTATCAGTGGATCATTTTGTCCTTCGAGCGCGTCTACACTGCTCCATCAGCCACAGTCACAGTTTCAAGAAAAGAGTTCACCTCTTCAAGTCACTTTACTGCCTGCTGCTATTATTATCATTATGATCAGTTTATTCTTGTATCTTATTCTCTGCTGCTAAAGTACGATGGAAACATTTGTAATATACCTCGTGACGCTTCTAACTACAATGTGTGGTCTAATGATCCTACATCTCATTATCTACGATCTTCAATACTCGATCCAGTTTGACCTGTGACTTTCTCCTTCTCTGCTGTAATGTGAGCTACGATGACAAAGGGACGGACGAAGGTGAATCTCATCGAACAAAAGTAAAGTGCGTGTGTGTGCGTGCGTGTGTGTGTGTGCGAGTGTGTGCGTGTGTGTGTGTGTGTGCGTGCGTGCGTGCGTGTGTGTGTGTACACCAGAGGCTGCGCTCACCGCTGAGCAGCCCCAGGCCGTCGGGCAGAGACCTCAGCTGGTTCTGCTCCACGTTCAGCTTCTGCAGATGCTTCAGATCCCCGAGGGAAGAGGGCAACTCCTGCAGACGGTTCCTGGACACGTCCTGAGACAACAACACACGCACTTTGTCCAACAACACGTCAACAACACATGCACTTTGTCCAACAGAAAGAGTAAAAGTAAACTGTCTTCACCTCATTAGTCAGTAATATTTATTTATATACTGTATGTTGTGGCCATTTGTCTCTCCCTCCACAGAGACAGGAGGTGCATGTCAGACCTATTGTTCATGTTTTTAGTGGTAGCGGAAACCGGAGCACCTGGAGGAAACCTACGCAGACACGGGGAGAACATGTAAACTCCACTCAGAAAGGCGCCGCCCAAGTTTATCAGAAGAAAAGAGCCCTGTGCTTCACTGTTTGTCTCTTTGGGCTGAGAGCGTTCTCTGAGGTCATGTGACAGAGGCCAATGTGAAAACTATGATAAAAAGAGTGTGTGTGAAAAAAGTTGTGTGTGTCTGGTGTGTGTTGTGTTGGTGTGTGTCTGGTGTGTTGTGTGTGTTGTGCGTGTGTTGGTGTGTTTGGAGAGGAGCAGCACCAGTTCCGTCAGACTCTGCAGTTGTCCCAGAGCTGCAGGAAGAGCCTCCAGGACGTTGTTCTGCAGCGACAGACTGACGAGAGAGGCCAGAGAGAAGAGCTGCTCTGGGACTGACTGCAGCGCGTTATGACTGCAACACACAGAGACACACACACACACACACACACACAGAGAGAGAGAGACACACACAGAGGCAGAGAGACACACACACAGAGAGACACACAGAGAGACACACAGAGAGACACACACACACAGAAACAGACACATACCCACACACAGAGGCACAGACAGACAGACACACACACAAAGAGACAGACACACACACACACAGACACACACACACACGATTTGCTGCATTAATGGTGGTACATTAATATGCCTACCATGGCATGTTATATCTCATTTTACAGATAATTCCACCACGAACACAACCATGACATTTAATAAAATTTTAACCCAATATTTCATTAGATTTAGTAACAAATAAATATGATTCTTCACCTTTGGTCCAGTGTTGGTTCAATCCAAACAAACTGTTCCAAAATAATCTATGAGAAAATATTCCAAACTCATGTTATACAAAAGTAATCCTTTCTGTCAATACTTCAAAGTGTAAATAAATAAACGTATTAATAGTCCAATATTCCACTCAGACCAGTTTATAGTTTAACGGTTTCTTCTCTGGCTCTGCCTTCGCTGATGCTCCGTAGATTTAACAGGTTTCCAGAAAAGGCACAATATATTTGAGGAGTCAGCGTCTGTACAATACTGTTATGATCGCTTTGAGAAATAGAACATGGGATTGAATCATTCTTTCTGCTCCTCTCCGTGTATTTCTTGTGATCTGTGTCGGCGAATCAGCAGTTGTGTAAAGCCCTCAGAGAAAACTACAGTTGTGATTTAGGGCGATGCAAAAATAGATTGAATGGTCTGTATGCACGGGAGGCGTGATGTCATTTCCTGTTAACAAAGGACAGCCCTTTCACTTCCTGCCTATGCTGCCTATGGCTTTTAGGTGGGTTTTAGTGACGGTTTTTAGTATTTAGATTGATACATTCAGCTGAGACTGACCCAAAAGTGTCGCTGTGCTTTCTCTCTGAGGTAGAGCTTTGACTGTGGCCACTCAGAGAGATTTAAACTTTATAAAAACACAATGACAGCACAATCAGAGAGCACTGCTGTGTCCCAAAAATGCCCAGTATCCTCAGTTTAATTCCCGCTTGAGCATTATTTGGGAAACTCGTGTAAACCACTGAACTCCAGTGAAACTCAAGCCGTTTCCGGCGCACAGGAAGTGAGGTGGGGCTTTAGCTAAAACGCGGAAGTGGTGCGTGCATAGAGCCCATTGAGTAGAAAGTATTGTGTGTACCTGAGGCGGAGCTGCCGGAGCTCCTGCAGCGCCCCCACTGCTCGGGGTAAACTCTGCAGCTTGTTGTCATGAAGCTGAAACACAAAAGGAGTCGCTTTGAGCTTAAATCTGAAGAGAGATGGTCCTGTCCAGAGAGGAAAGGGGGAGGAGTCTTTTAAATCTATTCAAACACTAACCCTGCCTCAATTCAGGCTTTATAATCAAACCTGAGACTGAAACGACGCACTGACCTGGAGATGTTGTGCTGCTATTGTCAAATTTTGAGGAAATAAGTGTTTTTTTTTTTTAAAGGTAGGAACACTTTCTTTCCAGTCAGTTTCTGAGTCTCAAGTTAGAAAAAGGATCATTTGGACAGAAAGGTGTTTGCTCTCAGTGTAGATCAGGGGTCTCCAGTACCTCTCCCCCTTTCAGGTAGCTCCCCGAAGGACTCAAGAATCGAACACATGATCCTGAATCATTCACTTTATACTCATTCATATTTTAACAGTTCAGGAGAATAGTATGTTATAAATGTGTGTTCTCCATTGTCCATGGTCGGTTGTTATTATATAAACTACAATTGTATTAAGACTGTTCAAAGTGCTTTCTGTTTTGTAAAAGTAGCTCTCCGATCGAAACAGGTTCGAGACCCCCGGTGCAGATGGAGCTGAAACAACTCCAGGAATGTTTTAACAAAAGGAACAGCATTTTTAGGGCATGATCAGAAATGAGATTCAGTAACTATCAATATTTATCATCTGATGCTGCTAGCTCTTTTTGTTCAAACCGCCCCCACCAAGCTAGCTCCTGCACAGGCCTGGACCAAACCCATACAGCAGAGAGCTTTCAGAACCTCTCCCGGTGACGTACGTCCAGCGTGGTGAGGGCCGGCAGCAGCTGCAGGTCCTCGGACAGCTCTGACAGCTGGTTGGAGGACAGCAGCAGCTTGGTGAGTTCAGTCTGCTCCCACCAAGTGTCTGAAGCTCCGAACAAGACATTATCTTTGGCTTCCTCTGGGGGATCCACGTTCAGCCGGTACACGCTCTGTGGGACTGAAGCACACAACGGATTAGGAAGGATGAGGAAACCATGAGCCCAGTAACATCCAGTCCTACACCGGTCCACTAGTTTCTATACCCGCTATAACCTCTACATCATAACTCTGGCCCGCTGTGTCATTTCATTTGGACCTTGGTCCTCGACATGAGCTTGTTCTGATCCATGTCCTCCGCACTTGTGAGTAGACGACCCAGGCCCGTGTCTGTCCTGGGCCGCCCGGTTCCTCTCACATGCCCCAGTTCTCCCGTGGCCAGGGGAGCGCAAATATCAAATAATTTCATGGCCACCAAACTGAAAACCCTAAAATGTAATGCTGACAACCAAAACTATGAAATCCGCAGGCCTTTCACCACGAACCAAGTTTTAAGTCTGAAAAATTAAACTATTTTTAGGAAGGGGGTCATTCAATTTCTTGTTTCAACAATGGAAAAAAGAAAACCTTGGCCCGTGGCTTTGTTCAGTTTTACATTTTGGCCCACTCTGCATTTGAGTTTGACATCTACATTGTCAGACTGTACAACGAGAACGGCTGAGTCTGTGCAAGTGTCACTGATAATAATTCACTAGTCACTTCAAATGTTATTATTTTTACTGCATTATCCATCCATCTGATATCTCTGTCATTCACTAGTCACTTTAAGGCTGATATTGTTCCTATTGTTTATTCTGCTCATAATCTCTGCTGCTAAAGTACAATATTCACATCTGTAAATACTCCTGAACCCAGTGCAATTATAGCTCCAGACGTGTAATATTTATGACTTTATTATTCTATTATCTTAAATAATAGGGTTATCGTAGGTCTTACCCTCGGTCAGGCCGCGGGAGCTCAGGTCGAGTTGTCTTAGGTCTTACCCTCGGTCAGGCCGCGGGAGCTCAGGTTGAGTTGTCCGCTCTTCCTGGCGCTCTTCAGAAGACCGTACGGCACCACAGGCTCAGTCTGCGGAGCCCTGAACCCGGACAGGGAGTTGTGTGTGTGCGCACCTCTCCCCCGCTTCATGGTCCCAATGTGGGTCCTACCAGCACCAGCACCAGCACCTGTAACAAGCACCAGCACCTGTAACAAGCACCAGCACCTTGTAGAAAGCACCGCACTGCAAAAAGTGATAAACTATGAGGTAATTATTGCTTGAATCAAGTGTTTTTTATCTTAATTGAAGTTCATTCAGACTGACTTAAAACAAGATTCTCCAATGGGACAAAGCCATTTAGTCCTTATTAAAGAAATGTTTTATTTTCTCATTCCAAGGGAGACATGTTGTGTATCTTTTGAAACATGGTGGCACAGCAGCTCCACAGAGAAGGTCATGGGTTTGAGTTCACCTCCAGACAAGGATCAGACAATGAAGAGTTTGCATGTTCTCCCCTTGTGTACGTTTCCTCCAGGTGCTCCGGTTTCCCCTACCACTAAAACTATGTACAGGGTTAATGAGTGCTACTGTGGGACAACGGATGCAAATAAGCCCAAGGCCAAAATCAGGTGTCTTCATTAAAACGCTCTGTCCCAACCAAATGAAATTGGTAAAGCTTGATTTAAGGCAGTCAATAAGATAATTTTTTTTGACCAAATTTGAGAGATTTTTAACTTATTTTTCACCACTTTTTGCACAAACCAGCCCCTTGCGACACCCACCGTTTACAAACAGCAGACCGCAGCAGACGCCCCAGACCCAGTCCCAGACCCAGTCCCAGACCCAGTCCCAGACCCAGTCCCAGACCCAGTCCCAGACCCAGACCCAGTCCCAGACCCAGTCCCAGACCCAGACCCAGTCCCAGACCCAGACCCAGTCCCAGACCCAGTCCCAGACCCAGTCCCAGACCCAGACCCAGTCCCAGACCCAGTCCCAGACCCAGTCCCAGACCCAGACCCAGACCCAGACCCAGTCCCAGACCACAGACTGTCCTGTCACACTGAAAGTTTCTTCTTGACAGTATTTTAATCGTGTAATGTAGCTACGATAAACTTCGATAATCCACGGTTAGCAGTCCACCTGGCAGAAGTGTGTTGAGGATAAATCAACAGTCTTCCCTGATGTTTACAGTCTATGGTCCTCTTGCCTCCGAAAATGTGCGCTCCTTGTTTTGAGATCAACAGTAGCACTAAGCTAGTTCCGGTTGAGGAAGAAAGACCAAAGTCCTTCAGAACAACTACCAGCTCCTCAGGTGGGGTTTGACAGAAGGACAGACATCAGGAGCAATAAGGACCAGTTTTATTTTGCTATTTTTGGACGTAACCACGGACTGAACGGTTTCCTGTCACGTGAGCAGAGAAACGCATCCCGGGGTTGCCAGGTCCGCTTCTTTATTGTGACTTTTGGCGTATGTTTTTTATTTTATTTCTTTTTTAGACTTTACTAATGACTTATATGCAGATACAAGATTCATAATTAATAAGATGAATGAAAAATGCACACATTTTTTCGATATACGTTTCCACATACAGTTACAACAGGCCTGAGAGATTTTATATTTTTATCTTTCTTTATAATGTTCTGTGATTATTTATGATTTTAATGCTTTCTTATTTTGTTCAGCACTTTGAGTTGCACTATGAATTGTGCTATATAATTAAACTTGCCTTGCCTTGCCTAGCTACTTACGGTAATACGTGGAAACGGAAGCCGCGACGACGAGCAAACAAAATGCAATAAACAAAAACAATCATTAAAAAAAAGAGTTTTGCGACTACTTTCTGCACACTTGTACAGTGTGATGCCCTCTAATATTGTGCAAAGTAATATTAACTTTTACTGTAGAAATTCAGAGAAAAGTGGGGCCACTCAACCGCGGTAATGACGCAGGGCAGCATCTGACTGTCTTTACTGTCTACTGCTGTGTGCGTATGTAACGTTATGGATTTGTTTATTCTAGGTAAATGGCATGAATCTACTTTGTTTTGTGTTTCAACAAATAGTTTTATACTCTTTAACCTTGTCTCACTGCAGCTGCGCACAAGATGTCCACGTTGAAGCAGTTATTTAAGCTTAATTTGCGCCACAATGTAAATAAAACTACAAATAGATCCATGCTCTGGTTGTTTCATAGACTGTACGTGTGCTCTATGTTTTGTTTTTATCATAGACTGATTTTATAGGAGCATTTGCTTGTTTTTATCATAGACAGTGAGAACCTGGCCACCCTCCTCAAGACGTCTGTGGCTCCGTGTGGCGGGAGTACAGCGGGACGTTCAACTGAAGTGTCCCGAAAACACGACCCCAGACCCGGTTCTGTCCGTGCCCTGTACCCCGGTGTCCTGTGTCCTGTCCCCCGGTGTCCTGTGTCCTGTCCCCCGGTGTCCTGTGTCCTGTCCCCCGGTGTCCTGTGTCCTGTCCCCCGGTGTCCTGTGTCCTGTCCCCCGGTGTCCTGTGTCCTGTCCCCCGGTGTCCTGTGTCCTGTCCCCCGGTGTCCTGTGGCCTGTCCCCCGGTGTCCTGTGTCCTGTCCCCCGGGCCTGTCCTGTGGCCTGTCCCCCGGTGTCCTGTGGCCTGTCCCCGGTGTCCTGTGTCCTGGGACCCACAGAGACATGGAGCAGCTGTTCAGTAAGACTTTGACGGTGTCTGTGCGGACTCGGGACTGCGAGGAGAGGTAGGTCCAGTCTAACAACGTAGCATTTAATAATAATAATAATTGATGATGTTAATGTTGTTAATAATAATAATAATAATAATAATGATGATGTTATTGTTAATAATAATAATGATGATGTTATTGTTAATAATAATAATAATAATAATGATGATAATGTTAATAATAATAATATAGCGCATGTTTTATATCGTGCCTTTTTGACACTTAAAATTCTTCACATGTCATTGTTTTGATTGCTTGATCCTGTCAGATTAGTGAGTGCTGTGATGGGAGACCTCTGGGAACCGCTGTCAGACTGTACAACAAGTCACTTTAAGTCACTGCATTAAGACTGAAAAAACCTGCACTACTATTGACACTGTTTCTGATTGCCACTTTTTTGTTTGCCACTTTTATTGTACATAATTTATCCTGCATTTAACATGTTTGCACATTTCTTTCTTTTTGCACAATCTTGAGTGTTTCTATCCCTGCCAGATGTGACATGTGCATTTCTTCTTTGTGAGATCAATAAAGTATATCTTATCTTATCGAACAGAAGGTGCAACAGTGGGTGTAAAGTGCCAAACTGTGGCTGTGTCCTTAGGCAAGACACTTCCCCCACATTAGAATGAGTCTGGTGTGTGTGTGAATGGTTGGTGGTGGTTGGAGGAGTTGATGGCACAGACTGGTTGCTTCGCTTCTGTCAGTGTGCCCCAGGGCAGCTGTGGCTACAGTAGCAGTAGTCTATGGCATGGCGTGAAATAATAATGACATGCAACGCGTCTTTGAGTGTCTGAAAAAGCTCTATATAAAACCGATTTATTATTGTTATTATTTATATTATTATTATTAATAAACACTGTTAGTTTGCTACTCAGATCTCAGCCCAAAACATCAAAAAGTGACTCAAAAGTTATTTTTAGATGTATGCTTATGGTAACATAAGTTTGTGTAAGCCCTCAGTCGTACAGGGATTAGTCAAAGCAAAGGAAGGTTTCTCACCCATCATCTGTACTTCTTAGCAAGTTTTCCCGACGTTTCGTCCTCAACCTGGGGACTTCTTCAGGGAATGAATTCTCGGACCGCGCGTTGGAGATTTATAACCTATGGGTGTGGTAAGCCACACCCTAATCCTGATACTAACTCGTAAACAATCTCAGGTCTGATGTAGAAGGGAGCAGGTCTAACGACCCTGCTGAGGCTAACGACCCTAACTCCTTAGCATGTCACAGACCTATTGTCTGCTGGGATGCTCAAGTGGAGTGCAGGTCTCACCCCTCCTAACTCATTAGCATGTCACTGACCTTGTCCCAAGTTAGGGCGTTGTTTTTTAGGATGTCGTCATAGATGCGAGGCAAAACAAATCTTAACCCTCCTCCTCTGTTAAGAGAAGGTTTTTGTTTCCTCACAAAAATGGCTTCTTTCACCCCTCTCTCAAACCAATTCTTCTCCCGAGCCAGAAGACACAGAGGTTAAAATTCTGGCTCGGGAGAAGAATTGGTTTGAGAGAGGGGTGAAAGAAGCCATTTTTGTGAGGAAACAAAAATGAAAAAAAATCCACTTGAGCATCCCAGCAGACAATAGGTCTGTGACATGCTAAGGAGTTAGGGTCGTTAGCCTCAGCAGGGTCCTTAGACCTGCTCCCTTCTACATCAAGCAGACCTGAGATTTTTTACGAGTTAGTATCAGGATTAGGGTGTGGCTTACCACACCCATAGGTTATAAATCTCCAACGCGCGGTCCGAGAATTCATTCCCTGAAGAAGTCCCCAGGTTGAGGACGAAACGTCGGGAAAACTTGCTAAGAAGTACAGATGATGGGTGAGAAACCTTCCTTTGCTTATGGTAACATGTTTCTAATAGGATGAACGCAGCAGGTTCCAATCTTATTTTTATGAGACACTTTCAGTTCGACAAACTACATTTGGTCCAATAGCTTTAAATCCCATATGACGTGTGAGATACAACTTGGCCCTAATAAAGTTTTCCATTTTCATTTTGACTGATTGATAGTCATGGTATTTTTCAACACTTATTTCTCATAGTGAGATGTTTGGGAGGAACACATAACGTTATATATGGAGATTAAATAGAACAGCTCACCAACATCTAAACCTCATACCCTCGAGAAGCCGGGGGGAGGGAGCATCATGCTATGTGTTTGTTTCACTGCCTCAGGGCCTGGTCGACTTGCAATCATCAATGGAAAAATGCCTTAAAAATGTATCAGTATTTCTATTTTTAAAAAGATAACAGAATCATTTTAACTTCACTTCATGGTTTGTTCAGTGAAAAATTCAAAATAAATTCTTTATGTTTATGGTTGTACACCTGACAAAAATGTGCAAAAGGTGTATTAGTTCAGTGCAGTGGGGCAAAAAAAGAATTTAGTCAGCCTCAGTTAGTGCAAGTCCTCCCACTTACAGAGATGAGAGATGCTTGTAATTTGACAAAATGACATCCTGTATATCACTCAGTCCAACATGCTTGTTCTAAAATCTCTTATGTGTGTATGTTTTCCTGCTTCACAGGAAAAGCAGCATCCGCATTACTGTAGACCAGTCCACCACCTCTGCTCACAAAAGGGTAAGTCTGCTCTCTCCACACTGATGCTAAACCCGTTCATTATGATATACATGTGTTTGCTGATGCTGTAAGGTTCTCCTCACATGTCCTTTCCCTCAGAGTCTGTGTGTCAAACTGACCGATGACAGTGACCCCTACTTCCTCTTCAACCTGTCCATCTCAGAGGAGGACTTCCAGAGGTCTGTCTCCGTCTCTGCCTCTGCGTCTTCTACCTCTGCCTCGGTTTCTGCCTCTGCATCTGTCTTGGTCTCTCAGTCTCTGCCTCTGCCTCTGTCTCTCTCTCTCTCTCTTTGCCTCTGCCTCCGCCTCCGCCTCTGCGTCCGTCTCGGCCTCTGTCTCTCTGTCTCTGTCTCTGTCTCTGCCTCTGCCTCTGCCTCTGTCTTGGTCTCTGCCTCTGTCTCTTTCTCTCTCTCTCTCTCTGCCTCTTTCTCTCTCTCTCTCTGCCTCTGTCTTTTGCCTCTGCCTCTGTCTGTCTCTCAGTGTCTGTCTCTCAGTCTCTGGCTCTGCCACTGTCTCTGTCTCTGTCTCTCCCTCTCTCTGTCTTTCTCTGTACACTGACTGTTGTGTGTTTCAGTCTCAAAGTGCAGCAGGGTCTTCTCGTGGACTTTAGCTCTTTCCCACAGAAGTTCATCGAGCTGCTGAACCTGTGCCACAGCGAGCAGGATGCAAACTGTCCCAGGTACTGACTGACCTCTGCCCTGCCCTGGTACTGACTGACCTCTGCCCCTGGTACTGACTGACCTCTGCCCCTGGTACTGACTGACCTCTGCCCCAGGTACTGACTGACCTCTGCCCCAGGTACTGACTGACCTCTGCCCCAGGTACTGACTGACCTCTGCCCCTGGTACTGACTGACCTCTGCCCCAGGTACTGACTGACCTCTGCCCCAGGTACTGACTGACCTCTGCCCCTGGTACTGACTGACCTCTGCCCCAGGTACTGACTGACCTCTGCCCCTGGTACTGACTGACCTCTGCCCCAGGTACTGACTGACCTCTGCCCCAGGTACTGACTGACCTCTGCCCCAGGTACTGACTGACCTCTGCCCCTGGTACTGACTGACCTCTGCCCCAGGTACTGACTGACCTCTGCCCCTGGTACTGACTGACCTCTGCCCCTGCGACACATCTGGGACCAAACTGCAGTCAATATTATTTTTAATTTAATTCTGCAATTTCAGAATGTCCACTAAATGTCACTTTATGTTCTTCCGCCTTATGTGTTATATAACTTCGCACTGTATATATAGATAGAGATTTATTGATATTGGAGCATTTAAAGCTTGCTCTAAAACATAGCTACTTATAATGTATATTTTGTACTTGTATGTGTCTGTATATGCGCTGCAACATTGAAATGTCCCCACTGCGAGACAAATAAAGGATCTCTTATCTTATATAATACATTTGTTCTCAACAGTTTTGGTTCTGAAAACTGACAGTTTAGTTAGGTGCCCCATCTTTAAACCCACACTCTCCCGCTTCTTTTAGTAGAGAAGAAAATGACAAAGTCTGTTATTGTGTCTTTAATTCAGTTTTATTGTTGATGGTAAACAGCATGGAGGAATGGAGACCGTCCAATCAGCATTCGCCGTGGTGCCTATTGTTAGAATTACTTTAACTTTAACCACAGCTGCTTCAAAGTGTCAGGAAATATCCAAATTAGTATTAGTTAGTTGAGATGGGAGCCTAGTGTTGTTAAGGCTTCAACAGTGTGTGTGTGTGTGTGTGTATGTATTTGTGTGTGTGTGTAGGTTCCTGCTGCAGCTGTGCTCTCAGGGCCCCGCTCCTGAGGGCCTCTCCACTCTCAGTGTGGTGGAGACCAATGCTTTCAAACACTTGAACCACCTGAGTCTGAGGCTGAGCCCGGGCTCCGACAGAGACGTGAAGGATTACCTGGCCTCCTGCTTGGCCCGCCTCAAGGTGCTCTCTCACACTCTCACACCCACGTTCTCACACTCTCACTCTCTCACACTCTCACTCTCTCACACTCTCACTCTCTCACTCCCCCACTCTCACACTCTCACACCCACGTTCTCACACTCTCACTCTCTCTCACACTCTCACACCCACGTTCTCACACTCACTCTCTCACACTCTCATATTCTCACTCGCTCATATTCTCACTCGCTCATACTCTCACTCTCTCATACTCTCACTCTCTCATACTCTCATATTCTCACTCTCTCATACTCTCATATTCTCACTCTCTAATACTCTCACTCTCTCGTACTCTCACTCTCTCATACTCTCACTCTCTCACACTCTCACTCTCTCACACTCTCACTCTCTCATACTCTCACACTCTCACTCTCTCATACTCTCACTCTCTCATACTCTCACACTCTCATATTCTCACTCGCTCATACTCTCACTTTCTCATACTGTCACATTCTCATTCTCACCCGCTCATACTCTCACTCTCTCATACCTTCATACTCTCACTCTCACTCTCTCACACTCTCATACTCTCACTCTCTCATACTCTCACTCTTCCTCACACTCTCACACCCTCTCACACACTCTAACTCTCACACACTCCAACTCTCACTCTCTCATACTCTCACACCCACGTTCTCACACTCTCACACACTCTCACACTCATACTCTCACATTCTCATTCTCACCCGCTCATACTCTCACTCTCTCATACCTTCATACTCTCACTCTCACTCTCTCACACTCTCATACTCTCACTCTCTCATACTCTCACTCTTCCTCACACTCTCACACCCTCTCACACACTCTAACTCTCACACACTCCAACTCTCACTCTCTCATACTCTCACACCCACGTTCTCACACTCTCACACACTCTCACACTCATACTCTCACACTCTCATATTCTCACTCTCTCATGCTCTCATATTCTCACTCTCTCATACTCTCACTCTCTCATACTCTCACTCTCTCATACTCTCACTCTCTCATACTCTCATATTCTCACTCACTCATACTCTCACTCTCTCATACTCTCACTCTCTCATAATCTCACTCGCTCGTACTCTCACTCGCTCATACTCTCACTCTCTCATACTCTCACTCTCTCATACTCTCATATTCTCACTTGCTCATACTCTCACTCTCTCATACTCTCACTCTCTCACACTCTCATATTCTCACTCGCTCATACTCTCACTCTCTCATACTCTCACACTCTCATACTCTCACACTCTCATACTCACACACTTTCTCACACTCATACTCTCACACTCTCACTCTCTCATATTCTCACTCTCTCATACTCTCATATTCTCATATTCACTCTCTCATACTCTCACTCTCATATTCTCACTCTCATATTCTCACTCACTCATACTCTCACTCTCTCATACTCTCACTCTCTCATACGCTCACTCTCTCATACTCTCACTCGCTCATACTCTCACACTCTCACTCTCTCACACTCTCATACTCTCACTCTCTCATATTCTCACTCGCTCATACTCTCACTCGCTCATACTCTCACTCTCTCATACTCTCATATTCTCACTCGCTCATACTCTCACTCTCTCATACTGTGACACTCTCACACTCTCACTCTCTCATACTCTCACTCGCTCATACTCTCATATTCTCACTCGCTCATACTCTCACTCTCTCATACTCTCATTCTCTCACACTCTCACTCTCTCATACTCTCATATTCACTCTCTCATACTCTCACTCTCATATTCTCACTCACTCATACTCTCACTCTCTCACTCTCTCATACTCTCACTCGCTCATACTCTCACTCTCTTACACTCTCACTCTCTCATACTCTCTCACTCTCTCATATTCTCACTCGCTCATACTCTCACTCTCTCATACTCTCACTCTCTTATGCTCTCATATTCTCACTCGCTCATACTCTCACTCTCTCATACTGTGACACTCTCATACTCTCACACTCTCACTCTCTCACACTCTCACTCGCTCATACTCTCATATTCTCACTCGCTCATACTCTCACTCTCTCATACTCTCACACTCTCACACTCTCACTTTCTCATACTCTCACACTCTCACTCTCATACTCTCACACTCTCACTCTCTCATACTCTCACACTCTCACTCTCTCATACTCTCTCACTCTCTCATACTCTCATTCTCTCACACTCTCATTCTCTCATACTCTCACTCTCTCATACTCACTCTCTCATACTCTCTTTCAAACACTTGAACCACCTGAGGCTGAGCCCGGGCTCCGACAGAGACGTGAAGAATTACCTGGCCTCCTGCTTGGCCCGCCTCAAGGTGCTCTCTCACACTCTCACACCCACGTTCTCACACTCTCACTCTCTCACACTCTCACACCCACGTTCTCACACTCACTCTCTCACTTGCTCACACTCTCATACTCTCACTCTCTCATACTCTCTCACACTCTCATATTCTCACTCTCTCATACTCTCACTCTCTCATACTCTCACACTCTCACTCTCTCATACTCTCACACTCTCATACTCCCACTCTCTCATACTCTCACACTCTCACTCTCTCATACTCTCACACTCTCATACTCCCACTCTCATACTCTCATATTCTCACTCGCTCATACTCTCACTCTCTCTCTACTCTCACTCTCTCATACTCACTCTCTCATACTCTCATATTCTCACTCTCATACTCTCACTCTCTCATACTCTCACACTCTCATTCTCACTCGCTCATACTCTCACTCTCTCATACCTTCGTACTCACACACTCACACTCTCACACCCTCTCACACTCTCTAACTCTCACACACTCCAACTCTCACTCTCTCATACTCACACCCACTCTCTCACACTCTCATACTCTCATACTCTCACTCTCTCATACTCTCATACTCTCACACTCTCATATTCTCACTCTCTCATGCTCTCATATTCTCACTCTCTCATACTCTCACTCTCTCATACTCTCATATTCTCACTCTCATACTCTCATATTCTCACTCACTCATACTCTCACTCTCTCATAATCTCACTCGCTCATACTCTCACTCGCTCATACTCTCACACTCTCACTCTCTCATACTCTCACTCTCTCATACTCTCATATTCTCACTCGCTCATATTCTCACTCGTTCATACTCTCACTCTCTCATACTCTCTCATACTCTCACTGTCTCATACTCTCACTGTCTCATACTCTCACTCTCTCATACTCTCACTCTCTCATACTCTCATTCTCTCACTCTCTCATACTCTCACTCTCTCATACTCACTCTCTCATACTCTCACTCTCACGCTCTCTTCCTCACACACTCACACTCTCACACCCTCACACCCTCTCACACTCTCTCACACTCATTCTCTCACACCCTCACACTCTCTCACCCTCCCACCCTCTCACACTCACACCCTCACTCTCTCACACCCTCACTCTCTCACACCCTCACTCTCTCACACCCTCACTCTCTCTCACCCTCACACCCTCTCACACTCTCTAACTCTCACACACTCCAACTCACACTCTCACCCTCACTCTCACACACTCTAACTCACTCTCTCACACACACCCTCACACTCACACCCTCACACTCACACCCTCACTATCTCTCACGCTCTTACTCACACCCTCTCACACTCTCTAACTCTCACACACTCTCTCACACACACCCTCACACCCTCACACTCACTCTCACATTTGATGTTATCAAAATAAGGAACGTGTGTTGATGCAGGAGGACAAGGACGCGCTGGAGCTGAGGCTGAAGAAGACTGAGGACGACCTGAGCAGACAGCTGTCCTGCACTCAGCAAGTGTGTATACGCACGCTCACACACACACACTCACACACAGACATACACGCACACACATACTCACTCACACACACACACACACTCTCTCACATACACACACACACTCACACAGTCTCTCACATACTCTCACACACACAACACTAATCCTGTCCCTGTCCCCTCAGACTCTGTGTGAGAAAAGCAAGGAACTGGACAAACTGCGCTCAGAGTGGGCTGAGCAGAGCAGCTCCCTGTCGAGCCGCTACTCCTCAGAGCTGCAGCGGGAACGAGAGAAGGCCTCAGAGGTGAGAGAGAAGGCCTCAGAGGTGAGAGAGGAGCCTGAGGGGTGAGAGAGGAGCTGAGGGGTGAGAGAGGAGCTGAGGGGTGAGAGAGGAGCCTGAGGGGTGAGAGAGGAGCCTGAGGGGTGAGAGAGGAGCCTGAGGGGTGAGAGAGGAGCTGAGGGGTGAGAGAGGAGCCTCAGAGATGAAACTTGATAAAATGGTAATTTTCTCTGTACTTAACACAAAAATCCAACACATATTATTTAATTGACAAAAATGGATTGGACTTGATGGTAAATTGAACCCCAGACTGAGAGCTGAGGTCACACTGTTCCCCAGACCACAGTGGACTCCGATCAAACTCCTGTAGAAACCTGTGGGTGCTCCTGGAGAAGGGAAGTTTAACAGAAGTGAAATAAAGCTGGCAGATAAAAAGATTGATAACAGAAATGAAGGTAAACGTTTCTTGGATATTTGTTGAATCTGTAACATTGAACTGTCCCTGACCTCCTCCTGGTCCCTGTGCTCAGGTACAGAGGCGTCTGCAGGAGCAGACAGAGCAGCTGAGGCAGGAGCTGGAGAGCAGTCACCGCAGCAGCTCTCAGCAGCTGCAGAGTCGTGTGACGGAGCTGGAGGCCTCCTGCAGAGAACTCACAGAGAAGAAGTACAAGAACGAGGCCAGCGTCCGAGACCTGCGCCTGAAGCTGGTGGCAGCGGAGGAGGTGAGGACCAGGAGGAGCCGGCTTTATGGAGAAAACGCACACGGATTAATAAACGGCACATAGTGATCTCCAACCTTCTTACTGTCATGGACCTCAGCCTTTCGTCCCCGCTTCATACTAACGTGTCACGTGACCAAGATGTGAGGAGATAATCTGGTCATGTTTATAAATAAGTATCATTCAGACTCTGATGATAAAAACAAAAAGTATCAGGTTATTCTGCGGACCAGGGGCTGAAACCACTGATCTACACAGGTTTCACACACAAGGTCCGCGGGGTAAAATATCTAAAGTTCCAGTAAGACCTGCTTATAGTTTCAGCCTCATAATCCAGTTTCATTCCATTTTGTTTTAGATTTGAGTAATAATGAATGATCCATGATTCAGTGGTGGTCAGAGGAGCTCGGTGAACAGAGCTCAAACATGAAGCTGCATGTGTGTGTGTGTGTGTGTCCTATGTCTGTGTGTGTGCGTGTGTGTGTGTGTGTGTGTGTCCTGTGTGTAGGAGAGCCAGCGGTCCTCGCAGCAGCTGCAGTCTCTGAGGAGAGACTACAGTTCTCTGGACTCTCAGCTCCATGAGAAGCAGCGTGTCCTCAGTCAGCTGCAGCTCAGAGCCGCTGTGCTGCAGCAGGAGATCAAGGACAAGGACCTGCTCATGAGTCGCACTAAAGACGTGCTGGAGGCTACACAACAGCAGAAGGTACACACACATAGATACATACAGAGACACACACACACACACACTACCTATGGAAACAAAAGAGCACCAAAAATACTGGATGTCAAAATAAAATGATGAAACAATTGTATAAATAAGGAAAATGGACCAACAACAAATGGCAATGAGCACAGGTACATATAGACACAGACACAGTTGAGACACAGGTACATATAGACACAGACACAGGTACATATAGACACAGACACAGGTGAGACACAGGTACATACAGTGGGGCAAAAAAAGTATTTAGTCACCCACCAATTCTGCAAGTTTTCCCACTTAAAATGACAGAGGTCTGTAATTTTCATCATAGGTTCACTTCAACTGTGAGATCCAGGAATTCACATTGTAGGATTTTTAAAGAATGTATTTGTAAATTATGGTGGAAAATAAATAAGTATTTGGTCACTTCAAACAAGGAAGATCTCTGGCTCTCACAGACCTGTAACTTCTTCTTTAAGAAGCTCTTCTGTCCTCCACTCGTTACCTGGATTAATGGCACCTGTTTGAACTCATCTGTATAAAAGACACCTGTCCACAGCCTCAAACAGTCAGACTCCAAACTCCACTATGGCCAAGACCAAAGAGCTGTCCAAGGACACCAGGAAAAGAATTGTAGACCTGCACCAGACTGGGAAGAGTGAATCTACAATAGACAAGCAGCTTGGTGTGAACACATCAACTGTGGGAGCAATTATCAGAAAATTGAAGACAAAATTATCATGAGAACGGTGATCAAAAATCCCAGAACCACAAAGGTTACCATCAGTAACACACTACGACAGGGAATCAAACCCTGCAGTGCCAGACGTGTCCCCCTGCTGAAGCCAGTGCATGTCCAAGCCCGTCTGAAGTTTGCCAGAGAGCACATGGATGATACAGCAGAGGAATGGGAGAATGTCATGTGGTCAGATGAAACCAAAGTACAACTGTACGGTATAAACTCAACTCGTCGTGTTTGGAGGAAGAAGAATACTGAGTTGCATCCCAAGAACACCATACCTACTGTGAAGCATGGGGGTGGAAACGTCATGCTTTGGGGCTGTTTTTCTGCTAAGGGGACAGGACGACTGATCCGTGTTAAGGAAAGAATGAATGGGGCCATGTATCGTGAGATTTTGAGCCAAAACCTCTTTCCATTGAGTTGAATTTTTGTTATTGACCAAATACTTATTTTCCACCATAATTTACAAATAAATTGTTTAAAAATCCAACTATGTGAATTCCTCACAGTTGAAGTGAACCTATGATGAAAATTACAGACCTCTGTCATTATTTTAAGTGGGAGAACTTGCACAATCGGTGGCTGACTAAATACTTTTTTCCCCCACTGTAGACACACAGAGACACAGGTACAAATAGACACAGAGACACAGGTACATATAGACACAGAGACACAGGTACATATAGACACAGAGACACAGGTACATATAGACACAGAGACACAGGTACATATAGACACAGAGACACAGGTACATATAGACACAGAGACACAGGTACATATAGACACATATAGACACAGACACAGGTACATATAGACACACAGAGACACAGGTACATATAGACACACAGAGACACAGGTACATATAGACACACAGAGACACAGGTACATATAGACACACAGAGACACAGGTACATATAGACACACAGAGACACAGGTACATATAGACACACAGAGACACAGGTACATATAGCTCATGGATGTGACCGTTAATGGCTTCTCTGTGATTAGTATCAGTAGTAGTAAGTAGTAGTAGTAGTAATCTTTATTTACAGTGCCCTGCGAAATTATTCGGCCACCGAAGATAGGCAGGTCCGAGATACTGTTGTGGAGAAGTTTAAAGCCGGATTTGGATATAAAAAGATTTCCCAAGCTTTAAACATCTTAAGGAGCACTGTGCAAGCCATTATATTGAAATGGAAGGAGTATCAGACCACTGCAAATCTACCAAGACCCGGCCGTCCCTCCAAACTTTCATCTCAAACAAGGAGAAGACTGATCAGAGATGCAGCAAGAGGCCCATGATTACTCTGGATGAACTGCAGATAACTACAGCTGAGGTGGGAGAGTCTGTCCATAGGACAACAATCAGTCGTGCACTGCACAAATCTGGCCTTTATGGAAGAGTGGCAAGAAGAAAGCCATTTCTCAAAGATATCCATAAAAGTCTTGTTTAAAGTTTGCCACAAGCCACTTGGGAGACACACCAAACATGTGGAAGAAGGTGCTCTGGTCAGATGAAACCAAAATCAAACTTTTTGGCCACAATGCAAAACCATATGTTTGGCGTAAAAGCAACACAGCTCATCACCCTGAACACACCATCCCCACTGTCAAACATGGTGGTGGCAGCATCATGCTTTGGGCCTGCTTTTCTTCAGCAGGGACAGGGAAGATGGCTAAAATTGATGGGAAGATGGATGGAGCCAAATACAGGACCATTCTGGAAGAAAACCTGTTGGAGTCTGCAAAAGACCTGAGACTGGGACGGAGATTTATCTTCCAACAGGACAATGATCCAAAACATAAAGCCAAATCTACAATGGAATGGTTCACAAATAGACGTATCCAGGTGTTAGAATGGCCAAGTCAAAGTCCAGACCTGAATCCAATCGAGAATCTGTGGAAAGAGCTGAAGACTGCTGTTCACAAACGCTCTCCATCCAACCTCACTGAGCTCCAGCTATTTTGCAAGGAAGAATGGACAAGAATTCCAGTCTCTCGATGTGCAAAACTGATAGAGAAATACCCCAAGCGACTTGCAGCTGTAATTGCAGCAAAAGGTGGTGCTACAAAGTATTAGCGCAAGGGGCCGAATAATATTGCACGCCCCACTTTTCAGTTTTTTATTTGTTAAAAAAGTTTAAATTATCCAATAAATTTCGTTCCACTTCACGATTGTGTCCCACTTGTTGTTGATTCTTGACAAAAAAAATAATTTTTATATCTTTATGTTTGAAGCCTGAAATGTGGCAAAAGGTTCAAGGGGGCCGAATACTTTCGCAAGGCACTGTATATACCGCCTTTTCACTGCACATCGGAGTCTCAAAGCGGTTTACAATTGTTATTTTTTTGGGAGCAGGGGTGCCAGTACAGGAGGCACATGCCAGACCTATTGTACATATTTTTAGTGGTAGGGGAAACCGGAGCACCCGGAGGAAACCTCGCAGACACGGGGAGAACATGCAAACTCCACTCAGAAAGGCCCTGGTCCAACCGGGATTCGAACCGAGGACCTTCTTGCTGAGAGGCGAGAGTGCTAACCACTCAGCCACCGTATCAGATGTTTGTGTTTTCAGGTTTCCATAGAAGACAATGTCGAAGGCAAAGATGTGCAGATCAAAAAGCTGGAGGCCACAGTGAAGTCTCTGTCTGAGGAGCTTCTCAAGGTCCACCTCACTCTTTCACCTGCACTCCCTCACACACTCACTCTCACACACTCTCACACTCAGGGACGTGCGGTGAGGTTTGTGATTGGGGAGGCACTGACTTTAAAAGTCAGATTTACAATCATTATTCAAATAAAATAGCATTTAATCACCAATGCAATGACATCCACAAACTTTATATACTGTAAAGATAAGAGAACCAGCTTCTTTTAATAATCTCACAACAAATCTAGCTGCTGACTCTGCTCCGCATCAAACAACATCTTTAAGAAGCGCAGGTGCGAGAGACGCGAGGAGAGAGAGACGCGAGGAGAGAGGAGCAGAGAGAGACAGAGAGGAGCAGAGAGACGGAGACGCGAGGAGCAGAGAGAGACGGAGACGCGAGGAGAGAGAGACGCGAGGAGAGAGGAGCAGAGAGAGACAGAGAGGAGCAGAGAGACGGAGACGCGAGGAGCAGAGAGAGACGGAGACGCGAGGAGAGAGAGACGCGAGGAGAGAGAGACGCGAGGAACATAAACAATAATTTAAACAAGTTGCAGAACTCTTGAGCAGTGTTTGAATCAGTGTTTTTCGGAAAAGCACTACTTTGCCGGTATCTGTCAATGTTCAACATAAAACACAGATTAACAAACTCCTCCCCCGCAGCCGGACTAACCTCGTAAGTCCAGTGGTGGTCTCCCAGTCTATATTAATTCTTTCTTTGTTTGAAAGTCCAATTGAGAAAAAAAATCTTCATTCAAATCATCCATTTTCCAGCAAAAGAAATAGCATTTTGGGCTGATTGTTTGTTAGCAACTCTGGTATGAACTTTATGCTCACTATCACCCCTAGCGGTGAGGCACAGATACCGCCTGCCTCACGCCAAGCTTTTTCCTTGTGTGTTCATCTACGATCAAAAGACTTAAACTAAATATAAATTGTACACACATACGTGCAATACACTACTAAACACTAAGAGGAGTTTAAAAAATGTTTTTAAAGCAGGATATTTGAAACAAAACGGTGATATATCAACTGCACGAGCTGAGTGCACTCAGACACACACACACACACACACTGTGAGGGAGCGGTCTGAGGTGAGGCACGCAGGAGCGCTGCCTCACCTCGTCTCTTTGAATAGGAATAACGGGATTTCGGCGATTTTGACTTCAGAAATGATCAAAACTGATGGGAACCGTGCCGAATATACATTAAAAGCATAGGACAGTGGATATAAATTATATATTTAAACTAAAATAATTATTAGTTTCCAATAATGGCAGGTGAGGCTCTGCCTCCCCTGCCTCCCCTGACTGCACGTCCCTGCTCACACTCTATCACACACTCTCACTCTCTCTCTCTCACTCTCACTCTCTCACTATCACTCACATACTCTCTCACTCTCTCTCACTCACTCTCTCACTCTCTCTCACTACTTTTAGCATCACTTTTAAAACGTATAGTTGCTCTTAATAAGGTTGTGCTTTTTAACTGTTGATCACTCCAGATATGTCATGATGGTTTAAAAGTGGGACAACTTTGACAAGCACTGCCTACTGCCTCCTGCCTCCTGCCTACTGCCTACTGCCTCCTGCCTCCTGCCTACTGCCTCCTGCCTCCTGCCTACTGCCTCCTGCCTACTGCCTACTGCCTCCTGCCTACTGCCTCCTGCCTCCTGTGTGCACCATGGGCACTTGTATATTGTATATAGTAATTGTAATCGTACTAACTATTTTAAATTGTATATCTTAGAAGTGTTTATCCATCCAGATTGAGTCAGATGTGTTTGAATGGATCCATTTGTGTATGTACTGGTCTCTGGTTGCTGATTTTATTATGCTTCTCTATTCTTCTGACTGTTGCACCGAGCCAAAGCTCTTTCCAAGTCTGACTTCCTGTTACTTACATGCCAATCAGAGTGATTCTGATTCTGATTTTGAATCTGAATCGACTGCCAAACCCTTCCTGGCCCCACGGTCTATATTCTGAGGTCAAACCGTGATGTCCCGTGTCCACATGTCCTGCTGTGTTTGTGTCTCCAGGCGAACAACATCATCCAGAAGCTGCAGACGGAGGTCAAAGGTCTGATGGGGAAGATCAAAGTGAAGAACACGGTGACGGTTTCTCAAGAAAAAGTCCTTCATGAAACCAGCGACAAACTGCAGAGTGTGGAGAAGGATCTGATGATGAGTCAGCAGCAGCTCAGCACCAAGGACCAGCAGGTAACACAACACAACACAACACAGCGGGTACTACAACACAACACAACACATTCTTGTATCGCCCTAAATCACAACAGCATCATCTCAGAGACTTAACAAAACCATTGTACTACTACTACTACTACTACTGCACCACTGCTAATAGGAGTAGCAGTAGTATTAGCAGCAGTACTTATTGGGCCCAGGGGAGAGCAGGGGCCCAGGGGAGAGCAGGGGACCAGGGGAGAGCAGGGGACCAGGGGAGAGCAGGGGACCAGGGGAGAGCAGGGGACCAGGGGAGAGCAGGGGACCAATGTCTGATCGCCAATTCATCTCCAAAAGCAATGACACAGATTTAAAAATACATTTTACAAATGACGTCTTTTGAATCTACGTGTACCATCTACAAATCTGGAGAGACTTGAGACAAATATTGCATTAGAATATTTATTGCAGAGATGCAGGAATAAACCCCAGCAGACTTAGATTGAGTTCTAATATTTTTGTTGCTTTTGGATTGGTGATTAGACCCCAGCGGAGATACTGCATGACTTATGCAGAAGGGAGTTTCGTAGAAACTAGAGCTTGCGACCCCCTGGGGCCTAGAACCTGGTGTGAAGAAGCTGAGCCGAACACATGACATGATACTGCACTGAAGAGGCGGTGATGGGGAGGAGGAGGGTTGCTGCTCAAACAGCAGCCTGAGCTGCAGAGAGCTGAGAGGCTCTGTGTTACTGAGCAGCTGAGGCTGATTGCTGTTGTGTGTAGAAGGAGGAGTCCGGTGTGGCAGCACGACGTCTCTTTGGTCTAACATTCTGAATCTGTGCTGAAGCTTCATAAGGCTCAGTTCCTCGCTCATGCGGCCGTTGTTGTCTTGGTCAAAGGTTCACAAATATTCAGATGCATGAGTTCAGTAAGTCCAACGCACTGATCTGCGATGGCGCTAATACACAGGCAACCTCTGCTTCTGTACAGTACACTCAGTAACAATGACATTAAAAAAAGCTGTAAACATGTTTTTCTCAGATCTGCGTCTTGAAGGAGCAGCTGGAGGGCACAGTGCAGAAGCTGAACGAGAGCAGAGAGGTGCTGAAGACCAATGAGAACGGTGAGAGGGACCCCCGTGGTTTTGTGATGGTTCAATCCAGTATTCACTAATGTATTTATGGAATTATCAGACGTACAAATATGGTTGTTTTCTTTGTGCTTATTCAATGGAGTGTCTTAACTTTGATGTGTCCAGTGAAGAGTGAAGAAACTGATGAAATGACGGTAATTACATGTTAGTTACACTTCTGTCTCTGCCGTCAGGGACAGACTGCGCTGATATTATTCTGACCACATGAAGGTAACTGGAGCTGTGAAGGCTCCTCATTCTACATGTTTCACACGTGTCACTTACAATGATTGAGGATAAAACACTTAAAATACACACTCACCTCAGCTTCATAACTGACGTTTGTACAACAACAATAATAATAATAATAATCAAAATGCATTGGTTTTATACACTCAAAGACGCTTTACATGTCATTATTCATTCACTCTAAACACGGTGGTGATAAACTACTGTAGCCACAGCTGCCCTGGGGCACACTGACAGAAACGAGGCAACCAGTCTGTGCCATCAGCCCCTCCCACCACACACCAGACTCATTCTAGGCAATAGCGAACTATCTAAATGACGTCACTATGACACGCCCCCATTTTTGGGACCGCTGAAATGAATCAAATACCACTTAAAATGATTTACCAGGAGCAAAATTCCACCATCAAACCATCGGGGATCATAGTTAGACCAATTAAAACGTTGGCTTGAATGTCGTGGTCTGTAACTGGAAGAACGTTTGAAGTGATAAACAGGTAATGGTGAGGATTAGGGGAACCTCAGAGAACCGCACGATACGATACAAAGCTCACGATAACAATTATAGGTAAAAAATACACCTAAGATAATATTTTTCGTCTTGTTTTTTTTTTTTGCTGTGATTAACTTCCATTTATCAAGTTTTTTTTTGCACTTTATAATTAGTTTGATCATTAGTTAGCTACGGTCAGCTGATATTATAATAGATCCATGGGGTCACAACGGGCTACGTCACTACTGTCTCTGAGAAGCTATCAGAGCCACGCTCAATAAACGCTAATGACAAACAACACATTTAAATACATTATACATTTACATTCTCTCAGAATTATCTGTTCATGTTTTCATGACAAAAATACTGTTTTTAATGCGAGAGAAAGTGATTGCGATAAACCCTGAAGTAACCATTAACATTAATACAATGTTAATACATTAATACATCAACAAAGGTTAATGGTCCGGTGACCTCTTGGGGTTGTGCAGCGTTTTCTGCCACACTTTCTCCTTCCCACAGACTTCCCACTGAGGTGCCTTGATACAGCACTCTGGGAACAGCCTCCTGGCTCAGAAATGTCTCTGTCCTTACCCTCTTTCTTGAGGGTGTCAGTGATGGCCTTCTGGACTCAGTCAGGTCTTGCCCATGATTTCAGTTTTGAGTAATAAACCAGGCCGGGAGTTTAAGCCTCAAGAATGTTCTGCAAGTGTTTAGAGTTCATGTATTGGTTCAGATGATTTGGTTAATGGCTCGTTTAGACCTTTTCATGATATGCTAATTCTTTTGGATTGGGATTTTTGGTTTTTTTGTACTTTTTTTTGCCAAATGCATCAATATTAAAACAGTAAAGGCTTGAACTACTTCAGTTGTTTGTAATTAATCTTGTCGATGGTGTTTTACGAACGGGATGAATGTTACTGTTAGCTCCGACAAGTTACCCCAGTGTTTTGTTGTCACCATGATTCAATGATATAGCCCAAATAAATACACTTGGAGAACACAGTAGAACTCATCGGAGTCGTACACAATGTTTACGCATGCGCAGTCATCGGAGCTAGTCTTAGCACATTCCGGAAACCCGACAGTGCCCTCTGGGGGTGTAGTGTCTTGCCTAACGCAAAGCAGTTTGGCACTTTACAGCCGCAGCTGCCCCACTGTGGCATCTGGTGTTCCCAGAGGTTAAGTGTCTTGCCCAAGGACACAACAACAGCAGACATCAGTGAGAGTCTGTGGAGAAAGTCTTGTGGTCGAACCCACAACCTTCTGGCTCAAAGGCCAATGCTCTACCAACTGAGCTACTGTCGCCCCAAGGCCAAAGAGCGCTGTGGGTCACATGACTTCCTGTTTGTGTTTCAGTGATCAGTTGGCTGAACAAGCAACTGAACGAGAGGCAAGTGTCCAGAGTGGGGCCCCAGGAACCTGCAGCCTCCTCTGTCACCAAGGTGACCACACACATGTGCACAGCCACACACACACGACCGCATATAACAACACACACGAAAACAGCCACACACACACGACCACATTTAACAAGACACACGAACACAGCCACACACACACGACCACATATAACACAAACGAACACAGCCACACACACACGACCACATATAACAACACACACGAACACAGCCACAGACACACAACCACATATAACAACACACACGAACACAGCCACACACACGACCACATATAACAACACACGACCACATACAGTGCCTTGCGAAAGTATTCGGCCCCCTTGAACCTTTCAACATTTTGCCACAGTTCAGGCTTCAAACATAAAGATATAAAATTTAAATTTTTTGTCATGAATCAACAACAAGTGGGACACAATCGTGAAGTGGAATGAAATTTGTTAGATCATTTAATCTTTTTTAACAAATAAAAAACTGAAAAGTGGGGCGTGCAATATTATTGGGCCCCTTTACTTTCAGTGCAGCAAACTCAGTCCAGAAGTTCAGTGAGGATCTTTGAATGATCCAATGTTGTCCTAAATGACTGATGATGATAAATAGAATGCCCCTGTGTGTAATCAAGTCTCCGTATAAATGCACCTGCTCTTTGATAGTCTCAGGGTTCTGTTTAAAGCACAGAGAGAACCATGAAGACAAAGGAACACACCAGGCAGGTCCGAGATACTGTTGTGGAGAAGTTTAAAGCCGGATTTGGATACAAAAAGATTTCCCAAGCTTTAAACATCTCAAGGAGCACTGTGCAAGCAATTATATTGAAATGGAAGGAGTATCAGACCACTGCAAATCTACCAAGACCAGGCCGTCCCTCCAAACTTTCATCTCAAACAAGGAGAAGACTGATCAGAGATGCAGCCAAGAGGCCCATGATCACTCTGGATGAACTGCAGATAACTACAGCTGAGGTGGGGATTGTGTGTTCAGGGTGATGAGCTGTGTTGCTTTTACGCCAAACATATCGTTTTGCATTGTGGCCAAAAAGTTTGATTTTGGTTTCATCTGACCAGAGCACCTTCTTCCACATGTTTGGTGTGTCTCCCAAGTGGCTTGTGGCAAACTTTAAACAAGACTTTTTATGGATATCTTTGAGAAATGGCTTTCTTCTTGCCACTCTTCCATAAAGGCCAGATTTGTGCAGTGCACGACTGATTGTTGTCCTATGGACAGACTCTCCCACCTCAGCTGTAGTTATCTGCAGTTCATCCAGAGTGATCATGGGCCTCTTGACTGCATCTCTGATCAGTCTTCTCCTTGTTTGAGATGAAAGTTTGGAGGGACGGCCGGGTCTTGGTAGATTTGCAGTGGTCTGATACTCCTTCCATTTCAATATAATTGCTTGCAATCTTTTTGTGCAAATCTTTTTGTATCCAAATCCGGCTTTAAACTTCTCCACAACAGTATCTCGGACCTGCCTGGTGTGTTCCTTTGTCTTCATGGTTCTCTCTGCGCTTTAAACAGAACCCTGAGACTATCAAAGAGCAGGTGCATTTATACGGAGACTTGATTACACACAGGTGCATTCTATTTATCATCATCAGTCATTTAGGACAACATTGGATCATTCAAAGATCCTCACTGAACTTCTGGACTGAGTTTGCTGCACTGAAAGTAAAGGGGCCGAATAATATTGCACACCCCACTTTTCAGTTTTTTATATTTTTTTAAAGTTTAAATTATCCAATAAATTTTGTTCCACTTCACGATTGTGTCCCACTTGTTGTTGATTCATGACAAAAAATTAAAATATTATATCTTTATGTTTGAAGACTGAAATGTGGCAAAATGTTGAAAGGTTCAAGGGGGCCGAATACTTTCGCAAGGCACTGTATAACAACACACACGAACACAGCCACACACACACGACCACATATAACGACACACACGAACACAGCCACACACACTCGACCGCATATAACAACACACACGAACACAGCCACACACACACGACCACATATAACACCACACACGAACACAGCCACACACACGACTGTATATAACAACACACACGAACACAGCCACACACACACGACCACATATAACAACACACTCGAACACACACACAACCACACGTGCACAGCCACACAATACCACACATGACCAGAATTGACTCATACGTCTCTTGTCTCCAGAGTCCTGTGTATCCTCTGGGTGCAGTACCACTGCCTCCTGCGGGGGGCGCTCTGTGTGCTGCAGCTGATCACCGAGGGCTGTGAGTATTTCTACTTTCATGTGGCTCGGTGTCTGCTCTGACTTTATCACATTCTGTTGGATCCTGACAGTTTGAGTCACCGATCTGTGACTCACTGTCACTGGTTCAATCATCAGATTTCAAAGGGATGGGTGTGAGTGTGTGTTTGTGTGTGAGAGTATGTTTGTGTGTGTGCGCATTTGTGCACCTGTGTTTTAACGGAGTGTTGTGATTGGCAGAGACGTTTCGGGGCTGGACTCTAAATACTTTGAGAGAATGGACAGTATCCCCATCTATGGCCTGGCCGCCAGCTTCCCCAACAAAGGTATGGTCTGATGTCTATGCACTATAAATGTGCTTTCATGGTATTCTACCATTGTGTCTTCTTCTGTCCATCTCCACCTGGGGTTTATGAGACTAATAAAATAGTCACAATCATGAAATTAGTGGTTCAGAACCTCATACCAAAACATTACACCTTACATTTTCTCCATTTAGAATCTGCCATCAGAGCATTTTAGCCTCTATTTGATCTAAAGTAATGAAACCGTGAGATTGTGGTTTCTTCCAGTCGCTCCTCCGGGTAAAGCCTCGTCACCCTCAGCGTACTTCTCTGCATGAACTGGACCAGAACCTCCTCCAGCCGGACCCTGACCCGTCCTCTTCTGTCCCACTGTTTGACGTAGTATTGTCTTAATGTGCTGATTTCACTTTGTATACATGTGTTTTATGTCCAAAATAAAGTCTATGTTTTAACTTTGTCGTCTGAAATCTTCCATTTCCACAGACCGGGCGTGTGTCAGGATCTGAATGTTAAAAAAGGACAGAGACCCGTGAGTGGTAGCTTTTATTTTGGATATTTGCATAAAGAAACATATCTGCAGTTATAAAGGTACTGTCCACTTCTTAAACACGTCTGTGTGAGAGGGACCGGAGCGGGGCCCGGCGACACCTGACCCAGGGCCGTACGTACTTTGGAATATACAGAGGGCCACATTTTAATAATTCTAATAAGATAAAAGTTATATGAACTAACAAATAATAGATTAACTGCCAAATACATGGTTATGCATAATGCATTATACAAACTGATGCATTGATATTAACCCAGAACATCTCATTAAATCAATCAGAACATCAGCTACAGCAAAATCATAAAACCTTATTCATTTTCCTGGAGTCAAATTCATCCCAGTATTTGTATCGGTGCATCGGTATAATCACATTTTTGTTGAGTTTGGGGTATACAAATGTGGGGGTCCGGGCCTCATGTAGCTCTGTTATATACGGCCCTGCAGACGGGCCTCAGGAGCCACACTGTCCGGCTCCATGGGCTTCTGAAGCAGATGAAGAGCTGAAGGAGGAAGTCAAAGCGGACGGCTCCAACATGCAGCAGCTAAACCTCTCGTGTAATGTGGGTTTACTCCGACTCAAGCCAAGGCACATCTCGGGATCAGAAAAGGCCGTGCAAATGTCCAAGAAGTCTGTGTTTAAATGGGAAGGAGCGCACTTCTGTCTCACAGCCATGCACGGAGATCAGAGCCAGCACCATGCACACCAGTACTGCCTGCTCCTCAGCACCAGCAACCAGGGGCCTTACTACCAACCAGGGTCTCCCATCAGCCTGGGCCTCAGCGTCACCCAGGGCCTCCCATCAGCCTGGGCCTCAGCGTCACCCGGGCCTCCCATCAGCCCCACACCAGGCCTCTCTGATGTGTCTCATTTTAATGTCAACACAATATAAAGTGTCTTGTGCATGTTTGTTGTCGTGGGACTATATTCGTGTTCGCAGTTAAGAGTGCGATTCCACACTTTAAAATTATAGGTTCTAAAAAATATTTTGAGAGAAAGACAATTATTATTGACACTTTGACAAATGATTTCACACTAATCAAATGAGAAGAAGCCTCAAATCTGGAGGATCTTTCTTTGAAACCACAGAATGGGATTTTGTTCTCAGCTCAGTGAAGATAAAATAAAAAGTTAGATAATCCAAATATTATCTTTATCGTTGGATTTGAGGCAGTTTATGAAATAAAACTATGTTGAGATAATTTGGTATAAACGACAAATACAACGTTTCAATGATGATTCTTCTGATCTTTACCATAGAGCTGATGTCCTTCATGGTCCTGGCGTCCTTCATGGTCCAACAGTAACTACTGCGTCTCCTCCTCACGGTGCATGCATGTGTGAGGAGCAGCGCCCCCCAGAGGCAACAGAAGTGCAGGAGCTGCCGCGTTTACAAAACTAAAATATACAATTTAATAGTTTAAGAAGATATCAAATTAAGTTAAATACAAAGTCTAAAAGTGCTTCCATCATTAAAGGAACTACAAGTAAAATTTGAAATGCACTTATCTTGAGGTAAACATGACCAAATTATTTTAACTTTCCCAAGACAAATATCCAATCAGAACAGTTTATCTGAACTCAGCAAGAGGAGCAGACGGTTCCTTTAATTAAATGTTTTCTTAATACGAGATTCTCTAAGTTATACACAGCCATGCAGAGCCCACACACCTGCGCTCACACTGCCAAGCGGGGACAGTCCACACACTCCTGCGCTCACACTGCGAAGTGGGGACAGTCCACACACACCAGCACTCCCACTGCGAAGTGGGGACAGTCTACACACACCTGTGCTCACACTGCGAAGTGGGGACATTCCACACACTCCTGCGCTCACACTGCGAAGCGGGGACAGTCCACACACTCCTACGCTCACACTGCGAAGCAGGGACAGTCCACACACTCCTGTGCTCACACTGCGAAGCGGGGACAGTCCACACACTCCTGCGCTCACACTGCGAAGCAGGGACAGTCCACACACTCCTGCGCTCACACTGCAAAGCGGGGACAGTCCACACACACCTGCGCTCACACTGCGAAGCAGGGACAGTCCACACACACCAGCACTCACACTGCGAAGTGGGGACAGTCCACACACACCAGCACTCCCACTGCAAAGTGGGGACAGTCTACACACACCAGCATTTACACGGCAAAGTGGGGACAGTGCACACACACACACACTCATGCTCACATGACCACACAGGGACTGTGCGCACAGACCCAAGCTCACACGGGTGAAGCAGGGACAGCGGTGCTTCAAAGCCCTTGAGAAGAGGTGATTCTGAGGACCATCGCTGTCTCGCTCTTGCCGTGTGACGACTGGAGCCTGCAGTCCGACTCTGTGTTTCTGCTTCTCCCATCAGACGCCATGTGGAGGCTCATAGTTGTACTTGTAGCCCCCCTCAGTTTGATGAAAAACAGCGATTGTCGCTTTAATACAAAAGCCCCCTCTTCTGTCTACAGTAAAAGCACAGCGTTGGCTTCATCATGTTGCATTATTGATAGATTTAAAAGTGCAAAGAAAGGTCCAATAGAAACGTCCCATGGTTCATAAAAACAGACTTGCATATATGATAAGCAGCACCTGCAGAGGTGCAGAAGGGGCCACACAGGGGCCATATAAGGGGCGTTGCATATCGTCTTCTCCTGTGAGATGGACACACTTCTCAGTTCCCCAGGTACCAGGACTGGAACACACAGACACAGGCATCAGCACAGAGCAGCACATGTGCAGAGATCAGACCTCACTGAGCCAAACTGAATCATCTGTGAAGTGATGAAGCACCATCTTTCATTGTAACGTTCTGTGTTCGAGTCACATGTTGTGGTGTACAGAAGAATTTAACTTAAATTATGTTTATGCAAAAAAAAAACATTATATATTATCTATCTTTTGACTGGGGAAAAATGTATGTTATTCTCTGGTTTCTTTTTTTAATCATAAATATTGTATATGATATATTGCCTCAGAGTGAGGCGCACGACTGCGGCTCCAGAGTTCTGCACGCAGCATAGAGGAGTTTTAAATTCTTTACACTGTCTAAACTGAGCAGGCCTCAGGGGACCAATAGAAAAATGCAAAGGGCCGCATTTGTGCCAGGGCTTGCCCAACCCTTGGGATAGTACTTTTCTGATCATCATTTTGCGGCCTGTGGTCTGGTGGACAGCTGACTCTACCTGGGCCTGATAGGCACTAGCCGCATCCCGAGGACTGACCCCAGAGAAGGAGGCTGGAGGAGCAGGAGGAGATCCTGCAGCAGAGTACGCTGAGCAGAAACACAAACACACACATGCTTCAAACTTTCATGAAAACATTTGGAAAACAAAAAGAAACATGGCTGAGCTGAGGACTTACTGGGGGAGCCTCCCTCGGACGTGCTGGGGGGCGTGGCTTTGGACTCTGTCTGCCCTGGGACAGAGGAGGGGGCAGGAGCTGTGGGCACCGGGGGGACGAGCATCTGAGAGCAGATATAATGCCCAGGAACCTTCACCTGACCTCCACCGTTCAGCTGCAACACAAGCGCCATGGAATCATTAGAACATCAGGGAATGCTAATCAGGGAATGCTAATCAGGTCAGCCCAAGCCAGATTAGTTCTGACCTTGGGTTTTGAGACCTGGTCTATGAGTCCAAGAGTTTGTTCTGTGATTGAAATATTCCCATGAGATGTTTCCTTCTGTGACAGGACCGCAGCAGAAGCACTCACCGAGGCTGAGGCGTGGGCCGGCTCACAGGCCAGAGACAGCAGCTCCTTCAGGGGCTCCTGGGACAGGTGTGGGGGGTAGCGGATGGCTCCAGGAGAGAAGTAGGAGGACGAAGGGAAGTGGAGAGAGGCGGGGTGAGGGCTGCGGGACAGGCCTGGACACAACCGCACACCCAGAATCATTCAATTAGCAAACAGCACCACTCTACATTCTAATGGTCATGATGTAACTATGATGTTTTTCGTCTTGTGCGTACAGGAGTCTTGAAAGCCGAGTCAAAGCGACACAACAGCAGCGACACAGCAGCACAAAGCGACCTGTAGCTTTGGTCAAAAATCCTGGGTTTCACTTCGATCTATTTTTGTATAGCCCTAAATCACAACAGCAGTTATCTCGGAGGACTTCCAGATCAGAGAATCAAAAAGGTCAAACACAAGAAATGTAATGATCAAAAACACATAGAGCCATCGGTCCATAAGGAGCAGACGATCATAAAGCTTGATAAAGTAAATGCTGAACGTCTCGATGAGTGAATCCTTCATATGTCCTGGATTCACAATTGTCACAGAAAGAAAGGAAAAGTCAGGGAAGGGTCTCAGAGTCACAGTCAGAGGACCGAGAGTATGGGGTGCCGTTTGTAAAAATTCTGTTAAAATTTTTTAGCTGAACATTTTTCTACATTTAGCTCACTTTCCTCACATTTAGCACATTTTCCTCACATTTAAGACATATCTATATCTAAATATTATATCTATATCTAAATGTTAAATGTTATATCTAAATATTATATCTATATCTAAATGTTATATCTATATCTAAATGTTAAATCTAAATGTTAAATCTAAATGTTAAATCTAAATGTTAAATCTAAATGTTAAATCTAAATGTTATATCTATATCTAAATGTTATATCTATATCTAAATGTTATATCTATATCTAAATGTTATATCTATATCTAAATATTATATCTATATCTAAATGTTAAATGTTATATCTAAATATTATATCTATATCTAAATGTTAAATCTATATCTAAATGTTAAATCTAAATGTTAAATCTAAATGTTAAATCTAAATGTTAAATATAAATGTTAAATCTAAATGTGTCGCCAAGTGTAAAGCTAAATATATAGAAACCACGCCCACTGCAGTGGCTTCAAATCCAGTGGGCCCGCCTTCCGTGCCGTGTGGAAAGAACCCTACAGGATTACACAGGAATCTCACGGGACTCCACGTGGCTTAGTTTACAGTGAATACACTCTGGCTCCAGCAAATAAGCAAGAATCTTCACAAAAATGCTAATTTTGTGCCGTGGCCAAGGACGATGGCGCCGGAGACCCAACATGCCTTGAGCCGTGACGTCGGTCCACGTGTATTCCTATGTTCAAAACACGCGGCACCGCCCCCACTCACCACACGGCACGGAAGGCGGGCAGTGGGCGTGGTTTCTATATATTTAGCTTTACACTTGGCGACACATTTAGATTTAACATTTAGATTTAACATTTAGATTTAACATTTAGATATAGATTTAGGTGTTTTAGATATAGATATAACATTTAGATATAGATATAACATTTAGATATAGATATAACATTTAGATTTAACATTTAGATTTAACATTTAGATTTAACATTTAGATTTAACATTTAGATTTAACATTTAGATATAGATATAACATTTAGATATAGATATAATATTTAGATATAACATTTAACATTTAGATATAGATATAATATTTAGATATAGATATGTCTTAAATGTGAGGAAAATGTGCTAAATGTGAGGAAAGTGAGCTAAATGTAGAAAAATGTTCAGCTAAAAAATTTTAACAGAATTTTTACAAACGGCACCCCATACGAGGGGAGAGCAATGGAGGTATTCATTTATTAGGATAGAAATACCTCAAACATGCAGGAATCAAACTGAAAAAGCTCTGTGTGGGTCTGGTCTGGACCGGACTCACCGCTGTGGACGGCAATGACCGGTCTGTGGTGCTGTGTGAAGCCCAGTCTGGGGGAGTGGTCCTGGGGAGGGGGGCTGTCCAGCTCAGCCTTCTTCACGGCGGGGGACAGAGCTCCTGAAGAACACAGTACACTCTTCATGCACTAGTCCTCGTTTTGTCTTTCAGAGTCAACGTCACAGTTTTCTGCTTAAATGTTCACCGAGAAATGTCCAAAACGATGAGTTTGGACGTAAACGTGAAGAAGAGATTCTGTGAAGCTGAAGATGCAGCTCCTTCAAACTGGTTTATATACATTAGCACATGTGTGTGTCACAGACTGTGTGTGTGTCACAGACTGTGTGTGTGTCACAGACTGTGTGTGTGTCACAGACTGTGTGTGTGTCACAGACTGTAGTGTGTGTCACAGACTGTAGTGTGTGTCACAAACTGTAGTGTGTGTCACAGACTGTGTGTGTGTGTGTCACAGACTGTAGTGTGTGTCACAGACTGTGTGTGTGTCACAGACTGTGTGTGTGTCACAGACTGTAGTGCGTGTCACAGACTGTAGTGCGTGTCACAAACTGTAGTGTGTGTCACAGACTGTGTGTGTGTGTGTCACAGACTGTAGTGTGTGTCATAGACTGTAGTGTGTGTCACAGACTGTAGTGTGTGTCACAGACTGTAGTGTGTGTCATAGACTGTAGTGTGTGTCATAGACTGTAGTGTGTGTCACAGACTGTAGTGTGTGTCATAGACTGTAGTGTGTGTCATAGACTGTAGTGTGTGTCATAGACTGTAGTGTGTGTCACAGACTGTAGTGTGTGTCACAGACTGTGTGTGTGTCATAGACTGTGTGTGTGTGTGTCACAGACTGTAGTGTGTGTCATAGACTGTAGTGTGTGTCACAGACTGTAGTGTGTGTCACAGACTGTAGTGTGTGTCATAGACTGTAGTGTGTGTCACAGACTGTAGTGTGTGTCACAGACTGTAGTGTGTGTCACAGACTGTAGTGTGTGTCACAGACTGTGTGTGTGTCACAGACTGTAGTGTGTGTCATAGACTGTGTGTGTGTCACAGACTGTAGTGCGTGTCACAGACTGTAGTGCGTGTCACAGACTGTAGTGCGTGTCACAGACTGAAGTGTGTGTCACAGACTGTAGTGTGTGTCATAGACTGTAGTGTGTGTCATAGACTGTAGTGTGTGTCATAGACTGTAGTGTGTGTCACAGACTGTAGTGTGTGTCATAGACTGTAGTGTGTGTCACAGACTGTAGTGCGTGTCACAGACTGTAGTGCGTGTCACAGACTGAAGTGCGTGTCACAGACTGTAGTGTGTGTCATTGACTGTAGTGTGTGTCATAGACTGTAGTGTGTGTCATAGACTGTAGTGTGTGTCACAGACTGTAGTGCGTGTCACAGACTGAAGTGTGTGTCACAGACTGAAGTGTGTGTCACAGACTGTAGTGTGTGTCCGGCTGACCTGAGTCCATGTCGTCTGCCCAGTGGCGGGAGCTGCCCCCGGGGGAGGCGGGGGACGGGTAGTACTCCTGCCCCGGGCTGTCGGCCTCATCCTCCACAGAGCCAGACTTGTGCCGCTTACTCCTGACACACACACAGTGGTCAGAACACACACACACACACAGTGTGTAGTCCAGACGTACAGCTGTAGATAAGAGCAGCTCACCCGCTGGAGGAGGAGCTGGTCAGAGAGCGCCTCAGGCCCCCGCTCAGCTGCACTGGGCTCAGCTCGTAGGCCAGGTGTCCATGCAGCTCCCCCACAGAGAGGGAGGGGGGGGAGCCGGACACCACAGGAGCTGACACACACACACACACACACACACAGTGTCAGGATCATAGACTGTAGCAGACTCTGGTCACACGGAGGTCAGAGGTCAGACTTACTCCTGGAAACCTGGACCAGCTCCGTGACGCTGAAGACGCCCGACGTCACAAAGTTCTCCTGGAAGTCTGCTCCGTCTGCAGCACAGACAGACTCAGACTCACAGCAGCGACAACAACAAAGGCCTTTGCTTTATTACATTAAAACTGAACGTAAACATGTTCCAGCTGAACGCCTGCTTCACTTTAGCGGATCACAGTGGGCCGAGCACAGACACATCTGGGCCTCCTCTCGGGCCTCCTCTCAGGCCTCCTCTCAGGTCTCCTCTCAGGCCTCCTCTAAGGCCTCCTCTCGGGCCTCCTCTAAGGCCTCCTCTCGGGTCTCCTCTAAGGCCTCCTCTAAGGCCTCCTCTCAGGCTTCCTCTCGGGCCTCCTCTCGGGCCTCTTCTCAGGCCTCCTCTCAGGTCTCCTCCCAGGTCTCCTCTCGGGCCTCCTCTAAGGCCTCCTCTCGGGTCTCCTCTCGGGCCTCCTCTAAGGCCTCCTCTCGGGTCTCCTCTCGGCCTCCTCTAAGGCCTCCTCTCAGGCTTCCTCTCGGGCCTCCTCTCGGGCCTCCTCTCAGGCCTCCTCTCAGGTCTCCTCCCAGGTCTCCTCTCGGGCCTCCTCTCGGGCCTCCTCTAAGGCCTCCTCTCGGGTCTCCTCTCGGGCCTCCTCTAAGGCCTCCTCTAAGGCCTCCTCTCGGGCCTCCTCTCGGGCCTCCTCTCACCACCGCAGCTGTATCGTCTCAACATGTGCACTTCCTCGTCATGAACCTGAGATACTTTTACCTAAAGTTCCTTTAACTAAAGTTCTTGAACCTTTGTCTCATGTACCTGTGGAGGGTGCCAGCCTCTCGTCCTGCTCAGAGCTCCCCCTGCTGGGACTGCACTGCTCTGCGTCTATAAGAAACACATGGATGTAAGTATAACATGTTGATCAGAGTTTGTCAGTTGGCTGTAGTTATAGAGACTGTGTCCGTGACCTTCTGCTGCTCTGTCCCTGATACACCTCAGAACTACAACATCTGAAACAACGCTGTCAGTTTGAACACAACCACAATAAAACTGCTCTCACTGTATATTACCCAGTAGAATAACCTCAGTATTTTACAACAATCAACTCTGGATCCTCCAATCATGGAGCCCATAAACGTCTTAAACCACCTGAGACCGAAGCCTTCAACACTGACAGAGATAATAACTCTGCTTTTCCAACAGCTCCATGAGCCTCAGTCATAATACACGTAAACACACAGAGTGTGACGCACCGCGCTCGTGCACGTAGAAGGCCAGGTACAGGTCCAGCTCTTTGACCGACACCGAGATGTGGTGCGGCTGGACACACAACACGGGGCTGGAGCACAACGCACTCTTCACCAAACGCTCCCCGTCTGTGCTCTCCAGAGGGATCCCTTTGAACAGGATCACCATGACCAGGTCCAGACGCCACACCTGCACACACACACACCCACACACACACACATGCACACACAGACACACACACACACACACAGACAGACACACACACACACACACAGACACACACACACACACACGCACACACACACACACACACACACACACACACACACACACACACACACACACACACACACACACACACACAGACACACACACACACACACACAGACAGACACACACACACACAGACAGACACACACGCACACAGACGCACACACACACACACAGACTGTGAACAAGAATGAATCTAAAGATCTCTCACTATTGAAGGTGTTTCAGTGGTGGGGGAACCCAGATGAAACATACACAGGTTTAAGGCTCAGAATTTAAATAAATATACTAAAAGTGGTTAAAAACGGCTAAAATATAACACACGCAATTCATAAGTAATTTCAGTCGCTAAAACCAGACACCCTACTGTTTTTTAGTAACGTGCAGCCAACTGTATGATGCAATACTTATACGTGCCACAAGAGGGCGCATGAGCAACATGAGACAGACCGGGGCAGAATGAACCCTGGCTTTGATGAAGACAAGAACAACTCTTTTGGTCTGTTTTCCTTTCTCAGGTTTGTTAAATGTTGGCAGAAGCACATGAAACGGTGCTGTTGTTTTGTTGAAAGCTTGTAAATGGACTAAATAGGAACACGTTCTGAGGTGAATTGAGCTAATTTACAGAGTAGGATTATTAGGCAGGATGTTCAAAGGTAAATTTCACTAGAGAAGCAGAATGTAGAAAGAACACTTTTGTCAAGGACAAGTGTGTTCACCTGGCAGGTTAAAGGTGACAGTGTGTTACTGCATGTTAAGCAAATCTAAATGTTAATAGTTTTCTTTGATTTTCTGTAGAGAACAGAAACATTACAGGTGAATACATTTGTAGTTTTGCTATTAAATTAATTGATGTATACGAACTCATTTGGTCTCCTGTTTTCCTTTCTCAGGGTATACAGTTCTCACCCAATACAGACACAGGGAGAACATGTAAACACCACTGTGTGTGTGTGTGTGTGTGTGTGCGTGTGTGTGTGTACAGAGTGTGTGGTCATCTCAAAGCCCCGCTAGCTGCAGTACCTTGTCGGCCTGTCGGAGGCAGTCTATCCTCCGCATCTTTCCCTTCTGGTCGGGGTTGGAGAGGACGCAGCTGGCTCCTTTCTGGCCTGTGATGGACAGGACAAAGTCTTCTCTGCACTCAGGCCGGATGTCCTTCCTCAGCTTGGCCAGGAGTCGACTGGCCCACTTCTGCTTCACCTGCCAAGGGGACCGAAGTCAGCCAGGACCCTCCAATCACCCTGTCCCCACCACCAACAATATATGATTCATTGTGTATTGTCTAATCCATACTGGACAGAAAATAATATTCTTAAAACATCCTTGACACCTCTAAACTTTATACAAATGTTTTTCATCGAGCCTTTGTGATATTAGCAGAGGTCGTTATAGAAATATTTTAGTAAAGCAATCTGAATTAACACCAAATAGTTATGAGTGTAAGTTATTAACTAATAGTCAACTCTGGATTCAGATACAGGCCATAATGCTCTGTTGGCTCAGGTCAGTGATAGATGGAGACGTGCTGCATCATGTCTTTGACCTGGGTCATAGAACAATATGTTCAGTTCAAAAGCAGATTGTTACATAGTTCAGTGTTATATCAGCGTAAGAAAGCATAGAGAGAAGACTTGAGCGACACATATCAATGTTGACTTCATCTCTGTAATATCTAGAGTAGATATGTGTTTGTTTACTCTGGTCTATTTAATGTCCAGTCATTTCCTCATTCGTGGCAGTTGGTGTCAGACGGCTGCAGGTGGTATTGGTTCTGCACATTTACTAATGAATAAACTCACACTTTGATGGTTTTATAGCTCTGGGTTGTTTACATTATTTTATTCTCGGTATGTGCAGAATTTCCACAATCATCTGGAGCGATTTTTGAGAATAGAGACATAAAGTCATGGTCCTGACCCAAAGTGTTTGTGCTGTAAGAAGGACAGAGCAGGAGAGGCCAAGAACCTATGATGGAACAGACTGGAGAAGGAAGTCTCAGCAGCGGCACCTCCACCTCCGCTGCTGAGGCCTGAAGGGCTGTAGCTTATTTATTTTACTATTGTTAGCTTTTTTAGAATGATCAATAAAATATCTATCTATCTAATGCATGGACAGAGTGTGCGGCCTCGAGGAGGATTCACTCCCAGCTTCATCATTACAGAGTCTATACAGAGTCTATACAGAGTCTATACAGAGTCTATACAGAGTCTATACAGAGTCTATACAGAGTCTATACAGAGTCTATACAGAGTCTATACAGAGTTTATACAGAGTCTATACAGAGTTTATACAGAGTCTATAGAGTTTATACAGAGTCTATACAGAGTCTATACAGAGTCTATACAGAGTTTATACAGAGTCTATACAGAGTTTATACAGAGTCTATAGAGTTTATACAGAGTCTATACAGAGTCTATACAGAGTTTATACAGAGTCTATACAGAGTTTATACAGAGTCTATAGAGTTTATACAGAGTCTATACAGAGTCTATACAGAGTCTATACAGAGTTTATACAAAGTCTATACAGAGTCTATACAGAGTCTATACAGAGTTTATACAGAGTCTATACAGAGTCTATACAGAGTTTATACAGAGTCTATACAGAGTCTATACAGAGTCTATACAGAGTCTATACAGAGTCTATACAGAGTTTATACAGAGTCTATACAGAGTCTATACAGAGTTTATACAGAGTCTATACGGAGTCTATACAGAGTCTATACAGAGTCTATACAGAGTCTATACAGAGTCTATACAGAGTCTATACAGAGTTTATACAGAGTCTATACAGAGTCTATACAGAGTCTATACAGAGTCTATACAGAGTTTATACAGAGTCTATAGAGTTTATACAGAGTCTATACAGAGTCTATACAGAGTTTATACAGAGTCTATACAGAGTCTATACAGAGTCTATACAGAGTCTATACAGAGTCTATACAGAGTCTATACAGAGTCTATACAGAGTCTATACAGAGTTTATACAGAGTCTATACAGAGTCTATACAGAGTTTATAAAGTACCTGTACTTAATCTAGTTTTTTACATAGATTGATGCCTAGTACATGTAATAATAATAATTATAATACATTTGATTTATAATGACCACAGCTGTGTAGTGAAGCTACATGAGCTCTATGCATAGACTGTAAATATTAACGAACAGAGTCACGCCTATCTCCACCGTTCAAACAAATGGGCCAAAAATAGTGCTCTACTAGAGTTATCCAAAATGGCCGCGAGTGGCCCCGCCCACAAGAAAATTGTGAAAAAACAAATCATTTAACGAGTTCCTTCAAAAATTCACAGCAACTAAACTAGAGAAAAGACTAGAGACCCCCCTCAGCATTGACACACATGTGGAACGGAGCTTTGGGCCAAGAGCCAACTTTTGGTCCATCCTGTAAAGACGTTTTTGAGAGGTCTGCTAATGCTATATGTTAGCATTGGCTAATTCTTATTCCGTGTCCACCCCCACAGGCCCGGGGTGGTATTGCAGCATGTCAGCGCACGTCATTTTGGACACTTTTGAGCCGGGACCCGCTCACACTGGTATTTGGTTCTTCTGTAGCCAGGGGGGTAGCACCAAATTCTGGGCCCCAGGTACAAACACACTGGATGGGCCAGCACTACGTTAATGCGTAATATACATATATAGACACACTGTAGGGGGCCCTTCCCCGCCTTGGGCCCTGGGTATTCGGTATCCTTTACCCCCCCAGTCCGACGCCTGTGTCTGTAGCAGACACAGGTGAAGACGTTCGGTCAAAGACGCTTTTGAGGAAGACGGAAATATACTGTCGAAACATGTTATGGTATCATCACTAACTTACTATTGTCTGGTAAAGAGAAAAGAGAAAGAACTAAATACTTTTGTTTTTACTAAGACAAGATGATTCATTCTAAACTTGTCCTACTTCAAGATTCTCTCATGGTTTAGGTTTATTTCCTGTTTTATTTTGTAATGTGTTACTCTCCGTGTGTTTAGTTGTACTTCCTGTTTCCTGATTACCAGCCCCGCCCTCATGTGTCTCACCTGTGTCTCGTGTGGCTGCCGGATTCGTCCGGAAATTCAGTTTGCACATGTCAGAAGTGTAAATAAACATGTAAACAGTTTTTGTTGTTATATACAGATTATATTCTTGATTTGTGTTCATATGTATCAAGGTTTACTACGAGAAATGGTGGAAAAATACCACCATTGAAATACTTTTAGTAGCCACGAAGCTAGCGCCCAGATGTGTTCAAAGGCTCACGGAGATGAGGCAAACACATAGACACTTTTTGACATGCGCAAACTGAACTTCTGGATGAATCCGGTTTCCGGGATGAATCCGGCAGCCACATCTCGTAAGTCTTGTATTTAGCCCTGTGTGTTCCTTCACTTCCTGCTCCGTCACTGTCATTTCCCGCCTGTTTCGGTTCTGTCCTCGGTCCCTGTGTTTTTGCTGGATCTTGATTTGCATTACTTATTAATATTTTTTCACTCCACCTGACAGATTCTCTGCCGGTTTCTCCTTCACACCATCCTCTTCCTCTTGGTTATCGAAGGCAGTGACACATGTGTAGGCTGCAGCTGCTGCTCCGGGGCCAGAGGTACAGGTCACTCTCAGCCCCAACAGCCTCTACCCCCAGACTGTCAGACAGCTCAATGAACACTGCCTCCCTCCTCACCTCCCTGTAATCCTACACCTGTGGACCGCCTGTGGACCGCCTGTGGACCGCCTGTGGACCGCCTGTGGACCGCCCTGCCCGACCCGCCTGGAGCTGCTCCAGTCCTGCACCAAACCAGTCCACGTTCTACAACCGCTTTGGTCCTCGTTCTACAGTCTGAGTCCTGGATCTATGTGTGTCTGTGTGTACCTCAGGCTCCTGTGTGTGTGTACGTGTGTGTACCTCAGGCTCCTGTGTGTGTGTACGTGTGTGTACCTCAGGCTCCTGTGTGTGTGTACGTGTGTGTACCTCAGGCTCCTGTGTGTGTGTACGTGTGTGTACCTCAAGCTCCTGTGTGTGTGTACGTGTGTGTACCTCAGGCTCCTGTGTGTGTACGTGTGTGTACCTCAGGCTCCTGTGTGTGTGTACGTGTGTGTACCTCAGGCTCCTGTGTGTGTGTACGTGTGTGTACCTCAGGCTCCTGTGTGTGTGTACGTGTGTGTACCTCAGGCTCCTGTGTGTGTACGTGTGTGTACCTCAGGCTCCTGTGTGTGTACGTGTGTGTACCTCAGGCTCCTGTGTGTGTGTACGCGTGTGTACCTCAGGCTCCTGTGTGTGTGTACGTGTGTGTACCTCAGGCTCCTGTGTGTGTGTACGTGTGTGTGTGTGTCTCTCTGTGTGTACCTCCGGCTTCTCCCCCAGCAGCTCCTCCTTCACGGTGTTCTCCTCCTCTTTGCTCATCCTCTTCTCGTGTTTCTTGAAGTATTTCCTTTTTCTGGCCTGAAGATTAAACCAAGTGTAGGCGAAGGCTCGGACCTTTGGCAGCAGCGCCTCGATGAACGGGTGGAACTCATCCTGGACGCACAACACCACACACACTCATCAGGACGCACAACACCACACACACTCGTCAGGACGCACAACACCACACACACTCGTCAGGACGCACAACACCAAACACACTCATCAGGACGCGCAACACCACACACACTCATCAGGACGCACAACACCACACACACTCGTCAGGACGCACAACACAACACACACTCATCAGACGACACAAAACGACACACACTGATCAGGACGCAGAACAAGACACACACTCATCAGGACGCACAACACCACACACACTCATCAGAAGACACAAAACGACACACACTAATCAGAAGACACAACACGACACACACTGATCAGGACGCAGAACAAGACACACACTCGTCAGGACGCACAACACGACACACACTCATCAGAACGCACAGCACAACACACATTCATCAGGACGCACAACACAACACACATTCATCAGGACGCACAACACCACACATACTCCTCAGGACACACACTCATCAGAAGACACACAACACGACACACACTCATCAGGACGCACAACACACACTCAGAAGGACGGACACACTCTCATCAGGAGACACACTTATCAGGACACACACACTCATCAGGAGACACACTTATCAGGACACACACTCATCAGGACACACACTCATCAGGACACACACTCATCAGAACACACACTCATCAGGAGACACACTTATCAGGACACACACTCATCAGGACACACACTCATCAGAACACACACTCATCAGGAGACACACACTCATCAGGACACACACTCATCAGGACACACACTCATCAGAACACACACTCATCAGGAGACACACTTATCAGGACACACACTCATCAGGAGACACACACTCATCAGAACACACACTCATCAGAACACACACTCATCAGGAGACACACACTCATCAGAACACACACTCATCAGGACACACACTCATCAGGACACACACTCATCAGGATACACACTCATCAGAACACACACTCATCAGGAGACACACACTCATCAGAACACACACTCATCAGGACACACACTCATCAGGACACACACTCATCAGAACACACACTCATCAGGAGACACACACTCATCAGAACACACACTCATCAGAACACACACTCATCAGGAGACACACACTCATCAGAACACACACTCATCAGGAGACACACACTCATCAGGACACACACTCATCAGGAGACACACACTCATCAGGAGACACACACTCATCAGGAGACACACACTCATCAGAACACACACTCATCAGGAGACACACACTCATCAGGACACACACTCATCAGGAGACACACACTCATCAGGAGACACACACTCATCAGAACACACACTCATCAGAACACACACTCATCAGGAGACACACACTCATCAGGACACACACTCATCAGGAGACACACACTCATCAGAACACACACTCATCAGGACACACACTCATCAGGAGACACACACTCATCAGGGCCTGTGTGAACAGAGCCAGTCTGAGACAGTTATTGGGATGATTACTGTGGTCTTCACTCTGCACAGATGAAATACTGAAGGTTTAGGAGATCACAGCCCTGTACACACACACACACACACACACACACACAGTGTTCCACTGTTTCTGCTGTACAGTACAGCACAGTACAGCAGAGTAAAGTCCAGCACAGCACAGTACAGTATTCATACGTGACGTCGCTCTGCGCGCAGTGACGTCACCTCTGGAGCTGGGACGGCCCAGGCCACATTAGCCCGAAGTGCAGAGGCTCACAGCGGCTTCAGCAGCACGCAGACATGGGCTGTTCATGGTGTGTGTCCTAGGCCCAACACCAGTACGGCCCTTACTGTGCATGTGCGTGTGCGTGTGCGTACACACAGGCAGAGGTTTGAGCGGAGGCTGCAGGGACACGGGCTTATGGCCCAACTTATCTCAACACATGTTGTCAAGAGTCTGGAGAGCAGAGAGCTGGGCCTGTCTCTGTCCCACTGAAGCGTGGCTAGCAGGCTACAGCAGGCTACAGCAGGCTACAGCAGGCTACAGCAGGCTACAGCAGGCTAACATGAAGTACTCAGGCTGCTCAGGCTGTGGAGGAGTGAGAGCAGAGTCAGCAGAGTCCGCACAGGTCTACAGACACAGCGGCTGCGCACAGTCCTCCTCTGAACGCGCACTGCGTCTTTTTACAAACTGCGCAAAGTGTTCCGTACGTGAGCAGTAAAACAGAATCCTACCATGGCTCCGATCAGCCTCTGCCGACAGCTGCAGCGGCTCCGCGGGAGGCAGCGGCATCAGTCCATTCTGCAGCTTTGATCAAGTTCATGAATGTGTCAGGACCATAGCCGTCCCGTCTCAGCTCCTGCTCCTGCAGCCCCCCTCCGGCCGCAGAGGGAGCTGCTGCTGCTGCTGCTGCTGATGATGATGATGATGAAGATGAAGATGAAGATGCTGGTCTATGAGGGTCACTAACATCTGGAACAGTCTCCTCTGAGACGGGAGAGCCCGACACTGATCAGCTTTAAAACTCAACTCAAACTATGAATAAAAACAAACTCAACATTTCCTCTCCCAAAAGAAACCTCTGTTTTACTGACTAACCATGAAGCATGTCTCTATAAGTAATACCACAGGAGGTCAGAGAAGTGGGCGTGTCCAGTGGACAGAGAAGTGGGCGTGTCCAGTGGACAGAGAAGTGGGCGTGTCCAGTGGTCAGAAGGTCCAGCACTTACTGCTTCTTTGCCTCAGTTCAAACCAGTGTGGGCGGGTCCCGGCTCGAAAGTGGCTAAAATGACGTGCGCTGACATGCCGCAATACCACCCCGGGCCTGTGGGGGTGGACCCAGAATAAGAATTAGCCAATGCTAACACATAGCATCTTCTTACCTTGAAAAACACCCTAATAGATAGGGTATTATCTGTAATAAGCCAGAGTGAGTCGTTAGCATTTAGCATTTAGCCTAGCCCTCTCCTTTGTCGCTAGCGGAGCCCGTGGGGAGTAGCGCCACAATTTTTTACAGCAATTCTGGCTTCAATTTCTTGATAGAATCAGACCGGATTACTTTACTATCGCATTTTTTGCCATTGCCAAACCACAACCTTCCCGTTCGACGCAAACTCTTGACGTCACCCACTACAACACCCTCCTTCCGCGCTCGCTGATTGGTCGGTCGAAATTCAAGCGATTGTAATCGCAAACACAGGGAGCAGACCATGGATGTATAATAATAACTGGATAGGGTATTACTATCTTATAGCTGTCCCACTCATGGGCACAGGGGGCGCTGTGGTACTGCAGACTAAATTCACGTGGGCTTCCCAGAAAAATGTCCCATGGAACTCAATGTAAACTAAAACAGCTCGTCCTCAGCTGACTGAGAACCTGACAGAGAACCTACAGCTTTCATTAAGATGGTATTTTGTGGGGATTTTAGTGTCCCTTGCATCCTGAACTTTTTTTCTTCTTCGGTTTTCTTTAAATCCACACTTTACTGCGACAAATTCTGCTTGTTTCCTTCCCGCTCTGACTCCTGCTCTATTCTTATTCTGGGTCCACCCCCACAGGCCCGGGGTGGTATTGCAGCATGTCAGCGCACATCATTTTGGCCACTTTTGAGCCAGGACCCGCCCCCACTGGGGTGGACCCGGAATCAGAATTAGCCAATGCTAACATATAGCATAGCTCCGGTAGAGCACTATTTTTGGCCCATTAGTTAGAACGGCGGAGATAGGCATGACTACGTGCCTATGGCCAGGACTTCTGGTTTGAAGAACCCTGCATCTGAGAATTGGAGAATGTGCGTCTGGTGCGCGAGGCGTCAGCGTTCCAGCGTCGGCGGTGTGAAAGCACCTTTGATCCTCCTCAATGTAAAAATGGACTCTTTCAAACTCTACAAGTATGCTGCATTGAAAATAATGTTCACTCATAATAAGAGTGATACTAAGCCGCGAAAAACTCCTGTGTGTGCGTTCTCCCCAGTGGGGGAGGACCCAGCTCAAAAGTGGCCAAAATGACGTGCGCTGACATGCTGCAATACCACCCCGGGCCGATGGGGGTGGACCCAGAAGAAGAATTAGGCAATGCTAACATATAGCATTAGCAGACCTCTCAAAAACGTCTTTACAGGATGGTCCAAAAGTTGGCTCTTGGCCCAAAGCTCCGTTCCACATGTGTGTCAATGCTGAGTGTTCTGGACCAGTCTAGTTTAGTCGCTGTGGACTTTAGACGTCTCTCGTTTGAATTAATGGAGCTCGTGCAGCTGACACATGCACAGATGTGTTTTTTCACATTTTCCAGCCCCCGCGGCCATTTTGAATCACTCCATGAGAGCCCAATTTTTGGCCCATTAGTTAGAACCATGGATCTATAATAATAATGGTTAGAACGGCGGAGATAGGCGTGACTACGCCTGGTACTATATACGGTCTATGGTCCCTGCTCAAAAGTGTCCAAATGACATGCGCTGACTTGCTTGCAATACCACACAGATGCGCTTTTTCACAATTTGTTGTGGGGGGGACACTCGCTGCCATTTTGGATAGCTCCAGTAGAGCACAATTTTTTGGCCCAAATATCTTAAAGGCTGCCATTCATATGCACACGATTAAGTGACTGCAGACAGGACCAAGACAAACCCTGGCAGATTCAATTTTAGAGAGAAAAGTTTCCATAAGAAGCCCAACGTGCAGGTAGCATTTTCTATTTCACGGTGCACCACAGATACTGTTACTATCAAATGTATCAGTGTTAAAAACTACAGGGACTAAAACTACAGACTAACATGACCATCTTCAGCAGAGAGCTCAAACATGTGTTGTTTTATTGTAATTGTTTGAAATGTATTTGATCTGTAAAAGCCCCTGTGGACTAGTGTTGAAAACTAGCACATGTGCTTAACACTTACAGCAATGCATCTGGTTTGTCCAATGTTATTGTTATGTCCATATTAGTAAGTAAGTAAGTATTTATTTATATACCGCCTTTTCACTGCAGATCTGAGTCTCAAAGCGGTTTACAATTGTTAATTTTTGGGCATTTGTCTCTCACTCCACACAGAGATGGGAGCGGGGCCAGTACAGGAGGCACATGCCAGAACTATTGGACATATTTTTAGTGGTAGGGGAAACCGGAGTACCCGGAGGAAACCTACGCAGACACGGGGAGAACATGCAAACTCCACTCAGAAAGGCCCTGGTCCGACCGGGATTCGAACCCAGGACCTTCTTGCTGAGAGGCGAGAGTGCTATCCACTCAGCCACCGTATTAAATAAACAAATAAATACAAAAGTTACATAATAATTGGTAATAGCCATTGGTACTTGGCATTACAATATTGTTTTTTTTTATTACTATTATTGGCACATCCTCTCTGCAGAAAGGGCAAGCACTGTGAGTCGTGGCTCAGAAGTTGTGGCTCACGGTTATAGAAAACACATTTCTTTGCTTTTATCTGGGAATTATTATTGACACAATATGGATCTGGAGGCATAGTTTACAAGTAATCATTATTTAACACACTCTTCGTCAGCTGGAATGTGTTTGTACTGTTAATTGGAATCACATTATCACCATTTCCTGCATGTAATACAACTGTAGAAAAATGAAAAAATAAATCAAAGTCAAAAGTTGACTGCAGCTCTGCTCTGAGAAAGCGGCTGAAACACTCTTCCATCACCTATAGACCTGTTTGGACTGACTCTATATATTGTATTTTCTACTTGTTTTCTTTCAGAATATGGAGCCATTGAATTTGAGTCTGAAATAAAGATTGGCAATAGGACCCAAAGAAAACACTGCAGGTTAGAACAAAGGGAAAACCTTTATGGAGTGCTTGGATTGGATTGGCTGGTGGGTCTCTGGAGCAGCTGGTTTGGGAAAAAACACCATTTGAATGAATAAGAAGGAACAGAATGTTAAGACAAGCTAAAGTTTGAGGTTTCACTAGATTCATGCTAAAGATACAGTGCCTTGCGAAAGTATTCGGCCCCCTTGAACCTTTCAACATTTCGCCACATTTCAGGCTTCAAACATAAAGAAATACAATTGTAATTTTTTGTCATGAGTCAACAAGTGGGACACAATCGTGAAGTGGAACTAAATTTATTGGATAATTTAAACTTTTTCAACAAATAAAAAACTGAAAAGTGGGGCGTGCAATATTATTCGGCCCCTTTACTTTCAGTGCAGCAAACTCAGTCCAGAAGTTCAGTGAGGATCTTTGAATGATCCAATGTTGTCCTAAATGACTGATGATGATAAATAGAATGCACCTGTGTGTAATCAAGTCTCCGTATAAATGCACCTGCTCTTTGATTCAATTATATTAAAATGGAAGGCGTATCAGACCACTGCAAATCTACCAAGACCCGGCCGTCCCTCCAAACTTTCATCTCAAACAAGGAGAAGACTGATCAGAGATGCAGCCAAGAGGCCCATGATCACTCTGGATGAACTGCAGATAACTACAGCTGAGGTGGGAGAGTCTGTCCATAGGACAACAATCAGTCGTGCACTGCACAAATCTGGCCTTTATGGAAGAGTGGCAAGAAGAAAGCCAAGATATCCATAAAAAGTCTGGTTTAAAGTTTGCCACAAGCCACCTGGGAGACACACCAAACATGTGGAAGAAGGTGCTCTGGTCAGATGAAACCAAAATCGAACTTTTTGGCCACAATGCAAAACCATATGTTTGGCGTAAAAGCAACACAGCTCATCACCCTGAACACACCATCCCCACTGTCAAACATGGTGGTGGCAGCATCATGCTTTGGGCCTGCTTTTCTTCAGCAGGGACAGGGAAGATGGCTACAATTGATGGGAAGATGGATGGAGCCAAATACAGGACCATTCTGGAAGAAAACCTGTTGGAGTCTGCAAAAGACCTGAGACTGGGACGGAGATTTATCTTTCAACAGGACAATGGGCCTCATTCACGAATAACTTCGTAAGAAACTACTCAACTTTCTTAGCAAAGGAAGGTTTCTCACCCATCATCTGTACTTCTTAGCAAGTTAGCATCAAGTACAGATGATGGGTGAGAAACCTTCCTTTGCTTTGACTAATCCCTGTACGACTGAGGGCTTACACAAACTTACTCAACTTTCTTCTCAAGTTGTCCTTAAGTAGATTTCTAAGAAGTCCCCACGTGGGATTCATCAACGCACTTGTAAGCCGCTGAATTGTTCGCAGCTGTTCTCTCAGATTGATGAATCCCATTTCCTCGTAAGTACAGCGCGCGTGCCAGGTGCTTCATTAGCATAGGTACTTAGCATAAGTAACCGCCCACTAATGCCCATATAAGGGACTGCAGGGCCGTGTGCAGACGGCCCTGCAGCAACAGGCCTAAAGCAAAGAGTTACACGGAGCAAAAGAGTCACCCTTTTTTCTTCTTTTACCAGACTGAGAATAAAGTTATAAAATGTTGACTTAAAAGTCGAAATATTATGATAATAAAGTCGAACTAGCAAAATTATGAGATTAATCTCAGAATATGATGAGATGAATCTCAAAATGTTATGAGCTTAATTTAAAAATATATTATGTATTATTTTAAAGATGAATCTCAAAATGTTTTGAGATTAATCTCAAAATATTTTGGACCCTGGGAGGAGATCCAGCGCGGACCAGCGCTGAGACCAATGCAGACCCGAGGAGAGACTGGAGTGACCAGCACACAGAAACCAGCGCGGACCTATAGGAGAGACCGCATAGACTGGCGTGACCTGACTGGAGAGACCGGTGCGCAGAGACCAGCGCGGACCGAAGAGAGACCGCATAGACCAGACTTAAGAGACCAGTGCGGACCCGTATGGATCCAGGAGCATGCAGCACGGACCCGTATGGAGAGACCAGTGCAGACCCGTATATGGCAGAGACCAGTGCAGACCCGTCTAGATCCATGGGAGAGACCAGTGCAGACCCGTATATGGGAGAGACCAGTGCAGACCCGTCTAGATCCATGGGAGAGACCAGTGCAGACCAGTATAGATCCATGGGAGAGACCAGTGCAGACCCGTATATGGGAGAGACCAGTGCAGACCCGTATAGATCCATGGGAGAGACCAGCGCAGAGACTCAGCGCGGACCCAGTAACCTCCTGCAGCAGCAGTATATATGCCGTTGTTCTGTGGCCCGTGGATAAAGAAATGCCCCCTATAAATAGGAAGGGGTCACTAATACACGGCAAGATTTCCAATGTATTTGATAAAGCGTTGGCACATTTCATTTCAAAATGAATTAAAAAGTAGGCCAGATCTGCAGTGAAAAAGGCGGTATATAAATAAAGATTACTAATAAAGATTACTACAAATAAATAAATACATACATCGATATGACGGACATATCACTGGAATGTTGTATTTTTATTCAACTTCACCAAAGAGGACAACCCCGGCGTGTGAACATGTCGGCACTGAATGCGTACGAGTGCTCCTGAGGACTCGTAGGATTTGTACTTGCCCAAGAGAAATTCTGGTTACGAGAAATATTCGTGAATGCCACTTTCTTCGTAAAAACCGCGTAAGTAGGATTTACGTACAAATCTGTTCCTAAGAACCGTTCGTGAATGAGGCCCAATGATCCAAAACATAAAGCCAAATCTACAATGGAATGGTTCACAAATAGACGTATCCAGGTGTTAGAATGGCCAAGTCAAAGTCCAGACCTGAATCCAATCGAGAATCTGTGGAAAGAGCTGAAGACTGCTGTTCACAAACGCTCTCCATCCAACCTCACTGAGCTCCAGCTGTTTTGCAAGGAAGAATGGGCAAGAATTCCAGTCTCTCGATGTGCAAAACTGATAGAGACATACCCCAAGCGACTTGCAGCTGTAATTGCAGCAAAAGGTGGCGCTACAAAGTATTAGCGCAAGGGGCCGAATAATATTGCACGCCCCACTTGTCAGTTTTTTATTTGTTAAAAAAGTTAAAATTATCCAATAAATTTCGTTCCACTTCACGATTGTGTCCCACTTGTAGTTGTTGTTGTCAACTTGATTCTTGACAACAAATTTAATTTTTATATCTTTATGTTTGAAGCCTGAAATGTGGCGAAATGTTGAAAGGTTCGAGGGGGCCGAATACTTTCGCAAGGCACTGTAGGTCTGTGCCACTGAAGAGACGGAACAATCAGAATCAGAACCATTTTTATTGACACGTAAGAAACAGGACGTCACAGACTGGAAAATGGCTTTGGCTCTCAGTGCAATCAGGTCAAAAGTCGAGAAGAATAAGACAAAATAAAACATTTCTAAACATCTCTAAAGTAAAGCTCTTTCTAAGATTTTAGTTAAAAGTATTATGATTATTTCTATAAACAAGTGCACTCGGGCTCGGTGCACACAATATACAATGTACAGCAGTGGAGTAAGGTGCCTTTGTAAAGGGCAGTAAGGTGCCTTTGTAAAGGGCAGTAAGGTGCCTTTGTAAAGGGCAGTAAGGTGCCTTTGTAAAGGGCAGTAAGGTGCCTTTGTAAAGGGCAGTAAGTGGCTTTGTAAAGGGCAGTAAGGTGCCTTTGTAAAGGGCAGTAAGGTGCCTTTGTAAAGGGCAGTAAGGTGCCTTTGTAAAGGGCAGTAAGTGGCTTTGTAAAGGGCAGTAAGGTGCCTTTGTAAAGGGCAGTAAGGTGCCTTTGTAAAGGGCAGTAAGGTGCCTTTGTAAAGGGCAGTAAGTGGCTTTATAAAGGGCAGTAAGGTGGCTTTGTAACGGGCAGTAAGGTGCCTTTGTAAAGGGCAGTAAGTGACTTTATAAAGGGCAGTAAGTGACTTTATAAAGGGCAGTAAGGTTCCTTTGTAAAGGGCAGTAAGGTGCCTTTATAAAGGGCAGTAAGGTGCCTTTGTAACGGGCAGTAAGGTGGCTTTGTAAAGAACATTAAGGGACAAGGTTATGAAGTGTTCAAGAGACCAACAGCAGAGGGGAAGAAACTGTTCTTATGAGGTGAGGTTCTGGTCCGAATGGGCCGTAGTCTCCTGCCTGAGGGGAGTGGTTGGAACAGTCCATGTGCAGGTGAGAGGGGAGAGGTTGGAACAGTCCATGTGCTGATGAGAGGGGAGTGGTTGGAGCAGTCCATGTGCAGGTGAGAGGGGAGAGGTTGGAACAGTCCATGTGCTGATGAGAGGGGAGAGGTTGGAACAGTCCATGTGCTGATGAGAGGGGAGAGGTTGGAGCATTCCATGTGCTGATGAGAGGGAAGTGGTTGGAACAGTCCATGTGCAGGTGAGAGGCGAGAGGTTGGAACAGTCCACGTGCAGGTGAGAGGGGAGAGGTTGGAACAGTCCATGTGCAGGTGAGAGGGGAGAGGTTGGAACAGTCCATGTGCAGGTGAGAGGGAAGTGGTTGGAACAGTCCATGTGCTGATGAGAGGGGAGTGGTTGGAACAGTCCATGTGCTGATGAGAGGGGAGAGGTTGGAACAGTCCATGTGCAGGTGAGAGGGGAGAGGTTGGAACAGTCCATGTGCAGGTGAGAGAGAAGTGGTTGGAACAGTCCATGTGCTGATGAGAGGGGAGTGGTTGGAACAGTCCATGTGCTGATGAGAGGGGAGAGGTTGGAACAGTCCATGTGCAGGTTAGAGGGGTCAGCAGTGATACGACCAGCACGGCCTCAAGCTCGGGCATCGTAGAGGTCCTGCAGCGCTGGGAGGCTGTGGCCGATCACTTTCTCTGCAGAGCGCACAATGCGCTGTAGTCTGTGTAGTCTGCTGCAGGAAGTACATCCTCTGCTGGGCCTTCTTGATGAGGAGCTGATGGTCGGCTCCCACTTGTGGTCCTGGGTGATGGTGGTGCCCAGGAAACGAAATGACTCCACAGAGATGATGGGGGAGTCAATCAGGGAGGGCAGGGCTGGGGGGACTGTGCTCTTCCGTGAAGTTCAGAAATCATCTCCACTGTCTTCTGGGCATTCAGCTCCAGGTTGTTACCACTGCACCAGGACACCTCCTGTAGGAGACACCAGGAGACCAGCCGGTCCACCTCCCTCCTGTAGGACACCAGCCGGTCCACCTCCCTCCTGTAGGACACCAGCCGGTCCTGTAGGCGGACTCATCGTTGTTGGAGATGGTGGTGTTCTCCACAAACTTGATGCTGTAGGACGTGGTGGAGGGCCAGGTTAATGGCGTCGTCTACAGATCTGTTGGTGAAGGACTCGAGGTGGGGGAGGACCAGGCATTCAAATGACTTCATAACTACAGATGTCAGAGCCAGGGGTCTGCAGTCATTAAGTCCAGTGATCCAGGTCTTCTTGGGGACAGGGAACAATGACTGAGGATTCGAAGCAGGTGGGGACGTGGCAAGACTCCAGAAAACAATCTGGCAGTGAGACCTGGAGAGCTTGATTGTAGGAGTCAGGTGTTCAGAGATCCCACCAGAAAAAACACCAAGTCTGAAAGACACAAGAGGGAGACTCAGAGACCAGGAAATAGACATGATGGGAACAGAGCACTTATATTCTGCACCATTATACAAATGAATCTGTTCATTTTAGCTTGATATAAAGACTCTGACAAATATGATTTTGCCCCACTCTATATGTGTATAAATATATACATAGACCACCCTTACCTGCAGTTCTGCTCCTGGTCCGGGTCTTGGATCAGGTCCTGTGTGATGTCACCCTTGTCCTGGATGTCCTGTGAGCTCAGAGCTTTCAGATCCAGCAACTATTGCTCTGCACTCAATGAATACAAGTGCTTCTGCAGGCACCTCTCTGCATCTGCACAAATACACGTTATTGCAGAGAGAACAGATTATTAAAGAACATGTGATGTCTGTCCTCCTGGGTTCACCTGGGTCTGCTCTGGACACTGATGTCTGTCCTCCTGGGTTCACCTGGGTCTGCTCTGGACACTGATGTCTGTCCTCCTGGGTTCACCTGGGTCTGCTCTGGACACTGATGTCTGTCCTCCTGGGTTCACCTGGGTCTGCTCTGGTCACTGATGTCTGTCCTCCTGGGTTCACCTGGGTCTGCTCTGGTCACTGATGTCTGTCCTCCTGGGTTCACCTGGGTCTGCTCTGGTCACTGATGTTTGTCCTCCTGGGTTCACCTGGGTCTGCTCTGGACACTGATGTCTGTCCTCCTGGGTTCGCCTGGGTCTGCTCTGGACACTGATGTCTGTCCTCCTGGGTTCACCTGGGTCTGCTCTGGTCACTGATGTCTGTCCTCCTGGGTTCACCTGGGTCTGCTCTGGACACTGATATCTGTCCTCCTGGGTTCACCTGGGTCTGCTCTGGACACTGATGTCTGTCCTCCTGGGTTCACCTGGGTCTGCTCTGGACACTGATGTCTGTCCTCCTGGGTTCACCTGGGTCTGCTCTGGACACTGATGTCTGTCCTCCTGGGTTCACCTGGGTCTGCTCTGGACACTGATGTCTGTCCTCCTGATCCTGTCCTCCTGATCAGCCGTGGCAGCTGCCACGGCTGATCAGAGGCGGCCAAAAAATTGGCAACTAGAAGTGTAGTGGCATTTTCAATGGCAGCTAGAAGTTTAGTGGCATTGGGCAGGTGGTGGTTCCCCGATTGTTGATCTCGATGCAGAAAACCAAGCAGGTGAAAATGCCCTCTGCTGAATTTCCAAAGGATGTCGTCTCTGCTGAAAGCCACTTAAATACTAGCTTCCAACCAAAATGCCACTAATCTTCTAGCTGCCACTGAAAAGGCCACTAAAGACAACATCTGCCACTGAAAATGCCAGTAGCAGACATTGTGGCTCAGGCAGGCTCCTGTTGTGCCGTTAATGCTCCGGACACTGATGTTTGTCCTACTCTTGCCATTGAGATTCCTGAGAGGGGGGATCTGAAAAGGGAAGAGAAACTGTGGAAGAAGCATGGGGGAATTCAGAGGGCAGAGATGGAGTTAGGAGGAGAGAGACCGGGGGAGAGATGAGGGTCGGCACTAGATCATATACGGAATTGGGACTAAACTGGAAGTAACAATCCTTCTTTCAAATTAGTTTTGGACTAAAAAGTCCTTAAGTGGTGACTGGTTAAGTTTTAGGTGGTCTGAGTAAGATGTTTAAGGTTAGGGGTTAAGGTGGTCTGAGTAAGATGGTTAAGGTTAGGGTTAAGGTGGTCTGAGTAAGAGGAAGGAGACAGGGGAGAGGGGCAGGGAAGGTTAGGAGGAAGGAGAGTGGGAGGAAGAAGAGGGAGCAGGGGAGACCAGAGGAGAAGAGGCAGGAGAGGAGCAGCGCCGCCTCTTGGAGCTGGTCTCAGCAGTGCACTCGTCGCTGCTACGTTTACGGGAACAAGAGGGAGAAGCAGTGTTAGGAACTGAGTCTCCTGGATCAGAGAAACCTGGAACAGGCACTGAAGGAAGATTAGGAAGCTCTGGACCTAAAACAAACGCCTCCGCATCTGGAGAGGGAGAGAAAGAGCGTGAGGGGGAAGCAAGGAGGGGAGATGGAGGAGCAGTGCCAGGAGGAGAGGGGACGGCTGCACCAAAGATGGGAGGGAAAAGAAGAGGAGCATTAGTGGGGGAGGCAGGAGCTGGATCCAGAGTCTGCAGAGAAAAGTCCAGGAACTCTTCAAGGCTCTGGAAATCTGGGGAAGAAAAAGAAGACAAGAAAGGGGCCGAGGAAGAAGTGGGAGAGAAAGGGCGTGAGGGGGAGGAGAGACGAGGAGAAGGAGGGGCAGAAACAGGTGGGGAAGGGGCAGCTGCACCATCGCTAGGAGGAACCTGAGGAGAAGTAGTGGGGGAGGCAGGAGCTGAATCCAGAGTCTGGACAAAGAAGTCCAGGAACTCCTCAGGGCTCTGGAAATCTGTGGAAGAAAAAACAGAAGAGCAAGAAGCAGAGCGAGACGAGGGATCCACATCAGGAGAGGAAGGTGCTGGGGAAGGACAAAGAAAGTAGGGAGAATCTGGAGGGGAAGAAGATACAGGAGAAGAGGGAGAGTGGACATCCACAAGGTCCACCTGCGGAGGAAAGACGTCCACCTGCGGAGGAAAGAAGTCCACCTGTGGGAGGTAGAAATCCTGAGGTAGGAAGACCACCTGCAGGGGATGGAAACCCTGCGGAGGGAGGACCACCTGCGGAGGATAAAAACCCTGCGGAGGGAGGACCACCTGCGGAGGATAAAAACCCTGCGGAGGGAGAACCACCTGCGGAGGATAAAAACCCTGCGGAGGGAGGACCACCTGCGGAGGATAAAAACCCTGCCGAGGGAGGACCACCTGCAGAGGATAAAAACCCTGCGGAGGGAGGACCACCTGCGGAGGATAAAAACCCTGCTGAGGGAGGACCACCTGCGGAGGATAAAGACCCTGCGGAGGGAAGTGAACTTGATCTTCAAAAGCCCGGGGGGCTTCACGGTGACCTAGAAAAGAAAAGAAGTCAAGTCAAATACACGTCTTTTTTAGCCTCATAATGGTTTTTTTAAATAATTGAAATCTTAATTGCTGGGATGCACCTGACGGCACGCAGTGGCGCAAAAGTGCTCCGAGGGACAGGAAGTAAATCTCCCCATTAAGAACAACGTAAAAAGTCACTGATTCCGAGTCAAAATGGTTTTTTTCTATGGTGTGTACAGTTGTGGAAACTGCTCCCGTCAAGTGGGGAACTTATGGAGTATCTACGAGTGTTGATTTTTTTTTGTGTGTCCTTCATCGTCACGTCAAACATATTGTTCCAATGCAGATGCTGTTTTAATTATATGTAACAGTGCTGCCTCGGTTACTACAGCCGTATACCACACAAAAATGAGGCAAAACTTTTTGAAAGCAATTGGAAAAAGGGGAGAGAGAAAAGGACTCCAACATATCCAGTGTTGTGAGATCAGTCTCTCATAAGTGCCATAGCTCTGTGTGTAATGTGTGTGTGTGTGTGTGTGTGTGTGTGTGAGCGCGCGGCGGTGAGGAGAGAGCTCCTCGGAGGTAGACGGGACAGAGCGAGAGAAAAAAGAGCGAGGTGTATGTAAAGATTAGCGTATTAACATTACGCGAAAAATAAATGGTAGATGTACGATCAGGAAACAATTATTTATAAATTATTATTTATAAAGTAATACATGAAGAAAATTACACAGGTTTGTTAATAATCATTGTCATTAACAAATACTTATAACCAAGGACTACAGCATATATCAATACATGTTTAATAATGTGGTAAATATATTATTCCATTGTATTTTCAATGGAAAACGGACCCGACACACGTCGACGAACGGAACAAATAGGATTGTTTCTATTTCGTCCGTCCGCGTCCGTTGCACCCTCCGTTAACGGAATACGTCCGACGTGCGTTGGACGGACGCATGCGGAGGCAGTGGAGCCACTTCCATTCACCCTCATGGAGATAACGGAGACGAGATGAAACGGACATGTTTGGACGGATCCGTCGTCCGTTTTACGCGCCCGGTGGAGTCGGGGTCTAAAGCCTAGCGTACATCGACAGAGAAACTGGAGACAACTAGTTGCAAGGCGGCTTTTGGCGACTGAGAGGAGATGGTGGGAGATGATCAGTTGCCGAAATCGGTCGATGTGCGCGCTCTTACAACAGTCGGTCTCCAGTTTCAGTCAGTTGCCCGTGTTCTACGTTTCGGCAACTAGTTGTCCTCAGTTTCGGAGATATGACCCGATGTGCGCGCTCCATGCGCCGCTCCGACAACGTGTGTGTATTGCGTGTATTGCGAGCCCGCAACAGTTTATGTCAGAAAACACACTGTAGTTGAGGCCAGTTGCTGTCGATGTACGCGCTGTTATTCCCGAGACTGGTCTGCTACTAGGAGTTGCCCGTTTTCGTCAGATTGTCGATGTGTGCGGGGCAGCAACTCATATGCGACGGATATAATCAGTTGCCAGTCCGATGTACGCTAGGCATTAGGGTTGGACGTTTCAATACAAGCAACTTAACAAATATCTTAATGGCTGCCATGCATATACACACAATGAAGTGACTGCAGACAGGACCAAGACAAACCCTGGCAGATTCAATTTTAGAGAGAAAAGTTTCCATAAGAAGCCCAACGTGCAGGTAGCATTTTCTATTTCACGGTGCACCACAGATACTGTTACTATCAAATGTATCAGTGTTAAAAACTACAGGGACTAAAACTACAGACTAACATGACCATCTTCAGCAGAGAGCTCAAACATGTGTTAAGATCCAGAGCTGTTCTCACATCCACATTTTATTGTAATTGTTTGAAATGTATTTGATCTGTAAAAGCCCCTGTGGACTAGTGTTGAAAACTAGCACATGTGCTTAACACTTTAGTAAGTAAGTATGTAAGTAATGTTTATTTATATAGCGCATTTTACAGACCAAGGTCACCCAAAGCGCTGTACAATGTTCAGAGTTCAGATATTGTTCCAATCATTCCACACACAGTGATGACGGAAGCGAGTCGCCGAACACACTGGCGCATCAGCTCCAACACCATCCATTCACTCTCTCATTTACATTCATACCTATTGTGCAAACACATAAGCCTAAATACACTTAAGCCTAGTGTATAGTCGCGCGGCGCGGACCTTACGGGTGACGTGACGTCACTTGCGCAAAGCGTGGATCACCGCAAGGCCCTTACGTAGCCTGCCGCGCACCCTCAAAAATGTCTAACTACGTAAGGGTCGCCGCAGATAAGCTCCGCTGTGATTGGTCCGTGTGTGTGTTAGGGATGTACCTATCCAGATTTTTTGTGATCCGATCCGATTCCGATATTCTTAAATATTGTTTTGCCTAGGGCTGGGCGATATGACTGAAAACTATATCACAATATAAGTAATTCATATCGGTCGATAACGATATGTAGGATAAATTCAAATGACCTCTTTCCTCAATCAAAGACATTTTGTTGTATATTGAGACATATTATAACTTCTGTCTCAACAGTGTGTAAATCCTTGTGGTTCAGGTTTTATTGTGGGCAAGAATGTCTTAAGATAAGTGCCATGGCAACACCCTTCCCCCAACGACTCTACAACAAGGGAAGAAAAACCAGTCTGCTTTGGAACCACGGAGTGACCCGACCTCCCTGGGCTCTGCCCTGGGCTCTGCCCTGGGCTCTGCCCTGGGCTCTGCTCAGGCAACCAAGGGGCCTTGGGCCTCTTAGATGGCCTCAAACCTCAGCTCCACGTTTGAGAGGACTTCCACAACCCTTCAATAGCCTCCAGCTTCAACCTGAAGAAGTTGCTGAGTTTTGGCACCTAGACTGTGGATCATGGGAGGACCACATGATGCAGCCGCATGGTCCAGGCCCAGGGGACAAGAAGCCTCCATCCAACGCCATCAAGACCCAAGGACTGCTATTCACCAAAGGCTGTTTGATGGTTGTATGATCTGCTCTCTTGCTACACACAGTTGTTGGCTTTATTAAAACCTATACTTCAAAGAATACTTCTCTTACCAAGGCTGAACACATGCAGGCCTCAGCCTATACCAATCCATTCATAGACAAAGGCCTTGCTTAGCTCACTTTAGCCTAGCATTTTAACAATGTATCTTGAAATCAACGTTTCCTTCATGTTATTCTTGACAATTTGCATATTTCATATCTAGTCTGTATTGTGTATACTTCATTAAATCTACAAAACCATCTTTGTCTGAAAGTGATATTTGTACTTTTAACTCCAGAAATTGGGTCACTGATTTGTAAAAGAATTCACTATCTTCAGATTCTATTGAAGAGAATTGGACTAATTAGCTAACTAAATAATGAAAGGACTCATGAGATTACTTAATCAATAAATGAGCCAATTAATTGATATTGTGACGTCATATGCACGTTATCAGTTGGGAGTTATTCCCTGGTGCCCCTAAATAAAGCTATTATCAATTATTGTATTTATTACATGGTTGTTTTTGATCCAATTCTCCGATATCAGGTACATAACTTAAGTTATGTGTGATATCGACATTTTCTCACCCTACAGATATATATTGATTGTTTTTTATTTATTTTCTAAAACGTAAATAAATAAATTTGTCGTGTCAGCTAACACATGTTAGCAGCCTTGTTTACAGTCACGGGGGAATGAGGCTGGAGCCAAATGTTCACAAGCAGTCTCCCCCACTTTAGTCCTGGTTTAATCCTCGTTTAGTCCTGGTTTAGCACCTGTTTTCGAGTGTCCTGTGTCCCCGTGGCGGCTCCGGAAAGTTAATCTCTTGCTTTTGCCGAATGCATCGAGTCTCTGCCTCTCCCGCGCCGCACATGCTGTTCCTCGCAGGACATGTTTAACCATTGACACGGCACTGAGACACGATCTTTAGATCCAGGGCTATTATAATAGATCCATGATCCATGGACGCTACGCATGGTGCGGTTGTTTTTTTTCATTCCCAGAAAGTTTTGCGGTTTGTAGTCGGCTGTGATAGGTCGAGAAGTCTCTGCCTACATCCCCCAGAATGCCGCGCGCTTCTGTCTCGGCTTCACTTCCTGTGTTTCGTTCCTGTTTTTTCGAACGGAGTGAAGTTAAACTATCGAAAGTTCTATCGACCCCGTTTTCTATTGATATCGAACACTTCGCGATATATATCGTTATCGTTTTATCGCCCAGCCCTAGTTTTGCCGATACCAATTCCGATCCAATTTTTTCTAATATTTTCAAGGCATTAAAAATGTTGCAACCAGTATTACTTTAAAAGGTTTTTTTTTTATTATAAAATGATCAAAAATAATGTTTGGCTTTTGGTTAACAGACCTACTGAGTTAAGTCATAGGTAAGAATCACATCAGTATTGAATATTTCACCTTTAAATAAACCTGATATAAAAGAAATATCAAAGAGGAACATTCATCAAAAAGCTGCCCTTAACATTCAGTAAAACAAAAAGAAAACAGCTGGTACATAACTGAATGAGCACAAAAAGCCAGTACTTAACCAGTGTGTGAACTCTGTAAATGTAAACTCCCCAATATTTAACAAATCCGATATTATCCGATCCTTACAAAATACCCATATCGGCCCCGATACCGATACTGAATATCGGATCGGTACATCTCTAGTGTGTGTATTGGAAGGAAGCATGGAGCGGCTGCAGGAGCAGCTTCAAAGGAACCGAAGGAAAAGTAGTTTGGGCTCAGAGCCTGATATACAGAAGACTGTGGACTAGAGCTCTGTTGCATATCTAACTTATATCTAACTTATATCTAACTTATAAACTGTGCAGTCCTTTGTTTTGCACTGTTCCTGTCTTGTTTGAATCGTAGTTTATCGCGTCTGTTGCATTCCTCCTGTACTTGTAAACAGTTCCAAATAGTTCAACAAGAACTGTGTCTTTATTCACAACATCACAGTTAAAGGAGTTGAAACGATGACTTTAGAACGGTCACATAAACCTACAGTAGAAACACATGTAATGATCTCAAACAGCTTCACTATTGTGTTTGTTCTGAAGAGGAGAAAGTAGCAGCACAAATGGGACCGCTTTGGTTTCTCAGGCAACTCATGTGAGTTTGCCATCACATGGTTGGTTGTGGGATTACAACATTTGGGGAACGCACAAGTGTACCACAAACTGTGGTTACTGTACGTAGGTCCAACGTAACCGCAACCGTAAGCAGCGCCGCGCGAGTGTACGCAGGCCTTTATAGCAATGCATCTGGCTCGTCCAATGTTATTGTTATGTCCATATTAAATTAACAAATAAATAAAAAGTTACATATTAATTGGTAATAGCCATTGGTACTTGGCATTGGAATCAAAACGATATTGGTATTTTTTTATTGGCACATCCCTCTCTGAATAGTTCGAAGGCACAAAGGAGGTCAACTTGCCATGCGGTAACTACTGTATTAATAATAACCAATAAGCAACAATAAAAAGCAGAAACACAGAAAAGAGGAACTTACGTGAGGAAGACGAGTGGTCTCCATCTCCAGCGTGGGTTGGAGTGCGGCGGTGGTCTCCTAAGACAAAACAAACATTTATATTAGAAAAGAAAAACATCCAGAATCACTGTCCCCCTAACCACATAAAATAAATGGACAAAGGACAGAGGTTTGTCCGTTTGACTGGGACGGTGCATGTTAATGAACACTACAATACTGGACCAACAACCACTACGACTACCACCATTCACAAACTGTTATAACTCCAAAGCGTTTAATTTTCCAACAGATTTATTAAAAGTCAGTCATTTATACGATTTTGAACCTTTCCTCACTTTTAATAAGTGCTGAACCTGGTTAATATAACTTGAAATACAGCAAAAACAGTTTGTTAAAAGGCTAAATGCTAGCCTAGTGAGGTAATAGGCTCAGAGCCAGAACCAGTCCAAGACCAGTCCAGGACCCGTCCAGGACCAGTCCAAGACCAGTCCAAGACCAGTCCAGGACCAGTCCAGGACCAGTCCAAGACCAGTCCGAGACCGGTCCAGGACCAGTCCAGGACCAGTCCAAGACCAGTCCAGGACCAGTCCAGGACCAGTCCAAGACCAGTCCAGCATGTTGTAAAAGGAGCCATAGAAAGTTGGTTACCAGGCAACCGAAAGTTAGTGGAAGAACATTTCAAAAGTAAACATTTTAGACGGGCGCCATTTTGTTTTCCAGAAACGCAGCAAAAGTGGTGGATTTTAAAGAACCATGAAATAAATACTGTTGTTTTCATGAACATGTCTCACAAAATGGATAGTTTGCTTCCTAAGCTACACATTTATGTAACTTTATCCAAGTTTTCGCTTTTAATTCATCCTTAAATCGTCGAGTGAAAGTCTAACTGCCATGATTTAGAACGTTCAAAGAAAATGATTGTCTTGTTGATCAAGACAATCTGTCTGACGAAGGGCCTCAGCCCGAAACGTTACTATTTTGTGTGGTATGTAAATAAATTACACTGTTTTTGGGAGCTACATAGCTGTGCGGATTATTTTTCACTGTTTTCTACGTCTTGCATTTTTTAATCCAGCACGCCAGCTCAGATTACAGGGATGTGCGGCTTTATTTGACATTGTCTTGTTGATCAGTCACAAACATATGACTGTTCCCATGAATCTATTCTGATGTGTTTGTCACTCAGTACCTTGGCCCCGGTGGTCGTTCATGTCGATGCTTTCTGAAACTTGATTGTCAATCGCTCCATGCTCAAAGTGCAGCTATCTCTGGCTCGGTCAAAGTCAGAGTGACGTCAGGCGGCGGCTGCGTCAGATACGTAAGAAGCGTTGCTATGGAAATTACGCAGCTACGTCGGCTTTATATTATTTTCCAGCATGACTTTTGCCCATGCTTTTGCCACAGTCCTCTCATTGGTGGCTAAGCGAACACATGTTTTACTTACCTCCATATTATTTTCCATCAGGTTTCACTGCTTAATCCCAGCAGAGGCCGCGGGTCGAAGCTCCGTCAGATGTCAGAAATGTGGACAAATCAGCAACAATACTTTTAGATGAGACAGTCTAGTTACGCACACCTGCTGCAAAGTCAGATTAGTGCAAGAATTGTGTGTTTGAGTATTTCCAGATGAATATCTCCCCCATGTCCCACTCTTTACTGCCTCCTTACTGTGCAACAACCACTGCACTGATTTCTATGAGACATCTTCATCTGCTTCAACAGCAACGGAGCATCAGACACCTGCTTTACTCCGTCTTCCTTCATGAAACATACACTGCAGAAGTTCATTGTTGCTGAGGTCCACTTGAGTACGGCCGTGACCCATAATGCATTTGAGTCTGGGATAATCCTCACACATAGTGTCAGTAATGCTCCTGATAAGGCCTGTGTTCACTGAAGCAGCTCCTTCATCAGGATATTATAATAGATCCATGATCAGCTCCATTGACCTCAGAGTTTTATGCACGTAATAATTCTTAGTGAAATCCTAGGAACTAGCGCCCTCTCCTGGCGCTCTACCTTTAGTTTCTGCAGAATGCCTTTAATTCTTACCACAGTGGTTCTTACACAGAAATATACTATATTCTTCTTATACTGCACTGAGGAAACATGTCCGAGAATGTGTGTTAACAAAAACGTTAATTATTTAATGTGTGGCCATTCTAATGAAAGCTGGTCATATACATTGTTGTGATATATCTCATTTTTACACATTTTACCATGTTGGAGACTTTTAGCTGAGGTATAATTTATTTAACTGTTATACTGTTACTGTATTATATAATCTTACAAGATAATATAATACATCCATGCACTGAGCAGTGTCCTCCTCAGCTGTTGTCCATGTTGTCTGTGCAGGTGTGTAAAGGGCAACAGGACATATGATTACAATATTCTTCTTATACTGCACTTGAGGAAACATGTCTGAGAATATCTGTGACCTAAAACGTTAATTATTTAATTTGTGGCCATTATAATGAAAGCTAAATTCATTGTTGTGTATACTCTCTAGTGCGCTAAAAAATTTCCGATGTAGATCATTTTTGCAAGATTTTACCATTACCAATCGATCGATCAATCAATCAAATTTATTTATAAAGTACAATTTATACAGTGTAATCCAAAGTGCTTCACGAGCAATTAAAAGACAGACAAAAACAAAAACAGTGTATATACATATAAAACATATTGTATTAAAAAGATAAAAGTTACGAACATTTAAAAAATAAATGCTTCAGGTATGCATACCCGAATAAGACAGTTTTCAGCCTGGACTTAAACATTGCCAGGGACGAATGAGGCCTGTCTCACAAGCTCAGGAAGACTGTTCCAAATTCTGGCCGGATACATTTGAAACGCTGCCTCCCAATGTTTAGTCCTTAGCCCTATGGCACCAGCAGGAGGCCTGTGCTCCTCAGCGTCCGAGCCAGTTCATATGACGCTAACATGTCTCAGATAAAGTGTGGTGCGAGGCCATGGTGTTCTGAGGGGATGTAGCTCAGTGGTAGAGCGCATGCTTTGCATGTATGAGGTCCTGGGTTCAATCCCCAGCATATCCAAACTTCAATCTTTATCCAAAAAAATCTGACCAGAATAATTTCACAACTTGAAATTATGAAGTTGGAGCAAAACAACAAAGACTATTGCTTTAGTTTAAAATGGTTGTCGCTCAGTGGTAGAGCACATGTGAGAGGTCCTGGGTTCAATTCCCAGCATCTCCAACAGGTGATATTGTTCAAAACCGAGTCAATGACACATCTTGAAACCATGTTTTTTTGGAATAAAAAAACAGGTCAAATTTGTGTGTACTGAGGGGATGTAGCTCAGTGGTAGAGCGCATGCTTAGCATGTATGAGGTCCTGGGTTCAATCCCCAGCATCTCCAAACTTCAATCTTTATCCAAGAAGGTCTGACCAGATTAATTTCACATCTGAAATTAAAAAGTTGGAGCAAATAACAAAGACTATTGCTTTAGTTTAAACGGGATATAGCTCATACACAAGTAGAGCTCCTTTAAGGACAACTCTCTGAGCCACAGGAAGCCAGTGCAGAGACCTGAGGACTGGACTAATGTGATCGTACTTCCTGGTTCTAGTCAGGACTCGAGCTGAGGCATTTTAGCCTGTTTGGACAGACCTGTGAGCAGGCCATTGCAGTAGTCTTACGTGATTATTTTGATTGACGCTGCAATGACTGGGACAAAATTACTAACGTTATTAAAATATATTATAGTCTCCAAACACAATTTAACAAGTAGTCCTTTTGAATCAAATCAAATGCTAAATAAATATTTAAGGGCTTTATATTTGCTCAAAAAAAAAAATCTTTTTTTTTTGTTTGTGTGGAAATCATCTTGCAACCCCCCCAGGGGTTCCCGCGACCCCCACTTTGGGAACCACTGGTCTAACCTACTAGAGACAAAAGCATGGATAAGTCTTTCTAAGTCAGGTTTAGACTCAATAACTTTGATTCTGGAAATGTTTTTTAAATGATAAAAAGCCACTGATGTTATTGAATGTATCTGAATCCAGAACTACCCCAAGATTTCTTAACTGATTTTCAAGTTTCAGGGAGAGAGTGTGCAGGTAACCGGTGACAGTTTCACTTGTTTCTGTTTTATCAGAATTAAGTTGTAGTGGTAATATTTAAAGATCAAACAACAGAGGTCCTAGGATTGACCCCTGTGGTACTCCACAAGTCAAGGCAATTTGGGCCGAAACACAATTTCCAATCTCAACATAATTCATTCTGTCCTCTAGATAGGACCTACGCCATGCCAGAGATCTCCTCCCAGTTCTCCAGTCTCTGCAAAAGGATTTAATGATCCACAGTGTCAACAATCAACAATTACAATGTATTCTTGTATAGCCCTAAAGCACAGCAGTAGTCATCTCAGGGACTTAAAAAAAATAAACATCAAAATCACCAACACAGATCAGAGAACAGTTAAGACACAAAAAGAATATAGACACATGTTGATAAATGTCATACATGTTGTAGAATGTTAAAGTGTCCTGGATCATCACCACAGTCCTTCTAGTTGGACACTAACTGTCCAACAGACCCTCCTGCATCAGAGGAAAAACTCACAAGAAAACCCAGTGGGGAAAGAAGTGAGAAACCTTGGGGAGACCCACATATTGAGAGAGGGATCCGCTCCACACGAACGGACGGGCTAATGATCCAGGACCTAAGCTACAGAACGTGGACCAATGCCACGCAGCGGCCGCAGAGCGTGGACAGGTCCAGTGCAGGACTGAAGCACTCCCAGGCGGGTCGGACAGGGCAGTCCGCAGGTGTAGATGGAGGAGCCAGGTTCAGAGGTCCCGTCGTAGCACCATGAAATAGAAAATGGGGTAAATAGCAATTAACAAACTACAGTCAAAATCCTGGGGGCGACAGTAGCTCAGTTGGTAGAGCTTTGGCCTTCAGGCCTGAAGGTCGTGGGTTCAATTCCCACCTCTACACCTTCTCCACCGACTGTGGACTCACCACCTGCAGAGGGTCAGTGAGGGGCTGGTGCTATGAGACTTGGGTGGCATCTCTGATTGCCACCCCCCTGACCCAGAAATGGATTAAAGGGTAGAAAATGGATGGATGGATGGACAGTCAAAATCCTAATAATGCAGACAGATAAAGTAGGAAGGAGAAGAAGTTAGCATACTTCTCCAGCAGGGTGCTCCCTATGCAGCTTGACTGACGGTCTAAGATGTTTAGCCTTCCCTGAGTCTTACCTTCCTATCCATATGCCAAACTGAAGACGACTGTTTTAGGCCTAGTCTTGAATATAGAGACTGTGTCCAAACGAAGGAGAGACAGGATTACACACCAAGTGTGTAAACCAAACCAGACAAACAATCTAACCATATGCTGAATTGAAGAAGAGTGTTTTAGAGCAGTTTAGTCACTCAAGGTTTTTTTGTGTGTGGTTGCCTTGGTAGGTAAGTATACTTTATTGTCCTCGTGGAGAAATCGGTCCTGTGCATTTGACCCATTCTGCGTTGACACTTGTTACAGTGCAGCAGCTGTCCCATTTCCACATTTTAATGCTCAGCTTGGTCAGGACTGCCGGAGCTGGAGGATTGTACATGTTTTTGGTAGTAGCTAGTTGGCTGTAGGACTTAAACATGAGACTTCGAAATTTAAAGGAATCACTCAATCACTGAAATGTTGTTGCCGCCTTCAGTCAGACATAGACTGTAAATATTAACGGATGTATTCACGCCTTTATCTGCCGTTGAAACTAATAGGATAGGGTTAGCCAAGGCCACAGATGGCGCCCGCAGTTCTGCAGCCTAAATTCACGTGGGATACCCAGAAAAAAGTCCCATAGACCTCAATGTTACTAAAAGAGCTTGACAGCTTTCATTAAGGGTGCATTTTGTGGGGATTCCTTCCTGCTCTGATCAGCAGCTCTAATTTGGCGCAAAGCATCATGGGAGCTACTCCATTGCGCAGAACTGGGAGGACCAAACGATGGCCAAATATGAGCGAGTTCCGCTAATCTTTTGGTCCCCATGTATGTCCCATGCGCTACTGAGCACAAGCCATTGACTTGATTAGGGCGCCATCACTTTTGGCTTCTATGGGGCTTTTTCAAAATGGCAGCGGCAGCCCCTCCACAGCGGCTAAACAAGAGTGGTCCAAAAAATATACTCCCCTCAGCATCAACAGCATCTGGAACGTAGCCATTGGACCATCCTGTAAAGCCGTTTTCGAGAGGAAAGAAGACGCCATACAAAGCATTGGATAATTCTCTTTCTGGGTTCACTCCCTCAGGCCTGGGGTGGTATTGCAAGTATGTCAGGGCACATGCTCATGGATGTTTATGAGCAGGTGTTCTGTCGAGTTGGTCTGCCCCGTCGAGATGATCTGGCTCATCTGTTAATGATGTAATGGAAACCTGCGCATGCGCGTCTCACGGCAGCCGAAGCAATCCAAGATGGCGGACATGTAGTCCGCGAATTGCTTTAAAAGTTTAATACAAACGAATTAAGACACGAATGTCACTTTTAATGCAATTTGAGGCGAGATCTTGATGGTTCCAAGTTGTGATATGTGTGTTTTAAGAGTAAGAATTTCGTATAAAGTTTGTTTTAAGTAGTCCACTGATCCTGTGAAACTACACTGCTGCTGTGTGATCGCTGTCCCTGAGTTGACCGCTGCATACGTCATTTCACTGACGTAGGCCCATGACGCGTCCTGTGACTGATCTGTCGGGTTGATAATGGAAATAATAAATTACATGTTATGCATGTATCATACTGGATTGATATATGATTGAATATGATTAACAATAGTGTGTTCAAACGAAATATTTAATTAGATCGAGTTTTTTCCCCATTCTGGCGGGTTTGTGCGCATGCGCAAGTCAGATTTGGGCACACTAGCAGTGTAGTTTCACAGGAGCAGTGGACTGCTTAAAACAAACTTTACACGAAACTCTTACTCTTAAAACCCACATATCACGACACGGAACCATCAACATAAATTGCACCTCAAATTGCATTAAAAGTGACATTCGTGTCTTAAGACAAAATGTAGAGTCATGCCCATGTGAAAACGCCTTATACTCTTGTGTCCAGTTCAAAATACAGAACAAACAGAGATACATCGTAATTAAATAAGAACAACACATTTAAACTTTATTCAAAAAATCAGATATATTATGTACAACTATGATCAAAGGTAAAGCAAATGGAGATTCAGTCCAGAATTCAATCTTTCCCCATAAACGTCACACAGGACTTTCTGACTGAGAGTGCCCCTGCTGGCCATCAGTGACCACTACACCTCCAGCTGGGACCACAGGTAGACGCTTCAGTGCATCATTCGGCCACTCACACGCGGGGGTCAAATACCACTGTACAGAAGCCCCACCAACCACCAATCACACTGGAGTCATACTAGGCAATGTGGGTAAATTGTCTTGCCGAAAGAGACAACAACAGCAGCAGATGATTGGAGAATAATGCTATCAAGAAGTATTCTACAATATTTATGAGGGAAAGGCCAATACCAGTCTGGGACCTGTTCAGTTCGGACGCTTTGTACAGATTATTATTGTAATAACCTCAACTCGACTTTGCAAGATTCTGTAGAAGATGTTTCAAAGACAGAGCCTATTGTGGATTTATGGATCTCAGCAGAAGACCTCAGGAGGAGCCCTTAGCAGGAGCCCTCAGCAGGAGCCCTCAGCAGGAGCCCTCAGCAGGAGCCCTCAGCAGTGGATCTCGTAGGCGATCTGAGAGTCTATGAACAGTCCGCTGTGGTTCAGGTACAGGCCCTCAGACTCGGCCGTCAGCACCGGCTCCGCTTCTCCTCCTTCCCCTGCCATCCTTCTCAAAGTCCGCGTGTCGTCCAGCTGTTTGGGGGCCTGGGGGGGGCTGGAGGGCGGCCCCTGAGTGGAGCAGTGGGTGGAGCTCTCAGTTGGGGGGGCGGCAGTGTTGACGTCGGGCGGAACCACGGGCGGAGGCACAGGTTTGGCGCGGTTCAGGACGTACATCTCGTGGCCACGCTCGTCCCGGTACTCCTCCAGCTGTGCGAAGGTGGTGGGGCCGTCCGAGTAGTCGTTCACATACAGGATACTCTCCTCCTGAGGACACAGAGAGAACAAGCAAAACACACACATGCATTCAGGCTGTGATGCTAGTGACTGCGGTCGACAGTGGGTGTGTACCACTCTGTCTGGTCAGTACCTCTCTGTCTGGTCAGTACCTCTCTCTGGTCAGCACCTCCCTCTGGTCAGTACCTCTCTGTCTGGTCAGTACCTGTCTGTCTGGTCAGTGCCCGTCTCTCTGGTCAGGACCTGTCTGTCTGGTCAGTACCTTTCTCTGGTCAGTACCACTCTCTGGTCAGTACCTCTCTGTCTGGTCAGTACCTGTATGTCTGGTAAGTACTAGGGTTTAATCCCGGGATACGGGATTCCCGGGAAATCTGATGAAAACTATTTCCCGATTCTCGGGAAATGTTATGACGGGAAACGGGAAATGAAAGTAAAAAAAAAATACAGTGCGCTCCTATTATAAAGCACGTTTATTGTTGTTCAAAGTTCAAACATATTTCATTTACAATCAACATGTCTACAGCTGAGAGGATGGCTCCTAAATTGTGTTTTTGACAACAAATATGGGTCTTAATCGCACTAAACCACGACTTGTAATGAGGCCAGGCTCAGGGTACGGGGCGCATGTGAGCCCAGAATTTGGTTACGTCCAATTCTATCAGAAAGCTCCTTTCTTTTTTCCATCTGCTAAGGGCAGCAACAGGTTTGGCTAACATACATATAACACATTTTAAAATCATATAAAATGCATTTAGGGTAATGTTCTGCTTACAATGACGATAGGAATGATAAGGAAGAGAGGAGAAGGGTAAGAAGGTTGATATTAGAAATTGGAAAACACAGAGAAGTTTATGGAGGTGGCACCCGTTTTGTTTTACGCTTTAAAACTCTTTGGGCTTATTTCCAAATGGGGGATTACATATCTGCGCTCAAACTATTATCTGGACTTAAACATGAAACTGGTCTGAACTGAAGTGGTCTGTGCTGTTCATTAATAACTAAGGTAAGACCCATAACACAATTGGAAATGTGCCTTTTACGAACTTTTGCGTTTTGTTTGAGCAAACAATGCGGGCCGTGGAAAACATTCTGCTGTAGCCAAACTAATTGTGAATAAGCCGCTCTGTAGGTTCTGTTGATTTATATGATATATGTTCATCTGACAGGGCTGAAGTCAGTGCCTCCAAACCACACCGCACGTCACTTTTCGACAAGTGGATTGCGCAGACATTTAGAATCTCATAATAGTGAAATTCCTGAAGAAAGCCCATCAACAAAACATCTGAAAACGCTATGGCTACTTTAGCAAAGCTAGCAAGTCACTTGGTGAAACACTAGTGGAGATGGCAGCTTTTGTTGGATTATATATTTGAGTGATATCATACATTACTTGGGCTAAAAACAACAGCTATTTCCCGGGATTTCCCGGGAAAGGCGTCGTCTTTTCCCGGGATTTGATACGTCTCATTTTCGGGAAAAATATTAAACCCTAGTAAGTACCTCTCTCTCTGGTCAGTGTCCGTCTCTCTTGTCAGTACCTCTCTCTGTTCAGTCCCTCTCTGTCTGGTCAGTACACGTCTCTTTAGTCAGTACCTGTCTGTCTCGTCAGTACCTCTCTGTCTGGTCAGTACCTCTCTCTCTGGTCAGTACACGTCTCTCTAGTCAGGACCTGTCTGTCTGGTCAGTGCCTGTCTGTCTTGTCAGTACCTTGCTCTCCGGGTGCTGGGGGTCCTTGTCTGTCTGCTGCTGCCTGCTGTAGATCATCAGGAGCAGCAGCAGAGCAGTCAGAGCTAACAGAGAGATGCCCACAGCGATGGCGGTCTGCGTGGCGGGGCCCAGGGCGCTGAAGGCCATGCTGCCCAGAGCGTACAGCGGCTCTCGCGACACCTCTGGGCCGTGGTTGCGGGGGCGGGGCCAGGCCGGGGCGTGGGAGGAGAGCTGGGACCACGAGGCCCACATGGAGGTGGAGGAGTTGATGGCGAGCTGGAAGGTGACCCTGGCCACGCCCCCTGCGTTCCAAGCCTCGCACTCGTAGAATCCGGCGTGGCCCACCGTCACGTTACTGAGGAACAACATCCCGCTACCGGTGTCCGGGTCGAAGCGCTCCACTCTGTGCACCGCCTCCGAGGGCCCCTCTGACGGGCCCTCAGCCCGACCCACCACACCAGCCCCAGGCTCCTGCACCAGGCCCCGAGGGGAGAGGGCCGTCTTCCCCTGGGACGCCTTCCTCCATGTCACCTGCACACACAGACACACACACATGTATATATACACACATATGTACATATACACACACATGTACAGACACAGACAGACACACACACATGTACATGCTGTATACACACACACAGACACACACACATGTACATACTGTATACACACACATGTACACACACAAACAGACACACATGTACATATACACACACATACGGATATGTACACACACAGTGCGAGTAGTGTGTACCTGTGCTCAGTGTGAGTTTGTACCTGTGCTCATTGTGAGTAGTGAGTGTGTACCTGTGCTCATTGTGAGTAGTGAGTGTGTACCTGTGCTCAGTGTGAATAGTGAGTGTGTGTACCTGTGCTCAGTGTCAGTAGTGAGTGTGTGTACCTGTGCTCAGTGTCAGTAGTGAGTGTGTACCTGTGCTCAGTGTGAGTGTGTACTTGTGCTCAGTGTGAGTGGGTACCTGTGCTCAGTGTGAGTGTGTACCTGTGCTCAGTGTGTACCTGTGGGCGGGGGTACCCCGAGGCGTGGCATGACACCCGCAGACTCTCCCCCAGCCGCACGGCGAGGCGGCGGGGCTCCAGCTGCACCACGGGGGGGATGCAGACCAGGCTCCTCAACGGCACCTCCACCAGACTGAGCAGGGAGAGCCGCGGGGGGTCGGCACACACCAGGCGGCGCTCGGCGGAGCTCAGCAGCCTCTGACCCTCCTCATCGATCCAGCGGCGCAGCCAGTGCAGCGCGCAGTCACAGCGCCACGGGTTATCTGCACACGCAGCATCGCTCTGTGTGTTAGTCACATTACACTGAGTACAGTTTATTTATAAAGCACATCTACCAACAGTGGACACTGTGGCCCTGCTAATATATTCAATCTCGTAAGAGCCCACAGCGTGGCGAGGGCCGTGGCGAGGGGCGTGGCCTGATCACATCCGGTAACAGCTGCTCAGAGACACATCACGTGTCTGCTCTGACAGAGAAGGAAGTCTACCGCCCAAACATGTGTTCATCCAGCTTCTTTACACTTATAGGAACCTTCTAAACCTTAAACATAAGGAGACAAAATTAACTTATTTTATAAATATTATTTAACCTTTATTTAACCCGATATAACAAAGTCCTTCTCATTGGATCGAGGTTGGGAGTTCTACTGTTTGAGGCCTGCGACTTCAGGCAGATCAGTTATTTTTGGGAGTTCAGGAGTTTAGAATAGTGACATTATTGACATCTCTTTTGTAAACACTCGTCTATCTCTGCCTTTTCCCACAGCTCTAGCTTCATCCTCTGTTGGTGTGTTCAGGCTGAAGCTCCCAGGGGCCACACTCACCCGTCATGCGCAGCACCTGCAGACTGACCAGGGGCCTCAGGGAGACGGGGCTCATGGTGTGGAGGTTGTTGCGGCTCAGGTCCAGCAGGGCCAGAGAGGAGAGACCGGACAGAGCCTGATCCGACAGCACCTCGATGCTGTTCTGCTGAAGATGGAGCTCCTGGAGACGCTGCAAACAGACGTCACACATGTGTCCTGGAACACACTAACATCACACGTGTGGAACACACTGACGTCACACGTGTGGAACACACTGACGTCACACGTGTTCTGACGTCACACGTGTGGAACACACTGACGTCACACAAGTGGAACACACTGACGTCACACAAGTGGAACACACTGACATCACACAAGTGGAACACACTGACGTCACACAAGTGGAACACACTGACATCACACAAGTGGAACACACTGACGTCACACAAGTGGAACACACTGACATCACACAAGTGGAACACACTGACGTCACACAAGTGGAACACACTGCACTGACCCAATCCAATTTGTTTATAACACACATTATTATTTCACTGATGTAAGAGTTACAAGGTTGTGTGTGTGTGTATGTATTTATCTCCTGTGTGTGTGTGTGTGATTGTGTGTTTGTATTTACCTCCTGTGTGTGTGTGTGTGTGTTTATCCCTGTGTGCGTGTGTGTGTGTGTTTGTGTTTACCCTGGGTGTGTGTGTCTGACCTGGAGGCCCCTGAAGCTGTGGTCTTGCAGCCGTGTGATGTCGTTGCGGGACAGGTAGAGGATGCGGAGGTGGTCCAGGCCCTGGAACAGGTCGGGGCTGAGGAGGTGGATCCTGTTCCCGTTCAGAGCCAGCTCCAGGAGCTGGGCCTGGTGCTCGAAGGACCCCGGCTCCACCGCCGAGATACTGTTGTTCTGCCCCGGGACCAACGGTACGTTAGGAAATGCAAATACACACTAGTGCATATACACACTAGTGTATATACACACTAGTGCATATACACACTAGTGCATATACACACTAGTGCATATACACACTAGTGTATATACACACTAGTGTATATACACACTAGTGTATATACACACTAGTGCATATACACACTAGTGTATATGCACACTAGTGCATATGCACACTAGTGCAAATACACACTAGTGCAAATACACACTAGTGCAAATACACAGTGCAAATACACACTAGTGCAAATACACACTAGTGCAAATACACACTAGTGCAAATACACAGTGCAAATACACACTAGTGCAAATACACACTAGTGCAAATACACACTAGTGCAAATACACACTAGTGCAAATACACACTAGTACAAATACACACTAGTACAAATACACACTAGTGCAAATACACACTAGTGCAAATACACACTAGTGCAAATACACACTAGTGGAAATACACACTAGTGCAAATACACACTAGTGCAAATACACACTAGTGCAAATACACACTAGTGGAAGTACACACTAGTGGAAGTACACACTAGTGCAAATACACACTAGTGCAAATAAACACTAGTGGAAGTACACACTAGTGCAAATACACACTAGTGCAAATACACACTAGTGGAAGTACACACTAGTGCAAATACACACTAGTGGAAGTACACACTAGTGCAAATACACACTAGTGCAAATACACACTAGTGCAAATACACACTAGTGGAAGTACACACTAGTGCAAATACACACTAGTGCAAATACACACTAGTGCAAATACACACTAGTGGAAGTACACACTAGTGGAAGTACACACTAGTGCAAATACAAACTAGTGCAAATACACACTAGTGCAAATACACACTAGTGGAAGTACAAACTAGTGCAAATACACATTAGTGCAAATACACACTAGTGGAAGTACACACTAGTGCAAATACACATTAGTGCAAATACACACTAGTGGAAGTACACACTAGTGCAAATACACACTAGTGGAAGTACACACTAGTGCAAATACACACTAGTGGAAGTACACACTAGTGCAAATACACACTAGTGGAAGTACACACTAGTGGAAATACACACTAGTGCAAATACACACTAGTGCAAATACACACTAGTGGAAGTACACACTAGTGGAAGTACACACTAGTGCAAATACACACTAGTGCAAATACACACTAGTGGAAGTACACATTAGTGCAAATACACACTAGTGGAAGTACAAACTAGTGGAAGTACACACTTGTGCAAATACACACTAGTGCAAATACACACTAGTACAAATACACACTAGTACAAATACACACTAGTGCAAATACACACTAGTGCAAATACACACTAGTGCAAATACACACTAGTGCAAATACACACTAGTGGAAGTACACACTAGTGGAAGTACACACTAGTGCAAATACACACTAGTGCAAATACACACTAGTGGAAGTACACACTAGTGCAAATACACACTAGTAAAAATACACACTAGTACAAATACACACTAGTGCAAATACACACTAGTGCAAATACACACTAGTGCAAATACACACTAGTGCAAATACACACTAGTGCAAATACACACTAGTGCAAATACACACTAGTGGAAATACACACTAGTGCAAATACACACTAGTGCAAATTCACACTAGTGGAAGTACACACTAGTGGAAGTACACACTAGTGCAAATACACACTAGTGCAAATAAACACTAGTGGAAGTACACACTAGTGCAAATACACACTAGTGCAAATACACACTAGTGGAAGTACACACTAGTGCAAATACACACTAGTGGAAGTACACACTAGTGCAAATACACACTAGTGCAAATACACACTAGTGCAAATACACACTAGTGGAAGTACACACTAGTGCAAATACACACTAGTGCAAATACACACTAGTGGAAGTACACACTAGTGGAAGTACACACTAGTGCAAATACAAACTAGTGCAAATACACACTAGTGCAAATACACACTAGTGCAAATACACACTAGTGGAAGTACAAACTAGTGCAAATACACATTAGTGCAAATACACACTAGTGGAAGTACACACTAGTGCAAATACACATTAGTGCAAATACACACTAGTGGAAGTACACACTAGTGCAAATACACACTAGTGGAAGTACACACTAGTGCAAATACACACTAGTGGAAGTACACACTAGTGCAAATACACACTAGTGGAAGTACACACTAGTGCAAATACACACTAGTGGAAGTACACACTAGTGGAAATACACACTAGTGCAAATACACACTAGTGCAAATACACACTAGTGGAAGTACACACTAGTGGAAGTACACACTAGTGGAAGTACAAACTAGTGGAAGTACACACTTGTGCAAATACACACTAGTGCAAATACACACTAGTGGAAGTACACACTAGTGCAAATACACACTAGTGGAAGTACACACTAGTGGAAATACACACTAGTGCAAATACACACTAGTGCAAATACACACTAGTGGAAGTACACACTAGTGCAAATACACACTAGTGGAAGTACAAACTAGTGGAAGTACACACTTGTGCAAATACACACTAGTGCAAATACACACTAGTAAAAATACACACTAGTACAAATACACACTAGTGCAAATACACACTAGTGCAAATACACACTAGTGCAAATACACACTAGTGCAAATACACACTAGTGCAAATACACACTAGTGGAAGTACACACTAGTGGAAGTACACACTAGTGCAAATACACACTAGTGCAAATACACACTAGTGGAAGTACACACTAGTGCAAATACACACTAGTGCAAATACACACTAGTGGAAGTACACACTAGTGGAAGTACACACTAGTGCAAATACACACTAGTGCAAATACACACTAGTGGAAGTACACACTAGTGCAAATACACACTAGTGGAAGTACACACTAGTGCAAATACACACTAGTGCAAATACACACTAGTGCAAATACACACTAGTGGAAGTACACACTAGTGCAAATACACACTAGTGCAAATACACACTAGTGGAAGTACACACTAGTGGAAGTACACACTAGTGCAAATACACACTAGTGCAAATACACACTAGTGGAAGTACACACTAGTGCAAATACACACTAGTGCAAATACACACTAGTGGAAGTACACACTAGTGCAAATACACACTAGTGCAAATACACACTAGTGAAAATACACACTAGTGGAAGTACACACTAGTGCAAATACACATTAGTGCAAATACACACTAGTGGAAGTACACACTAGTGCAAATACACATTAGTGCAAATACACACTAGTGGAAGTACACACTAGTGCAAATACACACTAGTGGAAGTACACACTAGTGCAAATACACACTAGTGGAAGTACACACTAGTGCGAATACACACTAGTGCAAATACACACTAGTGGAAGTACACACTAGTGCAAATACACACTAGTGGAAGTACACACTAGTGCAAATACACACTAGTGGAAGTACACACTAGTGGAAATACACACTAGTGCAAATACACACTAGTGCAAATACACACTAGTGGAAGTACACACTAGTGGAAGTACACACTAGTGCAAATACACACTAGTGCAAATACACACTAGTGGAAGTACACACTAGTGCAAATACACACTAGTGGAAGTACAAACTAGTGGAAGTACACACTTGTGCAAATACACACTAGTGGAAGTACACACTAGTGCAAATACACACTAGTGCAAATACACACTAGTGGAAGTACACACTAGTGGAAATACACACTAGTGCAAATACACACTAGTGGAAGTACACACTAGTGCAAATACACACTAGTGGAAGTACACACTAGTGAAAGTACACACTAGTGTCACTTTAAAGAATGTTGTGATGTTTTTAACCTGTGGCAGTGAGGAAATGTAGCTGTTGAGCTAGTTCCAGAATCTGAACATCAAAGCTGTCGTTGATATTAAGAAGAGCTCTACATATGGAGGAATGAGCCAAAATACCAGCAACAGTGTGAAAACCATGTGGAGAAATGTTTGTCATTGGCACCAAAGGGAATATAACAAAGTACTGAGATGGAGTTAGTCCTGGAGATAGTCCTGGAGTGAGTCCTGGGTAAAGACTCACCTGTAGGTAGAGGTAGTGCAGGTGCCGGAGCGGGGCCAGGTCCTGTTTGCGGAGGTGAGTGATGTGGTTGTCCTGCAGGAAGATGGTCTGTGCCAGAGGAGAACACATCAGTCTGACCCAGGACAGTACAGATGCTTTCCAGGCACTATATATTTATATTTTTAATTTATGTTTTTGTTTATATATTAGATAATATTATTTATATTTACTGTTGTTTTCTGTCAGTTTGAGACCATTCTTCAACTTTATAAAGGCAAAAAAAATTTTTTTTATATAACAGCTTGTACTTGCAAAGTGTGTGTGCGTGTTCTCAGACCTGTGTAGATGTGCGTGTGTGTGTGTGTGTGTATTCGTTCTCAGACCTGTGTGCGTTTCAGACCTGTGTGTGTGTGTGTTCTCAGACCTTTTGTGTGTGTGTGTGTGTATGTGTTCTCAAACCTGTGTGGATGGGGGCATGTGCTTCGGGGCCTCCCTCAGACTGGTGGAGCCACACTCCACTGTGAGGCTGTAACATCTGCAGCTGAAAGGACACGGTGGAGAGCTGGACCCTCCAGGAACCAGAGGAACCAGGAGGAGAAGGCCCAGAGTGGCCCCCCACAGAGACATCCTCCCAGCAGCAACCTGTGCAAAGGATCAACAGAACATGGTCATTGGTCCATAAAGGATCAACAGAACATAGTCATTGGTCCATAAAGGATCAACAAAACATAGTCATTGGCCCATAAAGGATCAACAGAACATAGTCATTGGTCCATAAAGGATCAACAAAACATAGTCATTGGTCCATAAAGGATCAACAAAACATAGTCATTGGTCCATAAAGGATCAACAGAACATAGTCATTGGCCCATAAAGGATCAACAGAACATAGTCATTGGTCCATAAAGGATCAACAGAACATAGTCATTGGTCCACAAAGGATCAACAGAACATAGTCATTGGTCCACAAAAGATCAACAGAACATAGTCATTGGTCCACAAAGGATCAACAGAACATAGTCATTGGTCCACAAAGGATCAACAGAACATAGTCATTGGTCCACAAAGGATCAACAGAACATAGTCATTGGTCCACAAAGGATCAACAGAACATAGCCATTGGTCCACAAAGGATCAACAGAACATAGTCATTGGTCCACAAAGGATCAACAGAACATAGTCATTGGTTCATAAAGGATCAACAGAACATAGTCATTGGTTCATAAAGGGCAGATGAACAATGTTAGATCTCCTTAAAGGTCCTGGATCATCACCACTGTCCTTACACCAGCACTGCAACCACAGCATCCGCGACAGAGGAGGAGAACATGGTCCACTCAGAGCTACATCCCCATCCTCCTCTAGGACCCGGGAGAAACTCTCCTCCTCCGGGACCTGGGAGAAGGAGTTGGAAGTCCGCCTGACAGGGGGCAGAGCGAGACGTTCCCAGCAGACCCTCACTACATGCTTGGGTCTGCCAGGTCTCAGCAGCTTCCTCTTGAGGCAGATCCAACTCACGACCAGGTGGTGACCGGTTGACAGCTCTGCCCCTCTCTTTAGCTCCGCCCCTCTCTTCACTCGAGTGTCCGAGACACTCAGACGAAGGTCAGATGATACAACAACAAAGTGGATAACCGACCTCCAGCCTCAGGTCCTGGCGCCCCCTGGTGGACACCCTTGTGCTGGAACATGGTGTTCGTGATAGACAAACTGTGACTGGCACAGAAGTCCAACAACTGAACACCGCTCGGGTTCAGATCAGGGGGGCCGTTCTTCCCCTTAACCCCTCTCCAAGTGTCACTGGCATTTCCCACATGGGCGTTGAAGTCCCCCAGGAGAATAACGGAGTCTCCGGTCGGTGCACCGTCCAGTACCCCTCCCAAGGACTCGTAGGCACAACAACAGTGAGAGACTTGTCCCCCACCCAGAGGCGGAAGGACATGAGTTCAGACTCCTCCCACAATGAGGTGACGTTCTATGTCCCCACAGTCAGATGTAGCATGCGTGGACTGGGTTGTCGAGGTCTCAGCCTTCAACCACCATCCAATCCTCTGGGTGCCCGACCCAGAGCAAAGGCCCGGCCTCCAGGCGCTCGCACACAAGATCCAATCCCAGGCCTGGCTCCAGGGTGGGGGTGATGTCACGTTCCTTGATTGTAAACTATAATATAAACTATGGTTTTGATTATACTTCGTCTGACTTTTAATTGTCACAAAATGGATTCCTATTGACCTAAAGACATGTTGATATTTCACCGTGGTCTAACTTTACAAAGTTTCTTCCAAATGCAAAGTGAGCAGCCGAGACATGAACAGTAAATGCAGCTCAGATGTGTCACATATTTGGATCTGGCATTAACAAACTTACACAGGTACCTTTTATTTGTAAGTCGTGCAATAAAATACCATAACTTTTGGTCCTGAACACAGACGGCTCCACCTTAACACGCCTTTCAGAAGATTGCTGGTTTGTGTGAAAATGCCTGAAGAGTTATAATGATCTCATGTGTAGGAATGAGTGAATTATAAAAGAAAATATGAAATAGCTTTAACTTTAAGGTATAGGAGCATTTTAAACTTCCTGGTGGATCATCAAGACTAATGCTCCGAACTGTCAATCATTCTGGTGATACTACGTCGTAATAAGTGGAGAGGGCGGTTCTTTCCTAACATTTGGGGAAATCCTCTTATAAACCTTTAACATATCTTTGAGTGAATTAAATACATTTTGCTGTTAGTCCATCTTAGATCATTGCAGTAGATAACCACAAACCATAGGTTCTCACACGTCACCAAAGCATTTAGAACAAAACATGATCATTTACCTGTGTTCTTGGATGTGTTAGAGCAGCAGGCTCGGACAGGCAACTTTAGGTGATATTAGGGGTTAGTCAACGCCTTCAACTTCACATGTTGCACAATCCAAGCCGTTTGACCAGTGCCCAGTGTTTGCAGCGGATGCAGAACAACATGTTGTCGGGGGTGGGGATGGAGCAGGGGGGTCAGGGATTCTGCGGGAGGATGGACACTACAGCGGCGGACATGATGGAGCAACAGCCTGCAGGTGTTCTGGACATGTGTGTGTGTGTGTGTGTGTGTATGAGTGCGTGTATGTGTGTGTGTGTGTGTGTGTGTATGTGTGTATGAGTATGTAAATATGGGGACAATAGAGCGCTGCAGCCCGGCCCCCTCTGCGCTGCGCGGACACAGACAGATGGAGGGTTCTCAAACATGGCGCACGTACAGCATGGCTCGTGTCTGTGCCCTCACCTGTACTCCTCGCAGCGGGCTTTCTGCCGATCTAGGACCGCTCAGTCCGTGGTCCAAGGCCCGCTCCAGGCTCCAGACTCCAGCGCAGCATCAGGACCAGGACCGCAGCGCGTACTGCACTTCCGCGGCTGCACCTCCACAATAAAACCCGGAGGATGTGACGCTCACTGCACAATCAGACACACACTTCTAGGATTGAAGGAGCTATTTGATTATAGGCTAGATCAGTGTCTCCCAAAGTGGGGTCCGCGGCCCCCTGGTGGGCCGCGAGGGTACTGCAGGGGGGCCGCGGGAGGTCATAAAAAAAAAAATATATATATATAATTATTTAATGTTAAATTTATAATGTTTTGCTTGTAATATTAAAATATTTGTATTCATTATTTGACTTGAATAATCCACTGTAATCATTTTTGTATTACAATGTTTGTAGCAGAGGCTATTTCCCCAAAATAAAATAACCAGAAGAGCCTATTCTTAATGTTGTCTTCTTGGTTATTATTTTGGGGGGCCACGCAGACCCGTCAGATTTTTAAGGGGGCCTCGGTGTTACTGAGTTTGGGAATGGCTGGGCTAGATTAATTCAATTTGCACCTGGGTGGGCCTATGTTTTTTTTTTACCATTTCTGGGAGATGCAGCATTTTTGTGTTGTTTGCTGCAACTTGATAAATAAACCTTTTTTGAACATTTTTGGAATGGACATTTGTTTATTTGGTTACTGCATAAACCACTTACCCATGGTGCATTCTAGTGATTATTTGACTTTGTATGGTCTTAAGTTTGGTTACATTTTGTTTTGTTTCACTACAAGGATCAAACGCCCCATTTCTTTTTCTAACTAAGCATCAACAAGAATCTCATTAATGGCGCTGGTCTCAAAAGAGTGACATTTGATTACAGTTCCCCAACCTTTTTATGCCGTGGGCCCCACCAGCTGAAACTGAGACAACAATAAACTCTGCAGTCTTTATTGACAGCGCAAAATCATTCTCATCGAAGTCAAGCGCAAAAAAGGATTTCTAATTTTCTCACATTTCTTTTCAGAATATATTGGACCATTTCTCTCACACTGCAGCTAAAGTTACATTCTGTGGTTGTATCCTTAGGCAAGACACTTCCCCCACATTAGAGTGAGTCTGGTGTGTGTGAATGGTTGGTGGTGGTGGGAGGGGCTGATGGCACATATTGCCTCACTTCTGTCGGTGTGCCCCAGGGCAGCTGTGGCTACAGTAGTTGTTGTAACCGCCTTGTATGGGGTGAAAGAATGACGAGTGAAGTGTCTTCAAGTGTCCAGAAAAGTTCTGTTTAAATCCAATGCTTATAAGATAATACTTTGAGTTTGATGAGCGGGAACATCAAGTACTGCCAGGAAAAATATACTATTATTTATCAAATTAAAAAATGCGACTTACAAGTAAATCAAGAGCAAAATACAGGTTCTGGAGAAGTCAAAGAGAACCTCAGTGAGATGCTGTGGAACAAGTCACTGTCAAGTCAAGTTCAGGACATCCCTGGAATCTGCCTGAACTGCAGCACTCTTGTAAAGAAGAACGATCAATAATCTATCCCATTTGATGTTCCAGGCAGATCTGCAACTAAAGCGTTGGGTTGAAGTTGTGGCGAACAAAGAGCAAACAGATGTTGAAAGCGATGGTTTTGAAATGTTTGAATTCCAAACGCCTCAGACACTTTTCAGGCCACTGTAGTTTTACCAACGTTAGAACTGAAATGAAACAAGAGACTGTGCACTCATTTCGATCCAAATAATTGCAAACACCAATGTGTCCGTTAAAGCAGGATTTAGTTCTTTGATACGATGCCTTTGGAGTTCTGCCCTTCGCACATGAGCACTTCTCTGAGTCTTGAATACCGCGTGCTTCTGGTGTTTGACGAAACAGAAATGACAGTTACTCATTTTGCAAAGTCGTAATAAAACTGTAGTTTATGTAATAACTCGGAAAATCCTGGACCACACGATAAGCCTATATGTGTGAACCTAATGAAAAAGGTATAGTTAAAATAAATATAAAATGATTAAAACATGTAATATTCTAGGATCATGTGTAAATGCCTGAATCCTTTGGGGAGCTCCAGATTACTATTGTAAATATTTAAATGTGATAATATCATGGTTATAGTTGTTTGAGGAAAGTGAGTCATTCTAAAATATTGAGTCTTTTGAGCTGCTTAAATCAGTCGCTTTTTGCCATTTTTGTCCTGAAAAAGTATCTCTCTGTGGGAAAACCGTTGGAGACCCCTGGACCTACACCAGGATGGAAGTGTAAAGTATGACCAAGTTGATGTTTTCACACATATTTTTAAATTATAAAAACATAAACATCAAAGCAAAGTGTTTAAAAAGCCTCCTAAAGCAATGTTGAAACGTTGGTCTTGTTCTGTAGAAGAGTCACATGCTGCAGCTACAGAGGTTCACCAGCAGGGGGCGCAGGAGGCCTTTACATCCACAATATCTTCAGTCTTTTTATATAATAATCATAATAATACATTTTATTTCAGATATATATGAAAATATAGTCAACAACAGTAGAAAAAAAGCACATCCGTGTTAGCGGCTTCAGGGGCCAGTGCTTAGTGTCCGCAGTGTCCCTGTCAGCTCTGGGGGCCCTCGGGGCTCTGGGGAAAGGCGATGGGGTAGATCTGGCTGTAGTGCTCCACAAAGTGCACGTCCAGGCCGTCAGAGATGTAGTCAGGCAGGTCAGAGAAGTCCTTCTGGTTCTCCAAAGGCAGGATGATGCACGTGACCCCAGCGCGGCGAGCCTGAGGCAGAGGAAGCAGTTAGACCAGGACCTTAAACTCTGGAGGAGGCCCCGGTGAGAGGTCTCCAAACCGATCAGTTGCCTTTTATGATGATATGAGGATTAGACCTACCAGATGTTTGACCTACCAGGTGGACAAACGCAAAACTCTACAACAGGGGTGCTCACACTTTTTCAGCATGCGAGCTACTTATAAAAGGATCAAGTCAAAATGATCGACCTACTACAAAAATGCAAATCATATATTTCAAAAAATATTCTTTATATCTACAATGTATGTTTATGTACATGCAAAACCGCATGAGCCAATATAGCACAACACAACACAATTACCTATGTACATTTTTTGTCATTACCCGAGTTTACTCTGATGACTTGCACTGAATTGAATCGGCCAGGGAGGCATAGTCCGGAAAATTGGTGGTAACTCGCTGACAAGTTTGTCGTGGTTTAGCTTTCCTGCACTGAGCGCGGTTGTTTGCGCATGTGCAGTCACCTAAGTGTCAGTAAAACATTACTGAGTAAAACACAGATGTCATTTGACTGTGGTGCCATGTCCATGTGCCATGCCTGTTTTTTTTAAATCAAAATATTTCCCCTCCTCAGTTTATAAAATAATTTGCATCCACACATCTGCGTTATCAGTCACGTTCGTAACATTCCAAACATGTGCGTCTCTACGTCCTGTCCTGCGTTGGGGAAAAACACAGAAGTGGGCGGAGTTCTGATGCAGACGCCGGTAACGGCACTTTTACAGTCATAGAAGACACTCAGAGTAAAGACGTATGTTTACAAGCACTGACCCCGTTCTCAGCACTGGTTTGGTTCTGGTTTAGTCCTGGTTTGGTTCTGGTTTAGTCCTGGTTTAGTCCTGGTTTGGTTGTTTTCGAGCGTGAGTCCTTGCGATCACTTTGCTGCCCTCTGATGTGGAGCGAGGATGTTCGCTGCTGCGAGCATCTCACAGCGGACAATTTTTAAGGTAGTATGATCCATGCTTCAGTGATCAGAGGAATTTAGGGGGGTACTGTGGCGTGCGAGAACGCAAAACTCTGGTTATCTCTGTCTACACACAAATGCATTCACGGAGTTTTCAAAAATCTCCACTTTGCCCCGAGTTTTTTGTATATATTCGTTTAGAATGTGTAATTTTTTATTTATTTAATGCGATCTACCAATACTACCTTTGCGATCGACTGGTAGATTGCGATCGACGTATTGAGCACCCCTGCTCTACAAGGACTCTGATTGTGTATCCATGTTGTGAGACACTCAGAGCCTATGATATGCTCTGAGTGTCTCTGATGTGTGACGTAACAATGACTATGTAAACAATGTGCTGACTTTGTTCTTTCTGGAAAGAAAGAAACAACTGAAACCACTGGAACCTGAGTGAAGCCGTAATAAACTTCCAGAGCTTTGGTGCGCCACAATCCGTCACGGTTCATTCCTGACAATGATATTATAATTATTATACATTTACATCTCGGTCAGCGAGGACCATGAAGCAATTAGAAAAGTGTTTACTGGACTCTGCAGACCGAGTGTGATTCTGATCCAGTTCGTTTGTGTTTCTCCTGCAGTTTATGTTCGTAGACAGACGTCTTGTTGTTCAAAGTTATAGAGTTATAGATGAGAAATATTTTGCAGAGTTATAGATTATATTATTATAGTTGTAACCATCACCTCCATCTTTCAGGCGAGTTGTTCAAGAACGGTTTCCCACTCCCCAGAAATGCTTTATTCATATGTGAAGTGAAAGATCATACGCCCTCAGGAAGCAGAGACGGGGGTTGTTGTGGTCTTCAAGTATAAATAGAATCTTTCACACGACACTACTGTATTATATCGAGCTGAAGTGTGTTTGAAGGTAAAACTGGAAGAGCAGACTCACGGCGATGGTCTTCTCCTTGATCCCTCCCACAGGCAGGATCTTTCCGGTCAGCGACACTTCTCCGGTCATGGCCAGATTCTGCAGCACTGGTCGGTTTGTGGCCAGAGACAGCAGGGCCGTTACTATGGTGCAGCCGGCACTGGGGCCGTCTTTGGGCGTGGCCCCCTGAAACCACAGCATACATTGTTCTCTTGTACATGAACCAGTCTATTGTTTATGCTCCTGGGAAGATGGAATATGAGACATGAGTAAGCACTAATAAAGTTCAGGGCATCTGTAAACTGTCTCCATCCAACTTACAGGAGCTGTTCCATGACAGAGACGCTCACCACAGGCACAAACTCAGAGGAAAAGGTCAATTATATCAACCTAAAGTTAGAACAAGCCTAAAGTCAATGTGAATCTCAGAGTGTGGAGTTAGGGTTTGGAATGGACTGAATTGAAATCAGGCCCAAACAGTAGAATATTCAAGAACAAATTAAAAAAATAACTGCTGCAGTGTGGCCAGTGTGTGTGTGTATGTTTGTGTATGTCTTTACGTCCTGTCTGAATGAGTGTGGTGCTTTCAGACCGGATCATGCGTTGCGTCGGGTTTCAATGCAAAGTCTACGGTGGCGCGCGTTCGGCCGTCGCAACGCACAGACCGCTCGGTTCGCACGAACGGACTGTTCAGTAGAGACGCATGGACTTGGTGGGAAAGTGAAAAGGGACGAGCAGGAGCGAAAAATGGACGCCCACAGGAGATGGATTCTGCTCATCCTTTCCTTGGGACGTTTGTGCGACAACCAATCAGAGAGCAGCAAAGTGGTCACGGGGACATTAGCGGACTGAGCGAGCAGACTGAAAATACTGTAAACAGCCAAAACAGGACCCACACCAGACTTCAGCAGAACTCAAACCAGGGCTGACAATGGAGGACTCTGTACTTGTGAAAATATGCGTTGTCATGCTCCTGTGACCTTATGCAACTGCTTCGAGTGTGTTCGCCGATGCGGAAATACCGTTTAATAATATGAAAAAACGTATGCCGCACCTCCGTGAACACATACTACTGTTATATAAAGTCACCTCCGTGAACACATACTGCTGTTATATAAAGTCACCTCCGTGAACACATACTGCTGTTATATAAAGTCACCGTGAACACATACTGCTGTTATATAAAGTCACCTTCGTGAACACATACTGCTGTTATATAAAGTCACCGTGAACACATACTGCTGTAATATAAAGTCACCTTCGTGAACACATACTGCTGTTATATAAAGTCACCGTGAACACATACTGCTGTTATATAAAGTCACCTTCGTGAACACATACTGCTGTTATATAAAGTCACCGTGAACACATACTGCTGTTATATAAAGTCACCTCCGTGAACACATACTGCTGTTATATAAAGTCCCCTCCGTGAACACATACTGCTGTTATATAAAGTCTCCGTGAACACATACTGCTGTTATATAAAGCCCGTGGAAAGTCTCTGTTCAAAGACATGCTGCAAAGCTGCATATTGGAGAAGATCTGTACACAAGAAGCCGCTAGCATAGCTCTGTTAGCATCAGAGCCGGCTACTTCCGGCACTTGGTCAGGACGTTCTGGTGTGAAGACCTCTGCGTCTGAAAACTAGAGAATGCGCCTCTGGTGAGCAGGACTTCAGCGTTTGAGCGTTGCCGGTCTGAAAGCACCATAAGGAGGGGGTTGGAAACATAGTGTTTGCTTCCAAACCTTGTGTATTGATTGTATTTACTGTTGTCAAATTATGTTAATGCAGTTTTTTGGAATAAACAAATAAATGAAACATGGAAAAAGTAAAGGCTAAACTACAGACCCCCTCTATGAGGAAATTAATCAAAAATAAGAAAACCCCTTCTTTTTATGGCTCCACATTCAAAAACAGTCGTGAACCTCTTCAGTACAAAGCATGGTGATAAAAACATATGGTAAATACGTAATGATAAGGTGGTGAGTGAGGAGGACCTCGGGGACGTGCAGGTGCAGGTGGGAGCTGCTCAGGAAGTCGTTCTGCGGCTCCTGCTTCATGAGGAACGCTCGAGCGAACGTGGAGGCGATCTTGGCGCTCTCCTTCATCACGTCCCCGAGCTGACCTGAGGACACAGGGTCAGTGTCACCCAAAGTGTCACCCAAAGTGTCACCCAAAGTGTCACCCAAAGTACCACCCAAAGTGTCACCCAAAGTGTCACCCAATGTGTCACCCAAAGTGTCACCCAAAGTATCACCCAAAGTATCACCCAAAGTACCACCCAAAGTACCACCCAAAGTGTCACCCAAAGTGTCACCCAAAGTATCACCCAAAGTACCACCCAAAGTACCACCCAAAGTGTCACCCAAAGTGTCACCCAAAGTGTCACCCAAAGTACCACCCAAAGTGTCACCCAAAGTACCACCCAAAGTGTCACCCAATGTGTCACCCAAAGTACCACCCAAAGTGTCACCCAATGTGTCACCCAAAGTGTCACCCAAAGTGTCACCCAAAGTACCACCCAAAGTGTCACCCAAAGTGTCACCCAAAGTACCACCCAAAGTATCACCCAAAGTACCACCCAAAGTGTCACCCAAAGTACCACCCAAAGTACCACCCAAAGTACCACCCAAAGTGTCACCCAAAGTATCACCCAAAGTACCACCCAAAGTGTCACCCAAAGTACCACCCAAAGTGTCACCCAAAGTACCACCCAAAGTACCACCCAAAGTACCACCCAAAGTGTCACCCAAAGTGTCACCCAAAGTATCACCCAAAGTGTCACCCAAAGTGTCACCCAAACTCAGGAGATTAGAATATTGTGGAAAAGTTCATTTATTTCTGTAATCCATAGTTCTCTAACTGACGGCACGAGTTTATATCATATATTAAGCAGTTTAAAAACGGCGCCAGTCAAACCCATTTTAACGGCGTCTATTTTTTTATTGCACAATTAAGGAGAGATTGTTTTTATGAATGACAGCTTCACTGCGCCGCACAAACACACGTGGGTCATATGGGACGACGGCTCTGAAATCATCACACATTTACCAATTATTCTATTAATCTACAGTCAAACTCAAACTGATATCCTGGAGCAAGTTTAGCTTTTCTCCTCTGCTCACAGACACTACAGACACTACAGAAACTACAGACACTACAGAAACTACAGAAACTACAGACACTACAGAAACTACAGACACTACAGAAACTACAGACACTACAGAAACTACAGAAACTACAGACACTTCAGACACTACAGAAACTACAGACACTACAGAAACTACAGACACTACAGAAACTACAGAAACTACAGACACTTCAGACACTACAGAAACTACAGACACTACATAAACTACAGACACTACAGAAACTACAGACACTACAGAAACTACAGAAACTACAGACACTTCAGACACTACAGAAACTACAGACACTACAGACACTACAGACACTACAGACACTACAGAAACTACAGACACTACAGAAACTACAGAAACTACAGACACTACAGACACTACAGACACTACAGACACTACAGACACTACAGACACTTCAGACACTACAGAAACTACAGAAACTACAGACACTACAGACACTACAGACACTACAGACACTACAGACACTACAGAAACTACAGACACTACAGAAACTACAGACACTACAGAAACTACAGAAACTACAGAAACTTTTTAGAACCAGACTCATTGTTTCCTTTCTTCTGTTTGAAAGAGTTTAGTGTGGAACATGTTAGTGCTCTGTCACACTGACCTGTGACGTCCAGAGAGCCCTCCCCTTTGCCGTTGGGGCCGCTGGCTGGAGGCAGTCTCACCGAGGTCTCGATGAACAGAGTGGAGCCACCTGCAGGAGAGGACATGTCACTGCACCAGCTCACTCTGCACTGCAACTGATTATCTAGACCAGAGCCCAACTGGCACCAGCGGTTCAGGACCAGCGGGTTCAGGACCAGTGGGTTCAGGACCAGTGGGTTCAGGACCAGCGGGTTCAGGACCAGCGGGTTCAGGACCAGCGGGTTCAGGACCAGTGGGTTCAGGACCAGCGGGTTCAGGACCAGCGGGTTCAGGACCAGTGGGTTCAGACCGGGTTGAGCCCAATTTCTATGATAACTGTGGCTCAGGCAGACGAGGTAAAGTCAGCGTCATGTCAATGTGAACCCCTCCCTCAGTGCCCCCCTCTCTCAGTGTACTGTGGTCCTCACCCATGGCGGTCCAGGCCAGCCCCATGACCACTCCTGGGGGGGTCTCCTGGTACATGCGGTCCACCGTGAACAGAGGCTTGCCGACGTACTGCTGCAGGTTCTCCGGGGTCACGTTCACCGAGGACTGCTCGCCGTTCACGATGGAGAAGGCCACCTTCCGGAACACCTGCCCACACACACGTTACTGAAACATGGAGAAACAAGGATCCAACCCCAGAGCGCCGGTCGTGATTAGCAAACGATAAAGCCTCAGTTGTTTGAAAGCAAACATGTAAGAACAAAACAACGATAACAGTTTTCTGTTCTAGAACAAGCTGTTGCCGTTTGCCCATTTCCGTGTCTAAAAGTGGATCCCGGGCTGAGGGCGGAGCACCTACCTTCTCCACCTGCTTCTGGAGGTTGCGGACCCCGGACTCGCGGCAGTACTGCCTGATGAGCAGGCTGAGGGCATCGTCAGAGATGGAGGCCTTGTCTTCACCGAGTCCACACAGAGTCCGCAGCTGAGGGACCAGGTATGTCTGCACACAACACACACACAACACACACTGACTCTGGACCCTGAAGAAACTGAATCTAGGTCAATATCCTGCATTTCTAATGCAGATCAGTCCAATGTTGGAGCCAGAGTTTAACCTCTCGGCTTCAATGGCACTAACAAGAAGAACAATGTGGATAATATCCTAAATTAAAAATCAACAGTGTTAACTTTAGTAATATCAAAATTGTGTATATGTCAATGACTCCCACTGATGTCTGCTGTCGTGTCCTTGGGAAAGACCCTTAACCCCACTTTGCCTGAAGCCCCCACTGAAAGACCAAGGCTCCTGTGGACAAAGCACCTGCAGGAGGATCAGTGAGGGGCTGGTGCTCTGTGAACTGGGTGCAGCTCTGACTGCCACCCCTGACCCAGAAACATATTAAGGGGAAGAAAATGGATGGATGAATAGTATATGTCACTAATAACAAAAACAAAAAGCGTTGCGTCATCAGAAGAGCAGCTCTGCTTTGTCTGAAACAGGGAGGGAGGTCTGTTGTACATGTGTGTACCTGTGTGTACATACAGTATACTCATGTACTTGTGTGTGTACATACAGTATACTCATGTACTTGTGTGTGTACATACAGTATACTTGTGTGTACCTGTACATGTACATCTGTGTACCTGTGTGAACATATACTTGTGTGTACCTGTGCGATGGCCAGCTTCTCCTGGGCCACGTATCCAGACACGTTGATCATCTCCATTCGGTCTCGCAGCGGCTCGGGGATGGTGTCCACCACGTTGGCCGTACAGATGAACAGCACCTGCAGCAGAACAGTCAGCTCTGGTCGGTCGTCACGGCAACAGAGGCAGACTCACCTTGGACAGGTCCACGGGCACGTCCAGGTAGTGGTCCAGGAAGTTAGCGTTCTGCTCAGGGTCCAGCAGCTCCAGCAGAGCAGAGGAGGGGTCGCCCTGGTACCCCCGGCCCATCTTATCCACCTGGAGGAGCACAGACGGTTACACAACTGCAGGAGACAGACACACACCTCCAGGAGGGAGACACACACCTCCAGGAGACAGACACACACCTGCAGGAGACAGACACACACCTGCAGGAGACAGACACACACCTCCAGGAGACAGACACACACCTCCAGGAGATAGACACAAATTAGTGCGATATTCGAAGAGTGTTTAGTATTGCGATAACGATATTATTGCAAAAACGATATTATTGCAATGACGATATTATTGCGATAACGATATTATTGCGATAACGATATTATTGCGATATTTTTGTCTTTCACCTGAAATTGCATCAGCATTGAAACGCAAGAGACAAGTGACAAAAAATAAGCACAACATTAATGACATTTAAATGCATATATTTCATATACTTTTTGTTTGTTTGTTGTTGTTTAATGTTGATGTGTGTCTGTTTTGTTGTCTTTAATAAAGGAAAAAAATCCCGGATCTTCTCGATATGGATATTGCACGCACCAATATCACGATAACGATGTTTTTTTGATATATCGTGCATCCCTAATCTGTTCACTGCATAGTGCTTTGAAATGTAAAGTACATTTGTCAACATGTTGGAACAGTGTTACTCACGATCTTTCCAAGACAAACCACTTTCTTCTGAGTAAACCCCAACAGGGCGGAGGTTGTATTAAGCAGCGAATCTTAAACCAATGAGAAAAGACTCCAAATACACGTCTAATTGAGGACCAACATTGTTACTAGACGTACTGGCTATAATAACTAACTAATAATATAATATAACAAGCTATGGTCCTCAATAATACAACTCATGAGCCTCGACTGCGGCCGTAGTGAAGCCTCCAATGAAGCATGAAATAACTAAATGAACAAAGCCACACAAGTCCTAAAGTCAGACCTCATCGATGAGCACCAGAGGGTTCTCCGTCTTGGTCTTCTTCAAACACTGAATGACCTTCCCGGGCATAGCTCCGACATACGTCCTCCTGCAGACACACACACAGTCCTGAGCCTGGTCCACTGCAGGGACATGTTCTACTGTCACAGAGAAGGCCCCACACTAACACATCTGTTTCTCAGACAGTAAGGCAAGGCAAGTTTATTTGTATAGTACAATTCATACACAAGGCAATTCAAAGTGCTGAACAAGATAGCATTAAAATCATGAATAATCACAGAACATTAAAAATAAAGATAAAAACATAAAATCCCTCAGTTGTAGCACAGCTAAACAGAACTGTCTTTAACCTGGTTTTAAACATTGTCAGAGAGGAGGCCTGTCTCACATCTTCAGGAAGACTGTTCCAGATTTTAGCAGCATGAATCTGAAAAGCAGCCTCCCCATGTTTAGTTCTGACTCTGGGCACTAACAGGAGTCCAGTCCCTGTGCTCCTCAGAGTCCGGGCTGGTTCATATGGGACTAACATGTCACTAATATATTTTGGTGCGAGGCCATGGAGAGACTTGTAACAAGCAGAGCTGTTTTAATGAGGGCATAGCTCAAAGATGGCGCCTCGTACGGTCGACATGGCTCTTTGCTGCTCTCTTTTTCTTTTGTTTTTACTTTTTAACTGTGCATCTGGCTGTTCCTACACCCGTGAGGAACTTATGAACATCCGACCCACCGTCCCCATGGACCTATTGCCTGTTTTCTTGGCATCTGCGGCTGATTTAGTTCATGTTCTAGCCAAAAAAGTGTGGGCCCGTAAAAGGGGAAAGCGCGGAGGCTGCTCGTGCGTCTTAGGAGGAGAGGAGTCTCTCCCCGGCATTTTTCTCTCCAACGTACGCTCACTGGGCAATAAGATGGACGAACTCAGCCTGCTCATGAGAAGAAACAAGGACTTCGCCACATCCTGTGTCCTCTGCTTCACTGAGACCTGGTGTCTTCTGTGTCCTCTGCTTCACTGAGACCTGGCTAAATGAGCGGATCCCGGACTGCGCTCTGGAGCTGCAGGGCTTTGGGCTGTTCCACACGGATCGCCATTGTGCGCTCTCAGGGAAGAGCAGAGGCGGAGGGCTGTGTTTCTACGTCAATACAAACTGGTGTAACGATATAACAGTGATCTCCAAGCACTGCTCTCCTGCTCTGGAATATCTTTTCATTCATTGTAAACCATATTACTCCCCGCGCCAAATTGTTTCATTCATTCTTGCCTCTGTTTACATACCGCCATGCGCGGACGCAGAGCAAGTACTGTGTATGGAACGTTTATACCCGGACTCTCTGATTATTATCCTGGGGGATTTTAATAAGGGAAACTTGAGCCAGGAATTACCCAAATACAGACAGTTTATCAAATGCCCGACCAGAGAGGAGAACACTCTGGATCACTGTTATACCACCGTGCGCGGAGCTTTTCGCGCTGTTCCCAAGCCAGCCCTCGGCTTCTCAGATCACTCCATGATACATCTGGTTCCTGCTTACAGACAGAGACTAAAGCTCTCAAAACCTGCAATGAGGAGCTCCAAAGTGTGGTCTGATGAAGCTGTGGAAGAGCTGCGCGCATGCATGGAATCTACAGACTGGGACCTTTTCAGAGCTGCCACAGACAGTTTGGATGAATATACGGACACTGTGACGTCATACATTCACTTCTGTGAGGATAGCATCATTCCAACAAGGACCAGGGTCATCTATAACAACGACAAACCCTGGTTCACTGCTAAACTCCGGCAGCTCAGGAAAGCAAAGGAGTCTGCTTTCAGGGAGGGGGACCGCAGCGGCTACAAAGCAGCTAAATATCAGTTCAGGAAAGAACTGAAAGCAGCAGAGTCCCGGCACAGAGAACGACTACAGGAGCAGTTTGGTAACAACGATACTGCTTCTGTCTGGAGGGGCCTACGGGAGATCACCAACTACAAACCCAAAGCCCCCCCCTGTGCTGACGACCACAAGCTAGCTGACGATCTGAACTTATTTTTCAGTCGCTTTGATGCTGCCCCTGACACCTCTCCCTCCCCCACCCCCCACTACTCTAACGACCCACCCATCAGCCCTAGCCCCAGCCTAACAATAGCCGCTAAAGAGATTAAACAACTCTTCCTGAGGCTGCACCCCCGCAAAGCTCCTGGCCCGGACCACGTGTCTCCGGCCACTCTGAGACACTGCGCCAGTGAGCTTACTCCTGTGTTCACGGACATTTTCAACACCTCTCTGCAGTCCTGCCATGTCCCGGCCTGCTTCAAATCCTCCATCATTGTCCCCGTCCCGAAGAAGCCCAGGATCACAGGACTCAACGACTACAGACCTGTAGCACTTACGTCTGTCGTCATGAAGTCATTTGAGCGCCTGGTTCTCTCCCATCTCAAGTCCTTCACCTCCCCCCTCCTGGACCCCCTGCAGTTCGCCTACAGAGCCAACAGATCTGTAGACGACGCCATTAACCTGGCCCTCCACCACATCCTACAGCACCTGGACTCCCCGGGGACCTACGCCAGGGTCCTGTTCGTGGACTTCAGCTCTGCCTTCAACACAATCCTGCCATCCCTGCTCCAGGACAAGCTCTCCCAGCTCAACGTGCCCGATTCCACCTGCAGGTGGATCACTGACTTCCTGACGGACAGGAAGCAGCGAGTGCGTCTGGGGAAGAATGTCTCGGACTCTCGGATTATAAATACAGGAGCCCCACAGGGCTGTGTTCTTTCTCCCCTGCTCTTCTCCCTGTACACCAACCACTGCACCTCCAGCCACGACTCCGTGAAGCTGATCAAGTTCGCGGACAACACCACCCTCATTGGACTCATCTCCAACAACGATGAGTCCGCCTACAGGAGGAGGTGGACCGGCTGGTGTCCTGGTGCAGTGGTAACAACCTGGAGCTGAACGCCCAGAAGACAGTGGAGATGATTGTGGACTTCAGGAAGAGCACTGTCCCCCCACCCCCACCCTCCGTGATGGACTCCCCCATCACCTCTGTGGAGTCCTTCCGTTTCCTGGGCACCACCATCACCCAGGACCTCAAGTGGGAGCCGACCATCAGCTCCCTCATCAAGAAGGCCCAGCAGAGGATGTACTTCCTGCGGCAGCTCAGGAAAGCCAAGCTGCCTGCACAGATGTTGGTGCAGTTCTACACGGCCATCATCGAGTCCATCCTCACCTCCTCCGTCACCTCCTCCATCACCGTGTGGTTTGCTGGAGCCACAGTCAGGGACAAACAGAGACTACAGCGCATTGTGCGCTCTGCAGAGGAAGTGATCGGCCGCAGCCTTCCATCGCTGCCGGACCTGTACGTCGCCCGAGCTCGAGGCCGGGCTGGTCGTATCACAGCCGACCCCTCTCACCCTGCACATGGACTATTCCAACCACTCCCCTCAGGCAAGAGACTGCGGTCCATCAGGACAAGAACCTCCCGCCACAAGAACAGTTTCTTCCCCTCTGCTGTTGGACTCTTGAACACTTCTTAACCTGTCCCCCCGCCCTTTATAAAGTCACTTTACTGCCCATCATACGTCACTTTACTTCACTGTACTGCTGTCACCTTACATTGTGTGCACCATGTGCACTTGTATATTGTAAATAGTAACTGTAACTCTATTTTAAATTTAAATTTATTCTTTAGAAGTGTTTTTTATTCTTATTTTTATTATCTCTTTTTGACTGTTGCACTGAGCCAAAGCAATTTCCTAGTCTGTGACCTCCTGTTACTTACGTGGCAATAAAAAATTCTGATTCTGATTCTGATTTAAAGTCTATTCTCTGAGCCACAGGAAGCCAGTGCAGAGACCTGAGGACTGGACTAATGTGGTCGTACTTCCTGGTTCTAGTCAGGACTAATGTGGTCGTACTTCCTGGTTCTAGTCAGGACTAATGTGGTCGTACTTCCTGGTTCTAGTCAGGACTAATGTGGTCGTACTTCCTGGTTCTAGTCAGGACTAATGTGGTCGTACTTCCTGGTTCTAGTCAGGACTAATGTGGTCGTACTTCCTGGTTCTAGTCAGGACTAATGTGGTCGTACTTCCTGGTTCTAGTCAGGACTAATGTGGTCGTACTTCCTGGTTCTAGTCAGGACTAATGTGGTCGTACTTCCTGGTTCTAGTCCGGACTAATATGGTCGTACTTCCTGGTTCTAGTCAGGACTCGAGCTGCTGCATTTTGAATGTACTGCAGCTGTTTTACAGCCTGTTTGGACAGACCTGTGAGCAGGCCATTGCAGTAGTCTAACCTACTGGAGACAAATGCATGGGTAAGAATCTCCAAGTCTGCTTTAGACACTATGTTTTTGATCCTGGCAATGTTTTTTAGATGGTAAAAAGCTGCTGATGTTACTGATTTGATGTGGCTATTAAAATTTAAGTCTGAGTCCAGTATTACCCCTAGATTTCTGACCTTGTTTGAAGGTTTTAGGGAGAGAGACTGTAGGTGACAGATGACGCTCTCTCTTTGTTTCTGGGGACCAAAGACAATCATTTCAGTTTTGTCTGCGTTTAGCTGAAGGAAGTTGTTTTGCATCCACTCACTGATCTGTTGGATACAGTGAAGGAGTGAGTCCACTGGTCCATGTTCTCCTGCAGTCAGTGAGACATAGATCTGAGTGTCGTCGGCATAGTTGTGATAGGACACTTGGTTTCTGCGTATTAACTGACCTAACAGCAGCATGTAGAGATCCACTAGAGAAGACCAGGACACAGCCTTCTGTCACTCAGTGTCCTATCCTTTACTCCCAGTCAATATTTATAGAAAATAACAATGTGCATGTAAATGTTGTGACCATTCTGATTGATTGCATTTTAAATGTAATGAAATCATATAAATTATTGTTATATATAATATTGAAGCCTCGATTGTTGTACGCTGCCACTTCAGTGATTTAACCTGGTTTGGTGAAGGTTAACGGGGAATTTACACCGCAGTTGTTACAGCAGTATTTTTGCATTTTATCCCAGGACTGGCAGGTTTGACAGAGATTATGGACATCGTTTTTTCACAGCAGCTCACAAGAGACCATGAGGACAAACACATCCATGTGCGTTGTGTTGCTCTACATCAGTCCTGGACTTGTCCATAGACAGGGACAGCATCAGCAGTGATGTTACTGTGTGTGTGACAGAGCAGTGAGGAGCCTTTACCTGTGGCCTTTGATCTCTGCCACGTCGGTCATGCCGCCCACACTGAAGCGGAAGTACTCCCGGTTGAGTGCGCGTGCGATGGAGCGGGCGATGGAGGTCTTTCCGACGCCTGGGGGGCCGTAGAAGCACAGGATCTTCCCCTGCGTGGAGCCCCTCAGCTGGCTCACCGCAATGAACTCCTGCAGCGAGGAAACGGTCCAAATGAGAGACGTGTGAGATAAAGGTCAAAGTAGAAAACACAGACATCCAAATGTTACTCCAGCACAATCAGAAAGTGTGGGTTCAATGTCAGGTGGTCAAAATTATTACAAAATGTATCATATTATTATCACTTTGGAAAACCATCAACCAATTCAATAATAATAATAATACAATACGCAATGGGAAGAAATCGTTGTTTCTCAATGTTTAATTTCATAAAAGCCTTATACAAGCTTTTCATTTTTGTGGCTCAGGATAGATTTTTCTTTTTTTCTTTAAGCCTTTTACCGACCCCTGCTTTAACCGTTACTGTCACATGATTAAGATCTTTTTGATTGATCTACATGTCTCAATAATAGATCGTAATCTCTTATTCTTTGGCTTTTCCTCCCAGCTCTACGCACCAGGATCCTCTTCTTCACGTCGTCCATGCCGTAGTGGTCCTCGTCCAGCACTTCTCGCGCTCGGCTCAGAGACAGGTTCTCTTCGCTGTAGCTGCCCCAGGGCATGCTGGTCAGCCAGTCCAGGTAGTTCCGGGTCACACTGAGGGAGCACACACAGGTCAGGTTACAGCAGGTCAGCCACAACGTCAAGATCCAATCAGGTCTCAGGGACAGGACCGGGACCACAGACAGAACATTGGGTTGGGATCTGGAGACTGAGGCCGCTTCGTTGCCCGGGCGACCTTGCCACGTTTCAGCTTCAATACCCTCGCTGCTGATGGAAGAAGTTTTCACTCAAAATCTTATGATACACGACCTCATTCATTCTTTACATTGATCACTCGTCCTGGTCCCTTTGCAGGAAAACAGCCTCAAAGCAGTGACTTCACTAGTATTTGGTCATTCACTGCGATGCACAGCCCTGTGGCGGTGAGAACGGATGAAATGGAAGTTAGGGTATTAAACTATGGTTCAATGAATCCCGAATGACAACCATAGCATAGATTCTGCTGCAGAGAGTCAGATGGAGGAAAATCTAGTCCTATTGGTCATCCAGTGGTCCCAGGAGTGATATTTGGTGATATGATTCCAACCTGAATACACCGTCCCCCTTGGCAGTCATTCTGGATTCATAGAACCGTAGTTACATAAAGAGTTTTTTATTGTACATAATTATATCCTGCACAGACTATATTTTTAACCTTTAACAAGTTGCACAATCTGAGTGATTCTATCTGAGCCAAATGTGTAAATTTCTCCATTGTGAGATCAATAAAGTTTATCTTATCTTATCGTAACTTTGGATTTCAAGAATGGGGTCTGATGTAAAGTGTGGGCTCCACCCTGAAGTGTCCTCGCGTACTTGAACTCAGACGAGTGGTTGTCCAGAAGGCTGAGTTTGTTCAGCTCCTCCGTGATCACCTCCATCACGTGCTGAGGGACGGTCAGCTTCTTCAGACGCTCACGGAACTTCTCCTCGATGGCGTCTTTGTCCTCCTTCTCCAGTCCCAGCTCCTACACACACACACACACAACAAGACATTTACTTTTTGGCGCAAACTCAAAACGTTATGTGAAGCACAAACCAAACACTGCTCATCGTTCTGAGTGCACCGACCCCAGTGTCAAATATGGTGGGGGCAGCATCATGCTATGGAGCTGCTATTCATCAGAGGGGACTGGGAAGATTTTAAGATTAGCTGGGAAGATGAAGCAGGGAGGAACATTTTGGAAGGACATTTTTAAGCAGGAGAATTGAGGCTGGACAACGACCCTAAAAGTAAAGCTAAATCTACAACGAAGTGGTTGTAAATGTTTTATATCCGTTTGGTTCATGGCGTCAGTCCTGTAGGCGGTGGTTGTTTGGTTCATGGTGTCAGTCCTGTAGGCGGTAGTTGTTTGGTTCATGGCGTCAGTCCTGTAGGCGGTAGTTGTTTGGTTCATGGCGTCAGTCCTGTAGGTGGTGGTTGTTTGGTTCATGGTGTCAGTCCTGTAGGCGGTAGTTGTTTGGTTCATGGCGTCAGTCCTGTAGGTGGTGGTTGTTTGGTTCATGGTGTCAGTCCTGTAGGCGGTAGTTGTTTGGTTCATGGCGTCAGTCCTGTAGGCGGTAGTTGTTTGGTTCATGGCGTCAGTCCTGTAGGTGGTGGTTGTTTGGTTCATGGCGTCAGTCCTGTAGGCGGTGGTTGTTTGGTTCATGGTGTCAGTCCTGTAGGCGGTAGTTGTTTGGTTCATGGCGTCAGTCCTGTAGGTGGTGGTTGTTTGGTTCATGGCGTCAGTCCTGTAGGCGGTGGTTGTTTGGTTCATGGTGTCAGTCCTGTAGGCGGTAGTTGTTTGGTTCATGGTGTCAGTCCTGTAGGCGGTAGTTGTTTGGTTCATGGCGTCAGTCCTGTAGGCGGTGGTGGGACTGTACCTTCTTGATGATCTTCAGTTGTTCCTGCAGCAGGTACTTCCTGTGGGTCTGTTTGATCTTCTCCTCCACCTGAGACACACACAGGTTTAGTGTGTGCACGTGAGGGTTTTGTGTGTGCACGTGAGGGCAAGGCGTGTGCAGGTGTGTATGGCGTGTGTATGGCGTGTGCAGGTGTGTGTATGGCGTGTGCATGTGTGTGTATGGCGTGTGCATGTGTGTATGGCGTGTGCATGTGTGTGTATGGCGTGTGCATGTGTGTGTATGCCGTGTGCAGGTGTGTGTATGGCGTGTGCACGTGAGTGTATGGCGTGTGCACGTGAGGGTATGGCGTGTGCAGGTGTGTGTATGGCGTGTGCATGTGTGTGTATGGCGTGTGTATGGCGTGTGCATGTGTGTGTATGGCGTGTGCATGTGTGTGTATGGCGTGTGCATGTGTGTGTATGGCGTGTGCATGTGTGTGTATGGCGTGTGCATGTGTGTGTATGGCGCGTGCATGTGTGTGTATGGCGCGTGCATGTGTGTGTATGGCGCGTGCAGGTGTGTGTATGGCGTGTGCAGGTGACCTCTGACCTCTCTGCCCAGGCGCTGCTGCAGCTTGCTCAGCTCGTACTCCTTCTTGAGCAGCGACAGAGCCTTGTAAAGCCTCTTGGGGATCTGCAGAAGAAAAACTGCTGTGAACCAAACGCACTTTCAGGAGGAAGCGTCAAAGATCCATTTGGACACGTGGGATTTCTGGAGTCGGGGGAGGGCTCCTGTCATCAGCGGAAAGTCACTACAGCTCCTCTTTAAACGCACAAAGTAAATCCTCATCTTACCACGTGCTGTAGAAGCGGGAGTTATGTTAGCGAATACACAATTGGACTGGAAGAAGGTCAGACTATAGAGTTGGTAAGCAGGGCCAGGGTGGGGTCAGTAAACAGGGTCTTACGTCAGTCTCCTCCAGGATCTCCTGCAGCTCCTGAGACTCTGCCCCGGTCAGCGCTGCCCCCATGTCGCTCAGGTAGATGGGATTGTCCACCACCCTCTGTCCTGCCTGCATCATCTGCAGCACCGACTCCCTACACACACAAACACACGCACACACAACACACAAAGAGACACACACAGCGCTGTTTTGACACGTGTCCACTTGGGCTGTACCAGTCTTATGTTTTTTTTCTTTTGTTCATTGTGTAAATAGTCGCAAATGTTTAAATAGTGCTTTTCTACCTTTCAAGATCCTCAATGTGCGTCACATCAAAGAACCCTTCACTCTTATATATGTACCTATATTAATACCATGCTAAATCCGTACGCAGACACTACACATCCTAGTTATTTCCAGCGCTGAAAGTGGCCTGTAAAGCATTTAGTAGTAGCTTATGGTCTTCGGCTATTATGTACATTAGATCTCAGGTCACACGTCTTCAAAGATCGTATATACATTTTACAATAAGAAGAAAAAAGAACTAAAATGTGTCTATCAATTATTTCAGTGCTAAATAATGTCAGAAAGGGGTTTAGGCTGAAATCGAGTCTGAGCATTTGAAAACATATTGAACAGAGAGAGAGAGTGGGAGGAGTCAGACCTGTACAGAGGGTTCAGCGCAATGATGTCTCTGATGGTCTTCACGATTTCTGCAGTCAAAGCCTGCGCACACACACACACACACGCACGCGCGCACACACACACACACCACATTAGCACAACAAGCCGTCGTAAAGTCACTTGCAGAAACTGACCAATAGGAGGAGAAAACTGTCTTATTGATGCATTATTGAGAATTATCCACAGACAGTGAAGTCTACAGAGTGAAAGGTGGACCATGGACTGACCTTGACCTCCTCGGTGACGGTGAAGCTCTGGTGCTGGATGTTGTCCACCTCCACCATGAGGATGGAGGAGGGGGGCAGGGGCTGCAGCTCGGGGCTCAGGTCAGCTTCTGTGATCTACACAATACACACACAACACATAATATAACAAACACACGGAGGCAGCAAATACACCAGCACTTTGTAGTTCCCTGGTGAATGAATTTTGCTATACAACTAAACTGGCCTTGCCTTATCCCCTCTTCCCCTTTAAAATTATCTGCATCTCATGTTAGGAAGGAGGATTTTCCCACATTTTAGGAAAGACCTGCCCTCTCCACTTTTTGAACAAAAATTTGATTTGAGCACGTATCACAAGAATGATTGACAACTGGGGGACCAATAGTTTTGATGAACCACCCGGAAGTAGAAAATCCTCCTGTTTTTATTTTCCAAACAGGGTGAGAATGTCCTTTAGTGGCAGAAGTTTGACGTTTCAGAAACATATTGTACGTCAGAGTTTCGTGTGCCGTCCTGGAACCTACCCATAAATTAAGTTGCACACATAGCTCGAGCTGCAGAAGCCGATTGACAGGAGAGAGAACCCAAAACAGGTAATCAGCGAACAGCCTTTGCCTGCACATGGTTTACCACGGTCTGTGTTCGCTTCTGGGCTGTTTTTCTGCGACTAAAAGTGTCTTTTGGAGAAAATGAGTTTTTGGGCGGCGACTGTAGCTGGACTTTCTATTCACTGGATCTGCCTTTGAAGAGGGGGGGGCACAAATCAAGTTTTGAGTGTTAAATGGTGTCTCACCCTTATTATTATCACATGTGCTTAGGATGGACAGTGGAAAATGAAGAAAAGCAAAATATAGGATCTTTAAGCCAAAAGGTGAGTACATTTGTCCACATGCACACACCTTGTCCTCCAGCTGCTCCGTCACGCTGTCCGGAGTGTCTCGTCGTGTGCGTTTGCCTTTACGTCGTGGGGATGGCTTGGTCTGAGCTTCTGAATCCATCTCCGGTGACGCTGTGGCCTCTTCCGGCTCCACCTCCAGCTGCCGAGAAATACGGATCCTGAGGAGAGACTGTAAATGAGCTAAAACTACACAAACAGACGAGTTCTGTGTGTCATACCAGTACCACTCAAAACCCCATCATACATTATTCAGCAGACATACAGAGCAGCAAAATAAGATGTAGCCAGCCCCCAAATGTGCAGTAACAGGTCAAGTGTGTTTGATAAGTCTACACAAGGGTTTGGGGCTGTCACTGGGCAACACAGACTTTCAACTTCCTCCAAAGATTTTCATTGGGGTGAAGATCTGGAGACTGGAGAGACCAATCCAGGACCTTGAATTCTTGCAAAGTCACTCCTTTGTTACACAAAAAATCTAAACAAACCAATCAAGCCTCAGATGTCTGCAGTACCCATGGATCTTTTATAATAGGGTATTGCTAGTTTATAGCTGAAGAACCATGTGCTCAGGGGATTCTCGCGGTACTGCAGACTACACCAGACTAAATTCACGTGGGCTACACAGCAATGTTCCACATAGAACTCAATGTAAACTAAAACAGCGCGACCTCAGCTCACAGAGAACCTGACAGAGAACCTGACAGAGAACCTGACAGAGAACCTGACAGAGAACCTGACAGAGAACCTGACAGAGAACCTGACAGAGAACCTACAGCTTTTACAAAGATCAGATTTTGTGGGGATTTTAGTGTCTCTTGTCATCCTGAACTTTTTTTCTTCTTAAACCCTTCGGTTTTCTTTAAATCCACACTTTAGTGCCACAAACTCTGCTCGTCTGGCTCTCGCTCTAACTCCCGCTCTGATTGGTCAGAGCGCAGGCGAGCGCCTCTGTGCACGTGCATGAGACCCACACACGCGTATTTGGCGCAACGCATCATGGGGGATCATCCACTGCACAGAACCGGGAGGACCAGACGATGCCCAAATACAGGAGAGTTTCCCATAGATCTTTGCGAGTTCCGCTAATATGTCAGTGACCGTGCCGGCACAAAGCGCCACTGAGCACAGCCATTCATTTGAATACGGCGTCATCTTGGATCGGCGGGGCTTGGCAGTACCCTCCAGCGGGGGTGGATGCCAATGCAGATTTTTACTTTAAAGTTTGACGATGGACAACTTAAATGAATATGAATGTCAGTTGTTTTACTTGTTAAAAATGTTGCTATATTGTCATCCCGTGTGTTTGGACATATAGTGCCACTAAGAGAGACAGACCCTATTGTCATGTGTGTGTATGTGTAAGTCATAAGTCATGCTCAGACGTACCTGCGGTGGCCCATCACAATCATGCGCAGCTTGTCTCCCAAGTCCTGCATCTCGTGGATCTGCACAAAGGTTCCAGTGGTGTAGATGGAGTCTAGAGTCTCCACCACGTCAGACTCATCCCTGCAACACAATTAGAACTCAATGGTTACACTACACCACATGTGTCTGCTGTGAGCCAGAGGCAAGAGCCAGGTTAATATAGTTCTGTTTGTGGATTACATAATGTGATTTTTAGCCCTAATGTATTATACATGTAATCTAGTATCAGTCTGCAGGGCCTGGTGACATATAAACCACATGTTGCTTGTTGTGTGAGAAAACAACTTCCAATGTGATAAAATCTGCATTGAATCTAAATACAACAAACAAATGCGCCTTATGTGATCCTTAAAGGAGCAGTGTGTAAACATCTGTCCAAAAGTGGTACTGCAGCCTCTCCCACTCTCCCTGACTCAGGTTGCCAGATATGCAGACGAATCCAGCTAGGACCATAACAGCTGAATAGACAAGAGTTTTGTCAACAACAAATCTATAACCAACACAAAGATAGAAATCCTGCTTTTATTCCTTGTTTTGTTGTTAATGATTTGAGAATCATAACAGACTTTCTGATTGGTGAAACGGTGGAGGGCGGGACATCAAAATGAAAACAATAACAAGATTTAATTTAGAAATTCAAATATCTCTGAACTACTGTTATCAGTTAAAGAAATATTGGAAAAGAGCAGTTTATTATTATGACAGATTAGGGCCCTTTAATGAGGACAGATTAGGGCCCTTTAATGATGACAGATTAGGCCCTTTAATGATGACAGATTAGGGCCCTTTAAGGACGACAGATTAGGGCCCTTTAATTGTGACAGATTAGGGCCCTTTAATGATGACAGATTAGGGCCCTTTAATGATGACAGATTAGGGCCCTTTAAGGACGACAGATTAGGGCCCTTTAATTATGACAGATTAGGGCCCTTTAATCGTGACAGATTAGGGCCCATATTAGGGCCCTTTAAGGACAACAGATTAGGGCCCATATTAGGGCCCTTTAAGGACAACAGATTAGGGCCCATATTAGGGCCCTTTAAGGACAACAGATTAGGGCCCTTTAATTATGACGGATTAGGGCCCTTTAATTGTGACAGATTAGGGCCCATATTAGGGCCCTTTAAGGACGACAGATTAGGGCCCTTTAATGACGACAGATTAGGGCCCTTTAATGACGACAGATTAGGGCCCTTTAATGACGACAGATTAGGGCCATTTAATGATGACAGATTAGGGCCCTTTAATTATGACAGACAGTAGCTCAGTTGGTAGAGCATTGGCCTTTGGGCCGGAAGGTCGTGGGTTCAAGCCCACCATAAGACCTACTTCACGACTCCCACTGATGACTGGTGTCGTTGTGTCCTTGGGCAAGACACTTAACCCCACTTTGCCTGAAGCTCCCACTGAAATATCTCAGCTCCTGTGGACTCACCACCTGCAGGAGGATCAGTGAGGGGCTGGTGCTAAGTGTACTGGGTGCAGCTCTGACTGCCACCTCCCCAACCCAGAAATGGATAAGGGGAAGAAAATGGATGGAAGGAATTATGACAGATTAGGGCCCTTTAATGATGACAGATTAGGGCCCTTTAATGATGACAGATTTGGGCCCTTTAATTATGACAGATTAGGGCCCTTTAAGGACGACAGATTAGGGCCCTTTAATGACGACAGATTAGGGCCCTTTAATGACGACCGATTAGGGCCATTTAATGACGACAGATTAGGGCCCTTTAATTGCGACAGATTAGGGCCCTTTAAGGACGACAGATTAGGGCCCTTTAAGGACGACAGATTAGGGCCCTTTAATGATGACAGATTAGGGCCCTTTAATGATGACAGATTAGGGCCCTTTAATGATGACAGATTAGGGCCCTTTAATGACGACAGATTAGGGCCCTTTAATGACGACAGATTAGGGCCCTTTAATGACGACAGATTAGGGCCCTTTAATGATGACAGATTAGGGCCCTTTAATGATGACAGATTAGGGCCCTTGAATGATGACAGATTAGGGCCCTTTAATGATGACAGATTAGGGCCCTTTAATGATGACAGATTAGGGCCCTTTAATGATGACAGATTATGACCCTTTAATGATGACAGATTAGGGCCCTTTAATGATGACAGATTAGGGCCCTTTAATGATGACAGATTATGACCCTTTAATGATGACAGATTAGGGCCCTTTAATGATAACTTGACATGAACATCTCATATATTGCTACTTTAAGATGGAGATGGATAAAGTAATACAATAATAAAAATGGTCTTAGCCACTGCTGAACAACATCATGGTTTTGTGATCTTTATCACTTTTAACTGGACTGGGCTCAAACACCCTAAACAATATTTGTGGCAGTTTTTCTCACAGAAAAATAAACAAGTTAAGCCAACAGTGGAAGATAAAGGTTCTGTGGATTAGACGGCGATGGGTCTCGTTGTGAGTCAGTCTGTTCTGTGCAAAGGGAATAATGCGACTCGTGGAACAGTAGAAGAAGTTACCCGTCATCTTTCTTGAGGAAGACTCCGGCGTAGGGCTGAGCCAGACGCACCTTCCTCCTCAGCAGCTCCATCAGCTCCGGGTTCTTCACCTGCAACAGCACAAGCTCCACTTTACACCACATTCTAAGGAAAGTATAAACATGAGACGTCTTCACATGTTAAAGCAGGTTTCTGTAAATAGTCTTTTTTATCTGGGCCAAAGAACTTTATATTCTGAGTCCAAACAACCACCAGCCAGACTGTAATCAGATTATTGTCAGATGAAAAAGACCTCTTTCTCCAGCGTCTTTCAAACTCTCGCCTTGACATTTTGTGTTTGAACATTGAGATTAATAATCAGAATGTAATAATCCGGTTTCCTCCACATGACGTTTATTTTCTGTTTGTGGGCGACAGGTGAAATGACAGGCCACAATATGTGAGTGTGTGGGTAAATAAATTCTTTCTCTGGCTCTTCCCTACAAAAGACTATTAAGAAAAGAGAACAGCGCAAAACAGATTAGTATAAGGCAACAAACTATTGAAAATATGGTTAATGATTACAAAATAACTGAGCCAATAGTCGCCACAAAGCAGTGTTGTTAGTTTATGGTAGAAGACGGCTGAGGCTGAAGCAGACACTTTGGGGACTAAAACACATTTTACAGAAGGACAGACTCCATTATTTAGAGTTTGTTGAAGACAAAGATGTGGAACATAAATTTATGTTCAAAGAAAAAGTTTAATCAACCTCACGCTAGGATCATAATCTATTTGGGGGGTAAGTAACTTCAAAGTGGGCTGGTGCTCTGTACTGGGTGCAGCTCTGACTGCCACCCCACCCACCCAGAAATGGATTAAGGGGAAGAAAATGGATGGATGGATGGGTAACTTCAAAGTAATGCAGTAGTGTAATGCTTGACAATCCAGACACAATATCAGACAATACTTTAGTGTAAAACTAACGTTACTTTGAAATAACAGTAATACATAAGTATTACGGTTTTGTAACCTGCTGAACACTGACAGCTTCATCCTTCGGTAACGCCACAGACGGAATTACGTGATGTTGCGTCATGCGTCCTCGGTGCGACCCTGAGCCACATCAGTATCCACGACAGACCGGGGGCCCCCGGGAGCCTCCAGGGGCCCCACACTCACCTCAATGATCTTGATGAAGCGGGGGAACACGGGGTTCCTGCTGACAGCGATGAGGGGCACGTTGGGGAAGACCTCAGGGACCATCATGGGGGTGAGCGCGGTCATGTGAGGGCCGTTATAGCCGCCTCCGTCTCCGTCTCCCCCGGGCTCCTCTCCTCCAGGGGCCCCGCTGCTCGCTCCATCCTCTCCGCTGACGCGGTTCCCGTAGGCCCGCACTGAGACGAACGGGGACAGGTGAGGAGAGCACGTGTGCGCGCTCCACACCCTGAGGCCCCCCGCGGCGCTGACACGGAGCTCCGAGTCCAGGAGAGCCCTGCGACAGAGGCCCCTGCTGCTGAAGGCCCTCAGGGGACTCAATGGCCCCAGTCCGCGGAGCCGCAGTGCTGCCAGCCTGCACGCCGCCATGTTGTGTGTGTCCGCGGTCACGTGTGCGCGCACGCTTTATTTACTTCTGGGCATGTGACGCCGCGCCGCGTTCAAGGCTCTGCTCAGCGTAGGAAATATAAGCAGTGTTTAAACAACAGGCCTCCACCATGTGGACAAGGTTTATGTGGATCTATGAACATCTGTTTTAAGTTTATTAGAGAGATTACATACAACCCTCCGCTCATGACGGGTCAGTGCTCACATGTTCATAAGTGAATTTATAACGACTGGTGTAATAGAGACAGGGTTGAACTCAAACATACAACAGCATCATATATTATTCAGAATACAATAGACTGATGGAGAAACATTTTATTGCATGTGGAAGTTTAGTGACCATTACCAATCAAATAAATAAGAAGTAAAAGTTATATGACAACTAAATAATGAAATAATGAGGCAGAAGAAAGGCCCTTTAGGCTTTAGTCCGAGAAGGTCCTGTCCTTGTCCTGCACCCAGAGGCACGTCTGAAGACCAGAACCCTCCCAATAAAGAAAACAGACTCATGAGGTTTTCTTAAGGTGTGTTGTATGCATGACGTCCCCTGTGGCTGCAGGAGGCTCTCTGCTCCTGGTGCAGACTGCTCCTTGGATGACGCTTCTTCAGCTGGTTACTCCGACACTTGTGTGTGTTTACTTAATGATATATGCGCTTTGGGGTGGTCTGTTGGGTGGTCAGGTGGAGGGCATGTGGGACTGTAAAGCACTTGTTAAATAACATTTGATTGATGTTATCTGAATGCGTTTCAAAGCACGCTCTGATCAACCTGGTCTCGCAGGTGGACAGGAGTGGTCTGAGCAGATAAAAGGGGATCTGCCAGTTTATCATAGTCTATATAATGCCTGGTCCTCTCCCTCAGCCCTGCAGTCGCACCAGTCCGTCTGCGTACTGGAACTCCTCACTGTTCTCGTAGTGCAGCATGTCCAGAGCCACCACGCAGCTCTCCTTCACCACTCTCTCTGCGTCCGTCTGGTGTTTCTGCAGGACGCCCACACACTCGCTGTGGCCGATGGAGCCCAGAGCTTCCGCCGCCTCGTGCCGAACCATTGGGCTCTCGTCCGTCCGCTCCAGGGCTGCGCTCAGGGCCGGGACTGTGGCGGGGTGCTGCAGCTGTCCCAGGACGTAGCCGATCTCGTGTCTGAACAGGGCACTGGAACACTGCAGGCCTGTCGCACACCACAGCAGCGTTACACACAACACAACAATAACACAGTGAAGATCAGCGAGAACCTGCTCCAGCTCTGGTCAACTTCAAAACTTTTTTTTACCATGAGAATATACATTTGTTTTGTTCAAACAGAAAGTCTTGTAAAACTAAAATCTCTCTGAGTCACTATTTGACTCTTTGAGCTGAGAGCCGATTGGCTGAGGGACACAATTCACAATTTTACATAATTCCTGATATTTTGTCCAAGACAAATTTTCTGGGCTATGTCAGGCGGATCAGTACATTATTTCCATTATGTGAAATGTCAATGTTCTACCCTTCAATAAAACACTCAATACTGAGCTCAGATGGAACCGGCTCGGTCTTAGCGACCCTCAGGTCCATGAACACCTCTGACCAACTCAATCTGCACCCACTGAGGGGACTGCAGATCGATGGTTTGATTTAAATAGTAAAGCTAAAGTGGTGTAAGGTGTAATAGTTTATACCGTAGCATAAAAAGTGAAAATGGCAGTATAGCAGAGCTCATTCCTCCGGGGCCCAGAGAGAAGGACGAGGACCTACCATCCGCCAGGGCCAGCGCCGCCTCCTCCGTGCCCAGGTTCCTCAGAGCAAACATGGCCCGATACCGCTGGAACAGAGGCAGGCTGTCATCGAGCAGGACGCGGCGCAGCTCCAAGGGGCTCTGCAGGGGGGCCGGGGGGGCAGGGTCCACAGAGCTGTAGGGGCTGGCCTCCTTCCCCTCCTCCCCTCCAGACTGCAGCCACTGGAGACGGGCCACTGCCAACTGACACGTCTCTGCCACCTGCAATCACAGCCATCTTTGATAATACAATCCTCTAGTCATCTCTCAGTGGGGAAATGTCAGTGTTGCATCACCGGTTACAGAACAATAGGAATGAGGAGCACACAGCACAAGATACACAAATTACACACAAAAAAAACAGAATGTCTAGCTATAGCATAATAGAGAAGAAAGTCTAAATTCTATAATCTTCTGTATCTTTTATATTGTATATTATTGTAACTTTTTATTATGTCCCGAGTCTGCAGTGTTATTGTTATTATTGACCTTTTTTATATACACATCTTAAAAGGGTAATGGGAAGAAGTATTCTCTAATACAGATCCATTTGATGTCTTTGTTGTCTCATCTTGTTTGAACAAAATGTCTCCTTTGAAATGAGAAAATAAAACAACAATTCTTGAAATAGACTAAATGCTTTGTCCCACTGGAAAATCTATAATATCTTAATATACTCAAATTATGATAATAACCACTTGATTCAGGCAATTATACCTCATTTTATCTTTTTTGGCAGTGCGGTTTTTTGTGTGTTTTTATGGCTGTATTTGTCCCTTTGTTCCGTTTTGCTTCTTCTATGTGAATAACTTGACACTTATGTTTTTGTGCTTGAATGGGAGAAGGCTGGTACCTCTATGACAGGGTCGTGGCAGTACTCCTGCAGCAGCTCCATGACTGACAGCTCCCCGATGGCTCCCAGGGCCTCTCCTGAGCACAACACACACATACGTCATCCCTTACAGTGGTTGGAACAGGCCACACACTGCTGCACCAAAGCTGGGTCCCACCTGCTTCATGACGCACCATGGGGTCTTGCTGCACGTCCTTGAGTACAGCTGTCAGGGTGGGGATGGCCCGGCTGTCCTGCATCTGCCCCAGACAGTAGGCCAGCTCGTGCTTCAGCAGAGCAGACTCATCACTGAAGGCTCTGCTGATCCAGCCGATGGCCTCTGCCCCTGGAGAGAACGCATTTAAATAAAGACACTCTAGTCTTGGGGCTGGAGAAGAGGACTTTGTCTTACTCTAAACCTAGTGTTGAGGAAAAAATGACTGATTCTGTCAACGCGTTTTGTTTAAATGGACATTGTAAAAAAAAACTAAAATATAAAAAGGTCTTAAAGTCTGACTTAGATTCAAGAATCTCTATTTCAGGCGCGACCTGGCCCCACACAGGCTCAAATATGCTCAATTTAAAAGAGTAAATATGTATTTTGTATAGACTTAATTCACAACACTGGTCTCTGAAGACTAAAATGTAAACTATCTAACAACAGATTTGAGAAACTAAATATTTTAACACAGGAAATGCAAAATTAAGAACCACAAAGGAGCCATTGGTCCTGACGGTGGGATGAGCGAGTCCATAATGTTCATAAATGTCCAGAATCTTCACTGTTTTTATCCCTCAGTAACATCCGAACAGGAGACACATACCTCCGATGTTCCTCAGGGTGAAGAGCGCCCGAAAGCGCTGGGCCAGCTCCTGTTTGGGGTCCACCAGAAGCTCCCCCACAGCAGACACTTGCTCCACACTTGCCATGTCCACACTGCGTTGAGGAAGAGAAAGTTACTCATGTTTTTCACAGATTCGCTCAGCATGCATAATGTTGTGTATGATTTCAGAGTTGAATATTTATGAACTTTGCTTTATCTCTCCTTTGTGTTTTAATTTGTTCATGACAAAGGCTACTGTTAAAGAAGTATGACAGCCACTGTGGGCAGATGCGTTACAGCTGGAGAGCCTAACTTTGTTTTTTTTTCTAAGGATACATTTGTTTCTCCCAACAGAAAGTGTCTTAGGGGGAAAAAAATGCTGCATCAAAGGTATATAGGAGGATTTTCTACTTCCGGGTGGATCATAAAGACTATTGGTACTCCTAATTGTCAATCATTCTGGTGATACGTGCTCGTCAATTAAGACCAAAGAGTTTTGTTCAAATAGTGGAGAGGGCGGTTCTTTTCTAAAATTTGGGAAAATCTTTCTATAAACCTTTACTCTTGTTAGAAAACATTCTAGACTGATTGCCTGAGTGATGGCTACTCACGTTTCACTTCTCTGTCTAATGTTCACAAAAATATACTATAAAAAGGTTCTTTCTGGAAAAAAGTGACATGAACAAAGTTAGAAACCCCAGCTTTAACACAATAAGGTTAATGTTAATGTTAGGAAAAGTAAGATGACGTGTGAGCAACAAACGCACACAAGAAGTGGTCAGATCGATTTGAGCTTAGCATTAAACATTAACGAAGAGAATCGGCGCAAAGTATCGCAGACCGAAAAGCCTCCCGGTAATCGTGCTTACTGCTTACCGACAGGTCAGTCACTGCACGATTACACGGGCACGGGGCAGCAAACAACCACGATCACTGAGACTACCGATCACCGACCCACATGGACAATGGCTGCGTCCAAATTCAATAACTCCGCTCCTTTCTTATCCTTATCTCTCATTTCTCATTAACTTTTGTGTATAAAATTCAAACTTAAGTACATCAGAATATCTTGAAACGTGTTAAATTACACTGGATCAACCCTGGAGCTGCTGTCTCTTAAAATATCAATATTACAGCACAAAAAAGGACAACGAATTATAAGAGTATTTGGACGCAGCTCAGCCAATACATAACATCCACGCACTGTCTTCTTCCGGGTCACAGACTGGAGCTAGTTCTTCTTTGGTCTAACTACAGCCCGTTAGCGCCATCTTCTGCTGCGGAGAGAGAATCAGTTCACAGCAGTTCAAAAACTCAAATAAAACTCATAGAAAGGTATTTTTTAAAAAGAAGGAAAAAATGGGAGATTTTATTTTGGTTTCAAATAGAGTTTATTTTCCTCTTTTCGTTAAGAAACAACAATAAAGGCCATGCAGTATAATGTCATGCTTAGATTGGTCATATTTGTTTTTTTCATTTGGAGCAACTGTAAAAGTTACACAGAGTGGCTAATAAATAAAACAAATCATGGTAACACTTTAGATTATCCCCCACTAATTAAAAGCGAATCAATTGTTAATTAGTGTACTCTTACCCTAACCCTAAGCCACATGGGAAAGTGTCTGTCTTTAGTTAGTAAGATGTTGCATGTAGGGTATGTAGAATAAGGACTAATAATATCCTCTTCCTTTCAAGAATAGGGAAATACAATTCTAAACCATACATAAGATTAATCCAACTATTGAATTCCCGAGGCGCAGATTTACGTGGATATGGATAAATGTAGATTCTGTGTGACGATTGTGAGGATTTGGGTCATTTGTAAATCGGTCCAGGGATTCTGGTCTGACTTCCAACAAGGGATAAGGGCAGAAGGAATTCAAATGTAGCTATTAATGACATAATGTTTGGTATTTCTCTGACTTTGGTGTTAATAATCTTATATTGTCAGCTAAACACGTAAATGTAGAGTTTTTCTGTCTGATAAAGCTAAACATGTGGCAATGTGACATGGATTTTGCGACGTAGAAAAATGTTTTGTGGGTTTGAAAGTCAGGTTTATGGTTCCCCAGCTGGACAAGTGAGGTTCCCAGTTCCCAGGCCAATGCAGCCTCCGGGCGGTAGGGGGCAGTAGACTCGGGGAGCCTGGTCTGTACTGGTTCCGTCTCGGCTCCTCTGCTCCGGGGGTAAACTCCGGACCTGTTCTTCATGTGATAAACTCTGGACACTTTTACGCATTTGGCCTGAATCTGAGCCCGCTTCCTTTTCTGGAGCGTGGAGACTCGGAGACCGCGACCATGGACATGCCCACGCCGCCTGAAGGTGCGTGAGGCCGGGGGAGAGGGAGCGGAGAGGGAGGGGAGCCGCTCGAACAATGCTAATGTGGCTAACGGCTAATGGCCCCGCCGTGTCATTATTATTATTATTATTATTATTCTGACTGTAGAACACATTTGATTTACGTGACTCAGTAATAGGCCACATCTCGACACGAAGTCCCACAGATCCATTGTCATTTGCATTCAAACTAATTGACGTTGTTTCATTGTGCAATACCCACAATTATATTAGGATTTAAACTACTATAAGTAGTCACAGAACAGTTGTAATGAGGAGCACAAGATAAATGAACAATAACTATAGTAAAATATGCCAAAATCTCTAGCTTTAGCATAATAAAGTAATAAATAATAATTGAAGAAGTATATCTCTAACTAAAGCATGACAACATTCTTCTAATCTAAACGAATGTATTAAGGTAAACTGTAACCATTGACTATTTGAATATAATTGTGTTGTAAATACCTGCTCTACGGCCGTCATCATAGCTTCGTTTGTTCAATATTATGTAAATGCAAACCTAATCAATAACCTGTTCACTTCTACTATTCAATTAATAAACAGAATAATCGTATAATCCATCAAAAATACTGTTAATTTCAGCTCTTGTCTTGTCTGGGTTGATGAGGGTTTTCGTTGTTATTATGGCGATGTCTTTGTGCAGACCAGGAGCTGAGGAACGTCATCGACAAACTGGCCCAGTTCGTCGCCCGCAATGGTCCCGAGTTTGAGAAGATGACCATGGAGAAGCAGAAGGACAACAACAAGTTCTCCTTTCTCTTCGGGGGAGATTACTTCACCTACTACAAGTACAGACTGGCCATGGAGCAGCAGCCACGTATGTAACCGTCACTAATCCAGTATTGAAGAGCACATAGACTTGATCTTGAACATGTTTTGTGGTTCAGATTGTGACATAAAGTCTTAAACAAATTGATAAACATGAACTGAATGCTCCAACACTGACATCTGATGCTTTTTGCTGAAGCTTAAATTTAATTCCAACTTGTCAAATTAAAGGCAGAGTAGAGTAGAGGTTGAGCGATATGACAAAACGGTGAAATCTCACTTTTATAAGGAATCGACTGAACAAATGATTGGGTCCAACGTCACCTGAAAAAGGGGCGTGGCAAATGTTGTAAATCAGGCGTGCTCACTTTGTCTAAATTGAGATTCACTTTTCCGGTAGCAGTGAGCCGAGATTTACTGTACCTCTGTTTTATCGTCCTAATAAACAAAACAAATAAACAAATATCAGTTTACTGCCTGCACAATGCACTGAGGAATTTGGATTTATGAATTTATCAATCCCCATGCAGAGATGAGCATTTCAATTCACTCAATTTTCATTTTGTAAGTTTGGATTAACTGATTTGATTTCGTAGAGGACTCGGCGTTTGGTGTGTGCTTTTGTTGTGCTGTGACTGTCAAACCTGTCGAGTGCGGAGTTAGAAGAGTTTGTGGAAGTGCAGGACTTTAGTCTGTTGATCTATGTTGATCAGAGCGGAATCCCTCAGTTATCTTCCATGCGTTCGCTCAAAGCAGAACAATGTTGTAACACGGTTAAAAGTACAAAAACAGAGGATTTTTATATGTGTTACTGTTAATATGTTCTAAAACTTAAATCACTGATATATTTTCTTGATTTTAAACTTTCCTACTGGCAGATGTTACTTGCAAAGTCATTGCAATTGGCCATACCTGCAGGGGAGAGCCAGATCCCTTAAAACCTATGAAGTTAAGCGAGGCAGGGCCTGGTTAGCACTGTGATGGGAGACCTCTGGGAACAGCAGGTGCCACAGTGGGGCGACTGTAAAGTGCCAAACTGTGGTTGTGTCCTTAGGCAAGACACTTCCCCCACATTAGAATGAGTCTGGTGTGTGTGTGAATGGTTGGTGGTGGTGGGAGGGGCCGGTGTCACAGACTGGTTGCCTCGCTTCTGTCAGTGTGCCCCAGGGCAGCTGTGGCTCCAGCAATAGTTTATCATCACTGAAGGTATAATGACATGTGAAGCTTCTTTGAGTGTCCTGAAGATAAAACCGATGCATTATTATTGTAATCATTGATCCGATTCCGAGCGGTATGCTTCTACCATGACTTCAACCTCAGGGCTGGAGGATTTTCATAATATATGCCAATATGTTCCTATACATTTTCTCCATTTTAAACTTACCTACTGTAAGATACTGTTATTTGCAAAGTCAATGTAATATCAATAAGGAGTGGAGTGTTGTGAGTAGCCAATGTTTAAGGCTAGAGTTGGGTCGATGATGTCACACAATGTTGTATCACAGGATTCTGCTCAAAAATGGATGTTTATCAGATGTTCAAGTGCGAGGAAGAGAATCCGCTCCGACTGATGCACACCGTTTAATTAGAACACATTTGTTTTGGTTGATTTGAAGACTTAAACGCTGGCCTTTATTTAACCCAGAATGCGTACACAATCATGCAACATGTGTACAACATGACAAATGGGTCGGGTCTGGACTCACACAGACCGGGGTGAGCAGGAGGTGTCAGCCCCTGTTTGAACTAAAGCCAAGCTGTGAAAATGTTCTTTCTATTTTAGATGCCTCTGCTCATGATGTGGAGGACTTGAAATCACAAGGTATTGCACAAAGGGTGGATCTGGCATGAGAAACCATCAGGCCTCTTTTGATTTGTCATGTGTTTTTAGGACTTTTTATTTGGGCTTATGTGAACGTTCTTCTCAAATTTGGAATGATTCATGCTTTTTGCTGGTACATGTCCTGAAGGCTGTGGGACAGAGAGAGTGCATGTGTCCTGGGGCCCCTCTGTACAGTGTCCTCATGTGACTGTACCATGACCTCTGCTCTTGTCTCTGATCGAAGGAATTAACGCCTGCTCCTCCATCTTCTTTCAGAAATGTACAACCCTGGGACCAAAGACTGTGAGCTTCCTCCTGGCACCAGCCCCTTCTTGGCCCCACCAGGTGCTCCTCCTCCAGGAGTCCCCCCTCATGGGGCCCCTCCCCTAGGGGCCCCTCCCCTTGGAGCTCCTCCCCTAGGGGCTCCTCCCCTTGGAGCTCCTCCCCTTGGAGCTCCTCCCCTAGGGGCTCCTCCCCTTGGAGCTCCCCCCCCAGGGGCCCCACCTATTGAGGAGCTGATCCAGCAGAGCCTGTGGAACCTGCAGCAGCAGGAGCAGCACCTCAGTTCCCTCCGACAGGTATGGAAGTGGTCCTAGTCTGGTGATATCCTGGCGTCTCTACGGCTGTGTGCTCGCCGTGCTGATCTCAAAGCTGCTCTGCTTTCTCCTCACTGGAGCAAGGCCCTGCTCTTTTTGACCAGATGTTTAGATATTATAATCCTATGTACAGTGGTCAGCCCTGCTCAAGGCTTCTCCAGAATATGTTCCTATGTCCCTGTTGGGAACTCTCCTCTGGACGGACTCGAGAGAGAAAGAGACCCAACAGATTTTATTTGCAGAAAACTACGAGTTCGAGTCAAGTCTGAGTCTTACAGAACAAGTCTGAGTCGATTCTTGAGTCTCGGGGAAGAGTCCAAGTTAAGTCTAAGGGAATGAGTCAAGTCTGAGGTTTGACTCGCGAGTCCCCATCTCTGCTTCAGAGACTGAGAGTTGAGCATTAGTGACTGCAAACATCTCATGACAGAGAGTAGGGACTGGACACGGCCAAATACCTAAGATTCTGTACGGAGACATGGTTTGTGTGTGATTTTAACACTAGGAGCGCCCCTAGCGGTCAACTGACCGTCACTCACTTTAATATGCTAATTAGTGTATTCAAAACAAAACGCCAGAAGTTGAAATTTTATGACTTTTACTGGGTACTTGTTGTTTATATTTTGGTGTGTTTTGTTTTTGGAAAAAGTAAAGAAAACAAGATTTACACGCATTTTAACTTTTCTAAACCACAGCCCTTTCTGCTGCCCCATAGGGATACATGGCGCAGGGGCGACCGTTGTCATAGTAACCTTTTCCGGGGGTTTTTCGCGCCTTATAAAAATGTATCAATATGTTGTCATTAGACTCTAAAGGGACTTGAGTTTTTTTTTTTTTTTGGGAGAGAGAAAGAGTTTTGAATTGAGAGGAGTATAAAATGAATAGATCTGCAAGTACACGGTATGAAGCCCTGACAGTGCTTCAAGACATTGAAGGAGAACAGTCTGACGGAGGTGAGATGTCACATTTTGAGGTGGAAAGTGACAGCGGGGAGAACACCTATAATATTCTAAATCTGAACGTAAACCCATAGTTAATTCACGGCACAGACAGCAGTGTTGTAACAAGTCCAGAAGCAATAACACACATGAGCCGCGTAATGCCAGCCATACGCAGGTGTCTGTGTGCGCGTTGTCGCTCCATTCTGCCTTTTCATTCATCATCAATTACATTCTTATATTTATACATAGAAGATAAAAATAGAACAATTAGATGAACTATCGAGGCAGAGTGCAGAGAGAGCGACTGTGAGGCCTCTCGTCACCCGCGGACACTGCAGGAGGAGAGCGGCTGTGGCAGAAGCGGCCCTCATCATATCAATAAGGATCTCATTCTTATTTCATCCAGACAACACTGTGTGTTATTCTGCACAGCGCGCACTGCAAGGCAATGATTATATTTTTGTTCTGATCATAAAGAGCACTGCTTGTCTCAAATAAATACAAATATACATATATAACGTGTCCCCTGTAAAATTGAAGATTGTACATTGACGATGGTAGCCTAGCTGATGATCTCGTGTCAATACAAATTCTATTATTATTATCTATATAATATTTCCCACGGTGACTTCGGCTGGAAAGAGAAAACAGTCTGGAGATGACGTATAGACGTTATGGTCCTGTGCTTTTCTAAACTATCATTTATATTGTTTGAATTTACATATTGTTACTGAGTCAATTTAACATATAGTGACCAACCTTTTAAGTGTTTGCAAAGTTACAAAATAAATCTAGCCTGAAAAGTCATCGTCATTTTGATGGATCAGTACACGCACAATGTGTCCTCTTAGCCTTTTATTTCATTATTATCACAATTTCCTTGCAACAACAAGTTCTGGTTTAGTGAACAGTCAATTTGGCAAAAGGCTGTATCAGCGCAAAATACACAGCGGTCAACTGACCGCAGGGGGCGGTGCAAGGTATGTTTAGAGCACGGCGGTCCTAGTGTTAAAGAAGATTGAAACAACTATTTATCACTCACAAATGTAGTCTTATGGCACCGACATGTTTGTTTTGGCCTGTTTTCTTTGTTATTGCTAAATTGAAAGAGTAATGGTTAAACTATTGTGGACGTGTGTTTGTGTGTGTTCAGGAGCAGGTGACCGCTGCCATTGCGTTGGCCGTGGAGCAGCAAACCCAGAAGCTGCTGCAGGAGACACAGCTGGACATGGACGAGTTCGACAGCGTCCTGCAGCCCATCATCGACATGTGCACGAAGGACGCCATCTCTGTAAGGCCTTCTACTACGTGAGACTGTATCTGACCCCAGTGAACACGCACACACATGCACACACAAGGTCAAATCTACTTCATCCGCTGTAGCTCACCGTCCACTGTCTAAAGGGAGTAGCTTTCTGTCCACTGTCTAAAGGGAGTAGCTCTCTGTCCACTGTCTAAAGGGAGTAGCTCACCGTCCACTGTCTAAAGGGAGTAGCTTTCTGTCCACTGTCTAAAGGGAATAGCTCACTGTCCACTGTCTAAAGGGAGTAGCTCTCTGTCCTGAAAAATCTCAGAGGGAAAAGATTGGAGGTTAAAGGTTATTCTAAATAAACTCTAAACTGTTGAGTATAGTTTGACAAAGCAGGAATAGTTTGATGTCGTCTGTTGCTGCAGGTTGGAAAGAACTGGATGTTCACCAACGCCAAGGGCCCCCAGCACTGTGAGCTGATGACATCACACCTGAGGAACCGCATCACCGCCGACGGAGCGCACTTCGAGCTGCGCCTGCACCTCATCTACTTGACCAACGACGTGCTGCACCACTGGTAACTCCTGCTGACCACTGATGACTCCTGCTGACAACTGGTAACTCCTGCTGACCACTGATGACTCCTGCTGACCACTGATGACTCCTGCTGACCACTGATGACTCCTGCTGACAACTGGTAACTCCTGCTGACCACTGATGACTCCTGCTGACCACTGATGACTCCTGCTGACCACTGATGACTCCTGCTGACCACTGATGACTCCTGCTGACCACTGGTAACTCCTGCTGACCACTGATGACTCCTGCTGACCACTGATGACTCCTGCTGACCACTGGTAACTCCTGCTGACAACTGGTAACTCCTGCTGACCACTGATGACTCCTGCTGACCACTGATGACTCCTGCTGACCACTGGTAACTCCTGCTGACCACTGATGACTCCTGCTGACAACTGGTAACTCCTGCTGACCACTGATGACTCCTGCTGACAACTGGTAACTCCTGCTGACCACTGATGACTCCTGCTGACAACTGGTAACTCCTGCTGACCACTGATGACTCCTGCTGACAACTGGTAACTCCTGCTGACCACTGGTAACTCCTGCTGACCACTGATGACTCCTGCTGACAACTGGTAACTCCTGCTGACCACTGATGACTCCTGCTGACAACTGGTAACTCCTGCTGACCACTGGTAACTCCTGCTGACCACTGATGACTCCTGCTGACCACTGATGACTCCTGCTGACCGCTGATGACTCCTGCTGACCACTGATGACTCCTGCTGACAACTGATGACTCCTGCTGACCATGACTCCTGCTGACTTTGACTCCTGCTGACCATGACTCCTGCTGACCATGACTCCTGCTGCACCACTGATGACTCCTGCTGACAACTGATGACTCCTGCTGACCATGACTCCTGCTGACTTTGACTCCTGCTGACCATGACTCCTGCTGACCATGACTCCTGCTGCACCACTGATGACTCCTGCTGACAACTGGTGACTCCTGCTGACCACTGATGACTCCTGCTGACAACTGGTAACTCCTGCTGACCATGACCCCTGCTGACCATGACTCCTGCTGACTATGACTCCTGCTGCACCACTGATGACTCCTGCTGACCACTGATGACTCCCGCTGACCACTGATGACTCCTGCTGACCATGATTGATAAATTATCTGGTTTACAACAGATATTACACTAATTTGCACTAGTAAATAATAATCTCAATAGTTTTTTTACCCTTTGTTGGCAGTGAGCGGTCAAAAAGTTCTATAAGTCTTCACAAGGTTTTCACACACACTTGCTGGTATTTTGGCCCATTCCTCCATGCAAATCTCTTCTATAGCAGTGAGGGTATAATACAAAGCCTTGATCAGATATGATTTTCTGGATTTCTTAAAATATCCTTCTTCCCTTGTGACGAAAATGACAGACATCTCTCATCTTTGTAAGTGGGAGAACTTGAACAATTGGAGGCTGACTAAATACTGTTGTCCCCACTGTCCCCTCAACGATTTCTTTTTATTATTAAAGATTAATTCACAAATGCAAAAATAAAACGACTGTTACCAGCTAAAGCAGCCTTTCTCTAAAGGTCTCTTATGGGAGGTGAGAAGGGGCTCATCGTCCAGTATCTTGGTTCATAAGAAAAGTATTCTGTTCACAGTCAGAGGAAGCATCAGAAGGACCTGCTGGCCGCTCTGCAGAAGGTGGTGGTGCCCATCTACTGCACCAGCTTCTTGGCCGTGGAGGAGGACAAGCAGCAGAAGATCACCAGGGTGCGAGCTCTCATCTACTTATTTTACATGAACCCAGAACTGTTTCTAGGCATTAAACATTGTTGTGGCTAAGATCCCCAAATGTATTTACTTTATGACTAATATAGAAGGCTCTTGTGGATCAGATATTTTAGTTTGGTTCGGTTTACAAAGCAGCTGACATGTGCTTTGTCAGAATAATGCCATCCCAAATACATTTATATCTTGCTACAGTGATAGGTCTGACTCCACTGTTAAAGTTTATTGTTTGTCTGGTTGGGACAGTACATGTTTATGAACACATCACTCCGGACTGTAACCTATGCTGCTTAAGGACACAATGAAAGTCTTTCAAGCACATCACAGTGGCACCGGAAGCTTCAGGGCTGATGAAAGTGTCCTGAATACTCCCCATAATCTTATTACTGCGCTCAAGTTATTTCTTCTAAACCAGACAAGTGTAAGATAGCGATTTTATTAAGATAAGAGTTCCTTTATTCGTCCCACAGTGAGGAAATTTTACCCTGACATGTAACAATTGTCTGGTTTGGAAGACGCAAATAACTATATTCTATGGAGAAGACAAACCTGAACTTGTGGACTGATTGTTATTATTCCATGCAGTTACTACAACTTTGGGAGAAGAACGGTTACTTTAATGAAGAGACCATTCAGCAGCTTCAGAACCCGGCGCTGGGCCTGGGCCAGTACCAGGTGAGTCTTCTTTAGTGACCTGTCATTTATCAGCTGATGTGTGGACGTGGTCAGCCTTAGTGTTCTGACAGATTGCTCAGACTGACCACACCCCTCTAGCCCGGAGAGGTTTGTGGAGGAAGGTGTCCCGTGTGTAGGACAGGAGAAAGATATCAACCAAAAAATCCTCAGAGAACTCATGTGGTTCGATCTCGGTGTCGTCTAAAATGACTGCAAAAGATCTGAATATCAGTAAAATGTGAAATGTTTCATCAGTGAGCACAAATCTGACAATGGCTCATAAATATAGACAGTATTAATGTAGTAAGTGTGTCCCTGTTCCCCCAGGCCTCTCTGATCACGGAGTACGCTGGCGTGGTGCAGCCCATCCAGGTGGCCTTCCAGCAGCAGGTGCAGGCGCTCAAGGCCCAGCATGACGAGTTTGTGGCCAGCCTGAAGAAGCAGCACCAGCCTCCTCATCCCCAGCCCACCCCCACACAGATCCCACTGCTGGAGGCAGACAAGCCCCCTGGAATCACCCCACAAGCCCCAGGTAAGACCCCAGAGCCGACCACAGGGGCCATCCTATAACCAGTGCTGCATGTCTCAGACAAACCGTAACATACGCAGAAGGTCAACTTTCCTGAGAGCACTTTCCTCTGCCCTCAGTGTCAAACCCTTTTCCCTCCTCCTCATGTTGCTTGGTGTCATCGCTCTCTTGAGTTTCTATAACATAACTGAGACAATGGCCTCTTCACAATCAAAGCGAGGAAAGACACAGACCTCTCTGACCTTCGCCCTGACAATCAGCAGCCTCTGTATAAATGACAAATCTGTGACACCCTAAAAGTCTTTAAGAACTGGGCAACTTAAACACATAAAAAACAAACTTATGTTTTCACAGCTTTTTAAATATTTTGCATCATTTGAGTCTTTCAAAAACTGGTAATCCACAGACTGTCGGACCAAAGCCTAAGGAGAGTGTCTGAACTGTAACTTCATCTCTTTTTCAAATGTTAACACTGAAGAATTGACATACTCCTCATTGTGGAATCGTTTATAATATGAAATCATGTTGAATGTGGAACTGCACGACCACATCGCTGTCTTTCCACACTGAGTGGTTCAACAAAGAATACACTTTGTGTTTCTGCAGAAGGGAAAGCCATCCTCCCTAACCCCGCCCCCAGAGATCTGGAGTCGGTCCCTCCACACTCGCAGGAGCCCCCCTCTGGTGAACAGGGTCCAAACAAGCCCTCGTGGTACGACCCGCAGCACATGGGCCCCTGGAACCCCAACCAGCCGGTAAGATGGAAAATCAGAATGTTAACTTCATCTTAAAACATTGGTCTGTGGCACACTGATTCCCAAACCAGTTCTAAACTAAATCACGCAGACCACAGCTCACACCAAAGGCTGTGCCATTGTCTTTCCGGCTCCAATCCCAAACTCTTGTTGTAAAAAAAACCTGTGTAAAATACCCACGTTCCACACCAGACCACGGGCATGAGCTGTACCCTGGAAAGACCTTTGTCTTTCTGGGAAACCAGTCTGCTAAGTTTTATTATCTAAGAAGGATAATAGCAATAGTTTAGGGTTTTTGATTTTCAGTTATTTCTATTTTGGTTTACGAATTGGATCTACTCATTTTTCCATCAACTGCAAATGTATTGGTATCCTGGATGTTGGTTTAATTTTACACTTTGCTTTGAAATAAATATATTGACTATTAATTCAGTGAGTTTTCAATTTAGAATTTTTAGACACATTGAGAAATCACACTGACATTTCAGTGGCTTAAATTCTGAGATAAAATTCTCCTTTGAATGTGGCTCTTAACCTGAGTTAAACCTATACAGTTCTTATTATAACCCATTACATGTTCTAGTCCCTGCTTGGGCCCAGAGAAAGTGTTGATGATGTTAATGATGTTAATGATCCAGTCTGTGTAAACAAATATTACTGTACAATTCTTGCCATAATCTCCACAAAGTCCAAATGCTCTTCATCTGTAAAATCGGCTCAAGAGAAATGATTCTGAACCATGGGCTTTGTCTGTTAGTTTAGGAGAATGTAAAGTCTGCACGTTGGTCCATGTCTCGATCTTTTCAAGTTTCAAAATAAGTTCAACATGATCAAAACCTAAACAGAATGTTGTATTTAATACTTGAATTTTCTGGTTTTGAGTAAATACAATCATTGTGTGTGTGAAGTGTGAAGGACAGATGAAAGAACCAGTCTCACGCTGTGTTCGTCTGCAGCCCCCCTTTGACCCTAACCAGCCGCCGCCATGCCCGCCCTGGGGCAGCCATGAGGGCATGTGGAATGAGCAAAGGGACCCTGGCAGCTGGAGTGGAGGCCCTCCCAGAGATGAAGGCCCCTGGAACGGCCCCGGAGGGTCAGAGTCAGGACCCCCTGCCTGGAACTCCTTCGACTCACCAGGAAACTGGGGCAATCAGCCGGAGCAGCCACCATGGGGCCAGCGGGAGCCCCCCTTCACTCCACGTATGCAGGTACCCTCCTCATACTATCACTACTCCCACTAAAACACTGACCCGTTTGGGTTGTCAGGGTATGAACATTTTAACTGACGGTTATTGTGACTAAAATTATATTATGCACAGTTTGAGTAATAAACCTTTATGTCACACCTGCGACTCCAGGAGCGACCAGCAGGGGGCTGTGAAATCCTCCATCATCATACACACTTCCTGTTTTCTGTCTCGCAATAGTTCATTTGACCTCTGCTGAGTCAAAAACATTTGCTTTTGGAGTCGCATGCTTCTCTTTCAGCTCTTTGCGATGGCTCCTTTAGCCTTGACAAAAAAGAAAAATAAAGAAATGTATTTGTATTTATTTATTTTTTAAAGTTAGTTATGTATTCACATCCACGACACGCTTGTTTCTACAACAGCTTCTGTCTCGGACCTGATGCTGCTGTGAAAGAGTTGACAGAAATGTAAACTTATATAAATAATAATATAAATACTCATGTAAATGTCAAATAAACTGAATATTACTCCTTCACAGAGACCCCCACACTTCAGAGGGCCGTTCCCCCCTCACCAGCAGCCGCCTCCCTTTAACCAGCCGCCTCCTCCGCACAACTTTGGCCGCTTCCCTCCGCGCTTCATGCAGGACGAGTTTCCTCCCAGGCATCCGTACGACCGGCCGCCCTACCCCCCGCCCCGCTTCGACTACCCCCAGGACTTCCCCGGAGGTGAGCCCTGCACCAACTCTCCAGCTCTTTACCTACTCATGGATGGAATCAAGAATAGTACTATCAATACTGTTGGATCGTATCGAGATTGTTGACATTTTAAATACAATCATTAGCTTTTGTTTATTAGTTACTTGTTTTCATCATCAAACACCTTCATTTGCCTCACACTTGGGAAAACAGAATGTGAATGATATTGTTTGCATTTGTGTTGATCTTCAGACATGCCAGGTCCACCCCCGCACCACCACCCCAACCAGAGGATGCCTCCCAGTGGGATTGGGGGTGAGCGGCCTCCCTGGGGCGGGGGACAGCAGCACCCAGACTTCGGCCCTCCTCCCCCACATGGCTTTAACGGTCACTCTCCACATGTACGCCACCGACAGCCCCTGATCCAGGACGACCCCAGCCTGGTCCCCAACGTCCCCTACTTCGACCTCCCCGCTGGTCTCATGGCTCCACTGGTCAAGGTGAGAGAGGAGTGAACCCTGAGACCAACCTGAGACCAACCTGAGACCAACCTGAGACCAACCTGAGACCAACCTGAGACCAACCTGAGACCAACCTGAGACCAACCTGAGACCAACCTGAGACCAACCTGAGACCAACCTGAGACCAACCTGAGACCAACCTGAGACCAACCTGAGACCAACCTGAGACCAACCTGAGACCAACCTGGGACCAACCTGGGACCAACCTGGGACCAACCTGGGACCAACCTGGGACCAACCTGGGACCAACCTGGGACCAACCTGGGACCAACCTGGGACCAACCTGGGACCAACCTGGGACCAACCTGGGACCAACCTGGGACCAACCTGGGACCAACCTGGGACCAACCTGGGACCAACCTGGGACCAACCTGACCACCCACAATGTCTGCAATGTGTTCAGTGACTATAAAAGGTGTCATGTCAGCGCTGTATGAAATGCCGCAGACTCCGAAGCTACACCTCCTTCTGTCATATTTTACACTCACGTTTTTTACTCGTTTGTTTCCTCCGAGCCTATTTGTTTACAGTCTATGCTCCTGGCTAGTGCGAGCAACGCTGTGTTGAATGAAACACATGCGAGGGGAGGGGGAGCCAACATAAGGAGGCGGTGTCGCAGGCGAGGGCAGAGAAGGCAAACGGGCTAAAGTGAAATAAAGTCATTATATCGATATATATACGATATGTTAAAATTTATATCGAGCTTAAAGAATATCATAAATATCAATATATCGCCCTCCTCTACTATCTTAAATATAAATACCCACAGGTGCCACAGGCCATCAAAACCACAGTAATCAAGCCTCTTCTGAAAGACCAAATCTTGACCCTGGTCTGGATTTAAAGCTCATCATAACACTGAAGCAGCACTAATTAAAGTCACAATGGACTCACTACTCGCTGCTGACAATGGACCAGCTCTAGTGTTAGTTTGACCTCTGTGAAACTGACGGTCTACATATGTGCTCAGCTGGAGGAATATGACTACAAGCCGCTGGACCCCAAAGACATCCGGCTGCCTCCTCCCATGCCGCCCAGTGACCGGCTGCTGGCTGCTGTGGAGGCCTTCTACAGCCCCCCGTCCCACGACCGCCCACGGAACAGGTACTCGCCCCCATCAAGCTACATTGGTGCAAGTTCTTCACCTTGTTTTTTTACACATTTGATGTTACATCCACAGTAGTTGAAGATGTTTATGTGTGTGTGTGTGTCCCAGTGAGGGCTGGGAGCAGAACGGCCTGTACGAGTTCTTCAGAGCTAAGATGAGGGCGCGTAGGAAGAAGGAGCAGGAAAAAAACAGGTGAGTGCAGTGGTGCTTTTGGCGTTGGACTGATGTGTATCTCGAGCGGCACTGAAACTAATGTTGACGTCATTTGAGGAGACTATTGGGATTAATCAAGTCCCAAGATCCAAGATGGCGCCCTATTCAATTGAATGGCTTGTGCTCAGTAGCGCATGGGACTTCACGGGCGCTGATATATCAGAGGAACTCGCCTATATTTGGGCATCGTCTGGTCCTCCTGGTTCTGCGCAGTGGACGAGCTGCGCCAAATACGCGTGTGTGGCTCTCATGCACGTGCACAGAGGGGCTCGGCCGCGCTTTGACCAATCAGAGCTGATCAGAGCAGCGGCAAAGCGGAGTCAAAGCGGGAAGGAAAGGAGCAGAGTTTGTGGCAGTAAAGTGTGGATTTAAAGAAAACCGAAGGATTTAAGAAGAAAAACAGATCAGGACGACAAGGGACACTAAAATCCCCACAAAATACCATCTTAATGAAAGCTGTAGGTTCTTTGTCAGGTTCTCTGTCAGGTTCTCTGTCAGGTTCTCTGTCAGCTGAGGTCGAGCTGTTTTAGTTTACATTGAGTTCTATGGGACTTTTCTTTTTTCTTTTTTTCTGGGTAGCCCACGTAAATTTAGTCTGCAGTACCACAGCGCCCCCTGTGTCCATGGGTGGGACAGCTATCCAGTTATTATTATAGATCCATGGGCTTAATGAGTCTACTGGGTTTGACCTGTTCTGTGTCCTCGTCCTTCTAACCCGTGTCCTCGTTCCTCTGTCCCGTGTCCTCGCTCCTCTGACCTGTGCTGCTCTCTCTACAGCTCCCGTGGAGACAGCCGCTCCCACAGCAGAGGCCGGTCGTCCTCTCGCTCCAGCTCACACTCGTCCAAGTCGTCTCGCTCCAGGTCCCGCTCGTCCAGGAGCGGCTCGCGTTCCTCAGGCAGCTCCAGGTCAGTGCAGCACTTCTTTTTACAATGGGAGCTTTCAATATTGCAATGTTCTTTCTTGTGAATGATGTGACTATTTTGAGTCTTGTCCTGCAGGTCTCGAAGCAGGTCACGATCGTCCCGGTCCAGATCTGGCTCTAGGTCTCGCTCACGGTCCCCAGTCAAACGCAGAGGAGCCACCAAGTCTCCGCCGTAAGTCTCACCCTGCCCTTCAATCTTGTGCTTCATTAAACTTGGGCAGGTTGTTCCACTGCCATCCAGAAGTCATTTTATGATCTGAAAATGCCATGTCTGTGAACTGTATTTAACTCATTGAGTGCCAGAAACGTCATTTTACGGCTTCTTTTTTTAATGCTTCTTTTTCTTTTTTTTGAAAGCAGACACCCTGACACACAATGTGTATATTTGGGAATGTTATGATACATTTAGCTGCTTATATGACAATCTAAAACTCATTAAACACTTCAACATGTGTTATTTATTGTTCATAACGCAGCTTTGAGTGGTTTGCCTTTGAGGCAAAGCGGCATCACTGGTCCTGGTATAAGTCAAAAAAGATATTTACGTGTGTTTGTCACTAAATGGCAGTCTTGATTCATCCTTTAGCGGAAACCTCACTGCTGCAGTGTTTTGCTGCAGACGGAGATGAGAAAAAAGTATCAAAACAAGTCTGTGCGCACCCGCGAGACACGCGTGATGAGCGATCACAGAAGTGAGTCAACTTCAGCGACTCGTGCAGAGGAGGAAGGTGCTCAGGAGGGAGTTGCTCTGTAGGAAGGTGAAGGGAGGCGCTCAGAAGGAGGCGGTCAGAAGGAGGTGCTCAGGCTCAGAGATAACCACGGGCTGATCTGAGCGGAATAGTGAGAGATTAGGACCAATCAGGACCAACTGAGTCACGCGTGTAAGCGGTCGCATATTCCTGCCGCTGTCTGCGAAGAAGTGGAGGATCTTTTTATGTTTTTATTTTATGTTTTATTATATTCCTACATATAAACATTTGTATTCTAATAGTACATTCGTATTGTTGTTGTTGCTGTTGCAATGCCTCTTCATATGGATCAACTTTCATCTCCAGTGTTCATTGTAAAGGAGGTATAAATATTCATATAAATTGAATTATTCCTTTTTAATTGCGTTTTTTGTAGCCTACCCCACGCCTATAAGATATATCTACCTTATAAATGTCCGTGGACCCAGAAATGTATGTGTCAGAATAACAAAACCCTCAAAAAATCATATTTCATAAAACGGTCCATATCTCCCTGTCTAGGAAATTCACCGCGATTTTCATTAAAGTTTCCCATCTTTTGCTTTGGATATCTCTGTGGCAAAAGCTGGTAGAAACGGAAGGTTTTCACCATCTGGAAGTTCAAAGCCTCACCTTTCAAACGCAGTACAGCATGTGATTATGGCAGTAACACAGAACATGCTGTGGCATTCTAGCTGTGGAGCCTCAGATTAATGGTATTTGATCATTCCTTGTCCATGAATGTTCATTTTGTCTGTTTTTTCTTTAACTTTTTACTGCTCAATAAAGACATGTCAAACTAAGGCATTATCAGTGGCCCCTGAAATTATTATGACTACATCAAGTTTCAGTATTAATGGTAATTGGCTACGATAGCACGTTATATCTCAATTTTAAATCTATTTTTCTGAAGAATACAACCATAATTTTAATTTATTTAGAAATGTTCAGAATACATGTATGTTCTATTGTTTAATTTTTGGTCCATTTTTGGTTCAATCCACAGAAACGGAACTAAGTTTGTTTAAAAAAATCTACTGGAAAAGAATATCCGATCCAACTAATGTGAACTAAGTAATGTATCAACATTAAAAGAAAACTACGTTTTTACTTTCAGCCCAATGTTTTTGTTCGGCCCGTAACCAAAATGGGTTTGACATTCCTGGTTTAATACATTAATAAACAAATTATTATTTATTTTTGGGAAAATAACTGCTTAAGTTCTCATTTTAAAACATATGAACCAGAAGATGTCTTTCTATTTTCATTTTCAAGTTCAATGTTTTGCAGTTTATTTTTTTAGATTGTACTCGAGTTGTATTCACAAACTTTTCCCTTTTACTTCTTGGTTTACTTGCTCCTTACTCATGCTGTTCTGTCCACAGATCCGTGCCCGCTGGGGGGGCCCCTCCTGCCCCCAAACTCCCCCCAGACCCCAGACTCGGAGAAGAGAACAAGGGCCACCAGCTGCTCATGAAGATGGGTACGTGTGTGTCCCTCACTGCTGTCAGAAACACGACAGCTCCACGGTTTTATCACGAGGACCGCAGCGACCGCCAAAATGACTGAGGGTCATTTTGACCGACTGCAAACGTCAATATTGTGCATATTTATAAAACAGGAATTGTTTTTTTCTAGCATCTACAAACAACAATATAACATATACATGTTGCTAATATTACAACTATCGTATCGACGTTGAAATGCTGCTCCTGGTTTTTAAATGTCTTTATGGTCTGGCCCCAGCCGACCTGTCCGAGTTACATACCCTCAGACAGATGACGTTCAGTGGTCAGCTTCTGCTTAACGTACCCATAAAGTGCAGCTTCTTTAAATGTTTTTAAATTTTAAACATAACATTGTAATTGGAACATTGTGCAGATTGTGTCATTAGGATTCACTAACTGCGTGTTGCTGTGTAGGCTGGAGCGGCTCCGGAGGACTGGGGGCCAAAGAGCAGGGCATCCAGGACCCCATCAAGGGAGGAGATGTGCGCGACAAGTGGGACCAGTACAAAGGCGTGGGCGTGTCTCTGGACGATCCCTACGAGAACTACAGAAGGAACAAGAGCTACAACTTTGTGGCCCGCATGAAGGCGCGCGAGGAAGGTATCCCTCCAATTCTATTCAATTTATTCTTGCATCGCCCTAAATCCCAACAGTAGTTATCTCAGAGGACTTTACACAGTGGCTGAATGGATAGCACCCTCGCTTCTCAGCAAGAAGGTCCTGGGTTCGAATCCCGGTCGGAACAGGGCCTTTCTCAGTGGAGTTTGCATGTTCTCCCCGTGTCTGCGTAGGCTTCCTCCGGGTGCTCCGGTTTCCCGTACCAATAAAAACATGCACAATAGGTCTGAATGTACTGAGTGTGTGAATGGATGGTGTTTGGTCGGAGGCTTTGATGGACCTGTGTTTTCAACACTGGACTCGCTTCCGTCATCACCGTTTGTGGAGAGAATGGAAAAACTATCTGAACTCTGAACAATTGTAAAGCGCTTTGGCTAACCTTAAAAAATGATAAAATGTGCTATATAAATAAACATTACTTACTTACACAACCTTTGAATTCGCCAACAACAGATCAGAAAAGAATCAAATTAGTGGACTTTCTTTATTCCGTTTAAATTACACAAATATGATTAAACTAATCCATGCACATCTTGTTCTTTTGCAGTGAATCGGGAACCCCCAGAAGCGCCGCCAACAGACTGATGACGGTGTAACATTTTGTTTAAGTCCATTTGTCTATTTTTTTTACAGCCTGTGATAAGTTTTACTGTTTCTGAATCCTTGTGTTGTCAAACATGTGCAAATAAAGTGAGTGCCCCCTGGCTCTAGTCTGTCTGTACATGCCTGTTTGTCTTTTGGCCTATTAGTATTTCCTCCCCATGGTCTATTCATACAGGAGTCATTTTACAGATGTTAAATACTTGGCCCAGGTGTCTACTTTTGAAGATCTGCGATGGCGCTCTCCTGGAGGAATTTCAATGTTTTCCTCATGAAGTCATTCAGACTTAGTCTCCTGATCTTTGATTGTCTTGTGCTCATTTGCTTTAAATTGAGTTTGCGAATGAATGTCTGTGCTCATTCTTTATTAAAAACCGAGAGATTCATAATAAACACTCTTTGAAGTTGCTTGATAAATGCAGATATTCCAATCAGCTAATAGAATGAGAATGTCATTTGGGGGAAATTTGGCTGATTAACAACACATACACTGGCTGAGGATTAACACACTATTGCAACAACACATCGTCAGTAGGGTAAAACTAAGCTGTCTCACAACCATAAACTACTCACCACGGTCTAAACCATAGACTGTATAGACCCAGCTCACGTCCCCTATTAGTGGGGGAACAATCCAACGCTTGGTGAATTCTGCTTCACAATGATAGGAAGAGCAGACATCGAAGGGTCAATGCTTCTTTTATTCCGATTTTAAAGCCCTTCATCAAATATGAAGGGTGCCCATGGGCTTTAAAATTGGAATAAAAGAAGCATTCAATAAGACAAGAAAAAACGGTGAGAATAATCACTATCTTAAAACTTTATTTCTAATTGGACTTAAGAAGCTGACAATGAAACAGGTTATTTCCATCATTTATTTTTATCTTCTGTAGACGCAAGATGGCCGTCACAGGACACCTACATCCATGCAGGATAATACATCCATGCAGGACACGCGGACACGAGTTTGCGCGCTCTGTTGCTATGGTTACGCATAACACAGGAGCATCAGAGATCGTCACGCGGGACTGCGGGAGTGAGGTGAGCAGTTAGTCACGGTAACGGAGAAGTGCGGGAAAGTTAGTTTTATATTGGATATTCGACACATTCAACTAATCTATTTAGCCCTTTCCCCTTTTGACCTACTGATTTGAAAACACGTTGGGTTTTTTGCTATTATAAAGTCCCTTGAATCGATTTAGCCCTTTGCCCTTGAGGCCCTTTGATTTGAAAACACGTTGAGTTTATTCTTTTCTTCTTATTCTTTACTTTGGTCCCCCACACATGAAACAAAGCTTATTTTTTCAATATTCCCTTTTGTTTTTTTTAAATGATTTTTTTGCTTTAAAATTTTCCCTTAAATAAATAAAAACCATTAGACATAAACCCAACGTGTTTTTAAATCAAACAGTCAATAGCTGAAAGGGCTAATTCGATTATTTGAATGTGTTGAATGTGTCAAATATCCAATATAAAACTAACTTTACCGCAGTTAACGGTGACTCCCGGGAGCATCATGTACGACGACCTGCGGCTGGAGTGGATCCGCCGCCTTGTGTGTACGTGTTTCCGTGTGCCGATGGCTGCGGGAGAGAACGTGTTTGACCGACTGCTGCAGCGGGAGGACGGAGGGCGGCTGCGGACCGTTAAACACTTCCTGGGCTGGTCCACGAAGGATCCGACCGTCTCGTGCCTGATCTTCTGCAAGAGCGTGCGCGAGGAGGAAGTGGAAGTGCACGTGCCCGTCGGTACCGCCCGACAGACACCGGACAGTACCGGTAAGGGAGCGGTGCTTCACCTGCAATCATGGAAAGAATAAAGATTAAACATGGAAACAGTAATGGTCATATGAGTGATGTGTACTAGTGCATGTTTTTACACACAACTTTCCTTTTTATATATTTTTGTACTTGCTAAATTTTTACGGTAACAATGCAGAAGAAAAACTTTCAGTCTGATTTAAAATTGGCGATGGATATTCATAGTTATCCGGATAGGGTGTTGTTGTATAAACCGGACTAAAATCACCAGAAATATACCCTTAGAGCTCAATGTTAACTAAAACGGCTTGTCCTCAGCTGGGGTCTATATTCCTGAGGTCCCATGAGGTCCCTGATTTTTTTACTCTTTAGAAATTTGGACATCTTGGGCCGCTGAAGCTATCCCATTAATTCTATCCTCGACACAAATCAACCATCCTGGTCCCTTTCCAGAAAAACAGCCTCAAAGCATGATGTTTCCACCCCCATGCTTTAAACAATATCAATCAATCAATCAAATTTTATTTATAAAGCGCTTTTCATACATAAGATGCAACACAAAGTGCTTTACAGATTGGTTAAAAACAATCCCGCCGACCCAAGACCCCTCCCCCAGACCACCCAACAGACCCCCCCCAAACCACAGACAAACACACACACACGCGCTCATGAACACTCATACACACACACACACACACACACACACACACACACGCACACCAGTAAAACAATAAAAACATGATGAGAGACTTGGCAGGGTTCAGATGCATAGATATACGTGCAATAGATACCGTGTTCTTTGGATATGTGTCCCTTGTTTAAGCCAGTACAAAACCAGGCCTGTCTGAAGTTTGCAAGAGAGCTTTTGGATGAACCAGAAGAGGCTGAGCGAATATCCTATGGTCAAATGAAACCAAAATGTAACTTTTTGGTAACAACTCAACTCGTTGTGGAGGAGAAAGAATGTTGTGTTACCCACTGGACCTGGATGATTGATCTGTGTAAAGGAAAGAATGAATGGGGCCATGTATTGTGAGATTTTGAGAAAAGACCTCCCTCTATCAGTGAGGGCATTGGAGATTAAACAAGTCTTTCCGCATGACAATGATCCTGAACACGCGTTGCAACAAAAGAGATGCCTGGTGTCCTCTTTATAGTTTTTTGTTAGTACTACTACCATTACTACTGCTAAACACACACATATCAAATTTGATATATCAACCTGGAATGTTAAATACAGTGACTGATAGTTTTGTATTGGTGAATGTTTGGAGTCCAGTCTTCTCTAGAAATGGAGAATTGGATCGATGGTCATTGGATTATGTGACTGTTGTTTCAGAGGAGGCAGAGGATGCAGAAGAGGATGAAGAAACAGAAGACAGAGAAAAACCAGAGCCCTGTTATGTAAGAGCCTGTGTGTGAATTCAAGGTCTTATGTCAAAGTATGTATGAACTGATGCCATGAGAGTGGAGCAGAGGATGGTGCGGTCAGTTATGGTCATTAAAGAGGGTAGAAGGTGTGGCCAGATATGAGTTTGTTTGACGCTCAGAAACTGCGCAGTGTGCTGCCAATAGGGAGCAGGATGGGATTTTAAAAGTTGTTTATACTGTAACAGATATTTGTGTCAATTGACTTCTCAAAGTTAAAGTCTGTGCACACAAACTGTAAGATAATGTCACAAACAAACTAAAAGGCTTTTCAAGATTTTCAAGATTTTTATTTGTCAAACCAAGTGAATGGTTTGAAATTATATTTCTCTCATCCTTGATTGTTGAGCGGGGGGTGGGGGAAGAGGGGAAGAGGGGAAGAAGTTGACTATCATCAACAAAAAAGTGACTAAGCCCAGCTTAAAAAGCCTCCTTGGTTCAGTGCTGGCTTTATTTATGGAACATGTGGGAAGTTGGCAGTGATATTGGTCGAAACCTGCACAGACGCAGTCACAAACGCAGTCACAGCTGCAGTACGTTGTTCGGGGGCCTCTGCACAAGCCCAGGGCCCTGAGCTTCAGGGCCGAGGCAGATGCTGAGTATCCCTGGTTTGAATAAGATAAAACTTTATTGCTCTCACAATGGGGACATTTACATGTCACATTTGGCATAAACAGGATCAGTCAGGGTCTGCAGACAGACAGGAAATGAATATGTGAAAAAGTTAATATGACATCCTCCCATTCAGACATTGTCTGTGGTGCTTTCCAGAGGACGGAGCTCAAGGTTGTCTACCACACGGATCTGGAGCTGTACGTCGATCACTTCCCAACCAACTCCAGCCAGTTGCGCATCTTTTACTTCTTGCGGTGGACAAATGGTAAACTCTTTCTCAACAGGGTTGTTGTTGATGGCGTGGAGGGGATGAGGTCCATGGAAGTGCTCCCATAAGTACATGGTGCCGTGTGCATAAACATGCTCCATGTTGTTTATGTTGAGTTTCAGCCGACAAACCTCATATGGCCAAGATTCTCTGAGTGAACGTGAAACATTGCAGCATTAAGCCTAAATAAAAGACTTGTCTTGTATATTCCACAAACAAAGTGTGCGTCATCCAGTCAATCTAAGAGCCTTAGTGTTAGACTCTGCTCTTGGCTGTATGTGTGTGTGTTGGAGGGAGTGTGTCCACAGGACGAGTCCTGGCCCAATCCCTGACACCAGCGAGTCCACATGCCGCGAGGTCAGAGGGAAAACAATAAATGTGTATGAACAGCTCCTGACTGCGAAAGTTACAGAAGCGCAGAGAACACAGGAGTGGAAATCCAAAGCTGTGTGTGTCGTCCGCCTGCGTCTCAACATGATGCACACAGTGTTATTCTAATCATAACATGAATACACTATATACGTGAAATATACAATACTTTGGTCGTGCGATGGTGATGCTCTGGCTCCACCTGTGCTGCATCGACGGCTGTTGTGACTGTTTCTCTGTCTCACTGTCTGCTCAGAGGTAGTTCCAGAGCCACAGAACATGGAGGAGGCCTGTAGGCTGCTGCCAAAGGTCCTGAACAACGGCCTTCTGAATGGACACCCTCTGGAAATGATGAGAAACCTGCTCACACATGTATGTAGAAGGTCTGGCTTCAAATGTCTCCAATTCTCACCATCATTTCAGATGTAGGTATATTGTGTGCATAAGATAGACTAGAATATATCACTGTTTTTCAGATTTCTTTCACTAAATCATCTTTAAAACTGCCAGATAATTGAGTTGTCTCTGGATTCATATGATCTCAGATGTGGGGAGCTCCTTTTACTTCCTGTATGATTTTTAACAATAAGAATTCTTCAACTCTTGTCACAAACTGTCCTTTGGTTGAAAAAATATGAAACACATATTAATCAGGGATTCAAGCCCCAGAAAGAAAAAAAAAATGATTCAACCGTCACACAGTCATGAAATGTATGAATGAAAATACATGTAATGAAAATGCAGACCTTTTAGGTCCGTCATGTAAATTATTCCTGACAAATATGAATCGTGAAAGAATGAGTCTATCAATTTGTTAATCTTGTGTTAATAAAAGGTGTGGAGTGGAGTTTGTGTGTTCTACCCACGTCTGCGTTATTTTCCTCTGGGTGATGTGGTTACTTTTGAGAGGACTGTAATTTTGGGCTGCTGAAAAAATAATGATTTAAAGGGTGTGTCTGTTCTAGATCTACCTGCCAGGCTTGTCCAGAGAGAAGGGGCAGATTGCTGGGGAGGAGCAGAGCGCAGAGGCCCTGGAGGAGGGTGAAGGTGACCAGGAACAAGGAGCCGATGAAAAAGAAAAAGACAGAGATGAAGGAGCAGAGAAGTCGACCGCCCTGAAGGCACCGAGCCAGCGGATGGAGCGGGATGAGCTTCTCCATCGACTCTACAAGTTCTTAGGAGTGGTGAACACAACTATGCAACAACTGCAGATTCAAGGTTTGTCTACAGCTCACTCTGCAGGTCCAAGGAAAGTACAGTATCCACGTTTACATTACAGATTGGGTTGATGCTAAAGGCGTGTTTTAACAAGACAAGAGCAGTACTAATCTGTCGTCCGTGTGTTGTGCAGAAGAGATCCGGAGGCTTCATGTTCCTGACTTGGATCTGACGCAGGACACTGAGCTGCTGCTGAGTGATGCAGAGCTGCTGGTCGAGCTGGAGCAGTGTCTGATGAACTGGCAAACCCAGATCACTGTGGTCATCGAGGAGCAGCTGAGCAGGAAACCACATGTATGTACAGAACTTTACCCTTCAGAGGAAATGGATGGTTACACAATGTCTGAAGATTTAAGCTCAAAACGTCACGTAGAGAGACATTCATGGTTCCATAATCAGATCATAATATTACAAATACAAAAGTTACTGATCAGACTTTCTCATATTGTCCTAAAGAGATCACTCAGGTATTATGCACCAAACCTGAGTGATTTAAGCTGTAAAGCCCAGTGTCCCCTGTGCCTCTGAGCCTCTCCTCTTCTTGGCCAGGCTCCCGGACCCATAGCAGAGATTGGGTTCTGGCAGGAGCGTGCGTCCATCCTGAACGCGCTGAGTGAACAGCTGCAGCAGCCCACCATCCAGAGGGTCCTGGAGGTCATGCGGCGCTCCCACAGAGGAATCATACAAACCTTGGAGGCCACGCTGGCAGAGCTGCACAAGTACCGCGTAGAGGCCGACGAGAACTTCCGCTTCCTGAGCACTCTGGAGAGACACTTCATGGTCAGTTCTGAGGCTGTTTTACGTCATACTGTATTTTGTTGCCAGACATTACTCCTGATAGACAGGAATAGAGTATTGGACAATCGTGGGTTATGGGTGACAGGTCATTGGTTTTTTGTGTGGAGTTTGCATTCTGGTGTCCTGGTGTCTGGATAAGTTTTCCGTAGGTGCTCTGGTTTCTCCCGCCATCCAAAAACATGCATCATTGGTTGAATCCTGCTCTTGACCGCGGCCCTAGTGCAGTCCTTCTCAAATGAATTGGGGGTTGAAGTGCAATCCCAGAGGACACATCTCACCCCAAGGAAAATACCTTTTTTTGCCTTACGGACTATAATAGTGTAATTCTTGGACAAGAAGAGCGATGACCCAGTGACTCTCTGATCCATTAGAAAAGCATAGCACTGAGCCCTAATCATGTCCTGTCAGAGTTGTAAAGCTTAAACAATTATTTACATGTAGAGTCAAGGTGTACATTTACAGAATGGGAAGTGTTCATTGAAACAAAAATCTTTTCTTTTTTTTTCTCCCCATGTAAAACCTTCATCTCAGTCCTTACAGAAGTTGAACAATTGACTCCGTGCAAATAGTTCTTTGTATGTAGACATGGGGAATTGGCATTATTTATTTATTTCTTCACATTATCTGGGAACACTGATTATTCACTACAGGCGTTTTTGCTCAACTGTAGAAAAGTGTGCCGCTCAGTGTGTTGCTTTGCAGAACCTGGCCGCAGGGAAGAGTCTGAGTATGATGTTGGAGACACTTCCTGCTCTGATGAACAGTCTGGGCACCGTCTGGATCATCTCCTGTCACTACAACACCAGCGAGCGCATGCTGCCGCTGATGGAGCGCATCGCCTGGCAGCTGTGTGAGCGCGTCAGCCAGGCCGTGCGTGTGCAGCAGCTGTACACGTGCGTCATTCTCACACACATACTCTCACATGCACACTTACGCACAGACACACCTACACACATATACTGTAGGTGTAACTTGAAAGAATAAAAAACCTGACTTTTGATGTAATTTCAAGAAATACGCAAGGGTGTAAGATGATCACTCTGTAGCATAGTAGGGCTGCAGCCATTTACTTTTTAATAAAAAAATAAATATATATAATATATATATATATACATATATATATATACACACTAGTATGTACTACTATACATACTAGTGTGCTGTCAAAATATAGCTACGTAGTGTGTCTCTCACATAGTTATTGTGACTGCCACAGGAAGAGCAGAGGCATGGCCATGGCTCTGGTGTCCGATGCCAGACAGGTGCTAGAGCAGTGGAGGCGTTCGTACTTCGAGGTGCGTGCAGACATCGAGGACCTGTGCCGAGTGCGACGCTGGGAGTTCGACCGCAAGAGGCTGTTCGAGCGCACAGACTACATGGCCTCTGTGTGCCACAACCTGCACAGCACCCTGCAGGTACCACTCTGTCCCCACAACCTACACAACACCTGCAGGTACCGCTCTGTCCCCACAACCTACACAGCACCTGCAGGTACCGCTCTGTAAACACAACCTACACAACACCTGCAGGTACCGCTCTGTCCCCACACCTGCAGGTACCACTCTGTCCCCACACCTGCAGGTACCGCTCTGTCCCCACAACCTACACAACACCTGCAGGTACCGCTCTGTCCCCACAACCTACACAGCACCTGCAGGTACCGCTCTCTAAACACAACCTACACAACACCTGCAGGTACCGCTCTGTCCCCACAACCTACACAACACCTGCAGGTACCGCTCTGTCCCCACAACCTACACAACACCTGCAGGAACCGTTCTGTAAACACAACCTACACAGCACCTGCAGGTACCACTCTGTGTGCCACAACCTACACAACACCTGCAGGTCCCACTCTGTGTGCCACAACCTACACAACACCTGCAGGTACCACTCTGTGTGGCACAACCTACACAACACCTGCAGGTACCGCTCTGTGTGCCACAACCTACACAGCACCTGCAGGTCCCACTCTGTAAACACAACCTACACAGCACCTGCAGGTACCACTCTGTAAACACAACCTACACAACACCTGCAGGTACCACTCTGTAAACACAACCTACACAGCACCTGCAGGTACCGCTCTGTAAACACAATCTACACAACACCTGCAGGTACCGCTCTGTAAACACAATCTACACAACACCTGCTGGTACCACTCTGTAAACACAACCTACACAGCACCTGCAGGTACCGCTCTGTAAACACAACCTACACAACACCTGCAGGTACCGCTCTGTCCCCACAACCTACACAGCACCTGCAGGTACCGCTCTGTAAACACAATCTACACAACACCTGCAGGTACCGCTCTGTAAACACAATCTACACAACACCTGCTGGTACCACTCTGTAAACACAACCTACACAACACCTGCAGGTACCGCTCTGTAAACACAACCTACACAACACCTGCAGGTACCGCTCTGTAAACACAACCTACACAACACCTGCAGGTACCGCTCTGTAAACACAATCTACACAACACCTGCTGGTACCACTCTGTAAACACAACCTACACAGCACCTGCAGGTACCACTCTGTAAACACAACCTACACAACACCTGCAGGTACCACTCTGTAAACACAACCTACACAACACCTGCAGGTACCACTCTGTAAACACAACCTACACAACACCTGCAGGTACCACTCTGTAAACACAACCTACACAACACCTGCAGGTTGTCCCAATCCTCTCATCCTCTTCTCGCCGAGTCACTAGTTTAAGACACTCCTTCTCCTCTGTCTGTTTTTTAAATGTATTTATTTTTATATATAATCTTTTTTGGAAACATCAAGCAAGTGATAAATTACATTCAACAGAAACAATGCTAGGGAATGTTTAAGAAGAAGAAGATAGTCCTTTATTCCCACAGTGGGGAAACTTCACTTTGACAAATACACGTAACTAATGAATCTCCAGGACTGGACTCCGCATGACTCGCTGCTGTGTGCAGGTTTTACAAGATTTCTACAACATCTTTGGGCTGGAGCTGAAGAATGTGACTGGAGACCCCAAACGCATCGACGAGGTCCTGAGTCGAGTGGACGGCCTGGTGCAGCCCATCCAGGACCTGAGCTTTGACCCCTTCACCCTCTCAAAGATGCCTCACTGGAAGGCCATCATGCAGGAGTTTGACACCAATGTGGAGGTCAGTCCACAAAAGCCTTTTATAGTTTCCAGGGAGTTCTCAAAGTTTAAGGCCAAAGGACAAATCCAACCTCGCTTTTTCTTTCCAGTATGTGCTTTTCATTTCACGTTTATTAATCCAACTTTATTTATTTACTTTTTATTAAAAAGAAATACAACAATTGCAATACTATGACAGCAGTGACAAAAAATCTTTTAGTACCCAACTGAAGCATTCTTTAGTTAAAGGGTCAATATCGAAGGACCATGTGACTAAAATGCCTCCAAATTGCATTTTTTTGTGTACATAATTTGTCAGAAGGCATTTTATGGTCAGGGTAGCCTCCAAAAATGGATTTATACAGAGTAAAATATTAACCAGATTAATTTTGAATGCTGTAAATTACCACGTTACACAAAAAGCAGTACATTACAGTAATGACATTACTTTATTACACATTACTTCCAACACTAGATGGCAGAGCAGTTTGAGCTAGCAGCTTTTTGTGCACTTCGTCCTGGTCTGACTCTGCCACTGCTTGGGGATGTTGGATGTTCCTATGCTGATGGAAGGAAGTAGCATCCATGGCCTGATTAACCAATTCATAACCACTTTTCAGGCCATTGAAGGGGACGCCATCCACTTCATAGACCAGTCCTTCAAGACGCTGCGCTCGTCTTCCGCCGCCTTCGACATGCTCCTGAAGTTCAAGCACATAAGAACACGAGAGGCCATTAACAGCCACCTGCTCCACAAATTCACAGACGTCCTGGCTCAGTACTCCAAGGAGGTAGAATGTTCAAAACCATCAAACAAGGAAAACTGTACTACTCAAAATTGCGCCAAATTGTGGGGTTAAGTGCTGCAACAATCTGGTCAGAGAAATAGCATTCCTGTCTTACAATCTCGTGTTTATACTGCAGGTGGACACTATTAACGACCTCTTTGAGAAGCGAAAGGAGAACCCCGAGATGATTGCAACAGAGCCCCCAGTAGCCGGCTCTATCCGATGGGCACGCTTCCTTGTGCACCGCATCCAGGAACCCATCCTTTCCTTCATCAAAGAGAAAGACATGATGAAGAGCGAGCAAGGCCAACAGGTGAGGCACTGACATGGTCATCATCAGCATTCACATCCTGGGTTGCAGTGTGAATAATTGCAGTTAGTAAACCACAGGGGTGACAATTGTTAGTTCTCCATGATCATAGTCAGCATTTTCTTCACAAAAATCAATATATCCTTTAGTTACAGTGTGAAATTCTTTATCACAGTGTGGTGCTCTCACACCCCAGTAAACACAGGATTCACACCATATTTTTGCTCATCTCTTGAGTATAATGTTTGTCCCAGGCCAAAGAAAAGTACACAGAGCTGGCCTTGAAGCTGAGGGATTACCAGAAGCAGAAACATGAGACGTGGTGTAAGGACACAGCGAGTAGTCTGCCCCGGCTGCTCAAGAACCCCCTGCTTCAGGCCCACAGCCCGACCAAAGACCCGGAGGTGAGCACACTGCAGCACTTTGAGTTGCCTTGTGTATGAATTGTGCTATACAAATAAACTTGCCTTGCCTTGCCTTGCCTTGGCACACTGGGGGCTGGAGCTAAACAGGGGATAGACTATCTCACATCTTTAAAAACAATTTCCACATTGTGGTAACAAGGGAACAACCGGTTTATAAAAAAAAAATGTCTTTACATTTAGTCAAACTTTATCTCTATAAACATGTTATACCTCTTTAAATCTCGGAATCTTCAAAATTCAATAGTTGTGTTGTGTCTATTACTGATGACTATGAAATATTAAGCTCACACCAACACAACGCCGAGAACATCCAGCCAACTTCAGCTCGGCTGATACACACATTCCATGTCATTTTAGGGAATTCAGTCTCTAATGAAAAAATCAGCAATCATGACAGAAATTTGTTTAGAAAATAGTTTCCTTCACAGAGGTTAGAGATTCCTAGAGATAAGGAGAGGAGCTCGAAGTAGAGCCGCTGCTTCTCCACGTTGAGAGGAGCCAGTTGAGGTGACTTGGGTTTGGGATGCCTTCGGAATGCTTTAGGACAGTTAAGATAACATCGCTTTTCCAACAATACAGAAGACAGTACAGCAGTTATAAGATAAACAGGTCTTTGAGTTAGTATCACACTTTTAAGCAGATGATAGAACATGACATTATATAGTTATAATATTGTCTTCTTGCTGATGTGTGCACAGGTTTCACCGGGGGCTGGCAGCGGTTTGCACCAGAGTGTTCGATTCTCTGTTAACTTTGATCAGATCCGACAGATCATGGCCGAGACCAGCAACTTGGTTTCCATGGGCTACACTGTGCCAGACCTGGCCAGAGATGTGGCTCTGCAGGAGGACAATTTAATCAGGTACCATGCTGCAAGATTATTTTTATATATTTTTTACAAACCAGGGTCACAAAACATATAAAGAAAGTTGAAACAAAAAAATGAGCCTCTCTGATATTTAAGCGCTTTCATGTTTTTTTGGCAGGATTTTTTGCAGCACTATTTTAGCTTTCTTTTTGCAGCGCCCATGCTCTTTTACACTACATTACATTAAATATATTTTAAGACCTGTTCCTACTAGAATAGCAAGTTTACATGCTAAGTAATTTAGCAATATGTCGCTTCTGCATCTTTGCATCGTAGTTGAAGAATTGTGACATTCAGAGTTGAAATGATATTTAATATATTTAGTATAAATATTTGTGTTTTGTCTCACAATAACCGTAAGTGTATAAATGTACATGAACAGATATGCATGGGAGCTGCAGCAACTGGTCTCTCGCTTCTACATGGTCATGGAGAGTCTGAGCGACAGCATGGCAGGGATGCTGGCCAAACACATCAAAACTTTGAGGAAGGAGATGAGCTTCGGCTGCAAGACTTTCAACTGGAAATCTCTGGGTACGCACAGCTCCAACTGTCACTATCCTGCTCCTGTCTCCTGCTGCTGGGAAAACTATCTCCCTTTTTTGTTTAATATTATGCCCTGTACGAGCAATAAAACCACGTCACACGTGTGATTACTGGATGACCAATAGGCCGGTGTAGTTACGCAAATAACTATGGTTCTATGAGTCTGGTGTAAAACCACTGAATGGTTCAGTGAGCGTAGACCAGATGACCAATAGAAGTGCTGTATAATCCTACAGCATCCGACATATTTCCTGAAGAACCTTCTCGCAAGACCAGTCAGTAAGGATGATGTACTGCTCGGCACGGTGGCTGAGTGGATAGCACTCTCGCCTCTCAGCAAGAAGCTCCTGGGTTGGAATCCCAGGTCGGACCAGGGCCTTTTTGAGTGGAGTTTGCATGTTCTCCCCGTGTGTGCGTAGGTTTCCTCCGGGTGCTCCGGTTTCCCCTACCACTAAAAATATGTACAATAGGTCTGGCATGCGCCTCCTGTTCGGCGACCCCGCTCCCATCTCTGTGTGGAGTGAGAGGACAAGTGCCCAAAAATAACAACTGTAAACCGCTTTGTGACTCTGGTCTGTGAAAGGCGATATATAAATAAAGATTACTTACTACTACTTACTACTGTAGAAGGGAAGGCAAGTATAGCACAATCACTGTAGCTACTGCAGCTGCAGCTGCTGCTGTGGCTTCTGTAGTATCTTACCACCACCATGTATGGAGTGAGTTAAGAGTGTGAGTGAGTCTTGGGGTATAATTAAAGCATTATATATGTAATATACATTATTATGACTATTACACCAGTTTTAAGACTTTTTTGCAAAGGAATAAACCCCTCAGCCATCCTTAACTAACACCTATCAAACAGAAAAACATGTTTATATATTTGTATCTCTATTTCTGGTTCCAGGTATTCAAGACTTCATCAACCGGGGTGCACAAGCTGTGTCCAAGTTTGAGTCTTTGGTCACTCAGATCAAGAAGAATGAGAAGGACATTGAGGGAAAACTGCAGTATCTGGAGACGGCAAACCTCATCAAACTGACAGGGAACAGTCAGTCTCAGGAGCTCCTCGGTAACATGCTCTTCTCTACAGGCAAAGCCTCATCACATTTTAGAAATAGACTGGATCATTGAAAATAGATTGGATCATAGGAAAAACATGTCCTCTTTGTTAAGAGTTTATGAAATGAAATGAAACCTGTCATTACAAAACTTTTTTTTTCCAATTAACTAACATGAAAAAAACCTTTGAATTTGTTGTGACCTGAAGGAGTGAAGCAGTTTTGCGAACGCATCACCCAGGAGCGGGCCAAGACCGTGAGTGTGCTCAGCAAGAAGTACGGAGACATCGGGATTCTCATCACCAAGACAGAGTTACTGATCGTGGAGAGCAGCAGCGGCCGAGCCCCCTGCATGGCCGACTACTACAAGGCCTGGGAGAAGCGCACGCTCGACTCGCTCATCAAAATGGTTCTGAGGTAAAGACCCCAGTGTGTATGTATATATGTGTGTGTATGTTTATATGTGTGTATATATATATTCTTTTTTTTTAACAAAAATAATAACATGCTTTGTGTTCTGCATACTGATGGCGAAACCACCCATCAGGTTCTGGGTCCTGATTAGTTGTTTAATGAAAAAGTGATAAAATGTTGAATGTTGTCTGTTTGAAAAAATTGTATTTTGTAAAATGTTGTCTGTTTGAAAAAATTGTATTTTGTAAAATGTTGTATTCATTAATTTAACAGTTCTTGCAGTTTACAGTTACAGTTTAGTAAATTTGTCTCTTATACATTAGAACTTACATGTGTATACATCTTTTTGTGTGTCCAATCAGTTCTCCAATCCGTCTCATCATCTAGTCCTAGTGCAAAGGAGACGTCTTTAACAAGTGTCACTCAGTCCTCCAACGTTGGTGTCTTCTTTATGCTTTTTGGCAGCCACCAACCAAACATTCCACAGATGTTTTTTACTTGCTCCACTTTTACAATCGGGTTGTATCCCAAAAACTATGTTTATTCAAAGAAACATTTATACAAATAGTTGTGTCAATACTTTGTTTAACAGTCAAGTTTGGACAGTTTCAGAATATATGGTAAGTGTCCACCTTTCCGGAGTTAAAAAAAAATACTTTTCTATGAAAACTCTCTGTACAGGGTTCTTTTCCAAACATTCACAGAGATTTTGACCCTGTCCTCTTGTATGACTACCCTCTTTCTCCCACCTTCTAAGTTTTGTAGCTCATCATATAATTTAGAAATCAGGTCCAGGAGGTTGAAGATGACGGTGGAGGACTTGAGGTCTGTAGCCATTAATTAATGTTATTGCCTTTTGTGTGTTTTAAAAAATCTTACGTTTGGTCCACATCATTTGCAATCCATTTGATCAAAGGTGGTGTATCTCAGTCTTAATGTAAACAAGATGTTTTGTACTAACGTTTGCCAAAAACTGTGCTTATACAGTAGCTGTGACAGAAAACAATGTCTGTGAGTGTCTAATGTTACGAAATGCTTCAAAAGTGCCACAATGCTCCATCATTCAATATTCTTCTGCTTTGTGTAACTTTCATTAATCTGTTTGTGCAGAAACATCCACACATTCAACGCAGCGCTCATGGGCACCACTCCTCTGTTCCAAATCGACGCCATCCTGTCTGTCCCAAAGATTGTGATTCAGCCTTTGCGCAATGAGATCTACCGGCTGATCATGCAGTGTGTGCGAGACTGTGTGGAGAGCACCAAGGTACATCTCCTCCTCACCTCTCTCCAAAACAGTTCTACGTCAGGATTTTGGCAGTTCACCACAAAAACTAAAGAAAATCTACACTGCACATTTGTTAGTATTGGTCCAATTGGCTGACCACACACAGCCTTCCTGTTCACACTGACTGTGTCACTTTGACTCAGCTTTCAAACCATCTTTTCACTTAGTCTTGTTGCTGTGTTCAGTGGTTCAGCGGTAATTTAGACACCAAACTTTGTCTGAAATAGCAAAACAACAAATACTTTGTGCTGGACTGCTCTTGTGTCCAGTTTTCAGTCCCATAGCAAAATGTTCGAAAGAATGACTGTAAAATGTATCAGTATGCGTCCCAATATCTTTTTTTGTCGGATTGTTGTATATTTTAATGATATTTGATAAATTCTGTCTAGCTGCAGACATCTTGGTTGTGAATCAGCAGCAAAACCATCTAGTTCTGTTTTTTAAAATAGGGGGCTGAAAAAAATAAGAATGATATACTTCTATCTGCTCCTTTCTGATCATGGATCATGTTTGAATGGATTGAAAAGAAAAACTTGTTACTTGATACTTGTACAGCTATGCATTTCATGAAAAGAATAAAAGAACCTAACCTATAAATACATATTAATTTAGGTATTATTTTCAATTTAAGTTTTGCCATAACAGCACAGAAGCGACTCACATTTCCAGATAACCATCAACCAAATATTTTGTTACTTGTTTTTCTAAAGCAAATACATGGCAATACAAAGCAATACATAGTGTGTTAGGTTATAGGTCTAAGGTTGTATTTCGTGCTGATGGTGTACTCTCTCTCTCAGCATTTTGTCCGCTGGATGAATGGGACGTGCCTGGAGTGCCCCCCTCAGACTGTAGAAGGAGATGATGAGGTCTTCATCTTCAGCTTCTACAGTGACGTGGTTCAGCAGCAGCAGATCAATGACAGTGCCATGAGCCTGTCCCAGAACATCAAGCGACTTCTTTTCTTCCTGGAACGCCAACTCACCCACTGGAAGAACTACAGTCCCCTGTGGGAAAAGAACAAGGTCATTGAAGTGGAGAAGTTTGCCGCCCGCAAGCCCACTGTGGTTAAGTACGATGACAAGCTGCAGTTCTTCTCTGCTCTGCGTCTGGAGCTGCTGCAGGAGCCACTTTACGCAGAGCACCAAAGCATCCACCTGAACCTGGAGCCGCTCGTCAACACAGCCCTGGAGGCCGCGCAGGGATGGATCTCCTCTCTGGGTAGCTTTCTCAACATGTCCGCCAAGGAAGACCTCTATAGTCTGAGGGACCAGCTCATGGTAAGAAGTATGGACTTGTTCATTTCAAAGCATTTAGAATGTTATTTTTGAATTGTTAGAACATCCACAAGTCAAAACTTTTTTTTTTTTTTTTGAAAAATTGGTCCCTTCCCCTTTTTCCCTAAATGGTTTGCTTTATTGTTTTTACATGCCCTGCTCTGATGTAGTTCTGCACAGCTAAAAATCTCAAATATATCATGTGGGCTTTCGCTGATATACTTGTGTGTGTGTTTGTGTGTGTGTGTGTGTGTGTGTCTGTGCATGTGTGTGTGGTAGACTCTGTCCCAGGACCTCCACCAGAGCCCAGACTCCCTGGACGAGCTGAAGTGTGTGCTGGGGACCATCGCACAGATCCGCACCTCTGGTCTGTCTCTGCAGGTGGAGCTGAGGCAGCGGGACATCCAGGAGCGCTATCGTCACCTGCACATGTATAACATCCAGGTCTGCTCCTCAGCCCCTATGGTCCTCTCGTCTTCTGCCCCTCTCCTCCTGTGCTCCTCTCGTCTTCAGCTCCTCTCCTCCTCTGCTCCTCTGCTCCTCTCGTCTTCAGCCCCTATGCTCCTCTCCTCCTCTGCTCCTCTCCTCTTCAACCCCTCTCCTCCTCTGCTCCTCTCCTCTTCAGCCCCTCTCCTCCTCTGCTCCTCTCCTCTTCAGCCCCTCTCCTCCTCTGCTCCTATCCTCTTCAGCGCCTCTCCTCCTCTGCTCCTCTCGTCTTCAGCCACTCTCCTCCTCTGCACCCTCTCCTCTTCAGCCCCTCTCCTCCTCTGCTCCTCTCCTCTTCAGCCCCTCTCCTCCTCTGCTCCTCTCCTCTTCAGCCCCTCTCCTCCTCTGCTCCTCTCCTCTTCAGCCCCTCTCCTCCTCTGCTCCTCTCCTCTTCAGCCCCTCTCCTCCTCTGCTCCTCTCGTCTTCAGCCACTCTCCTCCTCTGCACCCTCCTCCTCTTCAGCTCCTCTCCTCCTCTGCTCCTCTCGTCTTCAGCCCCTCTCCTCCTCTGCACCCTCTCCTCTCAGCCCCTGTCCTCCTCCGCTCCTCTCGTCTTCAGCCCCTCTCGTCTTCAGCCCCTCTCCTCCTCTGCACCCTCTCCTCTTCAGCCCCTCTCCTCCTCCGCTCCTCTCGTCTTCAGCCCCTCTACCCTCTGCTCCTCTCCTCTTCAGCCCCTCTCCTCCTCTGCTCCTCTCCTCTTCAGCCCCTCTCCTCCTCTGCTCCTCTCCTCTTCAGCCCCTCTCCTCCTCTGCTCCTCTCCTCTTCAGCCCCTCTACTCCTCTGCTCCTCTCCTCTTCAGCCCCTCTACTCCTCTGCTCCTCTCCTCTTCAGCCCCTCTCCTCCTCTGCTCCTCTCCTCTTCAGCCCCTCTCCTCCTCTGCTCCTCTCCTCTTCAGCCCCTCTCCTCCTCTGCTCCTCTCCTCTTCAGCCCCTCTCCTCCTCTGCTCCTCTCCTCTTCAGCCCCTCTCCTCCTCTGCTCCTCTCGTCTTCAGCCCCTCTCGTCTTCAACCCCTCTCCTCCTCTGCACCCTCTCCTCTTCAGCCCCTCTCCTCTTCAGCCCCTCTCCTCCTCTGCTCCTCTTCTCTTCAGCCCCTCTCCTCCTCTGCACCCTCTCCTCTTCAGCCCCTCTCCTCCTCTGCTCCTCTCGTCTTCAGCCACTCTCCTCCTCTGCACCCTCTCCTCTTCAGCTCCTCTCCTCCTCTGCTCCTCTCGTCTTCAGCCCCTCTCCTCCTCTGCACCCTCTCCTCTTCAGCCCCTGTCCTCCTCCCTCCTCTCGTCTTCAGCCCCTCTCGTCTTCAGCCCCTCTCCTCCTCTGCACCCTCTCCTCTTCAGCCCCTCTCCTCCTCCGCTCCTCTCGTCTTCAGCCCCTCTCCTCCTCTGCTCCTCTTCTCTTCAGCCCCTCTCCTCTTCAGCCCCTCTACTCCTCTGCTCCTCTCCTCTTCAGCCCCTCTACTCCTCTGCTCCTCTCCTCTTCAGCCCCTCTCCTCCTCTGCTCCTCTCCTCTTCAGCCCCTCTCCTCCTCTGCTCCTCTCCTCTTCAGCCCCTCTCCTCCTCTGCTCCTCTCCTCTTCAGCCCCTCTACTCCTCTGCTCCTCTCCTCTTCAGCCCCTCTACTCCTCTGCTCCTCTCCTCTTCAGCCCCTCTCCTCCTCTGCCCCTCTCCTCTTCAGCCCCTCTCCTCCTCTGCTCCTCTCCTCTTCAGCCCCTCTCCTCCTCTGCTCCTCTCCTCTTCAGCCCCTCTCCTCCTCTGCTCCTCTCCTCTTCAGCCCCTCTCCTCCTCTGCTCCTCTCGTCTTCAGCCCCTCTCGTCTTCAACCCCTCTCCTCCTCTGCACCCTCTCCTCTTCAGCCCCTCTCCTCTTCAGCTCCTCTCCTCCTCTGCTCCTCTTCTCTTCAGCCCCTCTCCTCCTCTGCACCCTCTCCTCTTCAGCCCCTGTCCTCCTCCGCTCCTCTCGTCTTCAGCCCCTCTCCTCCTCTGCTCCTCTTCTCTTCAGCCCCTCTCCTCCTCTGCTCATCTCCATCTCTGCTCCCCTCTTTGGCCTCTCTTCTTCTCCTCTACCTCTCTCCTCTACCCCGCCTGCTCTTCCCTTGCTGTTCTCTTGCTCTGCTCTCCTATTTGTGCCATCTCCCCTCAGCTCATGGTGGAGATACATGTACATACTATAGCTTTGTTTTGAGCTTAGTCTTTGCCAATGATGTTGCCTGGCTCTTAGCATGTCTCCGTATGAGCAGGTGGTGGTAATAATGACAATATTCTCTTGGTGCTTTTAGCCTTTGTCTGGTGATGGCTACATTTAAGCCCCAATTCCCCCGGGCACCTGTAGTGTGTGATGCAAGTCAATACACCAGCAATTGTTCTGCACTTTTTTTAACAGTGATAATAAGCCTCCCCGGAGTAACTACTAATTAAAATTAAGTGTGTATCCACTTTGAAACGTACTACAAAGTCTGGTTCATGTCAGAGGCTGGAGGACTTTTCAGATTCTTCTTGATTGATCTGAAGAAGTCTCTGTGGTTCCAGGTTTCTGAGGAGGAGCAGCAGTTGGCGGCCTCTTTACCTCAGATGTGGACAGAGCTGTTTGCTGAAGCTCGCCGCGTGGACCGCAGCCTCACCAAAGTCAAGAAGACTTTCACTGAGGTGAACTACAATGATCAATCATCTACTTTCTTTGTTATCTATGCTCTTCTAAAAACTTTTCTCTCAACCGCTAAACGAATCTATGTATTTTTGGTGTTGTAAACTAATTTTGAATTGTCCTAAATCACAAAATTGTTATGAGAATAGCGCTGAACAGACTACAGCTCAAGTCATAATGATGACAATAAAGTAGGAAGAGAGGATGGTGCTCACGTTACCACACTTCTCCCAGCTGTGTGTCTCCATATGCAGCTCGGCTGACAATCTGTGTTTGTTGACCTAGGGTTGTATTTCTATTCTATGCAATACCTACCAAGCCATGTGCTGATTTAAAGAGGAATATTTTATACCTGGCTTTGATGGTATAGATGGTATTATATGTTGAATAATGCAGTGTCATCTCCTGCAGTGTATCTCCTGATACACCAGACAGATGCATTGTTTGTTTCCTTTAAGAATAAATGAGCTTATACCATAACTACTCTGTATGGTTCTACCTTTAGAGCACAAAACTGAAGACAGAAGAGTTTAAGCAGGAAGTGATGATCTTTGCTGAAAGCTTCAACATGCATGGCCCAGGAGCAGTTGGGGACAACCTGGACAGAGGTGAGACAGTCAGAGTCTGGACACATACTGCAGAAACAGCAGGAAAGAAGAGATTACTGTGATTTATAAAAGAAAACTGTCCACAAACTCGCAGTTTATCATTCAATCAATCCATCAAAATGTATAACCATCGCACAGTTCATACAACATGCAACCCAAAGTGCTTCAAATTGACAACATTTAAACCAACAGTCAGCAAATTAAAACACTCCGTGAAACAGTTTGTTTGTATCTCCTGTGTCATATCTGCAATGATATGATGTTATTGTACCACTATGACATCACACTCCGACGTTTTCTGGCATATACATTTGTTTTTTCACGTTCTTTACAATTGCATGGTTTATTCCAGTCATTTTCAAATTTGAGAAAAATAACGTATACATATCGTCACCTCCCTCTGGTGGCAGCATAGGGAGTTGCATGCAGATAGTATTTTTTTATGCTGGATGTGCCAGGGCCATCAACCTCTTTATTAAGGATGTAGTGAAGGACATTGTTCAACAGGGTGTAAATGTGACCTCGTTCTGAGCCTTCCTTGATCTCCACAAGCCTCAGGTGGTTGCTCAGATTCTACAAGTCTTCACTCTTATTTGCATTGTATGTGCTTTTGTCCCCAGAGGAGTTTAGCTGCCATCTAGCATGCCATGTTTGCCGCTCACCTGTTGTATTATTTCACATTGCAAAACATAAAATAGGTTAAAAGTCTTATTGTCATCTTTAATGCCCAAAATATGCCTCTTGTGTTATGTCTTTATTACGTAACTCCACCAGGACAGAAATCTTGGTCTCCTGTCCCTAAAGAAAGAGTGTGACAGTGCTCCTTTGTGTTCAGGCCTGAGCATCATGGACAGTTATGAGTCTGAACTGTCAAAGATGGTGTCGCAGCGGCAGGAGCTGACCAGTGCTGAGAAGCTGCTGGACCTGGCGGTGACCGTTTACCCAGAGGTGGTGAGCATGCAGAAGGACTTGGACGGCCTGAGGATGATCTACGACATTTACCGAGCGCAGAAGGTCAGTGCACCTGTCCACACTGTTCTAATATCAGCTTCTATCTACCAATACATTTGAAATAAGGCAGAGGATTATGTGTATTGCTTGAAAAGACATGATGCGCCATCATCTTATTGAGCTTTTATCAATTCCTCATAAAAAACAGACTTGGATTTGTGTATAGCTTGATCATTGCAACTACAGGTGAGACTCAGTACAGTTCCAGTGGTCTTATTGATGGACACTTTACGTGGGTGGTAATGCTTTGCTTAGTCTACAATGTAGAAAGGAGCAAATAACCCACATAAATCATTAACTCATAACTCATTCATGTTGATATTCCGATTATGATGGGGTTATTGACTGCTTGAATATGGTCAGATAATTGATGATTTAATGCACTCTGGCGATGAGTTCCCATATCCCAGAACACATGATTATGATTGGTTACTTGGCAACCACTGTTTCGGCAGCAGGTTTCGATATTATAATGAAAGCTTTTGTTAATAATGTTCATAAGCTTAATTATGATTCATACTGATATAGACGTGTGAGCAGTGCTGTCTCTGTTGGCTGGACTTGTGCAGGAGGCCAAAGCGCAGTGGTCCCAGACTCTGTGGGCAGACCTGGACTTCCAGCTGCTGCAGGAGGGCATCGATGGCTTCTTGAAGCGGCACAGACAGCTGCCCAAAGACGTGCGTGCGCTGCCGGTCTCCTTCTTTCTGGATGCACGGATGAAGGAGTTCAAAGAGTCTCTTCCACTTCTGCTGGACCTGAAGAACGAAGCCCTGAGGAACAGGTCAGTGTGTGCTGTCCACGCTTTGCAATACAAGCAGACAACACGAAACATCAGAGATCAGGATCTCTGGACTTATAGGTGCTTTTGATAGTGGTGCTGCTAGAATTTGGTGCAGATTCAGATATCACGTCTCCTACACCATAGACTTGTGCCAATACTTGGGTCAAAGCTATGGAAGATTTCAAACAATAAAACATAACGAACAGGCTAATGTGGCTGGAAACTTATTGCACTGTTATAGTGACTTAGTGCCTGGTTTCTTCTTTTTCACAATATGTCCTCTACTCTGATTCAGATTCGACTTACAAACACTGTTTGAAGTCATGACTTCAAACAGTGTAACATTAAAAGTGTGTATAATTCACTGCTGTTGCTGCAGACACTGGAAGGAGCTGATGGAGCGCACTGGGACCAGCTTTGAGATGAATCCTAAGAGCTTTACGCTGGAGAACATGTTTGCGATGGAGCTGCACAAGTATGCGAGTGTGATGGGAGACATCGTCACGTCTGCAGTGAAGGAGCTGAGCATCGAGAAGGCATGTATCTTTACAAACCCCAAACTCTTCAATGTCGGCTTCAGACCAATATTCATTATAACCAGAAGTTTTATTTCTATTTTGTGAGATTGAATTTAATTTACAGAAATTCAAGCGTTTCCTCATTTTTGAACACATTCTTCACATCCGCATTACTGAACAATGTGCACTGCTTTCAATCTCAGAGCAAAAAGCTGAAAAGAGTTTTCTATTTCGCTATTGAGCAAAATAGAAAACTGTGCATAATGTTGTTGGTAACATAGTTTATGTGTGCAGGGAGTGAAGGCGGTGGTGGACTCCTGGCAGAGGATGTCCTTCTCCATGCAGTCGTACTCTAAAGGGAACACTGAGCACAGATCCATCATCGGCTCTGTGGAGGAGGTGCAGCTCAGTGTAGACAACGACTCCATGAACCTGCAGAGCATGGCGGACAGTCGCTTTGTGGGACCCTTCCTCTCCACCGTCCAGCAGTGGGAGAAGAACCTGTCCCTCATCAGCGAGACACTGGAGGTGAGGATCACACAGGGCCTTCTGCTGACAGCTGCAGGTCTCATTCATATATGGCATTATTTCTCTATACACTGAATTAAAAACTAGACCAGGGGTGGGCAACTTTTTTTTCCGGGCTGCATGAGAAAGAAAAAATGTTTTGGAAGGCTGGGTCAAAAGTTTGAATTAAAATTTTACATAATATTAGTTGTAATATTCTATATATACAGACATACGTACGTAGATAGTGACACCAGTGTATGTGTGTGTGTGTGTGTGTGTGTGTGTGTGTGTGTGCAGGTGTGGTTGCTGGTGCAGAGGAAGTGGATGTATCTAGAGAGCATCTTTACTGGGGAGGATATTCGTGCACAGCTGCCCGAGGAGGCCAAAAAGTTTGACAACATCGATAAGAAGTTCAAGGCGGTGAGTGATGTTTTTACTACATAAAAAACTTTTAGTAAACAAACTTTTTAAAAATTCTTTTAGGATTAATTGTTTTTCTTTCTTTTTTTCCATGTATTGTACCCATTAAATGAGTGATGTTATGATGATTACTACTAGTGCTAGAACACTAGTACTCTAAAGCCCTTTCGATGCCTTGGTACTCGTACTAGTATTTGGTACTACTAGTACCAAGTACTAGTACTAGTACCAGGGCATCTAAAGGCCTTTTTTTGCAGATAATGAGTGATGCAGTGAAGGACCCCAACATCAAGCGCTGCTGTCTGGTGGCCAACAGACTGGCTGAGCTGCAGGGTCTGAGGGACGGACTGGAGAACTGCCAGAAGAGCCTCAATGACTACTTGGATTCTAAACGAAATGCCTTCCCACGCTTCTTCTTCATCTCAGATGACGAGCTGCTCAGCATTCTGGGCAGCAGTGACCCCACATGTGTCCAGGAGCACATGATCAAGGTACAGAGGCCCACACACAGGAGCCACGTGTGTGTGTGTCCAGACCTGAGCTCAGAGTTTGTCTTATGCTGGTTCTGGCTCTGGTTCAAACCGTGCTTCAGATCGCTGTGTTGGGCAGGCGGAGAGCTGGGTCTGTGTTTTACAACTAGAAATTTTTTTTAAGATATATTTGATATTTGTTTGGAAAATTGGAAATATTTTACGCAACAAAGCAACCTTTTAATGAAGTTATTGAATCGATGGAAACAGTTAAAATATCCTCAATAGTTTTTTTTAATGGTAATTCTGATTTAGTTCTTTTTTTTAAATGTATACAACATGTTTTAACAGTCTGTCTTTCTTCTCACAGATGTACGACAACATTGCTTCGCTGCAGTTTGACGGGGGCAGTGACGGGGAGCTGGTGGTCGGGGCCATGGTGTCTGCTGAGGGGGAGGTGATGGTGATGAAGCGACCGGTCCCAGTAGAGGGCCGTGTGGAGGAGTGGATGAGTGCTGTGCTGCTGGAGATGAAGAGGACCAACCAACGCCTCACTAAAGAGGCCATCTTCTACTACTGCAAGGACAAGAGCCGGTACTTGTCTTCGCCGTGGATGTATTTACATGATCAGGAAAGGTGTTGGCTTAAATTCATCTCCATCATGGACATGGGGCCACTGCAACGTTTAATTCACATGGGCTTTTTAGGAAATGTTCCCCTTGACTTTAATGTTAACTATAACGGCTGACAGGGAACTGGAAGCTTTCACAAAGGTTGGATTTTGTGGGGATTTTACATGGCTGCAGAGGACGGTTTCCAACTATAGAATAGCACAATAAGAACTGATTCTGAACACAGGTGAATGTCTCCAATAGTGTTTGTCTGGATGAATGAATATTCCAAGATCACTGGTGTACTGCCACGTCACGTAGATGATTTCCTTTGGGAAGGATCTGTGCACTTTTTGTAACCTCATGTGGGATGTGAAGACCATGAGAGATTTTCTTAAGTGGGTTTGGACATTGCTACAGTTGGAGACAATATATTGGTACATCAGCACAGTTACATTGAAAATCTCCAACCAGTGTCTTCACAGGCTCTGTGCAAACTCATTCAGTGCTAGGAACTAGTTATATTTTTTGTGGTTTGAAAGTTAGATGCCCCAGCTCTAAGGGCCCCAAAGAATGCAATAATGAATCATTTTGTAATGAATATTTACTGTATCAGCTGAAGAGCAATGGGCCTATGCTTACTGTGTAATGCAGAGTGGACTGGATGCTGCTGTACCAGGGGATGATGGTGCTAGCTGCCAGCCAGGCCTGGTGGACATGGCAGGTGGAGGATGCTTTTCGGCAGGTTCAGGTGGGAGATAAACTGGCTCTGAAGAACTGCGCTGAGAAGCTCCATCTTCAGATTGACGAGCTGGTGACACGCATCACGCAGCCCATGAAGAAGAACGATCGGCGCAAACTCAACACAGTGCTCATCATAGACGTGCACGCCAGAGACATCGTGGACAGCTTCATCCGTAAAAGGTTTGTGTATCTCTCAGCTTTGGTGTTTTGAGCTGATAGAATAACTGGCCTTAAACAGGTCTTTTACCGTGAGAACACAAATCTGTGTCACAGTGTATGTAAACTTCCAGTGCTGACCACTCTTACCTTGAGAAAACAGTCAAAACATATTTCATGACTTTGAAACAATTATGCCATGAGGCAGATAACGTGCTATGATGAGAGGTCTATAATGATTGTAATAGCCTTAGTTTCATTTACATATTCTCTAATGTCATGGTCAGCAGTAGTTGAGTCCAGGGCTCATGTCTTCTCTGTGGTTTGCTGTAGTATCATGGATGCTCGAGAGTTCGAATGGGAGAGTCAGCTGAGGTTCTACTGGCAGCGTGAAGAAGACAGCTTGTTTGTGCGCCAGTGCAGTGCCTCTTTCTCCTATGGATACGAATACATGGGTCTGAACGGCAGATTGGTCATTACGCCCCTCACAGACCGCATCTACCTCACCCTGACACAGGTCAGCTCCACACTCCACTTACATCAGGACACAGTCACACTGGCACAGCTGATGTTGTGTGGACTTTGTGATTCACAGGCTCTGTCCATGTTTCTGGGTGGAGCTCCAGCAGGACCAGCTGGTACTGGAAAAACAGAGTCCACTAAGGACCTGGCAAAAGCTCTAGGCCTCCTGTGTGTCGTGACCAACTGTGGAGAAGGCATGGACTACATGGTGAGAGATCTACCCATGGATATGTTTCTTGACGAAGTTGGATAAAATAAATTGAAAATAGATCCCTACTCTTCAAACTTTGAAGTTTGAGCTTGCTATGATGTGATTGAGCGATACAGTGTTTCTGTGTATAGCCTGTTCTGACGAGTGTATGTGGTGTCAGGTAGTGGGAATTTGAGTGATATAGTGCAGTGGTTCTCAAACGGGGGTACACGTACCCCTAGAGGTTATTTTTGTTTTTGTTTTGTTTTAATTTAAAAAGGAAAGTCCCATTGAGATGAACTCATTGACAGCCATTGACGTCAATTGACGTCAACATTGTTTTTCAATCTTTTCCTGTCCCTCTGTCTCCCATGTATCACATAGTCTGGGGTTTGGCTGTAGACAGTATTTATTAGGCCAGCAGGCAGCAGAACTCCCTGGCTTGGTCAAAGATCACTGTCTGAGCATTCTGAGCAGGAGAGACAGAGGTGAAGCAGGGATGGAGTAATATAGTCATGGTCAGGCTACATGTGGAGGCAGTTTGAGCAGTAAATGTGTCTCCAGAGCTTGACAGAGACCATGTGGAGGGTCAGAGCAGCAGACCATGTGGAGAGTCAGGGCAGCAGACCATGTGGAGGGTCAGGGCAGCAGACAGAGACCACGTGGAGGGTCAGGACAGCAGACCAGCGGTGCATCCCAAAAAAGCCACAGAAAAGTGGACTATTGCTAAAACTATCACGGAGTCCACACCAGGAGCCAGCGTCAAAGTCCAGTTATGGTCACAGCGCTCGACCACAGCGGTTACATCCACAGACACTCTGTAGATGTAACCACACAAACACACACAAACGCGTGCATAAACGCACACACATGTGCGCCCAAACTATTGCTTTTATACTATAAGTATATTGTCTGTTCACTTTGATTTATTGTCATTCATAGTGTTTATGTTTTTAATTTTGCTTATCTCTGATTTACTCTTATTGACATAAATAAAGCGCTACCTAATGGATGAATACGGGCCATTCTTTCTGGCATAGTTTGTCATGGGCTCTACATGACAAACTATGTAGAAGTTTGTCATGAAAGAAATGTACATACTTTCAATTTGTAAATGTTGACATTTTTGTATGAGTACATTTTGAAATATTCAAGCAACACTATGTGGATGTGAGTGTGTGTGCCATAAAACATATTATTTTGCATCAAAAATACTTTCTCATAACTTGTTGTTGCTGTTTTCTAACATGTATGATCCTGGACATGTTTGTGGAGATGCTAAAGTGTTTTCTAAGATTAATGATCCTGGACATGTTTGTGGAGATGCTAAAGTGTTTTCTAAGATTAATGATCCTGGACATGTTTGTGGAGATGCTAAAGTGTTTTCTAAGATTAATGATCCTGGACATGTTTGTGGAGATGCTAAAGTGTTTTCTAAGATTAATGATCCTGGACATGTTTGTGGAGATGCTAAAGTGTTTTCTAACATGTAAGATCCTGGACATGTTTGTGGAGATGCTAAAGTGTTTTCTAACATGTAAGATCCTGGACATGTTTGAGGAGATGCTAAAGTGTTTTCTAACATGTATGATCCTGGACATGTTTGAGGAGATGCTAAAGTGTTTTCTAACATGTATGATCCTGGACATGTTTGTGGAGATGCTAAAGTGTTTTCTAACATGTATGATCCTGAACATGTTTGTGGAGATGCTAAAGTGTTTTCTAACATGTATGATCCTGGACATGTTTGTGGAGATGCTAAAGTGTTTTCTAACATGTAAGATCCTGGACATGTTTGAGGAGATGCTGAAGTGTTTTCTAACATGTATGATCCTGGACATGTTTGAGGAGATGCTGAAGTGTTTTCTAACATGTAAGATTCTGGACATGTTTGAGGAGATGCTAAAGTGTTTTCTAACATGTATGATCCTGGACATGTTTGAGGAGATGCTGAAGTGTTTTCTAACATGTAAGATCTTGGACATGTTTGAGGAGATGCTGAAGTGTTTTCTAACATGTATGATCCTGGACATGTTTGAGGAGATGCTGAAGTGTTTTCTAACATGTATGATCCTGGACATGTTTGAGGAGATGCTGAAGTGTTTTCTATTATGTATGATCCTGGACATGTTTGAGGAGATGCTAAAGTGTTTTCTAACATGTATGATCCTGGACATGTTTGAGGAGATGCTGAAGTGTTTTCTAACATGTATGATCCTGGACATGTTTGAGGAGATGCTGAAGTTAAACTAAACAGTGTTACAGTCACTTTTCTGCAGGGTCGTCTGTTTTCACAAACACCTCATTTTCTCAGCTTTTTGTCTAACACTGGTGCTTTTTGTCACACTCCCTTCTTTTCGACTGGAGATCACAGGAGAACGAAACAAGCTAAAAACAAACTTATTTTTGCTGCTGAAAGTAGACAGTCCAGTCTTTATGACTTCACTGAGTCTTGAAAATCAGTGAAGTCATAAAGAATGGCTGCCAGTCAATGAGAACCTCTTTTTCAATGGAGTCGTGTACAAAAAAGACATACAATTACAGATTATAAAACAGTCACACACAATTTCATAAAATTACGGATTATAAAAACAGTTCAATTTCAATGAGGACGTCTCAGTCTCTCAATCTGGATCTAAAAGCATTCAATGAAATACGATCAGATCATTTCCAGTCTTTTTGCAACACGTTCCATGTAGAAGGAGCACCATGTACAAAAGCTTTTTTTCCCAGTTCTGTGCAAAAGGAACAGAGAGCAACAAAAGATCATTTGATCCAAACCAAATGAGCATCTCTTTGTGTCAGTAAACGACAGATGTAAGAGGGCAGCAGACCAAGCCTTAGAAACAACAGTGCACCAGTGTCCAAAGCTTCTGTGGACAAAAATCCCACTCCAGAATATCATTCACAGTGAGGCTTTGCAGTTCGTAATGAATTGAACAATTTCATTTAATCATTATTTAAGTACAGTTTTTTGTTTTTTTTTCTATATTTAAGCGCAGTCTTACTGTTGAAACTGTGTAAAATGTTACAACGGCGGACAATATTAAATATACTTCTTTAGGAATTAAACCTCTGCCTTGTTTTTGATGAATAATTAGGCTTACTACGCTATTGAGAAGTGTTGGTCATTTGTGGTGGTACTTGGAGAGGCAAGTATTTTCTGAGGGGGTACTTGGTGTAAAAAGTTTGAGAACCACTGATATAGTGTTTGTGTGTAGTATGTGTCCTAACGACTGTGTGTGGTGCAGGCAGTGGGGAAGATCCTGTCCGGTCTGGCTCAGTGCGGCGCCTGGGGTTGTTTCGACGAGTTCAACCGCATTGACGCTTCAGTGCTGTCCGTCATCTCCTCTCAGATTCAGACCATCCGCAACGCACTCATGCTCCACCTCAAGAGCTTTCAGGTACCTCCACAAAGACGCACATTCAATGGTTCAATTTGTCTCGTCATCTTAAAGTCCGGTGTAATCCGAGTGTGTGTGATAACGTTTCATTATTGTACTTTTACAGTCAAGTTGTTGTGATTAAAAAGTTGAGGAAAATGTTTTAATGTGCGTTCCATGGCAGGTGTTCCTAGAGTCCTTCTGTCTTTTGTGTTCCTAGTTTGAGGGCCAGGAGATCAGTCTTGACAGCCGCATGGGCATCTTCATCACCATGAACCCAGGCTACGCTGGGCGCACCGAGCTGCCCGAGTCTGTCAAAGCTCTGTTCAGACCAGTGGTGGTCATTGTTCCAGACCTGCAGCAGATCTGTGAGATCATGCTCTTCTCTGAGGGCTTCCTCCTGGCCAAGGTCTGTGCCACAGTACTATACTTTTTATACAATATCGGTAATGTCTAAAAGATACTTTGCACAATTATCTAAATGAAGGCCCACAAGTATAAATATACCAAATACACCATAACAAAAATATTCACCATAATAAACGACTCACTATCACAGCTTGGTTCGGGAATCCATGCATCTATCAGTCACTGTGTGTTTCCTGTTTCCTGCAGATGTAACTGGGATTATCCTGGGTGTACAGTGCTTTCATTACTACAGTTGATCACAATATTTTCCTTTATGCAATATATCGCTCATCAAAATTCTTATGGTGACTGTCCGCCTCTGTCTCTGCAATCTTTGTGTGTCTAAGGTCCTGGCTAAAAAGATGACGGTGTTGTACAAACTGGCTCGTGAACAGCTGTCCAAACAGTCCCACTATGACTTTGGCCTGAGAGCTCTGAAGTCTGTGCTGGTGATGGCTGGAGAGCTCAAAAGAGGCTCTCCTCACCTGAGCGAGGTGAGAAGCGTTTCTATCTCTTCATTCACACACTCACATTTGTCCCGTTTTGTCTTACACTCAAAAGGCCATTTCCCACTTGGCTCCTCTGAATACAACGCTTGCCTGTTTTCTTTCCCGAATAGCAAAGTTTACAATTGACATAATCATTCCAGACAGCAGCAATGGACGCAATCTAAATGTAACACCTAGCATAACCCAACTTCTCTGCTCATGTGGTTCCTGTGGCTCCTCTGTTCCCATTAGTTCCTCTTTATTAGTATCACCATGATTGTGCTCCGCCTCTGATCATCACTTGCTTTGTCAATCTCTCTTCACCCATTCTTTACATGTGTGCAGCACAGTTTGATCATTTATGCCCTCTTCAGGAAAATAAAAAAAATAAAAATCACCCATAAACCTTTTTCTGAGCTGTTTGATTTACAGAGACTCTACTGAATGTTGCTTGTGTGTGTGTGTGTGTGCTTCCAGGATGTGGTGCTGATGCGTGCTCTGCGGGACATGAACCTGCCTAAGTTTGTGTCCGAGGATGTCCCCCTGTTCCTGGGGCTCATCGCAGACCTGTTCCCGGGCCTGGACTGTCCACGCGTCCACTATGCCGACTTCAACACAGCGGTGGAGAACACATTGGAGGACAACAAATATGTGCTCCTGCCCGACCAGGTGAGGCCTCAGAGCTGCATCTGTTAGAATCAGGGCTAGGAATCTTTTCAATAACATTCACCAATTAATCACATTTGAATTCATTATTTTGACATTTTAATGCAGAACAATACAGTGCAGTCAATGTAAAAAAAAATGCATTTTTTTATGGCGCTTTATATACACTGAAAGACTCTACCCAATGTCATTATTCATTACCTCCATACACGGTGGTGATAAACTACTACTGTAGCAGCAGCGGCCCTGCACACTGACAGAAGCGTGGCAACCAGTCTGTGCCATCGGCCCCTCCGACCACCACCAACCATTCACACACACACTTGAATCATTCAAGTGAAGTGAAGTGTCTTGCCTTAGGACACAACGGCAGTTTGGCACTTTACAGCCGCAATGTAGACAGGAAAACTTTCATAGATAGTGGATGAGGAGTGTTATAGAAATATTTTAGTGAAGCAACCTGAATTAACACCAAATAGTTATGAGTGTAAGTTATTAACTAATAGTCAACTCTGGATTCAGATACAGGCCATAATGCTCTGTTGGCTCAGGTCAGTGATAGATGGAGACGTGCTGCATCATGTCTTTGACCTGGGTCATAGAACAATATGTTCAGGTCAGAAGCAGATTATTACATAGTTCAGTGTTATATCAGCGTAAGAAAGCATAGAGAGAAGACTTGAGCGACACATATCAATGTTGACTTCATCTCTGTAATATCTAGAGTAGATATGTGTTTGTTTACTCTGGTCTATTTAATGTCCAGTCATTTCCTCATTCGTGGCAGTTGGTGTCAGACGGCTGCAGGTGGTATTGGTATCGGTTCTGTTATTCATTGTATTTGTGCTCTAATGAATAAACTCACACTTTGATGGTTTTATAGCTCTTGGTTGTTTACATTATTTTTCCTCTCGGTCAGTGCGGAAGTTCCAAAACAGGAGTGTCCCAGAAAAATTAAAATGGCAGAACTTTTTATTCATTATTCATCTTATTATAACGCCTGTTATCTCTGTACAGTCACTATTCTCTTTTTCTCTTTCATGTGTGAATAAGCTGATCTAATGATGTGACAGAGACCAAAAATACATGCTTGTAAAAAATGGGGATTTAGTTCACTCGAGGTAACTGAAAAGGGTTGACTAGATTGTTCAGTTGTTAGGGCTCATGTCTGGATTTACAAAGACATTATACAAATTTAAACACCAGGAATATACTTTAAACATTCCATTCCATTTTCTTCCGCTTCATCCGTTGCCGGGTCGCGGGGGCAGCAGTCTAACCAGAGATGCCCAGACTTCCCTATTCACACACACTTCCTCTAGCCCGGAACACCTCCCCAGGGAGACCTAAACCATGAGCTGTTTATATCTTATTATTGGGCCTATTATCAGGGCCAATAGAAAAGTAAAGGTAAAGGTGCACTAAGATGATGTTTTCTGCTGCTCTTCAGGTGGACAAAGTAGTGCAGTTGTACGAGACCATGATGACCAGGCACACCAGCATGGTGGTGGGCCCCACAGGCGGAGGCAAGTCCGTGGTCATCAGCACCTTATGCCAGGCCCAGAGCAGGTGTGTCTGCAGGAGAGAGGGGGTTCAGGGACAAACTCCTTATACTGTCTTATTTTTGGTGCACAGGCTGGGATTGCTGACCAAGCTGTACCCTCTGAACCCCAAAGCCATGAGCGTCATCGAGCTGTATGGCATCTTGGATGCAGACACACGCGACTGGACTGATGGCATTCTCTCCAACATCTTCAGAGACATCAACCGCCCCACAGACAAGAAGGAACGCAGGTCAGTGCTTTCAAAAGGACTACAATTTGCCAATGCATTGTAAATGCACCAGCCCACATATCACAAGTGATATTCCAGGCTGTTGCAGTTTGAAATGATTTGAGCGCACACGGCAGCATGGGTATTCCCAGACTCATGACATTATAAACTGATTTGAATTAGATATGAAGAAGCAGGGCTGGACTGGCCATCGGGCATACCGGGCAATGCCCGAAGGGCCGATGCCCATATTTGGGCCGGTCTGTCTGCTTCATACAAAAAACATGTTTGTGAAAAATGTTTGAGGGGGGGCGCGCATGTCCGCGGCCAACTGCTGTATGTACTCGAACGGGATTCCGCCACCTCAGCGGCCGCAGTGTTCCGAGACAGCTGCGGCCGCTTTGTAATGAGCGGTTCAAGCATCCAGCGGCTCTGAGCTGGACGCGGGAACCACGAGATCCGCTCACAACACAACACGGTGAGCGCGCAGCCTCAACGTGACCATATACCCAAGACCATAAACGCGCACAGGACCATGCATTTCCTTGTGTAATCTGTGCACCCAATAAATACACCGCTGCAGGAAACAGTCCGCGTCTCCCCTCTCCTCTCGAAGAGCGACTAAATTAAAGCTCAGGTACCTAAATTTTCCATTGCATTAAAAGTTAATATTTGAGCCCATGTAGTAAAATGTTGTGAACAAATCAAACAGATTTAGTGACAGACAATGGCTGGCATTATGCATTTCAGACTTTTTTGACCAATTCTCATCCCTGTAACAAACAATAGTGTTGTCTGTGTCCACCTCCCTCACTCTGAGACATGTTTATTACTGTCTTGTAATGTAGACTATTGCACTGTATTTCAATTGTTGAAACTGCACATATCCTGATCCTCTAGTATTTTCTTCCATGCTGTATAAACCAGGGGTCGGCAACCTGCGGCTGGAGTCTTTTAAAAAATGTCTGAAATGGAGTGGGAGGGCTATATTTTATTTCTAGTTTGAATGTGGTTTCTGTAGGATGAAAAACATTCTTAACGTTTTTAAATGCTGCAAAAATGTGCGTAAGTAATATTCAATTTCGACATTTCTGTCAACGTAGTGCGTCATATCCTGTGAAGCGGCTCGCGTTAGGCGGCTGCTGCTGTAAACAAACCGGCATGTGCCATGGATCCCAAAGCTAAAAAGAGAAAGAGTCGATAATAAGTCTGTACTAAGAATAAGTATGAACATTTGCTTTCAGTCAATGAGGAAGGACTGCTTCATGTTTGTATTGAGAAGTTTTGTTACAACACGAGGAACAATGATGCGCTAAACACTGTTCACGGTGATCACGTGAAGGATTCATTCATCGCAAATTCAGAGCACCTATTTTCAGACTTCAAATACCTTCGCAAAAACGGTGAAAGAAAAGGCCATTAAGGACATTCAGCTCCAGCAAACTTCAGCCTGTGATGTGAACTCTGAGCCAAAAAGCAGATTTATTTACTGTATTTCTACAATTGCATGAAGACAAAAAATGGAAGTTAAAGTTAAACCAGAGTTGTCCCGTGGTGCGTCATTCTCTCCAGGACACGCTGCAGTGAAAATACACATTTGATAATCATGAATGATTATTATGCATTTGTAGCCTTTACTTTGTCATTTAGATATTAAGCTAATGTAGCTAATACAGCTGCAGCCTGTGTTACCTTCATATAAGCCTTATACAAGGCTGTTTTTTTTTTGCGGCTCCAGACAGATCTTGTTTTTGGCTCTTTGAACCTTTTGAGTTGCAGACGCCTGGTATAAACAAACTGTAAAAAACGTGAAAAAACATGCCTGGGCCGCCAAGAAGGCAAAAATGCCCGGGCCGTTTTTTTGTCCCAGTCCAGCCTTGTGAAGAATACTTTATTTTTCTTATTTTGAAGAGTATGTATCATCTTTTAAACATCTAACTTGGGACATTTAATCTCTTTTGTTGTTAAAATCAACAATAATATTTGAAAGCTTTGTCTTGGCTCTTGTTCCATTGCCAAGTCTGGCTTGAAGACAATATACTGAAGTGAAGATGAGGACCACTACAATGGGACAGAACATTAATTTTTTCCCTTATACTTTCTTTAAATGGTCAAATCTGGGTGTTTTTATTATAATACTTTAAATATCATCCATCCATCCATTTTCTTCCGCTTAATCCGTTGCCGGGTCGCGGGGGCAGCAGTCTTAAGCAGAGACGCCCAGACTTCCCCATCCACACACACCTCCTCCAGCTCGTCCGGGGGGACCCCAAGGCGTTCCCAGGCCAGTTGAGAGACATAGTCTCTCCAGCGTGTCCTGGGTCTTCCCCCCGGTGGGATGTGCCCAGAACACCTCCCCAGGAAGGCGTCCAGGAGGCATCCTGAACAGATGCCCGAGCCACCTCAACTGGTTCCTCTCGACATGGAGAAGCAGCGGCTCTACTCAGAGCTCCTCCCGTGTGACCGAGCTCCTCACCCTATCTCTAAGGGAGCAGTCACTCTGCGGAGGAAGCTCATTTCGACCGCTTGTATCCGCAATCTCGTTCTTTTGGTCATTACCCAAAGCTCATGACCATAGGTGAGGGAGGGAAGAAGATTGACCCGTAAATCGAGAGCTTCGCCTTTCGGCTCAGCTCCCTCTTTACCACAACAGTCCGATACAGAGACCGCTGTTAGGACCCAGCTCAACTAGGGTGAGGGAGGTAACAAATTAAAACCAAGATGTTAAATGGAAAAGCAAGTATTTAATGAAAGGCAAGTAAATGATAAGGAAACATAAATCAAAAGGACACCACAGGACATAAGGGGGTAACTCAACGTTACCAAAATAAACCTACACTAAACACTTAACACTAAGCCACCTAGAACTTAACACTAAACCTACTGCTGTCTCAACAAAAGCGGCGGGAGGCGGGAGGGGCAGTGATTGTCCAATGACAGGCCAGGGATCTTCAGACAGGAGAGGTTTCCACACACACACACACAAAATACAAAAACAGGGAGCAATATGTAGGCTCAGGGCCGTAACAACCGCATCACTGCGCACGCTGCACCGATCCGCCTGTCAATCTCACGCTCCATCCTTCCCTCACTCGTGAACAAGTCCCCGAGATACTTGAACTCCTCCACTTGAGGAAGGACCTCTCCACCCACCAGCGAGGACTGGGTAGCAGTCGAAGGCGGAGACCTCGACGACCCAGTCCACACACTTTAAATATCATACAGTGATTATTACCAATTTAACTGTGCAACATAATCCTTTGGTGAGATGGGTCAAGGACATGGATCATTATTCTCTGGTAGAAATACTTGTAGATGAAAAAGCAGCAGTAATCCACTGTTACATAGACTGGAGATGTCTTCACAGGTACATTCTCTTTGATGGAGACGTGGACGCTCTCTGGGTGGAGAACATGAACTCTGTGATGGACGACAACAGGCTCCTGACTCTGGCTAATGGGGAACGCATCCGCCTCCAAAGCCACTGCGCCCTGCTCTTTGAGGTACCCCACAGTCTCCCCTATCTACCACACTGAGCCTGCAGCTTCTGTGGGCTCTTTGAGTGTGACAGACACTTGTATGTTCTTAGTGTTCACTTTGAGAACTATTCTTTCCGGTTTAAAGGCCTTGATAAATGCTCAGATGACTGTGTAACATCAGATGTGGTGGTTTGATAATTCAAATTAACACTTAAAAATAGGTCTGCTTCAAAGAACCAACATGAATAGAAACCTTGCTTTTAGGTAGGAGATCTACAGTACGCCTCCCCGGCCACAGTATCCCGCTGTGGGATGGTGTTTGTGGACCCCAAAAACCTGCGCTACAGACCATTTTGGCAGAGGTGGCTGGAGACCAGACCGCTCAAGGTAAGAACTGTCCAATGTTAATCCATTTCTGGGTCAGGGGGGTGGCAGTCAGAGATGCCACCCAAGTCTCATAGCACCAGCCCCTCACTGACCCTCTGCAGGTGGTGAGTCCACAGGAGGACGGCTGCTCTCTGAGTGTGAGCATAGCCTTGATCTTTCAGTGGGGGCTTTGGGCAAAGTGGGGTTAAGTGTCTTGCCCAAGTACACAACGACAGCAGTCATCAGTGGGAGTCGGTGGAGAAGGTGCAGAGGTGGGAATTGAACCCACAACCTTCTGGCCTTAAGGCCAATGCTCTACCAACTGAGCTACTGTCGCCCCCGGGTAAGAACTGTAAGACAGGTAAGAACTGTCACTATCAAAAAGAAAGAAAACATTGCTCACTCAAAATATCTACATCCAATTGATTATTGCATGACGTTTCATCATAGTCTTCATCAGATCATCAATAGTTTACTTATCACAGTTTCACACTTTTGCACCTCATCAAGAATTTTGGGAAAAGTCTCATCTGCAACTTGCTATGACTGTAGTCCAGCGCCCCCATGTGGTTGGTAAGTGCGTGGTAATACTTATTGTGTGTGTCTCCAGGAGCAGGAGACACTAATCCTGCTGTTTGAAAAGTATGTGCCGTGCTGCATCGACCTGATCATAGATGGAGTGCAGGACGGTCAACAGGGCAAGAAGCTGAAGACCATCGTCCCTCAGACCGACCTGAACATGGTGAGGTCTTCTGCACTCATGCAATCATACTGCAGTAAGACAACAACATGCAAGATTATGAAAGTAATCAATATCAGGTCAGGTTATATATGTTCAAGATGTACCAAGATGGCGCCTCGTACGGTCGACACGGCTCTTTGCTGCTCTCTTTTGCTTTTGTTTTTACTTTTTTTGTTGTTGTAATTTTCTTTTTATTGTCTCATTTTTTTATCACATTTCGGCCACATTTTGTCACAATTTTGTCACGTTGTCGTCACATTTTCATCACATTGTCGGCACATTTTTGTCACGTTATAGTCACATTTTTGTCACATTACGGTCCTATCTTTATCACATTTTTGTCACATTGTCGTCACATTTTTGTCACGTTATGGTCACATTTTTGTCACGTTATGGTCACATTTTTGTCACGTTATGGTCACATCTTTGTCACATTTTTGTCACGTTATCGTCACTTTGTCGTCCTATTATGGTCACATCTTTGTCAAATTTTTTGTTACATTGTCGTCACATTTTTGTCACGTTATGGTCACATTTTTGTCACATTATGATCACATCTTTGTCACATTTTTGTCACGTTATCGTCACTTTGTCGTCCTATTATGGTCACATCTTTGTCAAATTTTTTGTTACATTGTCGTCACATTTTTTGTCGCTTTATCGTCACATTTTTTGTTACATTGTCGTCACATTTTTGTCACTTTATTGTCACATTGTCGTCATATTATGGCCACATTTGTCACTTTTTCATCTCGTTTTTATCACTCTTATTTTTTTCCTTTCCCCCGTGTGTACCTACACCCAGTAAAACAAGAGAAAAATAAAAACAAAGACAAAGAATAAAAAATAAGATAAAACAAGAACGTAGTTAAATAATAAGAAACAATCACAAAAGAAAAAAAAAAAAAGAAATGTAATGTATCTGTTTTGACAGATGAGACGGTGGTTCAGGAAATAAAACAATGTATACAGCAATACATTGAGATTAATGATAATGGAGAAGTTAACCCTACAACGTTATGGGAATGTGGGAAAGCAGTATTAAGAGGGAAAATGATAGAGATAACATCTAGGATAAAAAAAAATCGAGAGCATCAGCAACAAGAGTTGGAGAAGAAAATTAGAAAATTGGAAAATGAGCATAAAAAAACTCTAAATCACGGTACTTTATTAGAACTTAAAGAAATTAGATCCAAATTAGATCAGTTATTGACTTTTAAAGTAGAAGCGGCGTTGAGATTTGTTAATCAAAATTATTATGAAAAGGGTAATTGAGCAAGTAAGTTACTAGCATATCAACTCAGAAAGAAACAGTCGGACCAGGCAATAACGAAGATACGGCATCCTATCTCTAAGGAGATTAAGGTTAAACCAAAAGAGGTTGCAAAAATATTTGCAGAATATTATGAAGAGCTAAATAATGACCAAGAAATACCATCCTTGGAAGAAAAGATGCAACAGTTTATGAACAAATTTAACCTACCAGCACTGACTCCAGAGCAAGCGCTGGAAATGACAGAACAAATTTCTCTCAAGGAAATATTTGATACAATTAAAAATGTGAAAAACAACAAAAGTCCAGGTACGGACGGATTTCCGGGAGAATTCTATAAATGTTTTCAGGAAGAAATAGCCCCACTACTAAAGAAAGTGTTTAACTATGCCTTGGAATCAGGGAACATTCCAACATCATGGTCAGAAGCTGTCATTTCTGTCTTGCATAAGGAAGGTAAAGACTCTACTTTGTGTGAAAGCTACCGCCCTGTTAGCCTGCTATGTAATGATTTGAAGATTTTAACAAGTATAATGGCAAAAAGAATACAGAAATACATAACAAGGTTGATTAAACCCAATCAGACAGGATTCATACCGGGACGACAGGGCGCTAATAATATTAGGCAAACTTTAAATCTTATGTCCAGTGCAAGAAGGAACCCAAATACAAACATGTTATTAAGCTTAGATGCACAAAAAGCATTTGATTGTGTGAAATGGAAATATCTATATCACACATTATCAGTGTTTGGGTTCCATTCAACATTCATTAATTGGGTTAAATTTGTTGATAAAGATACAAAATCCAGGATTAGAGTAAATGGATGCTGCTCCGACTTTTTCTTTCTGAAGAGAGGAGTAAAGCAGAGAGATTGTTTAAGCCCTTTATTATTTGCTTTAAGTATAGAACCGCTCACTGAATATATTAGGCAAAGTCCAGATATAAAGGGCATCGTAGATGAAGGTAATGTGGAGTCAAAAATATCATTATTCGCAGATGATATCCTCATGTATATAAGTAACCCTGTTGAGACTGTACCCATCCTGAATAACATTTTAAGAGAGTTTGGGGAAATCTCTGGATACTTGAACAATGAATCTAAATCGGTTGCAATGATCATATCTGGAAAATGTCCAGAAGAACTAAAAAAAAAAGACTACATTCAAATGGACGGATGAGGGCTTTAGATACCTTGGCATTACTATTACACAAAAGTTATCAAATCTATTTACAGCTAACTATGAGAAATTATTCAAGGAGATTAAAGAAGATTTAGTGAGATGGGAAATTTTGCCCTTGACAATAATGGGAAGAATAGAAGTAATACAGATGAATGTTCTGCCAGGGTTGCTGTTTTTGTTCCAATCCCTACCCATCCAGCTCCCAAAAACAATATTTAAAAGAATTGATCATATGATCTCAAAATTTATTTGGGGAAATAAAAAGCCACGAGTAAGATATACATTACTACAATGCTCCAAAGAAAAAGGAGGTTTGAATTTGCCTAATATTAAAAGATATTATTGGGCAGCACATTTAAGAATCATAAATATCTGGATAAATAATGAGGAAGAGACGGGATGGAGGGAAATGGAACAAAATTCATGCCCAAAAGTAGAATTACAAAGCCTACCCTTCATTAGAAAGCAAAATCTAAAACAGTTGAAAATAAAAAATGAATGGGTTAAAGGAATAATGGAAATATGGATGGGGATCAAAAAGAAAATGGAAATGTCTAGTTCAATCTGCAGGGCCACTAGATTAGGAAAAAAATGTGATTTTATACCCTCAAGTATGGAGATGGGATTTCAAAAGTGGGAATCCAAGGGACTTGTCCATATTGGGCAGCTGTTTGAAGGGGAAAATATGAAATCATTTCAGCAGCTTAAAGACGAATTTAATCTATCAACACATGAATTTTACAAATTTCTACAAATAAGAAACTACCTTATAAAACATAAAGAATGGGAGTATATATGTAAACAAGAAAATGGAATAGAGAAATTACTGATGACTAAGTTAGAGAATAAAAAGATAATTTCAAAGTTCTATAAAGCCCTGCAGGCTGAACAAGACAATAATGTGGACACCAAGTATAGATGGGAAACTGAAAGAAATATCGTAATTTCCAATGAAAACTGGGAAGAATCATTCAAAGGAGGACATCAAATGTTTAGTAGTATGCTATGGAAAGAGTTTGAATGGAAAGTAAAAATGCGATATTTCCTGGTACCATTGCATATTTCAAAATACAGTAAAATGTCTGATAAGTGCTGGAGGGGTTGTGGCCAAGTAGGAGACTATACACATATATTCTGGGACTGCCCTAAACTCAAAGAATACTGGGAAAATGTAAAAAAAACAGATAGAAAGAATCGTTAATGTAAAAATTGATTTAGACGTACAATTGTTTTTGTTGGGTATTATCCCCCAAAATATTCCAATAAAAATAAGGAAGATTATTAGGATGTTAATTATAATAGCAAAAAAAATTATTACAGTCTGCTGGCTTGAACCACAACCACCTCGTGCAAAGCAATGGTGGGACAGAATGAAAGATGTGTTAAATATGGAAAAAGTAACTGCAAGGTTAAAGAACAAAATGAAAGACCCTCAATGTTGGAGCCAATGGAAATGTAATCACCCCACAAAAAGTTTTTCTTTTCTTATTTTTACTTTTTAACTGTGCATCTGGCTGTTCCTACACCCGTGAGGAACTTATGAACATCCCACCCACCGTTTCCATGGACCTATTGCCTGTTTTCTTGGCATCTGCGGCTGATTTAGTTCATGATCTAGCCAAAAAAGTGTGGGCCCGTAAAAGGGGGAAGCGTCTGAGGAGGAGAGGAACACGGCTCTCCCCGACATTTTTCTCTCCAACGTACGCTCACTGGGCAATAAGACGAACTCAGCCTGCTCATGAGAAGAAACAAGGACTTCGTCCTGTGTCCTCTGCTTCACTGAGACCTGGCTAAATGAGCGGATCCCGGACTGCACTCTGGAGCTGCAGGGCTTTGGGCCGTTCCACACGGATCGCCATTGCGCGCTCTCAGGGAAGAGCAGAGGCGGAGGGCTGTGTTTCTACGTCAATACAAACTGGTGTAACGATGTGACAGTGATCTCCAAGCACTGCTCTCCTGCTCTGGAATATCTTTTAATTCATTGTAAACCATTTTACTCCCCTCGTGAAATTGTTTCATTCATTCTTGCCTCTGTTTACATACCGCCATGCGCGGACGCAGAGCAAGTACTGTGTATGGAACGTTTATACCCGGACTCTCTGATTATTATCCTGGGGGATTTTAATAAGGGAAACTTGAGCCAGGAATTACCCAAATACAGACAGTTTATCAAATGCCCGACCAGAGAGGAGAACACTCTGGATCACTGTTACACCACCGTGCGCGGAGCTTTTCGCGCTGTTCCGCGAGCAGCCCTCGGCTTCTTAGATCACTCCATGATACATCTGTTTCCTGCTTACAGACAGAGACTAAAGCTCTCGAAACCTGCAGTGAGGAGCTCCAAAGTGTGGTCTGATGAAGCTGTGGAAGAGCTGCGCGCATGCATGGAATCTACAGACTGGGACCTTTTCAGAGCTGCCACAGATAGTTTGGATGAATATACGGACACTGTGACGTCATACATTCACTTCTGCGAGGATAGCATCATTCCAACAAGGGCCAGGGTCATCTATAACAACGACAAACCCTGGTTCACTGCTAAACTCCGGCAGCTCAGGAAAGCAAAGGAGTCTGCTTTCAGGGAGGGGGACCGCAGCGACTACAAAGCAGCTAAATATCAGTTCAGGGACGAACTGAAAGCAGCAGAGTCCCGGCACAGAGAACGACTACAGGAGCAGTTTGGTAACAACGATACTGCTTCTGTCTGGAGGGGCCTACGGAAGATCACCAACTACAAACCCAAAGCCCCCCCCTGTAAGTAAGTAAGTAAGTAATCTTTATTTATATACCGCCTTTTCACTGCAGATCTGAGTCTCAAAGCGGTTTACAATTGTTAGTTAGGGGCACTTGTCCTCTCACTCCACACAGAGATGGGAGCGGGGCCAGTATAGGAGGCGCATGCCAGAACTATTGGACATATTTTTAGTGGTAGGGGAAACCGGAGTACCCGGAGGAAACCTACGCAGACACGGGGAGAACATGCAAACTCCACTCAGAAAGGCCCTGGTCCGACCGGGATTCGAACCCAGGACCTTCTTGCTGAGAGGCGAGAGTGCTATCCACTCAGCCACCGTGCCGCCCTGTGCTGATGACCACAAGCTAGCTGACGAACTGAACTTTTTTTTCAGTCGCTTTGATGCTGCCCCGCCCCCACTACTCTAACGACCCACCCATCAGCCCTGCCCCCAGCCTAACAATAGCCTCTAAAGATATTAAACATCTCTTCTTGAGGCTGCACCCCCGCAAAGCTCCTGGCCCGGACCACGTGTCTCCGGCCACTCTGAGACACTGCGCCAGTGAGCTTACTCCTGTGTTCACTGACATTTTCAACTCCTCTCTGTAGTCCTGCCATGTCCCGGCCTGCTTCAAATCCTCCATCATTGTCCCCGTCCTGAAGAAGCCCAGGATCACAGGACTCAACGACTACAGACCTGTAGCACTTACGTCTGTCGTCATGAAGTCATTTGAACGCCTGGTCCTCTCCCATCTCAAGTCCTTCACCTCCCCCCTCCTGGACCCCCTGCAGTTCGCCTACAGAGCCAACAGATCTGTAGACGACGCCATTAACCTGGCCCTCCACCACATCCTACAGCACCTGGACTCCCCGGGGACCTACGCCAGGGTCCTGTTCGTGGACTTCAGCTCTGCCTTCAACACAATCCTGCCATCCCTGCTCCAGGACAAGCTCTCCCAGCTCAACGTGCCCGATTCCACCTGCAGGTGGATCACTGACTTCCTGACGGACAGGAAGCAGCGAGTGCGTCTGGGGAAGAATGTCTCGGACTCTCGGATTATAAATACAGGAGCCCCACAGGGCTGTGTTCTTTCTCCCCTGCTCTTCTCCCTGTACACCAACCACTGCACCTCCAGCCACAACTCCGTGAAGCTGATCAAGTTCGCGGACGACACCACCCTCATTGGACTCATCTCCAACAACGATGAGTCCGCCTACAGGAGGGAGGTGGACCGGCTGGTGTCCTGGTGCAGTGGTAACAACCTGGAGCTGAACGCCCAGAAGACAGTGGAGATGATTGTGGACTTCAGGAAGAGCACTGTCCCCCCGCCCCCACCCTCCCTGATTGACTCCCCCATCACCTCTGTGGAGTCCTATCGTTTCCTGGGCACCACCATCACCCAGGACCTCAAGTGGGAGCCGACCATCAGCTCCCTCATCAAGAAGGCCCAGCAGAGGATGTACTTCCTGCGGCAGCTCAGGAAAGTCAAGCTGCCTGCACAGATGTTGGTGCAGTTCTACACGGCCATCATCGAGTCCATCCTCACCTCCTCCGTCACCTCCTCCATCACCTCCTCCATCACCGTGTGGTTCGCTGGAGCCACAGTCAGGGACAAACAGAGACTACAGTGCATTGTGCGCTCTGCAGAGGAAGTGATCGGCCGCAGCCTTCCATCGCTGCCGGACCTGTACGGCGCCCGAGCTCGAGGCCGGGCTGGTCGTATCACAGCCGACCCCTCTCACCCTGCACATGGACTATTCCAACCACTCCCCTCAGGCAAGAGACTGCGGTCCATCAGGACAAGAACCTCCCGCCACAAGAACAGTTTCTTCCCCTCTGCTGTTGGACTCTTGAACACTTCTTAACCTGTCCCCCCGCCCTTTATAAAGTCACTTTACTGCCCATCATACGTCACTTTACTTCACTGTACTGCTGTCACCTTACATTGTGTGCACCATGTGCACTTGTATGTAAGGTGACAAAAGAGAGCATGGCATGGAGCATGGACAGAGACTGACCCCGGCAGAACACTAACCAGCTTAAGATAAGACTTTGGGAATGTCCATCCCAGAGCAGACATCTGAGACATAAAGAGGTCGAATGGAAGACTATCATCAGTCACAAAGATACCAACCTTCAAACCAGGACGAATTATTAATACTGGAAACAAACATCCTCGCCTCCCTCTCTGGCGAGATCAGAGGTCACGTCGGGCCTGGCTAACCTCTCCCAGGCAGACTGGCGATCCACCAACGGCGTTCTGACGCCTCCCAGTGGGCACGGGACGCTAGCATACCCGAGATGGACAGTCAAAACCACCGCTCCGCGGAGTCATTATTCTGTTACCTTTACTGTGCCCTACACGTGTGTATCATCGTCTGTAATGTAAATGCGTTGTGTGTCTGTACATGTGTTATAAAATGTCGGTATTAATCCTGCATGTGCCATTATAACATGTCTGTTGTGAAGGATGTCCAGGGAGACGCACAAAGATGACGTCATAGACGCGCCTCCTTTGGAATACAACAAAACCACAAGCCGCACAGAGAATCTTTCTCTTGGTACCCCTTGTAATCAACTTAAGCAACTTAGGTACGCGTCTCCTACGCAACCACCCGGCCTGCAACAACTTAGGCCTCTCTGCCTCCACGAGGACAGCTCACGACACCCGCTGTCGGAGACCACAAACTATCCCCACCAGCCACTTTTCCGGCTCTGGACGCCTCCTCACGCACCGCTATTCTAGACGGCGTGTGTGTGTGGGAATTTAAAGTTTGGATCGAACCTGCTGGCTTTGTGTCTCCCTCCTGCCCGAACAAAGGAGCACGTGGACTGCCCATCTCCTTCCTTTTCTTCACACCCATTCTTCAATACGGACTACGTCAAAGTAAGACTGTTCCAATTGCCACGTTAGTGTGTAACTCATGTGATGTTTAACATCTCTGTTTAATGTGACCAAACCCCTCCTCGTTGATATTTTTCTATTTTCATATGTAGTCAAAAAACCCACGATAAACTTAAGTCATCGTCTCTGGAACAGTCTGCCGGAGGAGCTCAGGGCCGCAGAGAACGTTCATATTTTTAAAAGCAGGCTCAAGACGCACCTTTTTAGATTAGCTTTTGATTAGTTTTTACTATTTTATTTTATATATTCTATTTATCCTCTATTATGTATTGTATTGCTATTGCTTTTATTCATGTATTGTGTGTTAGTTCATTTTAGTTTCATTTTAGTTTCACATTTTTGTGTTTTACATATTGTATTGTTATTGTATTGTTTTTAGTGTACCCGGTGTTTCCTCTGGAGGAGCCCTCTGCACGGGGAGCAGTGGTCGGTGTGGCTGTGGGGGTCGGACTCTTGGACCTGGTGGGGGCCTGGGGCCTCGGTTTCGGGTCTCCTCTAGATCCTGTGTCGTCCCCTGTGGCTACAGGCGGCTCTCTGCTCCTGGTGCAGACGGCTCCTAGGATGACGCTTTTTCAACTGGTTGCATCCGAACCCTGCCAAGTCTCTCATCATTGTGTGTGTGTGTGTGTGTGTGTGTGTGTGTGTGTGCGTGTGCGTGTGCGTGTGCGTGTGCGTGTGCGTGTGCGTGTGCGTGTGTGCGGAGGGGACATGGGCCGGCGGGATTGTTTTTAACCAAACTGTAAAGCACTTTGTGTTGCATCTTTTGTATGAAAAGCGCTTCATAAATAAAATTTGATTGATTGATTGATTGATTGTCAAAGTGTCCTTATTACCAATCTTTTGATATCCCTGGCCGATTTCGTACTCAACGCCTATCAGATTGTGAGACTGATCGAGGCAGATTAGTTTGGATCTGTTGCAGACTTTCACTGTTCTGCTGGTGCCCCTTTTAAAATAAATTCAGATCCCCTCTGTGGAACAGCGAGGCTCTATCCTGGAGACTGGCTCTTCCACAGTACAATTTTCTTACCCTACATGTATATTGTAAATAGTAACTGTAACTCTATTTTAATTTAAATGTATTCCTTAGAAGTGTTTTTTATTCTTTATTTTTTATTATCTCTCTCTGACTGTTGCACTGAGCCAAAGCAATTTCCAAGTCTGTGACTTCCTGTTACTTACATGGCAATAAAAATTATTCTGATTCTGATTCAAACTTAAATCATGATAATTTTGGAAGAAAAAATACCAAAACATTTTCCTCTCCAATTTTATTGCGGAATGAACCAGTTGGTTAAGTCTTGTTTCAAGCGCAGTAGCATATAATTATCATAAGGTAGAAATGTCTTACTATTACTTATTTTAGGTATGCAGTATTTTGGCACCAACATTTTTTGTGAATTTTTAGTGCTAAAATCACCACAATCATACCATCTTCAATCACTTGAACTTGACAAGAACACAAGAACTTAGGAAGAGGAATTGTAACATGTTTGACAAAGGAAATAAAAATGTCTAGTTTTTTTACCCAAAAATTGCAAATATGTATGTATAGTCCAAACCCTTGTAACAGCCTAAGACAATATACATATTGACCCACGTGTGTCTAAATGATAAACTGAGAAAATGTCCTAAAAGTAGCAAATTAGACTCTGTTTCATCTTGTATCTGCAGGTCACACAGCTGTGCGTTATGTTGGACTGTCTTCTGGAGGAGGAGGCCCTGGAGCGCGACGTGGTGGAGGCCTTCTTCTTGGAGGCTCTCTATTGCTCCTTAGGGGCTGCGTTACTGGAGACGGAGAGAGTCACGTTCGATGAATTTGTTAAGAAGGTGTCACTTCTGACCCTAGTTCAGGAAGAGAAGGTCTTTGCTACTCCAGGTGAAATCCCAGGTAACAGCAGTAATTCAATGTAAATGTCTTCTTTGAACCTTCACTTCTGCTTTAAATTAAGTGATTGTTAGTTGCTTCCCCACACAGTTGCGAGCAGCAGTCTTATTTTCAAGCATTTAACGGATTAGGAGGTTTTTTTTTTGAGGACCTACAAATGTATTAACCTGTAATGTCCGGATGGGAAGTTAGATTACAGAAACACAAAAGACTACGAAAAAATCAATCTATCTATAAGAAGAACTGTGTGCTCTCCAGGACACCTGCCCACTCTTTATGATTTCCATTTTGACGGGAAGCAGAAGAAGTGGGTGTCTTGGAACTCTTTGGTGTCCAAATACGTGCACAACCCGGACATGAAGTTTGCAGACATTTTAGGTAAGTGCAAGTCCTGACCTGCATAACCCCATGGTCCTCACAGTGACAGTGTGTGTATACTCCCATGGTCCTCACAATTACAGTGTGTATATACTTCCATGGTCCTCACAGTGAAATTGTGTCTATAACTCCAATAGTCCTCACAGTGACAGTGTGTGCATACTCCCATGGTCCTTACAATGACAGTAGCCGCGTTTCCACCGCAGGAGTTCCTGGTAAAAGGAGCGAGGTGGAACCGTCCTTTCCCTCGGTCCTCTCAGGGGTCCTCTCTGGGGTCCTCTCTGGGGTCCTCTCAGTGGTCTTCTCAGTGGCCGTGTCTCCACTGCAGAGTAGGACCACTCGGCGACGTCATGAATTTTTGATAATGCTGTTTCAACTACAGTTGAACCTGATGAAATCTCACACAACAAAGAGACAAAGTTAATCTTTTACTTGTTACATTGCACAAGGAGAATGTCCTGACAGAGGCAAGGCACAGACCCTAGCCTCTCTCAGGACAAGTCTGAAGATTCACAGTCTGCAAGCCCCTTTTGTAGAGCAAGACACACCTTCGTATGCAGATGGGAAAGGAAGAAACCAACACAACAAAAGACACTCCGAATTAGCGTATACAAAGACTGCTTCCTCTGGTGTTTAACATATGAGCTCCCCAGACCTCCCGGTATCTTCCTGGAGCTAAAGTGAATTACAATACAGAGCATTCAGCACATAGCCACATATGATTTACCAAAATGATAACTTAAGTTACATTCCAATATCAGTTTTGATTGCCGCATAAGCAGAACTCATTACGCCAAACTCATTACGCCAAACTCATTACGCAAAACCCATTACGCAAAACCCATTTGTTTATAATCAAATAATTTGTTTATGGTCGTAACCGCTCCGTTTGTTGTGGTGTTTGTATATTCCCATGGTCCTCACAGTGACAGTGTGTGTATACTCCCATGGTCCTCACAGTGACAGTGTGTGTATACTCCCATGGTCCTCACAGTGACAGTGTGTTTATACTCCCATGGTCCTCACAGTGACAGTGTGTGTATACGCCCATGGTCCTCACAGTGACAGTGTGTGTATACTCCCATGGTCCTCACAGTGACAGTGTGTGTATACTCCCATGGTCCTCACAATATAGTGTCATGATAGGAGTTTTCACACTGACCAAAAACCCTTTGTCACTCATTCACCTAAAATGTATCCTGGCCAGCATGAGTCCACCAGGTGTAGAAGTTTGTGAAGATGTTTTGGTCCCTCCCTCCAGTGCCCACCATAGACACAACCCGCACTGACTGGATTCTGGAGCAACAGGTGAAGTCCAAGTGCCCAGTGCTGCTGGTGGGAGAGTCAGGCACCTCCAAAACAGCTACCATCCACAACTTTCTCAAGAACTTGGATCCCTCCAAGGTATGGCCTGTCATCAGCTTTGCCCTTGTGCGTGCGCTTGATGTGGTTTGGTCCAATGAGTACTTAAAGACCTTATGCAGGGTTTGATTGATTTAGAAATACAGTTTTAATACCATTTTATATTAGAAGAGAACTACTAAAGGTTTCAAAATCAATTGTTTTGTTTTTGTCTGATCCCCCCAAATCGAGAAAAGACCTTAGAAACGAAAAAAATTCATTCTCTTCTCCCTTGGTGACGTCAGAGCGGGTACGTTTCAACCGGCTGTTAGTTGTTTACAATTTGGTATTTGGTCTTTTTTCGCAGATATTCAAGATGACAGGGCGTTGTACAGCGAATATAAGACTACTACCAAAGTATCTATCCTCATTGGCACTGTGATAGTCCAGTGGTCATGTCAGTGCGCTAGCATACCAGCTATTGGGGTTCAAGTCTCGACGATATAAAAAAACTATAATTTACTGTATGTGCAATGAGCAATTGACCCCTGTAGAGTGCAGTATTGTGTCGGACATCAGTGGAGAGAAGAGAGGACAGGCGAGTATCTGTGGCATAGATTCATGGCTTTTAATGTATGGGCGTTACCCACTGAGACGTCACACACAGGTTAGAGGAATAGACAACTTAAATTCATTAAAAACACATTATTTTTATAAAATATAGGATTTTTTTGCCGGAATCTATTTCAGATCGACATTAATTGATTAACTGTCATGTAATTTTGATATCCACAATAAAAAAAAAAAAAAACCTGCATAAGGTCTTTAATAGTGGAAATTTTCAAAAGTCCTACTGTCAACGTGTGACATGTATTACATGATTTCATAACAATTAGAAACAGATTTAATGAGAGATAAAAAGTATATATGTAAAAAATGTATAAGTAAATCTGTTACAAAGTTCATTGTTATTGGTTGGCGGAGACGTGTGAAACGCGCCTGCGCAGCAAGGTCTGGGGTTCTTTTTTGGAAAATAAACTGCCGAGTGAGAACGCAACTCTTTTCTCCCCTGTTTATTCATTCTCAAAGCAACCACGTACCTCTCCCAAAACCACGGAGCAGAGGGCGCAACATTTTGGAGGCACCGCTGGGATGTTTGGTCAGAGTTTTATCCACCAGCTATGAGTGGAAGCTACAGCCGAATGTCCGTTAACCGAACCTAGCATCACCGCCACCTAGCATCGGGCAGAGGCAGTGGGGCTCTATCAGCACGTGCAGCAGGTTGTATCTCAAGTGTGCACAACCACCACAAGAGGGCACCGCAAGACCACGAATTAATAAGCCCAAGTTGAACTGTTTTGTCTAATTTCCCTGATCAAAATGGAGTCGGAGCTAGAGCAACTACAATTAGAAATCAATGGCGCTTTATATGGACTGAATGTTGAACAACTGGTAAACATATGCAATGCACTACAAATATCGGGACTTGGAAAGGAGCAGATTTTAGCTAAGAGTCGAAAGCAGCTAATCACTTTCATTACAAGACATGTTGAAAGAGACCAATTAGCCGACCTGGAAGACAAAGTAATGTCTGAACTGCTCATATTAAACGACTTGATTGAAAATGCAAAAATCCCAGAGTTGGATGCATGTGGGGATAATGGGGGAGAAGATCTACAGAAGGAGATAAGTGATCTTCGTGCTATCATACAAGAAAAAGAGTATGCATTACAGAAAATAACACTACAACTGAGCTTAAAATCACCACCAATGCAAGAACGAGTCTCCGCGCCCTCAGACAACCACATGTGGCGTAAAGACTTTAAAATAGCAGGTTTAATTGGTGAACCTGGACAAAAGGACAAGCTCACATTTTCTAGTTTGGCCAGACAGATAGAATGTGGGCTCAGTAAAGACTATCGAGAAGATGAGATAACTGATGCTGTGATCCGTGCCATCACTCCAGGGCTACAGTTGAGGAGCTACCTTGAAGGTAAAAGTGACCTCACACTTCCAGCCCTGCGCAGGATTCTTAGATCTCATTATCAGGAGAGAGGAGCCACAGAACTGTACAAGCAGCTCTCCTCTGAGGTTCAGAACTGTAAGGAGACACCACAGAACTTCTTGTTGAGAGCCATGGACCTTCGGCAGAAGATTCTTTTTGCGTCCCAAGAAGCAGAGTCTGGTCTGAAGTATGACCCTGCCTTGGTTCAGAGTTTATTCATGCACACCATATTGACCGGGTTACTGAGTGACAATATCAAGAGTGACATGCAACCTTACCTTCTCCAAGAAGCCACAACTGATGAAGTGTTACTGGAAAAAATTAATGTAGCATGTGCAAATGAAAAGGAGCGACAAGACAAAAAGAACTAAACTACCGTTGCTGGGCCTTTGTATGATCTGCTGAAAGCACCTTTGAAAACAGAAACTGAACAGAAAATAAGGAAGAAGATGACAATGAGAAAGACTAACAGTGTCCCATCCAGTACATCTATTCAGTGGACTGACGTGCACCAGTCTGTGTTAGAGCAGTTAATAGACTGTTCGGTGCAGCCTCCTGTCTTAGGTTTTCCTGATTTTACACAACCATTTATTTTACATACAGATGCTTCTAACCAGGGATTGGGCGCTGTATTGTACCAAAAACAAAATGGCAAACTCCGGGTAATAGCTTATGGGTCGAGGACACTTACTGCAGCTGAGAAAAACTATAATTTACACTCAGGGAAGCTAGAATTCTTAGCTCTAAAATGGGCGATTACAGATAAATTCCATGATTACTTGTACTACGCCCCATCCTTTACCGTGTACAGCGATAATAATCCGCTCACTTATATACTGTCTACTGCCAAGTTAAATGCAACAGGATGCAGATGGGTTGCAGAACTAGCCGATTTTAATTTTATTGTTAAATATCGTCCAGGTAGAGAGAACATAGATGCAGACAGCCTATCTAGGATGCCATTAGACATAGAAACGTACATGGGAAAATGCTCAAATGAACTGTCATATGATGCTGTGTGTGCAGCAACACAGGCCGTTGACTATCAGGGTGAGTCCAGTGCAGCCTGGTCGATGGGTATTTCGTCTAAGTGTGCCACTGTGTCTGTCAGCATGCCCATAGCTCCACTTACTGTTGGACAGATTAAACTAGACCAACAGACTGATCCCATCGTCGGACAGATTATTCAGTTCAAACTAGCAGAAGCAAAACCTTCAGGTTCAGAACTCAAAAAGCTTAGCCCATCAGTCGTGTGTCTCCTCAGGGAGTGGGACAAGTTGCAGTTAAAAGGTGTTTTGTACAGAAAAACTACAAACAGGTCACAACTTGTGCTCCCTGAAAAACACAAGTCAGTGGTGTTAAAAGAACTACATGATGATATGGGCCACCATGGTGTGGAAAGGACTATTTCTTTGGTACGGGACCGTTTTTACTGGCCTTTTATGCAGAAAGAAATAGAGGACTATGTGATGAGGAAATGTGTCTGCCTTAAAACCAAACGGCCAAGCCGTGAAACAAGGGCGCCGCTTACTAATATAGTTACCACCCAGCCTTTTGAACTGGTGTCTGTGGACTTTTTACACTTAGACAAATGTAAGGGTGGATATGAATACATTCTTGTCATAGTTGATCATTTTACCCGTTTTGCCCAGGCGTATGCTACTACATCCAAGTCTGGTAAAACTGCAGCGGACAAAATATTTAATGATTATGCTTTAAGGTTTGGGTTCCCGCTGAGACTTCACCATGATCAAGGAGGTGAATTTGAGAACCAACTTTTTGCCCAACTAAAGGAGTATTGTGGGGTTGCTGGTTCGAGGACAACTCCCTACCACCCCCAAGGGAATGGACAAGTTGAGAGATTCAATCGAACTTTGCTTCAGATGTTAAAAACACTGACTGAGAAACAAAAGAGTGACTGGAAGGGCTCACTAAACAAAATGGTGTATGCATATAACTGTACTAGAAGTGAGGTGACAGGGTTTTCTCCTTTTTACTTACTTTATGGGCGTTCACCACGGTTACCAGTGGACATGTTGTTTAGTTTAACTTCAAACCAAGGCAAGAGTGACTGTGACCATCAGAGTTACATGCATAAGTGGAGACAGGGTATGAAAGATGCGTATGAGGTCACACGACAAAAAGCAAACAAAGCTGCCACCAGGAGTAAGAGACTATATGACAGTAAACTGAGGTACTCCGCTTTGTTACCGGGTGATCGTGAACTTGACTCCACGTGGGGGTCCAGGCAAACTCAGAAGCCACTGGGAGAACATTGTGCACACAGTGGTTCGGCAAGTGAGCAAAGATATTCCTGTTTATGAACTGAAACCTGAGAGAGGCAATGGCAGGCCCAGAACATTACATCGGAATCTCCTACTGCCATGTGACCACTTGCCTCTAGAGGCTTCTTTGGAGCCAAAGAAAAAGACAACAAAACGAGCAGGGACTCGAACAGAGGTGACTGAGTCAGAAGAGGATGACGATGAGGGAGAGTATTATCCAGTGCCACGCCACCGTAACACTCGCCCTGATTCCCCGCCACAGCAGGAGGGGACTGCGGAGTCGGTACTTCATGAGGAAGATCAGCCTGCAGGTGTACTCCTAGAGACAGAACCTGAAGAAGACCGTCCACCAGATGATGTCTGCCAGGAAGAAGTGTTGCCTGGGGAGGAGCCTGACCCGCCACCTTCTCCAGACGAAGGCCGGCGGCCGAGACGTGACCACAGAAAACCAAGGGTATTTACCTATGACAGACTCGGTACACCGACTTGTCACAATATTATGACATTTCCCTATAATGGTGAGCAGAACATGCCATGGTTGTATGATGTACATCCTTATTATTTTCAAGAGTTTTACAGACATGGTTCATACTTTTGTTTGCTTGAAGAGTTGGGTGCATATTTGCATAAATACACTGAACTATTGATGTTGGGATCACTTCTCATTTTATTTTGAAACTGATTTCAGTTGTTTACATGCATCAGATTGAAACAAATGGAAATATATCGTGTTGGTATTTTTTGTTGTTGCGTGTTTAAGTGAAGTGGACACTTCTGGCAATGTTGAGTTTTGACTCAAAGCATGTATGAAAAGAGTTCCAGTCTGTAAAAAGAAAAAAAATGGAAGTGTTTGTTTTTGTTTGTGTGGATGTAATTACTTGGTAATCTACAGATGCTGATGTTGGGGACAACATCTATTTTGAGGGGGAGTATGTGACAGGTTGAAATACAGGATTATCATTTCAAACAATTGTAAAAGGCAATGTATTACATGATTTCATAACAATTAGAAACAGATTTAATGAGAGATAAAAAGTATATATGTAAAAAATGTATAAGTAAATCTGTTACAAAGTTCATTGTTATTGGTTGGCGGAGACGTGTGAAACGCGCCTGCGCAGCAAGGTCTGGGGTTCTTTTTTGGAAATAAACTGCCGAATGAGAACGCAACTCTTTTCTCCCCTGTTTATTCATTCTCAAAGCAACCACGTACCTCTCCCAAAACCACGGAGCAGAGGGCGCAACAAAAGCCTAAATGTAGGGCATGAAGTGGAGTGTTGTTCCCGATGACATTGAAGCATGAAATGTTCGTGTTAGAAATTAGATTAGAAAAAAAGTGTTTGGGAGCGGACTGCCTGTAACTCATGACTGATTGACAGGTCACAATGACCATCAACTTCTCATCCAGAACCACTTCTATGGACATCCAGAGGAACTTGGAGGCCAATGTGGAGAAGAGGACCAAGGAGACTTACGGCCCGCCCATGGGCAAGAGAATGCTCATCTTCATGGATGACATGAACATGCCCAAGGTCCCTGTGTCTCCCTCACTCACTCACTCCCTCTTTCTCACTCTCTCACACTCTCACACTCTCACACTTGTTCTGCTGTCTAATAGCACTGTTCTCTTGACAGCTCAATGGTTGCTGTAAATAAGTAGATATCAATGATAAAGTTTGGGCACCCCTGCTTTAGTGTCAAACACAGGCCCTGGGGCCTGGAATTATTTTCAATTATCATAGATGTGTCATGGCAGGTTATACCTCATTTTAAAGCTCAAGAAAAGAACCACATCATGTATTTGATTCTAAAATCTGAACCCAACCCGTAATAAGAACCATCAAAAAACTATACCTGAACTTATAACAATAGTTTTTTTTGTCCAAATTCCTTCATAATATTAAGAAATAAATGTTATAAATATGCACAGATACAAAAGATGAGCTTCAAACAAACTTGGAACACTTTTATACTATGATTTTACGGGTTTGACACCCGTGCTCTCTGCCTATTTTGCCACAATAAAACCCTCTTTTCTTATGACTGCTGAGTTTGTTGGGAGTAGTAGCAGTAGTTAACACTAAATGTCCAGAGTGATGCTCCTGTTTGAGCTCTGTCCCTGTGCTTTGTGTGAGCAGGTTGACAGCTACGGCACGCAGCAGCCCATCGCTCTGCTCAAGCTGCTCCTGGATCGCGGAGGCATCTACGACCGCAGCAAAGAGCTCAACTACAAACTGCTGAAGGACCTGGGCTTCCTCGGTGCCATGGGCCGAGCTGGAGGAGGCCGTAACGAGGTGGACCCGCGCTTCACCAGCCTGTTCTCTGTCTTCAGTATTCCCTTCCCTGCCACCGAGTCTCTGCACCTCATCTATAACTCCATCCTGCGGGGACACACCACAGTGAGTCGCTGTGCAAAAGTGCTTTGATGCAAGAAGAGAAAACGTAACACACACGCGTGGCTAAAGGGATAGAAAAAGTCATATTTTGAATTAAATTCAATTAATTAAGGACAATGTACAGTTAAATTAAAAAGATTTATCCCCATGCTACTATCCATTTGTAGTCCTTGACATTACAATAATTACAATACACATAATAAAATACATTTTGATAAAAAGTACAAGTTACCAACGTTGTCACAAGTCACAATGTAGAAAATACATTGTGCAAACTACTGGTATTCACTGTTTGGTTTTCCTTCGTTCACCCCAAACATCACACTATAAACCTGTGACATCAGATGACCCAAGAACTAACATTGGAAACAGGTGTTAACATTTGTAAAAAGGCATAGAGGTCATTCTTCTGAAATATTATAACAAAGTCAGTGTCTGTAAACTTCAGGTTTCCACTAAATCTCTTTGCACAGCTCCAGAGCCACTCACACATTTACTGAGACACCAGAAACAATCACTCCATCAAGATGTTTATTTCAAAACCAATACAACACAATTTAACTGCACAAAATAACAAACACAGATATATGTAAATGATTCAACAGGAATTGGGCTTTAGGCAACTGACTTTAGAATAAGATAAGTTAAGATAGACTTCAGAGATCTCACACAGGAGAAATGTACATAGGGTGTGGAGTTTCAGTTCATATTAACAAACTTATACCAATCCGGTCAATAGGATAGACACACGCCTGGCCCATGCCCTCATGTGTCCTCGTGTATAATGAAACTCACTCATTTGTGTTTCGACCATACGCACTCTTTTAGTTAGGGTTAAATGCACTTTTATACATCAGTAGGTTACTTATGTGGCGCACTGAGAGGTTGCTGAACGCAACATTGCTAACATTGGGCGCAGGAGAGACTGGAACTGTCATGTTTGCCTGTTTACATCCCATCTTGTATTTCCCTGCAGACATTTGCAGATGTGGTCCAGAAAGCTTGTAGCACAGTGACCAAGTGCACTCTGGAGCTGTACAACAACATCATCCGTGAGCTCCCCCCCACTCCCTCCAAGTTCCACTACATCTTCAACCTGCGAGACCTGTCCCGAGTCTACCACGGGCTGACCCTGACCCACCCCGACAGGTGCGGCTGACTATTCCTATTCCTTTACCTGTGGAACTGCGTCAGGAAAGAATGTGACCATTTTTAGGGTCCCCTGAAATGATGAGACTACCATAGCACGCAATACATCATGTTAAAGATTATAACTTAAAGGCACACCGTGTAACTCTTGGCCACTAGGGGCGCTAGACCTGCAACTTTCACGTTTAGCGCCCCTAGTGGCCACAAGCAACTCAGCACTGTCGCAAAAGTCAACAAACAGTCAGCCGGTGTCTTTTGAGTGTGTATTCAGACAGCATGCACTGGTGTGTGTGTTCAAACTGTAGAGACATGCCTACAGATATTGAGAGACTCTGCTGTGGTCAGCCTCCAGACCGCTGCATTAGTAATCTACCACACATGGACTTCTATATCCTGGATGAGGGAGTTCTGCGTCTAGCTCGTGCTGCGTGGAATGACATCTTTGCAGTCGATGACATCCAGGAACCAGGTGAAGAGCAGCGCTCATACAGACATGCAGCTTACAGCACGATCCCTTTCGCGTTTCCTCTTTTTAGCCTCCTCCGAAGGTTTAAAATTTTTCCTTGCCTCAGCCATGACCAGGAGTCGAGCAGGTGAAAAATGAGTAGCAAAAGCCTTAGCTCCATGAGTATATCAGCGCCTGTAGCCGTAAAGCATATCTTTCTTCCAAGTCACGTGACCTGGTGGCAGGCGGTCCGTCTGCTCTAAAGTTACATGGGCGGTATTTCAAGAGGGCAGCCCCGCTCGGAGCATTGCAAGTGTCAAGCGCTGTATATTGGCCCAAGTATTCATATAAAATAACTCATATGTGTCAACTCTTTAGGTCACAAAGTCCGCGGTGTGCCTTTAAGAAATAGGCCATAATATTTATCCTTTATCTTTGTTCATCTTTCATTGAACTCAAATAACAAATAGAAAAAGTTAAATAAATACATGAAAAAAGAGACAAATAAGGCTATATTTCTGTAAATAAGAAACTCATTAGAGAAGTACAAGCAACACTGACAATTAGGATTTCAAGCAAATCTACAAATACTCCATTATCAATTGTTCACATTTATTGTAAATACTTAGTGGTAGCCTAGGGCCGAGGCAATCCAGACAAATATAAATCATTTTGTTCAAAAAAAATCTACTAGATATTAGTACACAAACCTATGTTAAATAAAAGTAACCCTTTTATTAACATAAAAGTGTTACCTTCATCATTTAAAAAAGGACTATAAATATTTATCCACATATGCAAAAGATGAGCTTCAAACAAACCCATTTTATTTTCACATTCTCGAGTCTGATGATCCAACATATGTTTTGATTACACCTGTAAGTCATGTGTAGTCAGTGACATGTGGCTGTGCTCTCAGGTATGAGAGTGTGGCTAAGTTTGTGCGTGTTTGGAGGAACGAGTGCCTCAGGATTTTCCACGACCGACTCATCGACGAGGCCGACAAAACTCTGGTAAAAATACTGTTCTTTGGTCCTGTTTGTCATGTAGCTTCACAGATGATCTTCTTTTAAATGACCAAAAACAATTCTAGTCATGAGATGAGATGTCTTTCCAAAACCCTTATTTTTCAAACAAATGTGTTTGAAATGCAACGCACTGTGGCTTTGAAGAGTCAAATGTAGGAGTCTTGTTATAATAGTGTTGAATGTCTGTTTCACCGATAGCCGCATATTTCTATTTCTCCGTACTTTTTATTATGCCAAACTTTTTGACTCCAGTTCTAGCATTTTATCTATGTTTAAAACATTACCTGGAAATTTTCTGGAGGAAGTCATTGAATCTGTTTTAGACAAACATTCTGGCATAGTGACCACAATGCATAGTGATGATCGGTTACAGTTTAGTGTAATTCTAAATGTCCAAAAAGCAGAACTAAACCAATTGAACTCCATGACAACCTCATCGTGTGGAAGACGTCAGTTCTCGAGTGAAAGTGTCTGCTGTGTCACTGGTCGATCTGTTTGTCGTCATGGACCAATGGATATTACTTTTAGTGTTGGATTTTCTATTCTGTTGGAAAACGATGAGTTCTATGATACCCTTGTGATCGACTGCTGTGGTAGTTTTGGTTGACACAAAAATCACTGGTTTGGATTTGCCTCCAGGTCCAAGGGTATGTGTCTGGCCTGGTGCTGGAGCACTTTGGCCTAGAGGCGGAGTCTGTCCTAAAGGAGCCCACCCTGTTCGGGGACTACATGACGGCTCTGAGTGAGTCCGAGCCCCGGGTCTACGACGACATCCAGGACTACGAGGCCTCCAAGGCTCTGTTTGAGGTCAGCTCTTTACACACTGCTTGTAAAAGACACAGTTATTACCTTCAATGTCTACTTGCCCAATATTGAGAGAAGTGATTCTTTAAAATGAAATGTTTATTTTATACAAAGTCCCAAGTTGAGACAAGGATCAATGTCTTTCTTTCCCAAACAGCGTGGGAAAGTCTGAGTAATGACACAATTGCCTCGGAAGAATCTGATTGGTTGTCTGACATTTGTTTTTCTTGGAGGCACAATGATAGATGTATTTTGAGGTTCAAACTCACTGTTTTATTTGAATGTATAAAAATCTAAAGAAATTCGTTTATGTAACATTTAATTATTTATTTATAGGTATGGGACCATGCATGTCAATGAACAGACATATTAGAAATATGAACGTAAGCATGCCAGATTATACCCGGAGGCTACTTTCCTCTGAGTATGGATCTCCACAAGTCTGGTTCATTCTTGGAAACAATTTACAAATACTTAAAGGAGCCACATTCAAAGTACTTGCACAAGAGTACAACATTTGTACACAATGTGGATTTAGTGCTGTCTTCATAAAGAAGTTGACTTCCTTCTCCATCTTACTCTGCGGCAATGTTAGTCTTCTGGCACCTGCTGAAATACTGAAACTGAATACGTTTTTGAGTTCTTCAGGAGAATTTGACGTCCCAACATGGAGCTGAAATAGGTTTCCATGGAGACGCCTACATAACGGTGTTGTCCTTGCAGGAGATCCTGGAGGAGTACAATGAGGTGAAGTCCAGGATGAAGCTGGTTCTTTTTGACGAGGCCTTGGAGCATTTGACCCGGATCCACCGCATCCTCCGCATGGACCGCGGACATGCACTGCTGGTGGGAGTGGGGGGCTCTGGAAAACAGTCCCTCACCAAGCTAGCAGCGTTCACTGCAGGCTGCGAGGTACACACCACATGTAAAATCATAAGTGAGGCTAAGGCCCCGACTCCACCGGCTGCATAAAACGTAGTACGTATCCGTCCAAACGTGTCCGTCCAAACGTGTCCGTCCAAACGTGTCCGTTTCAACTCTGTTTCCGTTTTTTCCATGAGGGTGAATGTAAGTGGCTCCACTGCCCTCAACATGCGTCTGTATGACGTAGGGAGCAGTGTGTCCACGTAAGGTGCAACGGACACGGACGGACGAAATAAAAACAATCCTATTTTTTACGTAGGTCGACGTACGTATGGTCTGTTTTCCATTGGAAATACAAAGGAAAATATATATTAACTAGATTATTATACATGTATTGTTTTACACTCGTAGTCCTTGGTTTTAGGCAAGGCAAGGAAAGTTTATTTGTATAGTACAATTCATACTCAAGGCAACCCAAAGTGCTGAACAAAAATAAGAAAGCATTAAAATCATAAATAATCACAGTACATTAAAAAGAAAGATAAAAATATAAAATATACAATCCCTCAGTTGTATGCACAGCTAAACAGAACTGTTTTTAACCTGGTTTTAAACATTGTCAGAGAGGAGGCCTGTCTCACATCTTCAGGAAGATTGTTCCAGATTTTAGCAGCATGAATCTGAAAAGCAGCCTCCCCATGTTTAGTCCTGACTCTGGGCACTAACAGGAGTCCAGTCCCTGTGCTCCTCAGAGTCCCAGCAGGAGTCCAGTCCCTGTGCTCCTCAGAGTCCCAGCAGGAGTCCAGTCCCTGTGCTCCTCAGAGTCCCAGCAGGAGTCCAGTCCCTGTGCTCCTCAGAATTCGGGCTGGTTCATATGGGACTAACATGTCACTAATATATTTTGGTGCGAGGCCATGGAGAGACTTGTAACAAGCAGAGCTGTTTTAAAGTCTATTCTCTGAGCCACAGGAAGCCAGTGCAGAGACCTGAGGACTGGACTAATGTGGTTGTACTTCCTGGTTCTAGTCAGGACTAATGTGGTCGTACTTCCTGGTTCTAGTCAGGACTAATGTGGTCGTACTTCCTGGTTCTAGTCAGGACTAATGTGGTCGTACTTCCTGGTTCTAGTCAGGACTAATGTGGTCGTACTTCCTGGTTCTAGTCCGGACTAATATGGTCGTACTTCCTGGTTCTAGTCAGGACTCGAGCTGCTGCATTTTGAATGTACTGCAGCTGTTTTACAGCCTGTTTGGACAGACCTGTGAGCAGGCCATTGCAGTAGTCTAACCTACTGGAGACAAATGCATGGATAAGAATCTCCAAGTCTGCTTTAGACACTATGTTTTTGATCCTGGCAATGTTTTTTAGATGGTAAAAAGCTGCTGATGTTACTGATTTGATGTGGCTATTAATAACCACTTTGCAACAACCGGCGCGCCGGCGGCCGTTTTTATGTTTTTAAATGTTCTGCTGGCAATAGCAGATGTATTTTGAACACCAAACCCCAAAAGCTGTATATCATTTTAAAGCTTATTTTCTTATCTACATTTATATACAAGTGTAAACTACATCAGACTTTGCATTCAAAAGATATAACACATAATGTGGGCACAAATTAAATCAATTCCGAAATAGTTTTTTACCTTTGGGCTTGTGCTGTACAAATAAATCAGCTCTCCTCCCAGCTTGCAATACATCATTCTCTCTGGAACAGTCCAAAGGAAAATTATATCCACTTGTATTTCCCAAAGTAAAATCCATTCTGCAGAAATAATCCAAAAATGTGCATTTATCTTTAGCGAAAAAAACGAAAAAAAAGAGCACAGATGTTACTCTTTCACTTTTAACGGACTTTTAGCTTTGTTTTTCACCCAAACATCTGGTATCTACGTGTTCCTTAGCTCCTTATCTTTCAAATGAGACTACTCCCGAAAAGCTAGACCAATTTTTGGGTCTGCAATAGCTCCCGCAAGTACCGCTCGTGCTGCTGTTTGCGCATGGAGGACTGATCTTTGTTGTGCTCCCAACTTGTTTGCTTTTACTTCCGGGATTTACGATTGACATGTCCTTGTAGCCAATGAGGAAAGCTTTCGAACAAGGGGTGGGACAATGGTGTCCTGTCTTATGTTGTGCCTGGACAATTGTGCGTGATGGAAGCCAAAAGACGCTCTCGAAGCTGCAATGAATTTACACTCATAAAAAAATAACTTTGACATTTAAAAAAGAAAAACACACATAGATTAGTAACTTATAAGTACCAATAATGAAAAATATTGTTTTTATGATGATTAAATGTAAGTAAAGATATGCACTACTTGATGAAAAGGAGAAACTGCATAAAAACTATAAAACTTAGAAGTCTGAAACTTTAGACAGTTGTTTTTAACAACACAATGAACAGAGGGTTTGAATATTGTGAACTTACAATGAAGTATGCCTTTTTTAGGGCCTTTAGAAATTGAAAATGTTAGGCGAGGCTAAAAAAATTGGGGTTTTTTCCCTAACTTCAAAGGATGCAGAGGAAAATAGGAATGACAAACATTATTTTAGTGTTTTTTTACATAAACTAGAAGGCTCTAGCTTTAAAATGATGCATCACACAAGCATGTGAGATGTAAGATGTGTTTTTAAATAAGCAAAGACATTTGGGTATGCCCAACCATTGTGCACGAGTCAAAATGAGGCGGTTGTTAAGAGGTTAAATTTTAAGTCTGAGTCCAGTATTACCCCTAGATTTCTGACCTTGTTTGAAGGTTTTAGAGAGAGAGACTGGAGGTGACAAATGACGTTGAGGACCAAAGACAATCATTTCAGTTTTGTCTGCGTTTAGCTGAAGGAAGTTGTTTTGCATCCACTCACTGATCTGTTGGATACAGTGAAGGAGTGAGTCCACTGGTCCATGTTCTCCTGCAGTCAGTGAGACATAGATCTGAGTTTCGTCTGCATAGTTATGATAGGAAACTTTGTTTCTGCGTATTAACTGACCTAACGGCAGCATGTAGAGATTGAACAGAAGAGGTCCCAGGATCGACCCCTGTGGTACTCCACAGGTCAGGGCCATATGATCTGAGACACAGTTTCCAATCTCCACAAAGTACTTCCTGTCTTCAAGGTAAGACCTACCCCAACTTAAGGCGGTGCCAGCGACACCAACCCAGTCCTCTAGTCTCTGTAAGAGGATCTCATGGTCGACAGTGTCAAAAGCTGCACTTAGATCTAACAAGATTAAGATTGAGACTTTGCCTGCGTCAGTGTTCAGCCGGATATCATTTGTAACCTTGACGAGGGCAGTCTCAGTGCTGTGGTGGGGTCTAAAGCCGGACTGAAACATATCAAATGAGTTGTTGATTATAAGAAATCTAGTAAGCTGTAGGTAGACAACTTTTTCAAGGACATTCCCCATAAATGGCAGAATTGAGATGGGACGATAGTTGTTAAGTACGGTGGCATCCAGACTGCTCTTTTTTAGTAGGGGCCTGATGACTGCAGTTTTCAGGGCCTTTGGGAATATTCCAGAATTAAGGGACATGTTTACTATCTGTGTGAGTGAAGGTAACAGACTGCTCAGAACAGACTTCAGAAATCTAGTGGGTAGTACATCCAGGCTGCATGTGGAGGAGCTCAGACTTGTGATTATCTCATGGACAGTTTGATCATTTACAGGTGCAAAGTGAGTTAGCTCAGAGAGCCTTTCTGGCTGTTGGATTGTTATCTGTGGATTGGAGACAATGGCGTTTTTGATGCATTGAACTTTGTCATTGAAAAATTTTGCAAACTCATTGCATTTACGTTTGGAAGTAAGCTCTAATGGCATCTGAACAGGGGGGTTCGTTAATCTATTAACTGTTGAAAACAGAACACGCAGATTGTTACTGCAGCCTTCAATCATTTCAGAAAAATACCTTTCTCTCGTACTACGTAGCACCCGGTTAAAATCGCACAACTTATCTTTGAAGATCTCATATTCAACCTGGAGGTTGGACTTGCGCCACTTCCGCTCGACCCTCCGGCACTCTCTCTTTTGTGCCCTGACTGAGTCTGCTTTAGCCCACGGCGCCTTCTGCTTATTTTTCACTATATTAACCTTCACAGGGGCAACGGTGTCCAGAACTTTCAAAACACTAGAGGTGACAGAGTTAAACAGTCTTTGGTCTTGTTGTCAGAAAACCCATGTCAGTGTTTCAAATGATTGAACTGTGGATCCAGTCTCTTTACTATTTAGAAGACATAAATCTGGGAAAACGTCAACATCTGCATTGACAAAGTGAAGCAGGCCACACAGGCTATGGCTTTATTCATTTTCCTTTTGAATATATATACTTTTGAAATAACCTTATTTCATAACTGGAGTCTTTCAAAGGTAACAGCATGACCTTGAATTACTTTCAGACCTTTATCTTCTGACAATCGAGCTACAACTCTCTTCTCCACATATTACTTCAATGCTTAATTTTTACAGTTTTTATAAAATGCCATCAGATTTGAACATGTTTTTAAACAGTCAAATGAAGCAGTCCCTCGCAATGCTGAGGTTTTTTATAATTATTATTGTTATATTTGTTTTTGTTGGATCATGAATTGCTTTGTGAACGCTGCTGGCTGTGTCCTTTTGTTGAAGGTGTTTGAAATCACCCTGAGCAGAGGCTACGGCGAGTCCAACCTCCGCGACGACCTCAAAACGCTCTACCTGAAGCTGGGCGTGGAAAACAAGAAGTGTGTGTTTATGTTTTCTGACGCACAAGTAGCTGAAGAGGGCTTTCTGGAGCTCATCAACAACATACTGACCTCAGGTAAGGCCAGGGTCATCAGGCCCAAGCCCCAACAGGACCTATGGTTTTCCCAACCAGAAATTCCTGCTGTAGTACCCAGTGAAAAGAATGGGGTCCACAGCAACAAGGTCCTGGGTTTGAATCCACCTCCAGGCCTTTCTGTGTGGGGTTTGCATGTTCTCCCTGTGTTTGCATAGATTAACTACCCTCTGTTCCCTCCCTGACCTCTGACCTGTGCCTGTGTCTCTTCCTCCAGGCATTGTTCCTGCTCTGTTCCCTGATGATGAGAAGGAGTCTCTGCTGAACCAGGTAAGGGAGGAGGCTCAGAGCAGTGGAGTGGGCCACACCAAAGAGAGTCTGTGGAACTTCTTTGTCAACAAGTGCTCCAACAACCTACACGTGGTCCTTGGCATGTCCCCTGTGGGCGACACTCTGCGGACGCGCTGCCGCAACTTCCCAGGTCAGGCCTCTCTAAAGTCTTCTTCAGGGCGTAGTTAGTCCAGTTTACAGTGGTTTACAGTCAGCCCAGTAAACCACATGTGGTTTTCTTTTTCCCTCTTTAGGGCTGATGAACAACACTGTCATCGATTGGTTTCAGCCCTGGCCTCCGCAGGCTCTGCTGGCTGTGGCGCAGTCCTTCCTGGGTCTGTACCCTGTACACTACACAAAATCACACATGCATGTTTAGATTATGACCACTTTATTAGAAATTTCCCCACTGTGGGACGAATTAAGGTTTTCTTATCTTACTTGTCCCCAACTGGCAATGTGCAGGTCACAACAGTATGATCCCAGAGGAGCACGCGACTGCTGTGATCTCACACGTGTGTATGGTTCACGACAACGTGCGCCACTACAGCATACTTTTCCTGCAGAAACTCCGCCGTTGCAATTTTGTAACCCCAAAGAACTACCTGGACTTCATCAACACCTACTGCAATCTGCTGGAGGAGAAGGACAAGGACATCCTGGGTAGGACGCTGTCACAGTCCTTTTGGCACTTCTTCAATCTTCAATCAATCAATGCAGATGCTACAATGTGTCAGAGGACTAGCAAAAATAATATTTGACTCCTATTCATTTGATACCAGTTTGTTAACGTAAACCAAAAGGCATCACTATATTTGCTTTCGGTGTACCACAGGGATCAGTACTTAGTCTGATTATGTTCACACTTTATATCCTACCACCCAGGAACATAGTTCATTATTGAGACCAAATCACACTGATCAAAAAGACAGACTTAATGCCTGCGTTAAAGACATAAATCACTTCTCTTCAAAACTGGATAAAAGACTCATTCGGGCATGACAATTGTGATGGTGTTTCTTAATGATCCATGGGCATCATCAGGAACTGACTTTACTGATGAGGACACGGCAAAATCCTTGATCTTGCACCATAAGCTAAAGACACACAAAGATCTACAATTTTCACAAACACAGTCCTAAATTTAACTGTATCAGCAATTTGTAGCTCTTTGAAGAGCAACTATAACAGAGGCCGTCTTAGGTGCGCTTTAACTTTGGTGTTCTTTAACCATAATGTTTACCAGTTTTACTTGGATTGTGCAAAAACACTAAACTTCAGACATTGCGGAAAGTGATTTAAATACTTTAATTAAATTGAATAAAATAATGTCAACAAAATAAACTGACCTAAAACAGGAGAACTAAAGCATGATCTGCTTTTAGTCTTACAATGACACAGTAGTATGAACTTTTATCCTCTTGCCTGAATACTTGGTGTGGCAGGGTTACCAGGTGGTATTACCTCACTATTGTGTCTCTGAAGCCAGGATGCAGAAGAAGAAGCCGAGTGGATGATGTCTTCTGCATGTTGTCTCTGCCTTAGCTCAGTGCACGCGTCTCGAGGGAGGTTTGGACAAACTAAAGGAAGCCACGGAGCAGTTGGGAGAGCTGAACATCAAACTGGCCGAGCAGAGGGTGGTTCTGGAGGAGAAGTCCACTGCCTGTGAAGCTATGCTGGATGAAATACTCACCAACACCTCTCTAGGTCAGTAAGCACCTTATAATTTAACATTTTATTTAGCTTTAACATTTTCTTTAGTTAAACAGAAGACTGGAGAAGTAGTGAACATAGCTCCATCTTTAGCCTTCATACGAGTCCTCATGACCAACGTGCAAAAACGTGTGCTGTAAATGTGTTTACATTGATGCATGGCAACGTAAAAACAAGTTTTTACAAACCCAAAATAAAATGAAACAGTTGTTTAGACCTCCATGAAAGTCTTATCCTTGTGCTCCCATCAGCGGAGGAGAAGAAGAACCTGGCAGAGGAGAAGGCCAGTGAGGTTGTGGAGAACAACAAGGTGATCGCGGTGGAGAAACAGGAAGCAGAAAGTTCTCTGGCTGAAGCCCTGCCTGCCCTGGAGGCTGCTCGCCACGCTCTGCAGGACCTGGAAAAGTCCGACGTCACAGAGATCAGGTTAGCACCAAACCTCCCATTTGACCTATGGTGATTATTTGTATGTATTTTTAATGTTTGGTGTGTTTATTATATTATTCCAGCCCTGTGGATTGCCCTGAGTACAAATTGTGCAATAGAAATACTTCTGATTGATTTGAACCCCCTAATGAAGGCTGGTGTGTTGTGCAGGTCTTTTGCCAAACCTCCCAAACAGGTGCAGGTGGTGTGTGAGTGCATCCTGGTTCTGCGCGGCCACAAGGAGATCAGCTGGCAAGCCGCCAAGGGGATGATGTCTGAGGCCAACTTCCTGCGCTCGCTTATGGAGATGGACTGTGACGCCATCGGACACAGCCAGGTCTCCACAGTCAAAGGTAGGACTTAACTCAATCCAAGGCGCCATCTACCGGTCAATGGCGAAGGCACGGTGGGCTGCTCGCATGACATGGCAGAGTTCACGAGTGTTTTATTGCTCCAGCATTAAGAGAAGACAGTGATCCACGCACGCTACACCCTCACAGGCTATAGCGCACCATATGCGCTTCTCCATTAAGCCGAACAAGTTGTGGTTGACATGCATCAAATGTGACTGCTGTTCAATGCATTTTGTCAGCGCATGCTCAAAAGAAAGAAAGACCGGTGCTTGGTCAGTGGACAGTAGTAAACAAGGAGTGAGCGTTTCTGACAAACAAATTGAGCACTAACCAGTTATAAGTGAAATTTACATTAGAGAAACACTACACAATGACAACCTGTGCACTGCTTATTTTATGTTTTCTGCTTACTTTCAGGTTTTCTGAGGAACCTCAAAACCAACTTTGAAGAGATGCAGGCCATCAGTAAGGCTGGCTCTGGGATGTTCAAGTTTGTGGAAGCCATTGTCGGATACTGTGACGTGGCCAGATCCATCAAGCCTAAGAGGGAAAAGGTCTGTTCAAAGGGCTCGCAAACCTACAGTAAGCCCAACCTGAGATCAATGCTGTTGAGCCTCACCCAACTTTTTAAAAGTCTGGAATTTATTATAAACTGCCATTCTGTGTGAGTCCCAAAACACTGACACTCACATCTTCGAATTATGAGCACCTAGGTTCATTTCCTCTTTTCTTGTTTCTCCACTAATGAGTTGGCAGTGAATTCCTAATACCAAATTTCAAATTTGAGTTCCTTACCACAGTTTAGAGAGCTTCAGTCTCTGTCTGAATGCAGGATCCGAACATGTATATATACTGTAAGGTTTATATGGATAAGCGCACAGTGCATTGATGACGTCCCTTTCAACATAGGTATTAAAAAACTTTTCTGTCACAGGGTGAAGTGATGGAGGACTCAAAATGCAGGAATGCGAAAAACAAAAATGGTTTAATGATAAAAATCAAATAAAAGTCCAAGATGAAAACAAAATCCAAACCAGGAACACAGACTGACAAGGACAGACGTAGACAATACAATGAACCAGCAACAAGAGGAAAGGAGCACTGGGTACATATAGACACAGACACAGGTGAAACACATCAGGGCGGGGCAGACAATCAACACAGGGGAACAAGACAAGATGTACATCCAAAACCAAACTTATGTCAAAATAAAACCAAAGTACAAAAATAAAATCCACACCATGACACTTTTCTGCCTGTTACCGTGACACCAGCTCCTCTTTGTTCTGGCAGGTGGCACGTCTGGAGAAAAACTTCTTTCAGAGTAAGCGTGAGCTGGAGCAGATCCAGCAGGAGCTAGGTGTTTTGCAGCAGGAGATCCAGGCCCTCAGGGACAAGTACCAGGCCGCTATTGAAGAAAATCAGCTGCTGCAGGAGGAGGCTGAACTGATGGAAAGGCGGCTCATCGCTGCAGACAAGCTCATCTCTGGACTCAGCTCAGAGAACGTGAGGTGAGCTCCCACATCAACACATATCACCATATACTTAGAAGCATAATCCCAGTTCATCCTTTTTTAGATTTCCTTTATATAATGAAAGATACACTGCTGACATAAGTGAGTGTGCACGTGCCACCTCTGTAGTAAATTCTCATCAGAATTTAATTCAGATTTTCAATGCATGCATTTATAACTACTTATGACTATTACGTATACCATATTCCAAAGCAGCCTAGTTTGTGACTTCCTGAATGGCAACAAAAGTCTGATACTGATTTTTGGGATGTAGCTCCACCTTAAGCTGAGTGGTATCTTGAGTTTAGTTGGTTCCCTTTTGGTGTAAAGGTGCAAAGACAACGTTCTTTCTTCTGGTGAAGTATGACTTGGCCTTAAGACCACTGTTCTCTGCAGGTGGACGAGGGACTTGGAGCAACTGCGACACAGGCGGGTGCATCTCGTGGGGGACTGTCTCCTGTCAGCTGCCTTCCTCAGCTACCAAGGTGCTTTCAGCTGGGACTTTAGGGATGAGATGGTCTATCAGAGATGGGTGGAAGACATCCAACAGAGAGGCATTCCTCTGAGCCAGCCTTTCAAAGTGGAGCTCCTGCTGACGGACGAGGTGGAGATCAACAGGTAAGGGACTGAAGCTGATACAGTTTTAAATATTGTTGCCATTATTATTGTCAACTTACAGTATGAACACCATGTCACCACTTAAGTATCATACATGTTGTGGTATAATAGCTTCAGATATCTGGGCTGGTCTAGACCTAGTCAGGACCAGGTCTAGACCAGACCCAGTGATGGGTTCCCAGTGACTGTGCTGTGGGACCACTGCTCCTGACAGGATTAAGGGATGGTGAAATGCAGGTCTGGGTTTAGTAAACTCAATGTGAGCTTCGCTGTGTTTGTCACAGATGGGGCTCTGAAGGCCTCCCGCCAGACGAGCTGTCTGTGCAGAATGGCATCCTCACCACACGAGGGAGCCGTTTCCCAATGTGCATCGACCCCCAGCAACAGGCCTTCAACTGGATCAAGAAGAAAGAGGAGAGCAACAACCTGAAGGTGCTCTGCAGAGTCTGATCATTTTCTATTCATTATCACAAGTTGAGCAGGGGGGAAGCCAACAAGTGTGCCACAATATGCATAGTGGCTTGCAAAACTACAAATACAACTTTAACTTGTACAGACCTTATTTGAACATTCCATCCCAATGTAGCTTTGGCTCCAGCTGTTGTGTTGGCTCTTGCAAGTTCTATTTCATCCCTTCAGACCGCCAGAGGGCGGTGCATAGCACTGAATGTTCCCTTCGCGCATGCGCAGTTCGAGTAATAATACCAAATGAGTCACACCTGTGACCCCCTGGGTGACACACCGGAGGTAATAAAGTCCAGCGTCATCCAGCACTCTGTTCCTTTTTTCTTCTCGCGTGCGGTTCGAATCGTTGTTGCTTGAACCTCGTCAACGTCTGTCGCTGAGAGCCCTCTTCATCGGAGCTGCGGTTCGCCCTCCGTGGGGCGCGACGGTGACGTTGTCCTTCGGGTATTTATCGGTGTTTTCTGTACTATATGCGTGTGTATTGGTTGGTGTGAAGGCTGCTGTGGCGCCCGCTCCTCCGTCAGTACTTTCTTTTGGTACGTGCATTTCGTGGTGTGAGGGCTGCGGTTCGTTGGCCTGCTCCTCCGCCTGTGCATGTTTGAGTTAGCTTTGCTAACTGTGTATTGAGTGGTGTGAGGCTGCGGTTCGTTAGCCCGCTCCTCCATCGGTTCTTATTTGGGTTAGCCTTTTGCTACCTGTGTGGTGTGAGGCTGCGGTTCCGCTCCTCCATCCGTTCTTAGTTGGGTTAGTTTTTGCTACCCGTGTCCTCTGTGGTGTGAAGGCTGCTGTTCGCGCGCCCGCTCCTCCATCAGTTCTTCTTTGGGTTAGTTTTTATTACCGGTGTCCTCTGTGGTGTGAAGGCTGCTGTTCGCGCGCCCGCTCCTCCATCAGTTCTTCTTTGGGTTAGTTTTTATTACCGGTGTCCTCTGTGGTGTGAAGGCTGCGGTTCTGTTGTCCCGCTCCTCCATCAGTTCTTGTTTGGGTTAGCATTTGCTGCCTGTGTTTATTCTGTGGCCGGTGTATTGTGTGGTGTGAAGGCTGCTGTTGGCGCGCCCTCTCCTCCATCGCTACTTTATTTTGAGTTGGCGTTTTACTGCCGGTGTATTGTGTGGTGTGAAGGCTGCTGTTGGCGCGCCCTCTCCTCCATCGCTACTTTATTTTGAGTTGGCGTTTTACTGCCGGTGTATTGTGTGGTGTGACGGCTGCTGTTCGCGCGCCCTCTCCTCCATCACTACTTTATTCGAGTGGCATTTTGCTGCGGGTGCATTGTGTGGTGTGAAGGCTGCTGTTCGCGCGTCCGCTCCTCCACCGTGCTATATTTGGCTTTTCTGTTGTGAAACTGCAGTACGTTGATTCAGTTTTGCAGTTTGTATACCGTTGGGGATTAATTACATATTTAATTAACGACGCAGTCGAAACAAGAATAATAATTTAATAATAATAATAAAAAAAATAAAATAAAAAAAATAATAATAATAATAAAAGAAATACAACCTTGTTGTTATGGACGGGTCACATGCGTGTGTGGGCTGCGGGTCAGCACTCGATGTTGATGACGGCCATGACCTGTGTCCGGCGTGCCTCGGCCCCACTCACTTGAGGGAGGCAGTGTCCGATAACCCGTGCATGAACTGCAGCTGCTTGCCCTGGGCTGTTAGGGTGGCGAGGCTGGTTCAGCTGCCTTCGTCTGGCGACGGTGGTAGTTTGCCAGTGGGACCTGCTGTGGCTCCGCCCCCTCGGCGTTCTAAGCGCCGTGCTGAGGCCTGTGCTTCAGGGGAGCGGTCTGATGGCCATGGTCCTTCCAAGCAGGCCAAGCCGGATGCTGTCCTGGTGTCGAGGGTGGAGCAGTTATCTGCAGAGTTGGAGGCGATGAAATCTGCATTCCAGGCACGTTGTGCTGCTGATGCAGTCTCTGGGGCTGGTTCTTGCTCCATGCCATCCCTCCATCCGGAGGAGGATGTGCTTTCTCTGGCGGCATCTGCTTCGTGCTTCCGGGACGAGGATGACGCGCGGTCCCTTTCGGGGGACGATGCTTATTCTTCCGCACATAGTGTGTCCAGCCGGTCTGGTGACGGCTCAATGCAGGAGGTTCTTCGCAGGGCCTTATCCCGTCTGCAGGTGGAACTTCCCCAGTCGGGACAGGCTGACCCTGGCAGTGTTTTTTTCAGGCGTGGTGGTTTGTCTCCTGCTTTTGTTGTGCCCCCGTCCGCGGAGTATCTGAAGGAGCTACACGCGTGCTGGAGGGACCCCAGCCGTCTCTCTAAGCTTTCGGCTGAGGGTCGGGCTTTGGCCGCGATGCACGATGCCTCTTCGGCTGGCCTGGATTGCATGCCGGCTGTTGAGCCGGCGGTTGCCTCCCTCATTGTTTCCCCGGAGGAGTCCTTGCGGGAGAATGTGAGGTGCCCTCGGAGCCAGTGTCGTGCGACGGATCACTTGCTAACAAAGGCCTACAATTCTGGTGCTCGAGCTGGCCGTATTGGTAACTCCTTAGCGCATCTGCTGCTTGCCCTGTCTGCCTCCCTCCAAGAGGGTAGTGCTGTGGGCACTGATGTTACTGCGTTTAGCGACGCAGCTCTGCACGCTTTTGCCTTGATGACCAGGGAACTCGGACGGGTCATGTCGGTCCTTGTACAGGCTCGTCGGCAGGTATGGCTGGCTCAGTCTCCCCTGACTGAGGCCTGTCGTAGGACCCTCCGTGACGTGCCTGTCGAGCCGGGTCAGATGTTTGGGACGGCGGCCCAGGAAGCATTGGACCGGACTGTCCATGCTGGTCAGACTAGACAGCAACTTTCTAGCCTTAGCAGGGTGGTGCGCCCTCCCCGGCAGTTTTTGCGCCCGATGGTGGCCCCCGGTGTTCGGCAGCCTCCTCGGGATTGGACTGGTGCTCAGCGTTTTCCCCAGGTCAGGCCTGCCGGGAATTTTCGTGCCCCACCCGTACATAGGCGCCCGACCCGCCAGCCAAGTGGCGCCGCGGCTGGTCCTGGGCGGGGTCCCCCCAGAGCCCCTAGGGGGCGGGGGGCACGGAATTGACGCCTCAGGGCCGAGCGTCGGACATTTTTCCCATCAGCAGCTCGAGTGTTGGGCTGCTCGAGCTCGGGATCCGTGGGTGGTTGCCACATTGACCCACGGATACCGTCTGCAATTCCGACGCCGGCCGCACTTGTCGGGCCGGGTCAAGGTTACTTTGTTCTCGGACCCGGCAAAAGCCTTTATCTTGGATCAGGAGCTCTCCGCCCTCCTGACCAAGGGTGCCATCGAGGCGGTAGATCCGCTGCTGCAACCCAGGGGTTATTACTCCCGTTATTTTCTCGTGCCCAAGAAGACGGGGGGTTTTCGACCAATTCTGGATCTGAGGGGCTTGAATCATTTCCTGAAGGTCATTCCATTTCGCATGCTGACGACTGCGGAAGTCCTTCAGACTGTTGGGGCCGGGGAATGGTTCACGTCCGTAGATTTGAGGGACGCGTATTTTCACGTGCCCATTGCGCAGCCCCACCGGCGGTTCCTCCGGTTCGCCTATCGGGGCGTTCACTGGCAGTTCAGGGTTCTTCCCTTTGGCCTCTCTCTCTCTCCGAGGATTTTTCACCCGATGCGTGAAGGCGGCTCTTGCTCCGCTACAGGCCAGTGGCATGAAGGTGTTGCCTTATCTGGACGATTGGTTGATCTGCGCCCCGTCCAGGGCACGGTCCTTGGAAGATACGGAGCGCCTTCTGACTCATGTCGCCCGCTTGGGGTTCAGGGTCAATTTCGAAAAGAGCAGCCTGGTACCTTCGCAGGCCGCTGTTTTTCTTGGCCTGAGTCTGAACACGGTGACTATGACGGCGCGTCCGTCGGGGCGCCGCCTGGTCGACATCCACGGTGTGGTGTCCCGTTTCGGTCTTGGCACTCTGCACAGTTACGTCAGCTTTCTACAGCTGGTGGGGAAGCTGGCCTCGATCTCTCGTGTGGTTCCTCTCGGGCTGCTTTCGCTTCGCCCGTTGCAGAGGTGGCTGAACGGGTTTCGTTTGGATGCCGTTCGTCACCGCCACAGACGGTTACAGGTGACGTGGGCATGTTTTCGTGCTTTGGCTCCATGGAGGGACCGCGGTCTCCTGTCACGTGGGGTCCCCTTGGGGGTGGTAGTGTGCCGCAGGGAAGTGGTCACCACCGACGCCAGCCGTACGGGATGGGGTGCTGTGTGGCAGCGCAGGTTGGCCCGAGGGGTTTGGTCTCGGGCGGAGCGCTCAGACCACATAAATGTACTGGAGCTTCGGGCCGTCCACCTTGCTCTCCAGGAGTTTTTGCCTCACCTGCTGGGGAAACATGTCCTCATTCGTTCGGACAACACCTCGGTCGTGTATCACATCAACCATCAAGGGGGTGTCCGATCGGCTCGGCTCCTCGAGGTGTCTCAGGCTCTGCTGGTTTGGGCTGCGCCTCGCCTGGCTACACTGCGTGCAGCGTATCTGCCAGGGGACTGCAATCGCGTGGCGGACTCCCTGTCTCGCGGGAGGCCTGCCCCGGGGGAATGGTGTCTCCACCCCGGTGTGGTCCAGAGGGTGTGGGGCCTCTTTGGTCGGGCACAGGTGGACCTGTTCGCTTCGGTGGCCTCCACTCATTGCCCTCAGTTTTTTTCCCTGGACGGGGCTCCGGGCTCTCTCGGCCAGGATGCCCTGGCGCACAGTTGGCCTCAGGCCCTCCTGTACGCCTTCCCCCCTTTTCCTCTGATCTGGCCAACCCTCCAGAGGGTCCTTCGGGCGGGGCACAGTTTATTACTGGTGGCTCCGTTTTGGCCTGCACGGCCCTGGTTTCCACTGCTACTCAGACTTTGTTGGGCTCCCCCCTGGCCTCTCCCTCCCAGGCGGGATCTGCTCTCACAGCTGGACGGTCAGGTGTGGCATCCCTGTCCTCACCGCCTCAAGTTGTGGGTATGGCCGTTGGCTGGCCCGAGCTGCGGGCACTCGATGTCACTGGCCCTGTCAGGCGTA